TTCAAGATATTACGGTGGGTAAGGAGGAAATATATATTACATGTACTTAATGTAGTATAATTATTATATTAGGTCTAACAAATTGAAAAAAAAATTTAATTACCTGTTATTAAGAGAAAACCAGAATACTAACTGTTGAATATAGTTCTAGTATTTGTATTTGATTAATTTTATCAGAGAGTAAGTTCAAAATTGAAATTTGGTGGAAAAGTAAAAGTGCAAATACTGAATTAGTCATCATCATTTCCATCGTCACACTATTCAAAATTGCTATTAAGCATTCCATTGCCATATAAATTAACGCATTTGTAATGGATAAATGCTTAATCTTCATTAAACTATAAAAATAACAACTTATTGTCATTTGATGTTTGTGTTTCTGAACCAATCTTTTATTATAAATAACGCTTAAAGCTTTGAGAATCTAAAATGTAATATTAATTGTCACATTGCACACAATGATTATTCTTCTGGCATTAATGCATCCAACCATCAAATTGCATTTCATTAGACTATCTCCTGTTTTTTTTGATAAGATAACCCCATCTTAGCATTAAGGAATAGATTGATTTTTATAAAATCTAATTTGTATTCAAATTGTCATATTATACATTTTCAAAATTCGCTTTTGACACAATTGTTAGTGCAAGAATGTTTGTACTAATGTCATTAATTATTTGTTATATAATCGCCATCATTTTATTCCTCATTATAAATGATGATTATAGCAAATTCCTTTGATGCAAATTTTACAACCATTAATGCAATCATAATGATCCATAAGGCATCCATCAAATGGAACAGTATTATTCATACACAGTACAGAATAGTTAAGAATCTCTCATTATTGAATTAAATTATTATCCTACATTGTAATATCATTGTAAATTTCTACTTTATATAACTACTTATTGAGTTTAATTTAATATAAAATTATGAAAAAATCATTTAAACTAAGTTATACTCATTTTACAAAATAAACCAGGTTTGCTAAATGATTTGGATTAATAAATAGATATTTAAAATAATCATTTACATGTTATCAACTGAAAACCACTAGCAATTATAGACTCAAATATTCCTTACATTTATAAAAATCAATCCTATTCTATCAACCCAAATAAGTGAATCAATACAGCTTGAAAAGTAATTAGTTTAATATGAATAACAGACTTAAATATGATAATTTATTTAACAATTCAATTAACAGTTATTATAAACAAAGCTAAGAAATTCATGAATTGAATCTAAAAATACATTAATTAGAAGAAAATGTTTATATTTTGGTTTAATAAAATAGATTGTAAATTGAATTATTATTAAATGATCTTTATAAACCAGAAAATTAGTATTAAATTAATTACCTTTAGTTGTTTTGGAGTCTTTAAAATTATGAACAAGCAGTATCAAATCTCAACAAATTGATTTTAAATAAATCACAATAAAGTAATAGATACTAACTTATAATAGGACTTAAATTAAAATTCAAAACAATGCTTACATTGAATCAGACTCACAATAATCTAAAACAATCATTAAAGATGCTTAATAAATTAGATATGCTCTTGATTTTGCATTTGATAACAATAATAAGAGTAAAGTTCCTTTAAAATAAGAATTATAAATGAAATACAAATACTTTTTGCCATAAATTTTCGAAATTGAAGTGTAAATGGCAGCAATAGCTAAGAGAAAAAGCAATAGGCTAATATAAATAAAGAATAAAGAATAATAACAATGTTGGTTCAAGAGTTGCCGATTTATAAACAAAGTAGTAATGTAAAATTAAAGGATATACTCTGAATTTGTGGACTGAAGATGCATTTCCGATTGTTATTCAATTGAGTCAATTGTAGAAACAAAAGATACACTGCCTCATATATTTTTTTATATATATATTTTTCATCATTCCTAAATAAAATATAGCTAAATCTAGGAATTAATTTGAGTAATAATAATTTGATCATTGAATATTAAATGAAACATTAATATATTCTGAAATTGTTTAATTCGCTAGAAAAATATGAAACTATGGTAGACTCCAGAATATAAATGCAGTTACGGAAGCAAAATTGAAATTCTAAATAATTAATCTTTACTTAATTTCATGAATATCAAAATCTAATAATAATTTTTATACATTAAGTAATTTCATTATTCAAAATTAATCATTTTATAAATAATAATAAGCTAATAGAAAATGAAATAAATTCCTTGTTTGAAGCATAGAGATTCCTTTATACTTTTCATCAAAATGGGAAATGACAACACATAGTATATTTGTGATGAATGCTGTTTGGATTTATAAAATGGAAGCTACAAGGTGAAAGTTGAAAATCTAATTCATATAAAAAATGTATAATTTAAAACTAACTTATGAAAGGCTTTGAAGGGCCCTGAACATTTAGTATCAAAACTTAATTTGTCCCCTTCCCTTAAAGACTTTTTTACAGAATTAGATAAATTTAATGATAAAACACTGGATGGCATTTTTTTGAATATCAAAACACAAATTGTTAAAGTTTAAAATTGCCTATAAGAGGTTTAGAGCGAAATAGAACAAGACGCAAAATATATTCTTGACACAAAATAGAAAATTAGGGAGTAATTGAATTAAGTAATAAATTGCAAGAAAATAAATAGATTATCAAATTTGATCAATTCTAATAAATCTTGCAGAATTTTTAATCATTAGAAGTTTAAAATAATGTTGAAGACTTTGAATAAAATGAAATGATAGTTCATAATTATTTAATGGATCTTACTTAAAATGATACCAAAGAACTGAATTAAGCATTGACAAAATTATTAAATGGAACCTAATTATAACTTAAAAATTTAAATTAAGAAAAACTTCCTTAATATAAAAAGTTACAAGAATAGTTTAGATGTTTAAATGCTAACAAATATGAACTCATAAAGTAAATTAATGTAATATATTTTGAACAGTCAATTTTGTCATATTATTACAAATAGAAAATAATTAATACTATTTAATTGAAATCCGATAAAATAGCAACAAGCTTTTAAAGAATCTTTTTAGGTTCAAAAGATGGATTAAATGCAAGTGCTTTTTGGGGTAAAGTGGAAGGTAAATCAAATTTATTAATAATATTCAAAACTATAAGTGGTTACATTTTTGGTGGGTTTTCTCCTTGTTAATGGCTATCAGATTAGAATAGCTATGTAAAAGATGATACATTAACCTCATTTTTATTTTCATAGACTTATGATGAAGTATATCCTTTAAAATCATTATATTAATCAAAAGCTATCTATTCTGGTAGTAACTATGGACCTACTTTTGGTGATGGTCATGATATTTATATTGATTAAGATTTTCAAAATGGTTATTCTAACTTAGGGTATTCCTATAAGTGGGATAAATATTAAAATGCCAAAAGCTCATATTTATTTGGATAATCAACTCCAAATATAGCAGAATGTGAGATTTATTAAGTAATATTTGTTTGATTGTTAACAAAAATCACATAAACAAAATTTTTTCAGTATAAATCTTATTCAAGTTTCTTGAAACTTTCTTGATTCATTTCTAACTATTAATCTATATTTGTAAACTTAAATTATAATTTTCAGTATATTTTTGGTTACACTCATCCCTTTTGAAAGCTTGAGTTCTAATTTCTATTTTAACTAATTTAAATAGATTCTAAATAGTGTAAAAATTTTAGAGGATGAATTTTGAAACTAGATGGAAAAAGGATAGAAATAATTTTAGAAATTAATGAATACTTATTTCATTCTGTTACAGTCGACTTTTAAAAAAAATCTCCTGATATAGTTGTTTCCCTTGCTGCACAATGGAAGAAAAAAGAAGTGTTAAAACTATTCAGGATTCCTCTTCTTTCCCATTGTAACAATTAATTTTACAACATTTGCTGGAGTTCATTCTGAGATGATTTAGAAAAATTTGTTGAGTTAAAGGATTTATAAAGATTTTTACATTGTTTATCTTTTGATTATCATTAATACTCTCTTTTAACTATATTATTCTAGAGCCCGCACTTCAAAAATGTTGAATCAAAAGTATTTAAGTGGTTGTTAACTGAGGGTTTAAATATCATTCTCTGCTTTTAGGAATATAGTTAATAGCAACCTATGGCAATCATAAATCAGTCAACTTTAGTTATCATTCCTTGAAACCCTTTTCAAATACATACATTAATCTACCGCAGGTATAAAAAAACATCAAAATTGTAGATAATTGGTTTATAAAAAAAATAAGCTTGATATTTGATGATTAAGATAAATTATAAAGTCTTTAATGTAATTCAAATTTCTACAACCTAAAGGGCTTTAAAAGAATTTGATTAGGTTTCTAAATTAATAATTTGTGTATCTGCTAGTACAACTTTTCTATGTAAAATATGATTAAAGGTTTAATATTAGGAAAAATTTTTTTTTTTTTTTATTATAATAATAATCAAATATTCATTAAATAAGTGATTAAAATTATTGAAAGCTAGAATATTTTTAAATTCACTCTAAATCCTTTTGAAAAACAATCATGAATGAAGAATGAGTCTTTTAGGGTTAAGCTATATAATAATGGCCAAAATATATAGAGCAAAAATATAGATTAATAACGCTAATTAAAATAAAAATCAAAAAAAAAGGACTATTTATATTACTATAAATATAACAGAATCTAAAGTATTTGAAGAATCAATTAATACCATATTTTTGAAATAATTCTATCAATTTAGGACTTAATTATTAATCAGGATTCAACGATAAGTAAATATTTTATTGAAATTCAACATGCTTTTAACTGATAGTTCATTCAATTATTTTAGGTTCTAAATCGTCTTCTAAGCAAATTGTTTTAATAAATTGTCATACTAGTATTGAATTTGCTCATTTGCTAATTTTATTTCATTTTTTAGATGAATAGTATGTCTTTTCCTTTTAATCAAAAAGTCAATAATTAGAACCAATTATGAAATAAAATAATGCAATGTGTAACCATCCATATAACATCAATTAATCCTCACTTAATTCTAAAATGTAAACTAAAATGAACCTGTGATTATCGAAAATAAACCTTACCTACATAATTTAATTAAATCTATATATGATTTTAGAGGTCTGAAGTAAATTAAATGTTGTAAATAGAAAACTGACTGCATATAAAGTAAAAAGGTTTATGCTTGAGGCTATCTTATGAGTTCTACTATGATGGTAATATAAGAAATTCTTCTAAAATTTGAAAAAGTGTGAAATTAATCGCCAAAAATCCTGTCTTTGAATCTTGGAAAAAATATTTCCATTGTACTTATCCTGTATTATGAAGTAGTAAGAAAAAGGTAAGTAAAGATGCAAAGTAAGAAGAGACACCCTTCTTCATTGATAAAAAAAATAAATTCAGAGTATTCTATTATATGACTATTGCGATATAATTCCTGAATAATGGAAAGCACCTCCGTTAAGTTTAGCAATAATTTTATCAACATGCAAACTCTCTAAAATAGGCTGTAACGAAATTTTTGTATAGGTTTCAAGATATTACGGTGGGTAAGGAGGAAATATATATTACATGTACTTAATGTAGTATAATTATTATATTAGGTCTAACAAATTGAAAAAAAAATTTAATTACCTGTTATTAAGAGAAAACCAGAATACTAACTGTTGAATATAGTTCTAGTATTTGTATTTGATTAATTTTATCAGAGAGTAAGTTCAAAATTGAAATTTGGTGGAAAAGTAAAAGTGCAAATACTGAATTAGTCATCATCATTTCCATCGTCACACTATTCAAAATTGCTATTAAGCATTCCATTGCCATATAAATTAACGCATTTGTAATGGATAAATGCTTAATCTTCATTAAACTATAAAAATAACAACTTATTGTCATTTGATGTTTGTGTTTCTGAACCAATCTTTTATTATAAATAACGCTTAAAGCTTTGAGAATCTAAAATGTAATATTAATTGTCACATTGCACACAATGATTATTCTTCTGGCATTAATGCATCCAACCATCAAATTGCATTTCATTAGACTATCTCCTGTTTTTTTTGATAAGATAACCCCATCTTAGCATTAAGGAATAGATTGATTTTTATAAAATCTAATTTGTATTCAAATTGTCATATTATACATTTTCAAAATTCGCTTTTGACACAATTGTTAGTGCAAGAATGTTTGTACTAATGTCATTAATTATTTGTTATATAATCGCCATCATTTTATTCCTCATTATAAATGATGATTATAGCAAATTCCTTTGATGCAAATTTTACAACCATTAATGCAATCATAATGATCCATAAGGCATCCATCAAATGGAACAGTATTATTCATACACAGTACAGAATAGTTAAGAATCTCTCATTATTGAATTAAATTATTATCCTACATTGTAATATCATTGTAAATTTCTACTTTATAATTAGTAACCTTAAGTCATCTATAGTTAATATTATATATAATTAGTTGTCAGTATTGACAAATATCTTATTTTAGGATCTAAACAAAATATTTTATATAATTAAATATACAAAGATCCCATCGATAAATTTAAGTTGATTTTGGATTACAACGAATAGTTTTAATTCAAATCTTATGACATTAGGTCTATCTAATTCGATGACTTTTGCAAATAGCCTTCAGACAAAACTATTTAATTAAATACTCTGTATTATGAGGATATATACCTAAGCATTCATTAACTGTAGCAACTGCACTTTACCAACCTTCCTCAAGAGAAATACTCAAGAATTCTTTTAACTAAAATAGATACAAATACAATTCTTAAATAAAACATCCATGTGAATTACATGAGTCACATCCCAGGGAGCATTCATAAATTTATAATTAAAACTGTGTTATTCTCCAATAAGAATTTTAAGCTGACATAGACAATGTAATAGATGAATTTGTTTGTTAAAATTGTAATAGATACTTGGAAAATGAGATATGGAAGCTCACTTAAGCATGCACCAATTAAAACCATGTTATTTGTATAAATCCTTTAGTGCTCGATTTTACTATCTAAGTAAACTAGAAAGATGCGATCATACGAGTTATTTAATCTAGGGACTAAATATATTGAATAATAAAATCAGAGGGAAAAATGACTATTATTTAAAAAAATACATAAAATCATACTATAATAATAAAATTAAAGAATTTTATCTTTTTGATCTGCCTAAATTACAGCAGAATACTTTTTGCTGATAATAAATTAAATTCATATTCTAAAGTAAATATTGGATTTTATCTTAGACTAAGTTTGTTAATGATGGAAATATTTCTGCGTTTTGGATCTTGAAAATATAAGGGACATTCTTTGACTTCATTTTTTGTAATTCTAAATATTTTTGTAGCAATCTTAGCTTGTAATAATGTCAAAAGACTTGAAATCGATATAGAAAATTAAAAAGCAAAGAGTGAATAGAAACTGCTCCTCCCTTTAGAACAATGCTAATCGCATTTCTTAACAATTGTCAATCATTTTATAGATTATTGTATATCGATAATAGCATTATGATTATCAAATAAATGAAGACAAAACTCATGGACATGCAGAATAAAATATGAAAAAGATGCAAAATGGAATAGAGGCATTGCTAAATTAGAGCTTCAACATAAATTTAGGGAAGGATTTCTTACAATACGAATTTTTCCATCTAGATCTTGAGTGCTATTTCTTATTTTATATCTAAAGAAAGTCTGAAAATTGATAATCTCTATATTTTTACTGTTAAATCAATGAACAATATAATTGATTTATTATTTATGTAATTTCTAGTGTGAGTTTATATTTCCTAAATTATTAAAGCGATATTGAAAAAGTGCTTCTCATTTTCTTCAAATCGTATGTTTGCACACTTAAAATCAAAAGTAAGCTTTGAAATATTGATGAAAGTGGATTGTATTTAATTATTAAGCTATAGAATAAATTCAATAACAATAAAAAGGAATTGAAAGCTAACTTTAATTAATTCCATAATTTTTACTTCCTTTCACATGAATTCATAAAGAATTTGATGAGCTCATTTGCTCATTTTTTATGAGATACTTAAAGTTAAGTTGTGATGACTAAAGAGAGAACCTAATGTTTCCTTCATCTAAGTAATGCAAATGATATTTAAATTTTTTTTTTTGTACAATTTTTCGCCTCTGATTTGAAAACTTGTCTTCTTAAATTGAGACAAATAAGTATTGATTTAATAATAAATGTTTTAATTGGTCTTGATTTTTTTAGGTTGCTTTTACCTTGCAACAACTTAATGGAGAGTCCAATAAAGATTTTTAGATAGGAATACTTATTTTTATGATAACTTTGAGCCAAATTATACAAACTGCCCTTTCTAAGAAGGGACTTAAGGATTTATGATCCCATCCCAATTTAATAGGACAGCTAACTATATTAATTGTGCTAATCCAAATACTAGCTACATAACTTTGAATTATGTATATCCCTAGGTTAAAAACTATTTGTGCACCCACTTGTATTATGACCAGGTGGGGTATACTCATTATTATTCTAGTCATAATACCATTCTATTCGAAAAAGGGTTTTTATGCTTTGATTTATATTTTTAAGGTAATTGGACGAATGGAAAGGTGACATTTTCAATTGGTTCATTAACAGAAGATTATTTTTATGATTCACAAGAAAACTATGCACTAAATAGTTCATTCTGTGATGATCTTTCATATAATATCAAGAAAGTTAATATTACCATCCCTAATAATATTTATGGAGACTTTTAATTTGGAATTTCTAATACGAATGAGAGTGGCTCGGTTTCAATTCGAAACATTTATTAAATGAGTTACGATATTATATGTTATCCTTCATGTAGTAGTTGTACAGGGCCTAAAAAAAATGAATGTACTTAATGTTATTTTGGAACACCAGCTAATAATGTTTGTCCTCCATGTCCATCAGATCAATACTATGTTAAATATGTAGGGTGTCGATCGAAATGCGATTCTATTTAACCATTATGTTTTGATGGGTTTTGCAATACTTGTCCATGTATATATTAAGATATTGAATTTAGATATTTTATAATTGGGATACGTTTGGGTTTCTTATAAAATAGCTGTTGACCCCAATAGTTATAGAAATTTTTTATTGTGGTCTAAAATCTATGACCCAAACTTCATGGACGATTCTGTTGATGTGTTTAATATAACATATCCTATGTCCTTAACACTATATGGAATATTTAAATATAGCTCAGGAATTATGAGACAAATTAATATAACTTCTAAAATGGGATTTTATCTTAAAGTTAAAATTGAAATACTTGTCTTTAATGGGTTTCCATTAGATTGTGGAATTCAATTCAAATTTAATAATACTTATGTTGGATCAATATATAGAAATATTTCTGGAATTTAATTGCACAAATTTAAGGAATTCTAATAAACTTCATTAGGTCCATAAATTTCATATTCCAGTTCGTATTTATATTAAATTGATGGAATTTTCGACTATCCAAAATAGAATATTTTATTTTCTGCCCTTGGAAATTTTAGGTAAATACTTAAAAATCAATTCTTAGTGATCCTTCATTTGGTTGGGCAATAAAGTCAGTTTTATTTACTACTAGGAATTGTACAGATGGCTGCTCTAGTTGTGACTAAGTAAGTTTCAAATGCAAAATATGTGGATCATCTTATTTGAGGTATAGAGATGGAACATGCCTTCCTTTCTAATTATGTAATCAAATTCATTAACAAGTAATTCAAGATTATTGTAAAGATTTTGATGATGAAACACCATGTAAAAATAAAGTATATATAGATTCATCACTATTGATAAAAGAAGATTTGAAACACTTTGAATAGGATTACTACCCTGAATATACTTTAGTATCCTAAAGTGGTTCAAACTTTTTAACAGGTTCTGATAGATATTTTTCATATTGGGAAGGATTAAGAATTCTAGGTGGCTAATTTATTTGGGCATAGGCTAGGCTGAAAAGGATTCATCAAAATTTTGGTCCTCATCATAGTATTTCGATAGGTTTCTATGTATTATTTGGTCCAGCATTCCCACCAGAGGGATAGTTCATCTACTAAATTGATTCGTAACAATTTTCTACGTCTACTTTGGGTGCTAGTACCTTTTAAAATGGAACAAAATAATAGATAATAAAAAAAATAATGAATCATTCTCAAAATGATTTAATTTTGGAATTGGAGTGTTTTGGACCAAATAATGAAGTAACTTAAGCTTATTGCGGATTCTATAATTATTACTTGGCTATTCATTATTGTTAACCATATTGTTTAGAATGTACGGATGATAAAAGCTGCACTTAGTGGAATAGTACTTATAGTCCAACCCTAATATAATTTTCTTAAGCAGAGTGTTAATCCAATTAATATTTTGATGAATATATATTGTTGTGTGTCAATTGTGAACCCTCTTGTTCAATATGTAAATCGAAAATCGTATGTTTGACTTGCTTAAATCCTACATATACCTTAACCAATTTAGGATGCTTTTGTAAATAAAATCAATACGAAGAATCTAATTAATGTTTTAATTGTCCAATTGAATGTAATTAATGTTTAAGTTTTACCTATTGTACTGAATGTTTGTCTATAAACAATCGAAAATTATCAAATGGACAATGCCTCTGCACAGAAGGTTATTATTAAAATGATCAAGATCTTGTGTGCTTATTGTGCGATAAATTTTGTGGTACTTGTTTTGGTCCAACTTCCAACGATTGCTTAACGTGCAATATCGAGGTTTTGAATATCTAATTAGTAAATTCCTCATGTATTTGTCCAAACAATTCTTTTTATGAAAATTAATTTAATAGATGTAAAATCTGCCATTCAAGCTGCTTAACTTGTTTTAATGATAGCATTGATGGATGTTTAACTTGTGATTCTTCATAGAATAGAGTACTAGCAGGATTAAATTGTAAATGCAAGACAGGATTCTTAACATTAAATAATGTCTGTATATAATGTCCTAATGATATCGATACATCACTTATAGAATGCTATAAATATTGTAATAATGGCGACCGAATATGGCATATGAATCCTTGTGCTGTTTGTGGATCAGGTTTTAACTTAATAGATAATGAATGCATTCCAATTTGTGGGGATCTTTAAGTTGTTGGAAATGAGCAATGCGACGATGGTAATACTATTTAAAACGATAAATGCTATAATTGTTAATTTTAATGTCCGATTAATTGTTAGACTTGTGACATCAACACTACTTTACCATGCCCTGATATTTGTGGAGATGGGTTTATTACAGGCAATGAAGAGTGCGAAGATGGAAACCTAATATAATATGATGGATGTTATAATTGTAAATATCAATGTCAAATTGCATGTTCTAAATGTATTAGGGGAATGTGTTCTGAATGTGCTACTTTGGGATGGTAAATCGATCTCTTTTCTGTACCACCACTTTGTAAGGAAGTTTGCGGAGACGGTTTAGTAGTTGGAATTGAAGAATGTGATGATGCTAATTTTAATGACTTTGATGGGTGTCACCAATGTAAATTATTATGTAGAATTGGATGCTCCCTTTGTGATTAAACACGTACAAAATGCTTGAGTTGTGAATTTCGTGGATTTGAGCCTTATTTATACTATTGTCGACCTATTATGAATGATGGTTTGCTTGCATTTGATCCATATGGGTTCTATTATGAAATAGCTGATTATTAACATGGAGTTATGTGTGACGGGAATTATTATTATCACTTACCATGTAATGTAATTGGAGGGGTTAATTACCATTATCCATGTTAACCATTGGAATGCACTAACTGTTCTTAAGGAAAATGCCTAACTTGTATTTCTGGATAATATCTTTCAAGTAACAATATTTGTTAACCATATTGTAATGATAACATAAAAGCGTTAAACGAATACTGTGAAGATTCCTTTATTTTGCCGTATAGAGGGTGCTAAAATTGTCAACTTAAATGTTAAGATTCTTGCTCTGTGTGTGATACTCGAGGAAGAGGATGTATTAAATGTAAAAGTGGATATGAAGTGAATGACTTTTTATGTTATTCTAAATGCGGAGATTTTCTAATGGCGTATGATTTAGAGTGTGATGATCAAAATTTAATTCCTGATGATGGTTGTCACTTTTGCTAATTGAATTGCCAAGCTACTTGCCTTATTTGCATAAAAGGGGTTTGTCAAGATTGCGAAGAAGGCTATCAATTAATTAATTCAAGATGTTTTGCTATCATAAATCCTTTTGAATAACATCAATATTTAAATGAAGTTGAATGTTTGTAATAAGAAAAGTAAAGGATTATTAAGCATACAAATTATGGATGGAACGATATTTAATATTAAATTACTTTGTAGAATACATCCTGTAAATTCTGCTTTTTAAACTGTGAAATCTGTAATGAAGAAACTTGTATAGGCTGTTTATAAGGGTATTATCTTAATGAATAACAGTAATGTTAATCTAAATGTGGTGATCGCCTCCTAGTATAAGGTGAAGAATGTGAAATTAATGAAGAATATTGCTTAAATTGCTTATTTAGTCATCCATAGAATTGCAAACAATCTTTAAATAATGTATGCATTAATTGTGAAGTTGGTTATTATTTAGATGAAATTAAAATGGCATGTAGATCATAGTGTGGAGATGGCATAATTACTCAAGATGAATAATGCGAATTACAAACAAAAGGATGTTTTGGATGTAAATTTTCGTGCAGCGAAGATTGTATAGATTGTTAAGATGGGTTATGCTTGTCATGTAAAAATTCATTTAGTGTTTGGGATGGAAGTTGTCACAAGGTGGAGCTATTAGTCAAATAAGATTTGAAATGTAAAGTATGGATTTAGGGTTTATGCTTTTAATGTTATGAATAATATGAGTTAAATTTAAGTGGTGAATGTGTATCATCTTGTTAAGACAGCTGTATTATATGTAAACTTTCACTGTGTTATGAGTGCAAGGAATCCTATTATTTAGATTAAAATAGTTGCTTTTTAATAAAAGAATACCCACCATACTTATATACAGATTTATCTATTCTCGAGAAGACTTGTATAAATATTTAATAGTTTGTATTCTAAAGAAAAAATCAAAATTATTAAAATTCTGATGAAATTTCTAATTATTTCAAATTTCAATTCGGCCAAGAATTTTATTTCATTGATTCAGAATTTTTTTTAAATTAGAATTACTTAAACCCACTCTTTAAAAATTTATTTGTTGAAATAGTGGAAAATGAGATCTTTTAAGTTAATACAGACTCCGAATATTCAGATTTCAATTTTAATCTCTAAGATCAAAAATGTAATACTCATTGTTAAATTTGTTTTGATACAAAATGCATACAATGCTAAAGAGGGTATTTTGTTTCAGATTTTTCTTGTGTTTCTATCTGTGGAGATTCATTGATAGTAGATAATGAATAATGTGATGACGGAAATACAGATCAGTATGATGGTTGTTATGAATGCTAATATTAATGTTCGAATAATTGTGAATTTTGTCAAAGAGGAAATTGTAGTAAATGCCTAAATCATTTTGAATTAGATTCTCTCTATCAATGTAGACAAGTAGAATAATTTCAAATTGCATTTAATCAATAATACGATTGTAAAGTTCTGTAAAATGATGCATGCTTATTTTTTGAACATGGAACTCTTGAATCTATAACTGGAATTTGCATAAAAAATTATCATTTAGAAAACTACTGCATTGGTCATTGTAGTTTATGTATGAATTAAAAATGTCAACAATGTGAGTATGGTTATTATGGAACTTATTGTCTTGAGGGAGATGGGACAAATCTCCCAAAAGAAAAATGTAATGATTTCAATTAATAAGAATCACAAATTTGCAAATAAATTTTAGAATGCGATTCAAATTGCCTTTATTGTATTATTAAAGACTGTTAACTTTGCAATGAAGGATATTTTTTATTTAATAATGAATGTATTACAGGGAAAATTCCCTCAATTGCATTTAGAAGTAATATCGAACCAATTTGTGGAGACGGAATTGTTTAAATCTTTGAAGAATGTGATGATGGCAATACAAAATCATTTGATGGTTGTTATCAGTGTAAATTTTCTTGTGATTATAATTGCTATGATTGTTTTTAAGGGATCTGCTAAGTTTGTAAAGATGGTTTTCTATTGAATATCAATCATTTATGCGATCCATTTTGCGGAGATAATTTAGTTATGCCATATTCTATTGAATAGTGTGATGACGGTAATTCCGAATCTCTTGATGGTTGCTATGATTGCAAATATGAATGCCCAAATTTTTGTATATATTGTAATCAAATACAATGCCTGCTATGCGAGGAAGGCTTTGATATTTACAAAACTTATTGTCTTCCTAAATGTGGAGATGGTATTATTATTTAAGAATTTGAGGAATGCGATGATTAAAATGAGGAACCTTATGATGGTTGTTACGAATGCAAATTTTAATGTAGAAAAAATTGCGTAATATGCAATAAAGGAGTTTGTTTAGATGAATGTCCTGAAGGTATGGTATATGTTGGGGATATTTGTATGATAAAACCATGCATGATAAACTGTCACAATTGTGAGAAAGGGGTTTGTTTAGAATGTAATCCTGGATATTTTTATGATGATTAAGTTAATCTATGTATAAAAGATACTCAATTAGATTCTATGAAAAATGAATCACTTGTAGAATTGGATGAAAATTATTATATATGTCGTTTTCTAGAATGTGTTTATTCACCGGCTCCAATTATGTAATTATCATTTCTAAACCAAACCTTTTCTAGATAATATATACAAATCTTTTTTGATTAACCAGTTAAATTGAAAGATGAAGAGGAAGAATTACAATTCTATTTCAATTTTACTAATTTACAGGAAACTGATTACATAATTACTTTGCACCCTTAAATACAAACATCTTCAGAATAAATATCAACTCCATAGTACATAGTTGAAATTTAAAATTTAGCTTAATTAAATCAAAAACCAATCTTCTAAGTATTTTGCTAAACAGAGGTCATTAATTCTAATAACTAAACCCTCTAAAATAACTTTACCTCCTTAAAGCTAAATTACCCAAAAATATTGACTAATTTAGAAGCAAAATCTTCATAGTTCATGCAAAATACCAATAAAATATTCATGTATTCGGCTATTTCAGTTAGTTTGGTATCACTATTTTCTGGAGATTCTTCATTCTTTTTAGAAACTCTTGATGTATTATAACAACAATCCTTCTTAAAATTTATAAATGTAGATTACCCTGAAAACCTTGAAATTTACTTTTAAGCATCTGACATGCTATGTGTTAGTACTTATTTTAATTAAATAAATTTGGATTATTATTATAATCTCATGACGAGAAAGTCAGAGACTTATTAAGTGAATGGTAAATTCTAGCTTTACAATGTAGATCCTGATTTGATCACTAGTTTACTTCCATAAGTTTTCTAATGTTCAGGGTTTGTACTCCTTTTATCATTGAGCAGACAAATATTTAGGATATTTCAGTTGATCATGTCATATTAATAGATTTATAATTACTTTTAATTTTAATCCGGACTCATCAAAACAATATTTCTAAAGGTGACAACTACCTTCAGAAAATATATAATAAATTTGATAAAAATAAGAAGAAATTTGACATTTCCCCATTTTAAAATTTTCTTCTAATTAAATGCTTGGGATCTTCTTTTTAAGGCATTATTACAGATAAGTTCTACATCATAAAAAGGAGTTAGAGGATATATTCAACTGATTATTAGCTTTCTTTTGATATTTGTTTATGGTTCATACATAATAGAATTCTTAAGGAATAAGAGAAAATCAGAAAAAATGCCTGATTATAACGCTAATATATTTTTATCTTTAGATCTATGTAGGAAATTTATGTTCCACTTTATTTTGATATTTTTTTAAGAATACCCAATCTTATAATTGTTATTATTAACGACAATCAACTTAACACAATGCTTCATTGTTTTTAGATATGAATAAAGTTCAAATTTAGATAAAATGATTTCTATATTAAATGAAGGAACGATAGGTTTTTTTAGTTTTACCTGTATTCTTTACAATGATATAAATAGGATATATTTTTCGAATGAAATTATTACAAATACAGGGTTTATTCAAATGGGGGCTCTCCTTTTAAATTTAGTAGTCGTATTATTTAAATAATTGCTCCTTAAAGTGTAAATTATTTGTTAAAGATTATTTAACAAAAAAAAAACTTAATTTATAAGGCATTAGATACTGGAATTTTGATCATTAAAGTCTTATTATAAAAATAATTACAGTTTTCATTTTTTCCTTTTATAAATTAAATCAATTTGTATTATACATTTTTGGCTGCTTATAAAATTAAATCAAATGAAGTGGTCATGAGTATATTCTTGTTTAGTTCTCTATAAATTTTAATATTTCAAGATCGAAATTTAGGCAAACTATTTATCTCTTCTTTACAATGAACATTATTTATTGACTTAAAAATTAACTTTTTATTCTAAAAACAAAATGATTAAATCTTAATTAATTATCCAATAATTCCACATAATAACTCATTTTTAATTGATATTACATGAGAAATCCAGGTAAATATATTAGAAGTTCAAAAAATAATATTGCTTTTACAAAAGAATGATAACATGAGAATTTCTAAAACTCAAAAATACGATAAAATAATAATCCTACAGGGCTGGAGTGACAAGTACTTAATTTTCTAATCATTAAATATTTTTTCCTGTTTTTTGAGATATTAATTAAGTTAACTATATGGATACTTAAGAATTTTTGAACTAAGAAAACCCTTTTTTCAATTTTATTTTTAGAAAAATGAATTTTTTGAATAATTTCACCTATGATTTTAATCCTCAAAATCAGCCTTTAATGCCATTTCCATAGAAATAGTTACTATATAAGAACTTTTAGCCTTATTGATAAAGTATTTTTCTAATAACATCATTCTATATAACAGTTTATGAAGTTATCTTGGACGAATCTCTTTAAACACTCTTGGGGAGATGGAAACTTTCCTATAGCCTAGCTGTAGATCTGAAAATCCTTCAAATATGTCATTATTAGTTGTTTATTACTGCGAAGAGTGACTAGTAGCTTCACTTTGTTTAAGATTCTTCGATAATTAAAAGCATTGCAAAAAGGATCTAAAATATAAAAATGGTCCAAAGAAATGGCCACCCTCAGAATTTTGCCTGACAAAATGGTATACAAATTTTCAACGGATTCGAGATGTTTCCGAAACAATTTTTATTGTTCTAGAAGAAACTATTATGTCATCGAATTCGAAGACCTAATTTTAACAATAATCATTTAATGTAAATTATTAATGTGTAGCCTAATTACCTTTGCAACAAAGGGATGCTGCCATTTAATTTGAAAATATAAGGTAAGCTGAAAAATAAAGAATTAAACCAAAGTAATTGTGTGTGCAAACTCGATAAAAAAAGTTAGAGCAAATTAATTTTGAGAAAACTTTAAACAATAGCAACAATAATTTGATTTTCTTTTTAATTGAGATTATGGGATTTTGAGAGACAGGTTTTGGATTATTTAGGTAATGTTTTTAGAAATAATTAAGATTTGCCTATGTCATTTTGCTTTAGCTTCTGTTATAGATTAAGTTTTTTAATTATAATTAACGCTTAAATTTATAAATAATTAAGTATTGATTGAGATGATAAGTATCATCACTAGGGATCATAATCACAATTCAAATATAAAGTGACTCTCTAAATACAAAGTTTTGGATGCAAATGAAATTATTGGCATGATAAAAAATAGATGACATATCAATCTAAATACCATACTCAGTATCAAATTTGAATTTATAATATAAATTAATAAATATGTTTATTTTAGAAAAACCCAATATAATATCAAATTTGTACTAATTACTTTTATAAGTACACTTCTTTAATCTGCTTATAATTTACTCCATTTTTCTAAAGGAATTAAATTCCCTTTTAATACACCAATTACCAAGACTTCCTATTTTAAGAACAGAATTAATCTAAATATAGCAAAGCAAGTAAAGTAAGCCAGATATTTTGAGGATAGTTTTATTCGTTTTTCCATCCTTCAAAATTTAATTTCTATTCGAACATTTAATCATATTCGAAGGCACCATCAGCTTTGGCATATGAAATTACCTGTTCATATTCAATCTTATAAACCTAAGTGATTTACTACTTTGGTAAATCTTCCTCCTAATGAAATGAACCTCTTAATCTCATTTATTTTTCTCTTGATCGGCTTTTCTCTTTTTTCCTAACTTCAGAATCTTCTTAAATCATAGCCTCAATCTTATCACATTCATAATTTTTTTTTTGGCATTTTCGTTGTTTTAGCTCCTTTGTGCATTTAATGTCTTCTTTAGATTCATCTTCTTCATCTTCTGAACTTGGATCTGCAACTTTTGAAATGCTTAATTTTTTTTTGCAAGCAAATTCTTGAACACATGATTACTTTTTAAAACAATTGGACATTGGTCTAGATCTAGGCATATAGGATAAGGGTATTTATCTTGATGACAAAGAACACTTCTACATTTCTTATTATACATTATTCTCTCTTTTATTTTGAGTGATATACACTTTTTAGTTTTTCTGCTATTTGAAATTATCTTCTAATTCACAAACTTCACATACAAATGCTGTTTTCTTACTCAATATTTGATGTGTTATAGATGTGTTAATTATATCTTAATCGTCAATTGACTATTTATTAATCTTAATAAAATTTAGATCGTTTTCCCCATTATTCAGGCTGTCTTCATAAAAGGTTATAAATTTATGTGTAGCTAATTTATGGAAGTATTCGTTTTCTTAAGAAGTATGTAAATTTAATGAAACTTCATATTTGATTGGTTTCTAATCCTAGGGATCAAAGCAACTCAAAGTGAATTGCAAATTATCAGTTTATTGATCTATAGAAAATAAAACTTAAATAGTTAATTCTTAATTCTTCTTTAAGCACACAACAGATTCTGGATTTGGAATTATTTAAGCAATGTTATTGACATTTGATTAAAGTGTAAATTCTTTTAAATAAGGAGTTAATGAATCTTCTAATAAATCAATTACTTTAGCATTTATGTCTTCGTTGTCAGAAACAAATTAGTATTTGCCATTTCCTACTTCAGCCAATCTCTTAATTAAAAATTAGCTGCACCCCTCCCCAATTCCTAATGTATAAACTCTGGTTTCTGCTTAATTGTTCTTTTTCACCAAATCTATTATTGGTAAGGCCTCAACTTCCCCATCTGTTAGTAAGAACACATTCAAAGTGGTTGATTTTGACTTGCCATACTGTTTATTGTAAACGACTTAAGACAATGGTTTTAGAATTTCAGTCCCATTCATATTAGCTTCCATATTATTTACATGTTTAATGGCCTCCTCTAAGGTTTTCTAGGAATATTACTTAGATTCAGACCATAAAGATCTAAAGGTTGAGCCAAAAGAAATGATATTGAAGTTACAGTCCTCAGGTAAACTTTTCAAGAATAAAAGTAAAGATTATTTTGCTTTATTGATTCTGCCACCAGCCATTGATCCACTTCTGTCTATGAAAAATAAGTAATTTCCTCTATTTATTACTTAATTTTGTGCTACATTTAATCCATCCAAGTATTGTGAATACGCATCGTCTAACGCAGTTTAATTAAACTTTGGTATAAAACTTATTGTGGCACAATATTTTTAAGTAAATAAAGCATCATTGTTAGTATGACTTAAAATTGCTCGGGGAATATTTATTTCATCGCTTGAAAAAAGTAGAGTAAATTATTTTGTCGGAATGAAGTTAGATGGGGTATNCACTTCTACATTTCTTATTATACATTATTCTCTCTTTTATTTTGAGTGATATACACTTTTTAGTTTTTCTGCTATTTGAAATTATCTTCTAATTCACAAACTTCACATACAAATGCTGTTTTCTTACTCAATATTTGATGTGTTATAGATGTGTTAATTATATCTTAATCGTCAATTGACTATTTATTAATCTTAATAAAATTTAGATCGTTTTCCCCATTATTCAGGCTGTCTTCATAAAAGGTTATAAATTTATGTGTAGCTAATTTATGGAAGTATTCGTTTTCTTAAGAAGTATGTAAATTTAATGAAACTTCATATTTGATTGGTTTCTAATCCTAGGGATCAAAGCAACTCAAAGTGAATTGCAAATTATCAGTTTATTGATCTATAGAAAATAAAACTTAAATAGTTAATTCTTAATTCTTCTTTAAGCACACAACAGATTCTGGATTTGGAATTATTTAAGCAATGTTATTGACATTTGATTAAAGTGTAAATTCTTTTAAATAAGGAGTTAATGAATCTTCTAATAAATCAATTACTTTAGCATTTATGTCTTCGTTGTCAGAAACAAATTAGTATTTGCCATTTCCTACTTCAGCCAATCTCTTAATTAAAAATTAGCTGCACCCCTCCCCAATTCCTAATGTATAAACTCTGGTTTCTGCTTAATTGTTCTTTTTCACCAAATCTATTATTGGTAAGGCCTCAACTTCCCCATCTGTTAGTAAGAACACATTCAAAGTGGTTGATTTTGACTTGCCATACTGTTTATTGTAAACGACTTAAGACAATGGTTTTAGAATTTCAGTCCCATTCATATTAGCTTCCATATTATTTACATGTTTAATGGCCTCCTCTAAGGTTTTCTAGGAATATTACTTAGATTCAGACCATAAAGATCTAAAGGTTGAGCCAAAAGAAATGATATTGAAGTTACAGTCCTCAGGTAAACTTTTCAAGAATAAAAGTAAAGATTATTTTGCTTTATTGATTCTGCCACCAGCCATTGATCCACTTCTGTCTATGAAAAATAAGTAATTTCCTCTATTTATTACTTAATTTTGTGCTACATTTAATCCATCCAAGTATTGTGAATACGCATCGTCTAACGCAGTTTAATTAAACTTTGGTATAAAACTTATTGTGGCACAATATTTTTAAGTAAATAAAGCATCATTGTTAGTATGACTTAAAATTGCTCGGGGAATATTTATTTCATCGCTTGAAAAAAGTAGAGTAAATTATTTTGTCGGAATGAAGTTAGATGGGGTATCCTCCAACATCAGTAGTAATTTTTTTGGATGTTCTTCCTCCATTGCCTATTTTGCTGATTCAATTTTTGCATTTCCACTTAAAATTGAGTGTGTTGGACTTTTATAATATGTTATTGGAGACCCTATATCAATTGACGCAGTTATGTTTTATTTGAAATTGTATTCGAATTTCTCAAGGAATACATATTTCTCAATGTATCTGTTCACTCTTTCAAAATATACACTCTAAATTCTAACTTGTTGTTATTATTACTTTAAATTGAAATAATTTTCATCAATCATTGGATAAACTTCTACCTTCCAAAATTTATTTAAAAACACTTCCAAGGGTTAAATATATTCAAAAGTGATTTTTAGTTATTTTTATGGAGCAAGGGCCCCAATCTTAACTCTTTTAATTTCAGGAAATTCCTCATCTTATTCGCTATATGCCATAGTTTTACCTTACTTGATACCTTCTTCATATTCTTATTTGGCTTCCTCTTTCTCTTTAATTATTCCATATACTTTTTTATCTCCTAATTCAACAACCATCTTGGTCACTGCCGCATTTTAATTAATTGAAAATAAGTATTCTAGTTCTATTGGCTCCTGATAACCAAAGGTTGAATAAGTTTATTATAATTCAACTATAACGAAGCCTTGTTATACCTTTAAAAATTAATGAACTCCTTATAAAGGTATTGGTATTTTTCTAACGAAATCATAACAAATATTTAATCTATATGGAGAGAGGCAGCAGATTTTCTTATCGTTCTTATTTATACACTTTTTGTACGGTATCTATGGTTTAAACAATTAATTGTCTATCATTTATTAAAATAAATTGATAAAAATAAATTGCTTTTTATAATCTTATTTTCTGATAAATGCTGAAATATGTTATATGGAAAAATAACTAATTACGCTGTTAAGGTTACTATTCCAAAATATGTTACAAATTCATAATAATATTAGTAGTTATAAATCTATATATCTTAATAAGGAGTATTTTTTTATATTTAAAATATTAGACTGCGGCTTAAAATAATTTTACCTGATGTTTGTTTTACAAAATTAAGTTATAATGTCCTTAACCTTTATATTATCATCCTCAATCTGTTATCACTATTTTATATTGCAAGATTTATAAATAAACTCATGAAAATTAACTCTTAATATCATTACCTTTAATAATCCTTAATTTTTATCAGAAGTATATAAAATTTTTTATCCATATACACAATGTATGTATGTGGGTATATATGATGTTAGAAATTAGGCAATTTATTTAATCTATATGACATATCTAATTTTTAGGATTAGGAAGAAAGCTATTACTCTTACATTTATAAATTATCTTTTAGAAAACTTTTGAATCTTAAAAAAAATGAGAATTTTCTGAAATCGTATAATTTTCAGAAATTTTTACTTACTTGTTCATATTAACTAATTACAATAATAGCTAATATTGGAAGGACTTTAAATTGTCTTTCAAATTTATCGGTTTTTCATAACAAAATATAATCATTTAAGGATTTAGAATTATCATTATTCCTCAGTATCTACAAGCTGTTGATTTTGAATAAAATTAATTGATAAAATTTGTATTAGCTAACTTTTTTGTTTAATTTTCTATCTAAGAATTTATTATCTTCACTATTTTTAATAATGAACAGATCAAGAATATTTTGCAATATTATTTTCTTTTAGATGGTTTTCTCATCAATTGATTCATTGAACGAATAAGTCTAATTAAGAAATACTGAGATTGAAATAAAATAAAATGAAATATTAGAAAACACTTGCTTTTAAATAGGTTTGTTTTCTAAATATAATCCTTTGGGAAATATTTTATAAATTGGAAAAGTTGGAATTTTTGATAGCAACTGCTACCATCTATTTTCAATTACTGATAAATCCTCATCAAGCCTCAACTTTATATATTACGATTGTATTTTCTTTGAATCGAAGGCAATAATAAAAACAGTAGAGTTCATTAATTATGAGTTATTATAAATTCATAAAGATGTTAGCATTGATATATATAAATATGAGAATACTTGGCATTACTTTCAGATATACTAGTGTTATGATTAATTATCAATACAAATTTTTTAATTTGGAGATTAAAAATTACTTTAATTACTTATAAGTACAAAATATCCATTCGCAAGCTCTAATATAATACTAACTTTTGGAGGAGGTCTGATTGTATCAAGCTCATTAATCGATTCGATTTAAATTGGAAGAAAATTTTCATTTTTTCCAGGGAAATTATATCTAATTGATTACTATTTATTTTATTCCCAAATAGAAATGAATATTATTGCTTCTACATTTTAAGACTTTTAGGAACTTTCGATTTGTAATTGTGTTTAAATTTCTCCTAAAGTAATTGATAGCATGGATATTCAATATCTGAAATACTAAATATTCACCACCTAATATGCTAATTGTGATTCTTTTATTTTTGCAGGTTGGTTTAGGATACAGGAAATAATTTAATTAGACTAGGAATTCACATATCATTTTTTAAATTTAAAGCATAATTTTGAAAATCTGCAACTCTCAAACAAAAATTTATCACCTTTATAACTATTCTATAAAATATCGCCCATCTAAAATAAAATAACTATTACAACATATAATTATACTTTTCCTAGTGTAAATATTGATTTTTCAAATGATCCTTTTCTCATCACTAGAAATTTGGATATAAATAATAATATCAAATTATGGCATAAAATATTTGTTAAGCAATCTTAATAATAAATGATCATAAATTTTGACTTTTTTGAGTAAAATAAAGTATATACATATGAAATATAATTAGATGTGCACTAGTTTTCAAATGTTTAATTTAAATTGTATTATGGCAATTTAGAATAAAATTCTAAAAATTACTTCAATATATAAATAAGGAATCTGGTATTTTTGAACTGCAATGATTAGTTCTAACAATAGAATTGTCATTTTAGTTGTGAAACCTGTGATGGGCCAACAAATACAGATTGTTTAACTTGTGCTGAGTCATCCAAGCGATTATTCTTATCATAATTCAAATCATGCATCTGTCCATATGGTATGATTGATAAAAATGAAAATTGCTTATCCTATTAAGACTCTAATTTCCAAATAGAAGAGGATTTGAATCAAATCCAAAAGTTATAGTGTGAGTTTGGATATTTTGAAATGGATAAAGAATGTATTAAATGGTAATGATTTTAAATATTAAGTCCATCAATAATAAGTGACACTCAAGTAACATGTTTAGAATGTTTAAATAACCCTACATCTTGGCATGAAGTTTCAGCTTGTTCAACTAATTTAATATTAAATATTCGCAATACAGCCAAAATCTTATAACAAAATACAATATTATACAAATACAATGGTGATAGTCTATAACCCTGCTTATATTGTTAATAAAAGGGGTTACAAATTCAAGAAGAATAATATGAAGAACTAAAATTGTTAAGCTATGGATTTATTTCATTTTGTTGGAAAAGTTTTGATTAATAGGTATAGAAATATCAATGCTATGAATGTCCTTTAAGTAATTGTTTAGAATGTAAAATGCTTGAAACAGGTGCAGTTTGTGTGAGATGTGGATCTTCTAATTATATAGAAAATGGGATTTGTACGTCTACACCACCAGCCGCATCTTCACCAAATGAGTGTCTTTCTCCTTACTATATTACTTCAAATAAGGAGTGCAAGTATTGTCCAATAGATAAGTGTAAATATTGCTTCGAATTCTACGATGATGATTTATCAAAATGCACTTTATATAAAGATTTTGAACCATTTCCTTTTAATGAATACCTTCGGATAGGATGTGCTTTATGCTATGATGGGTATAATTTCAATTTTTTAACTAATTTATGTGAGTATTCGAAACCAAAAACAAATAATTGTTTAAGAGCATTTATTAATGAAAGTGGTAATGAAATATGCTTATTATCTTCAAGTGACGACTTCTCAATTGCACCTGAAATAATAAATTGCGAAAAATACATTCAAAATTGTTTATAATGCATTTTGACTAAATATTTTATAATCAAATGTACGGTTTGTAAGAGTGAGTACACAAGCTCAACTTTAGAAGGATAGTGTAAATAAAGTATTCTCTAAAATTCAAAGATCAACACTGAAGGAGATATATACTAGTAAGATGGCTGGGTATAATTAATTCAAAGTTTTATGATGAACTTTCTACCTAACTAATATTATTATCCTTTTGGCACTAAATGGAAATATTAAGATATGTCAATTCAATGTTTAGATGGTTATGCACGAAATCCCTATGGTAAATGTCTTAAATATTGTAATTCTAACTGTTTATAATGTATATATAGCGATCGAGAATAATAAGGAGAGAGATATGAATGTAAAACTTGTCCCTTGAACTACTTTCTATAACCAATAAAAGTATAGAATTCCGGTAATTGTGTTAAATGCTCTTAATTATGTTAAGTATGCTCTATGAGATCAATTGAGGAAATTTAAGTAAATTTATTTATTTATGAATAGTCTATTAATTCTAATTTTATTCTTAATGATTAGAATGAAATTTATCAAATGAAATGTATTTAACAAATTTAGGATAGTAGGATTTAATTGAATCCGTATTTGTAATTAGCGAAATATTGTTTTGATGATAATTGTAATATGTAACTTTGGATTCAGATTGACAAATATCTTTGTTAAGAATGCACTTGGGAAGCTTTTGAGAATTAGATCATTAACTATGAGTACTGTAATGAAATTGGAGTCACAACTATTAATATGAGAAAATAATACGAGATGTTTGATGAGTAGATTTATTCTCCTCAAAATCATTTCGTTGAAATCAAATCCTTTTTAAAGGAAAAAATATTTTCATTGTAGTTTCTTACTTTGTAAATTATCGGTTCTGATAATTAAAAAATGATTTTTAGCTAAGATAGAAGACCCTTTATATTTAATTTTGATACAATAGAATTTCATAAATTTGCATTTTCCCTAAGTAATTCAGATATTTTAAGTATTTTCAATAATAACTAAAAAGTTAATTTATTAATCAAAGATTGTATATTTAATTCAAGTTAAATCATAAATTCAGCTTCAATTTTCTTTACTAGCAAATATGGGCATTTAAATTTTTTAAATGTTTCATTCAACAATTTTAATTTTACAAATTCTTCCTTCTTAACGCTTTTATCATAAAGTGAAATCTAAACAATTACAATCAAAACCCTTTCTTTGAAAAATTGCTCATTTATAAACTCAAATTTATTTTAATTTGAACTTAGTTAATTTAAGATATTAATTGAAGATATTAAAATAGATTATTGTCAATTTAAAAACTCCTCTATATTTTTATTTACTTCTAATTCTATTATGGACAAAATGATCCTATTTAATTAGATTACAGTCAAAAACAGTGTGTTTTATTAGTCATCAATAATAAATAGCACTGATCAGTATTAACTAAGAATATAGTATTTGAATATTGAATCAAATACTTTTTAAGAATCTAAAGCAATTATACATCTGAATAATTTTTCAATTTTTTATGTTGAAGTCATATCGAACAGATTTATTTAATCTGCTTTAATTGTAGTTGAAGTTGTTCCTTCCTCATTAGCATTATGCGAAGTTAATTAAATTTCGGTAGAGAAAAATCTTATTTAGCAATCAAATATCTTGAAGCTAACTACAATTTCTCAGTTCAACAGTTTTATTGTGTAATTAAATAACATCCTTTTTAAAGAAGATTCTGAGGAAAGTAATTCATCTGTTTAGAGTTTATTAGTAACTGTTTCTTGTTATAAATTACTGGTCTAAAATTTTCAAATAATTAACTCAAATAATTTATAGGTGTTATAATTTACAAATGTTTAAGAGATCTAAATTTCGAATTTAATTTATGAAAATGATTATATATAAAATAAGATTCCATTATCTTTGGATTGTGTTAATTCATTTGATTTAAAAAATCAATTATTAGAAACAATTGATTGCAAGCACATTAAGATTGCAAATGTAAGAGTCACTAATTTCTAAAGCTCAGATTTGGCACTACTTTACTTGATGTCAACTAAATACGATATAAGTATCGCACATGAGAGAATAGATTTAGAAAATTTTCATTTCCGTGGAAATTTACTATCAAAGCAATCTTTGACTAACTTTATATCCTTAGTATCTATTTATTCAGAAAACCCACAGTTAATTACAATTAAAGATTTCTATTTTGAATCAAATATTTTTCATTAACACATTGATGATCCATCTGAAACTTTTGCTAGTTTAATTTATATTTATTCACCAAAAAGTGAAGTAGATATCATACATTTATCATCATCAAATAATGTTTTAACTAATTCTTCTTCCTCATTTATATCAATTACATCAAAAGTTGTGAAATTATTTAATTACACTGCTGTTAATCATAATATTGCTAATTAAACATTATGGAGTAAATATTACTAAATCAAATTTGAGTAGAATCAAGAACAGAGTTAAATTAATTCAATAATTTCTTAGACTTTTAAATTTAATAACAAAGGGGGAGCATGCTTAATAGCAGCATCATCATTTAGTTGTCTGAAAAGTAGTTTTACCAACATTCTCTCTTAAAGAAGTTCTTTATTTGAACTAAAAACTCAAGGACAAGGAAGTATCATATTATCTAATATTAACATCAATTCACTTAACAATGATTTGTTATCTATGGTTGATTATCCAGGATCCATTTACATATACTCAGTAAATAGTCTCTTAGATCTACGTATCGATAGGATTAATTTCTAAAATGTATTTAATAGAAAGAGCTCTTCCATATTTACAATATTTCCCTCCCAAAAGTACAATTATATAAGCATATCAAACATGTAACTGACAAATTGTATATCCTTAATAAACTCATTTGCAAAAATTGAGTTTACGTTGGATAACAAGTATTCAAATAAGCTATTCATTGAAAATGTCACTATTTTATAGAATGAGGATATGTGGATTAATTATTTTTAAAAAATAGGATAATTAGGTTCTTTAGAGATATCTGAAATTATTACTGAAAATTCTCTAATTTACATTAAAGGTGGACATGTATAGATTAAAAATTTTTAATTTCAAGGAGTATTTATCACCTAATTATTATACATTCATAGCCCTAATAAAATATTAATTTAAAATATCTAGATAAATTAAATTCAAACCTTTTACCCTTTAAATTTAATAGAGATCAATTTGTCTCAAGATATACAATCATAAGTGTTTTTTCATTCTATTAATGTCGAAAAGTTTAAAATATATGAAGTTACTAATTAAAATACTCCAGACAATATACAAAATGTAATTTATTCAATAATTGGATGTTCTATTATTAAGCAAAGCTTACTTGATGACGATACCTTTAAGGAATATTCATTGTTTGATAGTTCAATATATAAATTATAGCTTAATGCGTAATAATCTGGCTCGATTATTTACTTGAGTAGTGCTTCAAATAAGGCGTTTATATATTTTACCTTTATTAATCTTTTGAATAACATCTGCCATAAGTGTTTATAAGGACTTATAAATTTATAGGTCGATAATAATTATAAAGTTTAGATTTCGGAATTACATTGTATTGGTAATTACATTGAGCAGTTTGGTTGTTTAAATTTAGAATCAAAAGATTCTTCATCTTCAAATATCATCTAAATTACTTAATCAGTCTTTCTTAATAATAATGGCACTTAAGGAATCGCTATTAAATCTTCAAAGGTTAAGTTACATTTATAACAATGCCTAATCATGTACAACAATGCAAATTAAGCTGGAGGTGGATTGCATTTGGAAATAAGCACCTAAGATCTTAAATTGAAACAGGTTTCAATTCAACATAACATAGCAAAGGAGGGAGGGGGAATATATTTTATTGGTAATTCTAATTTGAATTCATAAAATTTTCTACAATCATCAGTAAATTTCAATAGGGCAATATAATAAGCAAATAATCTTGTTGAATCTCCAACTCATTTAGTGTTATCAATTAATTCAATTGAATTGAATTCTAGTTCATTCATAATTAATGGCACCTAAACAAATATGTTATTACTCCAACCTTATAAAATTCTTGAACAAGGAAAACTAATTTTAACAAAGTACTTATTGATGCCCAGCAATCAATAAATCACAAAATTTTCCATTTTTAATCCATAAGTGTAAACATACTAATCATATATTGAGAGTATCTAAGTTCTATTCAAAAATAGTCAAAATGAGATTCTGCCATTTATTTCAGATTGTTCTTGTCAAATAGAAGAAAATATAATTTTTAACAATTAAACTGTTATTCAAGGACCATTGATATCAAAAAATGAAAAATTAAACTCATAAACAAATTCTTTGGATCTTGGTTCTTTAGAATTTGAGTTTAATCCATATTAAGAAGAATATTCTCATTACTAGATAAATATTAAATGTTTTTTAGAACAATCCTCTAAAATGCTCTAATATTTTTTTAAAGCCAAATCTTTTAAATGCTAATTAGGAGAGTTTAAAGTAGAAAGTGGCTGTTAAAAATGTTAACCAAATTAAGGGTATTATTCTGTTACATATAATGCAACAAAGTGCTCAATTTTTGATCAAACAAAATTTGAGAATATTACTCAAAATAGTTTATAATTGCAGATGGGATATTGGAGACCTAATTATTTATCTGACTCAACTGAATATTGCTTTAAGAACCCAAAATATTGTAAGGGTGGGTGGGAAGTTGGAAATTATCTTTGCGTCTTAGGACATATTGGAGGATTGTGTGAAGAATGTGATAAATACAATATTCAAGGATATGGAAATTTCTTTAAAGATTAATAAAGTTTGGTATGTCTAAATTGTTTCTAATTTTAAGATAGCATTTTGCCATTTATTCTAACTTCATTTTGGTATTTATTGTTTCTATCTTAGGACTTTGTTATCAATACTCATGACGTTAAAAAGTATTGATAAAACTAATACACTATTTACCTAACTTAAAATTAGATAAAAATTTAATTACATTATTTTCAAACTTGATCAAGGTAATAATTGAAAATATCAATTATAGATCACGAAAGTATTTTATTAAAAATGTTACTGAATTATTTTTGGATTTTTTCAGTAATTTTCTCTTTTAATATCAAATTTACTTTTGCCCTTAGTTTTATAAATCATGCTGGTAATCCATCATTTTTTATGGCTAATAATTTAGATTGCTACTTATAAGAAATATCAGAGATAGAATTGATATATTCTAGAATTATAGCAACGATAACATTAATAATCTTATAATTATTGATCATATGCATTGGATTTGCAATATATTCATTAGTTTCCAAGAAAACTTTCAATAGAAGCATGATATCAGCCACTTGTTTATATCTGTATGTTTCAAATTATGCGGCAATAATTAAATAGTATAGAAATGATATTTATTAGATTTTGCTCAATTTTATCAAGTAGAAGAATTTCAGACATTAATTATATTCAAGGGGATGTATCCTTGGTTTTTGGTTATGAGAATCATTATACTTGGATCTAGACTTTTATAATTCCAGGATTAGGCTTTTTTGGATGTTGTATACCTTTTTCGCTTTTTTTTTTAATGTTTATCAAGAAGGATTAATTGGATGATGTTAAACTTAGGAGACACATTTGTTATTTGTTCAACGAATATAATTCAGATAAATATTTTTGGGAGGAGATTAAATTGGCTAAGAAAACTATTATAATTATAATTATGACCTACTTTGAAATCAATATCCTCTTAAAGGCATCGCTTTTGGGATTGTGCCTATTATTTTATTAATTATTGGCAGTTCAAAACAAGCCATACATTATATCTAGCTTAAATAATTTGGATTTGTAGACGGGACAAATATGTTCCATAGCCATTTTTCTAGCCTCTGCTCTGTATGTATGCGATCAATAAGATCAGGTGTTTTTTTCTGTTTTACTTCAGGTTTTAATTACACTGCTATGCATAAAATTATGCTTTCCCTTTGTTTTTGATATTTCGAGAGTTTACATAAGAAAGTATAGAATTTAATGTGTATCATTGCTATTGAAGTTATTCTAATGTATTAATGGAAATTTCTGTTTGACAACTTACTTAAGTTAATACAAAAAAAAATTGATCGAAAGGGATAAAAGGTTAAAACTACGCTTTTTTAAATTGAAGCAATTTCTACTTTCAATTTCAAAAGCATAAATAAAATAACAAAGGTAATTTTTATTATATTATTTTAGATATATGACTGTTTTGATGGGTTCTCAATCATCTGTTAGAGTTAAATTGAATACCTCCGAAATAGAGTAAAGAAAACTTGTAAAAATTGAATTAGAGAGATTATTTGAAACAAGTAATTGAAAATTATATATTAATAATGTTTATTATTTTTGTAAATATTTTGTTAATGAGAGATTTCTAGCATTTCTGGATTACACTAAAAATACAATTTCATTTCTCTTAGTTTTTCATTAATTTATATAATTCTATTTCATTTTTAACTTGGGTCAATAATGTAAAATAAGCACCATCCTAGCTAAAATCTCCTCGAATTATTTCATATTAACTAATCAATATTTATTAAAGTTCAAAATTATTACTATTTATTACTTTTATAAAGTAATATTATTATTTTTAGCAATAGCAACCATTTTTAATAATTATTAAATATATTTTAATTGAGCAGCTTAGAATTTCTGAGGTTTCCTGTTAATTTTATTTTTTTCTTGCATTTAAATTGCTATTTTTAAATATTTTCTAGCAAAATTTATTAACTAATTATATAACAGAATAAATTAAATTACAAAAGCTATTTAGATAAATGGTTTTTTAATTTTACATACTGTAAATTGGTTTTTAAATTGTATCTAGCAACTTTAGATTTTATGATTTAATCTGGAAAATATGATATTCAAACATTAATTCACCATAAGGATTGAAGAATTGTAATTAAATACTTCTAAATTGACAAGAATAAGAGTTAATATTTGTCTTTTGAGAGATCATCTTAAATTGCTCCCATTATTTTATTAAATTTAATTTATATTTCATATTTATTTAGAATAAATCATTATTTTTTTTTCAATAAAAACATATCTAAGAAATATTTATAAATTATAAGACAATTATTGATCTCAATCTTAGTCCCCAACAAACAGATATTGTATTCAATTATTTTTATTGTTGTTCTAGTATATATTCTAAAAATTCTAAATCTAAAAGAACAAAATTACAACAATCTAGACATAAACATGTTTCAAAAGAACATTGTTCTTGCCACTAATATAGAAATTATCGTATTTAATAGTAAATATTTAGAATAAATTAGTTACTCAATTTGAACTTAAAGTTCTTTTCATTTAATTCAATAGATATAAACCAGAAATTGATAATTTTTTAAGATAATGTATTTTCTGTTTAAGTAACCCATAACATAACAAAAAATTTTAACTTGAATAAAGTAATTTAATATAAACAATTGGTCATTTACAATAAAATCATTTATATAGTTAAAGTAGAGAAAAAGAGGTTAGGATTTTATAATAATATTTATTGAAAATGAAATTACAAAAGATTTAAAATATTTATCAAAATAATAATTTATTAGCTCTATAGATAATAAAATTATTGGATATTAATGAAGAATTATCAGGAGTAAGCATTAATGAATTGTAATCATACTTGGAATAAAAACTTTTCAATGTAATTTTGTTTTTAAAGAAATTATTCTTATCACTAAGAAAGTTATGAATCGATGTTTTTAGTAATGAAAATTATTTGAATAATTTAATGATTTCAACAATTTCTGAATTATCATTACTTTTATACATATATCTAAATTTACTAAATAGAAGCTTATGTATGTATGTTGTTGAAGAATTGTAATGATAATAAGACATTCTATATATTAAGATTTGGCAAAATATTTAAAGAGTATGAACATTGAATGAATAGAAATGCAAAATTTTCATATTCTTTGTTAATGATTTTAATAAAATTCTAATATAATAAGATGCTTTGATTAAGATTTAATTCGAATAATAACTGATATTAATAAATTCTTACTTTTTAACATATTTCATGCTTATAGTTTACTGAATTATTTTTCTAATTCTGTTTGTCTTATACGAGCAAGAATTGCTTAAACCTTTCCTTACTTTTCAATCCATATATCAGATTCAATATCAAGTTTATATTATTGATGCCATACTAAAAATAATAAAAATATTTACAATTCATAAATCTCATAGACCTAAGTTGAATAATATCTACTAAAACCGAGAACATTTCTTTACAAAGAGGTGGAGAAGTTTTAACTAGTTCCTCTAATTCTAAGATTTTGAGTAATTCTACAAATTGTTCTTCTGAGATTGCCTAAACTTATAATCTCCACAATGTTTCATAATTATCTTTGAATAATAATTTCAGATATTTTGTAATTTAAATTCCAACAGGATCCTTTTCAAACACATCCTTAAATTATTATGATTTAAAATCCATCTTATTCACAATATTAATAATATTCATTCTTTTAGTCATGAATTCATTATTTAATTCTCCATTCAATTCTTTATATACTTCATCTTTAAGAGGTTGCATTAAATTTTCATACTTTTTAACTTCTTTTTCTATTTTTTCCAACCTATGTGTTAAAATTCCTTATGTTGTTTAATCAGCCTTTTTGCTAACCGTTCTAAACTCAAGAAGTTATTTATATTCAAGAAAATCAAAAACTCTCCCAAGTAATTCAGGTCTAAGAATAAATAATCCTTTGGTTTGAGCGAATCCTTAGTCCATTTATTGAAGAAATATTTTAATTAATACACGAAAAAAAGATATTTGGGGTTTAATATAAAATAAATAAGAAATTTGGATATAATCTAATAGCCTAAGCTTGAAATACACTTTGTAAGATAGTAAATTATTGTCTATCTTTGATTAACACAAAGTTAATTTTTTAAAGAATTATCAATTTACTTCTACTCTTTTAATTAAAATGTTTATTGTTTAACAATCTTCATCACATTTCTAGAATAGCTATCATTAATTCATTGGAAATTATTGATGAATTTCTAATCGAGATCCCTTCCCATTTAAATATTATAATCATTTATTAGATATATGATTTATATAAATTATGTTAGAATTCTATCACTTCATTTTATATTGAACTTCTATTAATTCTGGCTATTAATGACAACAATATGAAATTTATTATCATCTTGTCTAGATTTTAGTTGTTCAAATTAAATGTTAATCTTATCGAATTAAAGGTCACATTGATATGAGTACCTAATTAGTTTCTTATAAGATTTACTCTCAACTTTATGTGATAAATTTATGTAGTATTGCTAGTTTTTGTATTTCTTCAAAATTTAAGGTAGTTATAAAAAAATTGATTTAATTAATGAAAATACAAAGAATTATGATTCGTTATAAAGAGACGAAATTAATATTGATTAGAATTTAGGATTTCTAATTAGATAATTTATAATCTGAATGAAGGATAATGATATATTAAATAATTTAATGATAATAAAACTAGTGTATAATAAAGAAATACATCTCTTCAAATTAGAGAATCCAGTGATTGTAGAAATCAAGAATCACATTCAAAAATTGCATCCTTAACTTAATTAGAACTATTCTTTATTTTATAGGGATGACGATGGAGATTTGATCAGCATCAGTTCAGATGAGGATTTGAAAGTCTTAATGGAGAGTGTAAAGAACTAGACAGTGAAGATCACTATTTAGACATCAAATTCATGGACATGTAAGAATTGCACACTCTAGAATCAAGAAGGGATAATATGCGAGGCTTGTTCTTCATACAAAGAGGGGGAACCTTAATAATATGGTTAATAGCATTAAGGATATTAACCAGGATATTATCCACCCTAATGTTATCCTCATTAGTAATTTGGACCTCCTCAATAATTTGGACCTCCTCAATAATTTGGACCTCCTCCTTAACAACCACCTCCTCAATTTCCCTTTTTGCCTCCTTAGATGCCTCCAGGTCCACCTTTTGGACATTTTGGAATGCCTGGGTTTGGACATCATCCTCCTCATATGTTTGGTGGATTTCATCATTTTAAACACCATGGCCATCATCATTAAAAATGGCATAAGATTCGTTAGATAATGAAAGACCCTTAATTCAAATAACAAAGAGAGAAGCTATAACAGCTATTAAAGGAAGTTAGTTAGACATTACGAAATACTATGCAAAATTCATAGTAATAATAATTTTATTAGTATATTGTTGATAATTATCTATAGATATTAATAGTAGATGCATTGGAGTGAGGAAGATGAGAAGAGAGCGACGAGATTAGCTGAGGTGTTGCAATGCAATTAGGAATAGGCAAGGGAATATTTACAAATATTCAGAGATTTGACTTTAGATGAGATTGTAATGATGGTTGAGAATGCAGAATGATTAATGAAATATATTAGATATATGGAATCAAATATTAATTTCTATATTAATTAAAATTGATAAGTGTTGATATCAAATAACTAAGTTGGAATAATATAAATAGATTAATGTAGGTGAATTACGAAGCATTGATTGATGGTATCAATATTTAATCATCCTTAGAGACAAAAAACAAAATGTTGAAATGGCAAGAAATCAACGAACAGAACATGTGGGAATTGTATTCAAATAAAGATGGATATATTGTGTATACTAAGAAGAATCCAGAAAATGGAATTGCAATGAATAGGACACAAACTGAAATAGCTAGAACACCTGATCAAATACTTGACTTGGTTGGAGATGTAAATAAAAGACCTTTGTATGATGAGAAGATCGAAACTGTACTAATCATAACCTTATCAACCTAGGCACACGTAATAGAATAGATTGATGCAAATACAAGGATAGTGTATGTGAGAATCAAACCACCCATTCCTTTTATGAGTAGCAGAGACTTGGTTATGGTTCAGAAAGTGTATAAATAAAATGATGGCATTATTATCGTTTGTTGTAAGACTATTCGTATTAATACTTTTATAGCTAAATCTATCATCCACTAGAAAACTCCCCCTATAAATAAGGTTGAGAGAGCAGAAATGCATTTGAGTGGTTGGATCATCATACCATAACCAAATTAAGTAAATATCTCCACACTATTTCTTAGATGACCAAAGTTATAGCCCTCCAATGTTTTGATCCAAGAGGAGATGTGCCTTAATCAGTGACTAATCAATATGCAAAATTGTAATCAGATATGATGAAAGCAGCCGTCAAATACATTGCACTTAATTATAAATGAGTATTTATTAACACACATTCAATATTGATAATCATTTGTTAAACAATTGTTTCATCACTCGGTTTTCTATTCTTGTTAATGGCAATTCTATGAACAAACAAAACAAAATTGAGCATATTATAGTTATAAACAAATTCCCTATGTAAAGTGTGAATATTGTTTCAAATGAAAAGTTAGGCGTTTGATAAAATTGCCCCAACACCCCAAAGATTATTACTTAATGTAGCAAGTAGCCAGAAAATGAAATCTTATTGATAAATCTAAAGTAATTGTTCCTCATAAAACTCAAATTGAATCTACTATATATCTAATAACAATTACAAATCCTGCATCCCAAATAAACAAGGCAAAGACAAGAAACTCATTCCCAATGCTATTCCTAATCTACAAAATGCAAACCAGAGACTCTATATAGTCTTATTCCAATAATCCTAATGTTCATAATGCAATTAAGCTGGTCTCCATCCAAACCAAATCCCTCCGATTATTGAAAAACCTAATAAGTAACACAATGATTTAAATTTCAATTATTTTTTTTTAGCATATCCCATTAATTTACTTAAGATATTCACATTATTTTCTTTCATTTCTCTGTACAAAACACCCAATAGAAATCCTAAATAATAAGGGGGACCTCTTGTAAATGGTTTAGTGTAGTAATTCTAATGCATTTTTGGTTATGTCAAAGCAAAAGGAGGCAACAAATATTCATTTACAAAGGACATCACTGTACCTATAGTTTGGGTTATAACTAACAATGATATTATCACTATTTTAGCAGCTCTTGAATTCAATTTTGCGTATAAGAACACTGGAATCAAACATGTGGTAAACAATTGCATATCAGTTGATAAATACCATCCCCATGGAAAACAATATTAACTATCGTAGAATAGGTTATCTATAAATATTAGGTTTCTCCATCCTGTTGCGCATTCAAAACGATCCAAAGCCATAAACCATCTAGGTCCATCTCCCATGAATGGCACTAACTACGAACTAATTAAAATGGCTATTGCATAACATGGCCAGATTCTCAAAATTCTATGTAATAAAAATCCAAAGATTGAAAATCCATTTTTCTTAACTAATTTCATTTTGTTTCTCTCAATTAACATAAATCCACTAAAAAAACCACCTAGCCAAAAGAACATATCTACACTATACAACATATTAACTAGGTTTAAACATAGCCATGACTTCAATTAGGCTAACATTTCAAATTGAAATGATGATTTTGCCAAATCTAAAAATTGATGGCCAAAGATCACCATTAAAAATCCTAATGATCTAAATCCTTCCATTATACTTAAACTTGTATCGTGTTCTTTAAATGAAAATAGTGTATTATAACTTTCCTTAATAGAGTAATCTATGAAGAATGACTTCTTAGTTTCTTATTACTTTATTGTAGTAATCTCATTATTTGTTAATCCCAAATTCTCATCATGTCTTTCGCGACTTTCAATGTCACTTAGATTTATTGAGACCTTGGCTTGTCTTTTAAATTTCATCATTTAACAAAAAACTGGATTGAAACAACTGAGAATCAAAAACATTCCAATAAGAAAAAGCGTAAATGTAAACATAATCCCCTAATCCTTTCTGTAAGTTAGAGGGTCGTAAAAAATGAAATCAGCATCATCTATTGATACCTTGGATAAGTAAATTAATACGTTATATTTGTCTAAGAAACCCGTTGAATTGATTAATTCCTTAAAATCAGACTACAATTCTTCGTCATTGAAATCATTGGTTGTGCATTCTATAGAATGACACAGTCCATAATAACTTGGAATAGGGTCCATTTCTATTTTAAGACTTGAATAATAGTATCCATTTCTTAAACAAGTTTCGAACATACCGAATTGATTAAGACTATTCTATGATAACATATTGTACCTTGTTCCTGATAAACTAGCATATGGCCAAATTGCTTCTAGTAGCTTCTTATATCCTTCTAATTCTACTTTCATTAAGAGAGATGTCATATAATGTTAGCAGGATTCCTTGGATCCAATAACTAATGGTATAAGTATATAATATATCAACATTAATTAATAATTGTATTTTTAGTGAAAGCAAAATTGGAGTAAAAATATCACTTAATACAATTTAAAGATAACCAAATTGGAGTGAATCACTTTTAAAATATAAATGAAATAAAACAAGAATTGGTCAAGATCCAGAAGAAGTTCATCTACTAAACCTAAAACCAAAAAGACTAATCAAGGTAAAAAAAGAAAGAACAACTCAAATTATTCCTCACGTAATACCAGCACAGAATCTCATGATGTAGATGGCTGTCAACCAGATGAAGGAAAAATTCTTAAAATTATCAGGGGACTGGAAGCTGAAGAGGAGTTTTAAGTTTTGTGTTTGAAATTGAATCCCCTTAATCTTGAGAATGTAGAATAGGAATGTACTTGATATATCTCAATTTTAAGTCGGTATTGGCCAAGATCCAGATCACCCAGAATTTAAAAAATGCTTTCAATACAACAAATATTACCAATAAGAATTTCAATAATCATTAATTGATGAGAATGTCTTTCTTGGAAATAGCCTGTCACACTAAAAGATATCTGACTTTTAAAGAGCAAGGATGGTTGATTGGATTATTTCGGTCTTTGGAAAGTATAGTAAAACTACTTCAGATGCTACATTCTTCAGAGCTGTGTCAATCATGGATTTCTTCTTTTAACAATCAATCAAATAATATTCTTATAATGATCTTCATCTTATTGGAATTACCTCCATGTTTATAGCTACTAAACTTGAAGATATCTATTTTATCCAATTAAGGTAGTTTGTCACAAAAATCAGTCGAAATAAATTCTCTACGTAACTTTTAGTTTTATTTTAGATCCGACATCAAAGAGATGGAAAAAACAATCTTGGAAACCTTGAATTTCAAGATCACATTTCCCACATCACTTGATTATTTACAAAATATCTTTTACTAATGTTTTAATTTGAATGACAAGTAAGTATTATTTTATTACAAATTTAGTCCTACCTTAACAAATATTCTAAAAACCAGTATTTACATCTTAAAAATGTGTCTTCATGACTATTCAATGACATCCTTCAATTCCTATACTCTGGCATGTTCAGCATTCCTCTACAGTATTAAAGATTTTGTTTCCAAAATGAATTTGTTCAATGCAGAATTCATCATCAACCAATTTGTAATTTATTTAAACTATAAATGCAGTTTAACAAAGTGATGGAAATCTCTCAAATAGATTAAATTCAGATTGAGTTGTGTTTAAATAAGACAGAAGATCTTATTTGTAGTTTTAAGATTAAATATCCTTAACTCTACAATTTATAAGAATTTTTATGATGTTTTTATGCAAACATTATTTTATTTATAAATTTAATTTATGTAATCAAATACACCTGAAATTCTGATGAGGAATTTTGATTTTTATAACAATGCAACTTGGCAACAAGTCAAACCCAAAATTAAAGCCATTATTGAGTAATTTTAATAATAATCAAAGCCATAAATTGAAGATCTTAAATCATTCTATCAAGATCTTGAGTATGATCACTCTTTTATTTAATGGATGTTTCCTAACTTTTATGCAAGTAAATTCAACCCAAACTCTTATAAACTAACACTAGAAGAAAGAAATAGAATGATTAAATCAGAAACAATCCTAAAGAGATTTCATAAAAACTACATATTAATTTTACGATTCTTTGGAATCTTATCAAAATCTAAGTAAGATAATGAAAGTAATTAATATTCCCAACCACAAACACAGGCTATTTAAAAATAATAAAACCCAAAAGATTTAACTATAAGCGTAAAAGAATCGCAAAATAGTAACCAAAAATAAAGTGAAAACTCTATGATCAAGTAAACTAAAATTGATTAATTCATAAAATCTAATTAGTAAATTACTAAGGATGAATAATAATAATAAAGTTCAGAGTAGTAGAAGACAGTATGCATTTAGAATGATATTCAAACTTAGAATAATAATCTACTTTAGAAAATTGAACAAATTCAGAATACTTAATAATAAGAATTAGCATTAGTTGACAAAAATTAATTTGAATTGTGTTGTTTAAGAAATACTCATAATTTATTGAGATTGAAGAGAATTCTGTCATCCTTGAGTGTGTTGAAACATAGAAAGGAAGCAATTCAACTTTGTTAGTTTTTGAAAAAAGAGTTGACTAATTTGGGAAGAGAGAAAGTCTATCAGGAGTATTTTAGTGGGTTCGATAGATATAATGAGGAATTAACTACAAAGGAGTTCAAAAAGAAGAAAGGAGAGGATCGATTTTTCAATGCTTACAAGTTGCTTTATGTGGACGAAGATTTGGTTGAGAAAGTGGACATTTCAATAATTTAATGATTAAATAAATTAGGATAATTTTTTATGAAATAATCATTTTTTAGTTGATAAATTTGTATTAATTTTGGGGTTGACAGACTTAAATTTCTCCATTTTAAAGGGTTCCTTCTTTTCTACTCCTTGGATGGCTGCTAATTTTTTGTGATTGCTATCATGAAATAGTTGGGATGCCTTATTGCCTTTGACAACTGAGGAAGTCATTTTGGAATCCTTGGTTTTATGTTATTGTATATACTTGAGATCCAGCTCTGTGTTGGTATTTATCTAGAATGGTTGATTCAGCTTCGATGCCATAGGAGTTGCCCATAACCAACTTCATAGGAGTTGATGGTCTAGATAGAGAGGATCAGTACCTGTTCTTGCGACCATAGCGAAATTCTTCTTCTGGCAATTCGATGGCCTGAATATTTGTACCCTTCTTTATTTAAAGTCTGGCATCGTGAGTCTGTCTATACTTGTACATATCCTGGAAGAGTAATAAGTGAATCAGTTACATGTGCTTTGACTGAGCCATTGTGTATAGATTGTTTATTGAGTTCAGCAAAATCTCTATTGGGTACTCTATCTTGAGATTCCTGATGAAATTTCCATGTCATGGTAACTTGGGTAGATTGAGGTTGTGATAAATACCTTCTTTGGCTCCTTCTTTGTCTCTCGATAATGGTTGTCCATAAATGAAGTCTTGATTAGGAAGGTTGTATGTAGATGGTTTGGCTTTTCCAACGTCATCTTTCATCAAGAGTGGGTTTGAATGGTTATGTGAAAAAGGAGGTGAAGTTTACATATATTATTTTATTTATTAATAATCTGTTTTATTTATCATTATTATAATAAATAATGGAAGTAAATATATCATTATTTATATATTGTACAATATTTACATTTTATTTGAAATTCGCTAATTCACAACACAATAATTCAGTTTTATCACAATGGGATTAGTCAATTGAGGAGAAATGAATGATTATTTTAATTAATTAAATAATAAAATAAATATATATATATTAGAAGCAATAATGAGTCAGGAGGAGATATGGGCTAAGTAAGAGGAAATGAATTTATAAGTTGATGAGGGTGAGTAAAGAAGGAAGAATAAAAAAAGAGTAATTACAAATCCCAATTAATTAACAGGACATTGGAGTGAATAGGAACATAACACATATTTAGAGTTCTTGAATATGCATAGAACAGTCATGGAATCATAAGATTAAAAGAAAACTAGCAAGATCTTCAAATTGATGAGTGAAACAATTGGTACTCGAAGTCCTTCTCAATGCCGGTGAGATAAGTTTTTTCCCTATCTTATAGGTCTCATCACCAGAAGTTTAACCCTTTTGTACATTCTGTAAAGAAGAGATAGAAGGGAGTGGGTCGAAAGCGAAAGGAGAACGGAAACTAGGATAAAGTAGACAAATATAATGAGAATGGTATGTTGTAGTAGTTTATGGTTGGGCCCCCATTTTATTAATAGCAACAGGGTTTTTAGGATTACTAATTTCAGTTTCCTTAGATGCCATACATGTTTCAAATGTTGGATCAATTGGGCAAGGAAGAGGACAAAATAAATATATACGATCAATAATAGTTGTACTATCAGTAATACTTATTGGCATAACAGTAATTGCAGCAGTAAATGGATGAGAAAAATATGCTTAGTTATTTTATGTAGCCTCCATAGGTTCAGATGAATTTGAATTACTATCCACAATAGGTGATATCNTGGCCTGAATATTTGTACCCTTCTTTATTTAAAGTCTGGCATCGTGAGTCTGTCTATACTTGTACATATCCTGGAAGAGTAATAAGTGAATCAGTTACATGTGCTTTGACTGAGCCATTGTGTATAGATTGTTTATTGAGTTCAGCAAAATCTCTATTGGGTACTCTATCTTGAGATTCCTGATGAAATTTCCATGTCATGGTAACTTGGGTAGATTGAGGTTGTGATAAATACCTTCTTTGGCTCCTTCTTTGTCTCTCGATAATGGTTGTCCATAAATGAAGTCTTGATTAGGAAGGTTGTATGTAGATGGTTTGGCTTTTCCAACGTCATCTTTCATCAAGAGTGGGTTTGAATGGTTATGTGAAAAAGGAGGTGAAGTTTACATATATTATTTTATTTATTAATAATCTGTTTTATTTATCATTATTATAATAAATAATGGAAGTAAATATATCATTATTTATATATTGTACAATATTTACATTTTATTTGAAATTCGCTAATTCACAACACAATAATTCAGTTTTATCACAATGGGATTAGTCAATTGAGGAGAAATGAATGATTATTTTAATTAATTAAATAATAAAATAAATATATATATATTAGAAGCAATAATGAGTCAGGAGGAGATATGGGCTAAGTAAGAGGAAATGAATTTATAAGTTGATGAGGGTGAGTAAAGAAGGAAGAATAAAAAAAGAGTAATTACAAATCCCAATTAATTAACAGGACATTGGAGTGAATAGGAACATAACACATATTTAGAGTTCTTGAATATGCATAGAACAGTCATGGAATCATAAGATTAAAAGAAAACTAGCAAGATCTTCAAATTGATGAGTGAAACAATTGGTACTCGAAGTCCTTCTCAATGCCGGTGAGATAAGTTTTTTCCCTATCTTATAGGTCTCATCACCAGAAGTTTAACCCTTTTGTACATTCTGTAAAGAAGAGATAGAAGGGAGTGGGTCGAAAGCGAAAGGAGAACGGAAACTAGGATAAAGTAGACAAATATAATGAGAATGGTATGTTGTAGTAGTTTATGGTTGGGCCCCCATTTTATTAATAGCAACAGGGTTTTTAGGATTACTAATTTCAGTTTCCTTAGATGCCATACATGTTTCAAATGTTGGATCAATTGGGCAAGGAAGAGGACAAAATAAATATATACGATCAATAATAGTTGTACTATCAGTAATACTTATTGGCATAACAGTAATTGCAGCAGTAAATGGATGAGAAAAATATGCTTAGTTATTTTATGTAGCCTCCATAGGTTCAGATGAATTTGAATTACTATCCACAATAGGTGATATCTAATGTATCAGATGAAATGAACATCAAAGATAATCAATTTGATGAATAATGAAATAGTTTTTAAATTTTATAGTTTGAGATAATTCGTTTTTATTTAAATAATGAAAATACAATTACTATTAGTTCTTCTAATAGCAGCCAATACTCAGTCCTTTTTGGAAGAGTCAGCACAATATTACCAAACTCCATTTGCTCCCATCATGATCCAACAAGATGGGTAATAATTGGAGATTGAAACAGCAATTGCTCCTGAATAAGAATATGTCTATGATCCAGAGTCAGTATTATAATCAGCCAAAGAATAATAAATTTTGATTGCTAGAAATTATGAATAGAACTTACCTGCTAAAGGTGACTGCGTAATATTGTATTCCGAGTGCAACTTTAGAGGCTCATCATTCAAGTATTGCAATAAACCAGATGAAGTCTTGTCCTTTTAACTCCCCATATAATCTGTATATGTTCCCATTGGGTATTGATTCTACTTATTAAAGATCCTCATTTTAAATGACTGACGTCTAAGAGGGAAACAAAATCAATATGTTAATGAGCAATGATTGCATTCCATCTGGTTTACATTTACCAGAACCATAACTATAAGAAGTTTAAGATACTGGAAGCAATTGGTTCAGCGAATTGAAGGATTCTGAAAAGGCCATTTTGGATGAAGGCGATTTATCAACACCAAAGATATAATTCTTTGATAATGATGGAAATGTGATCAGTAAATTGTCATATGATTATTCCATCAGGTAGAGAACAATATTAAAAAATGGTTGAGGAGGATGCCAAGAGATCCTACGAAATCTTAACTGGATAAATTAATTTAGCATCTCCAGGAGAAGAAATAACATAGTAAACTGCAACCGCTAGCAATGTTGAAGAAATGCCAGCTGAAAAAGAAGCAAAGCAATAATAATAATGATGGAATTATTATTCATTTTAGATAAAAATAATATTAATATTTTATATATATATATTAAGATTATTATTATTTTATTAGACTAAATTAGATTATTCAAAACTGAAGTCACACATTTATTAACTAAAAAATTAAGAAGTTATTATAAGACATTTATGTTTATTAGTATTAAAATATCAAATCTTGTAAACTATTCAAAACTATGAATATACATGTTACATACATCTTCACTGTTTATGTCATCTGGCAGAATCTTGTCATGATGTTGCTGTTATTAGAGCATCTATTGTTGTTTAAGATATTCGTGTTTCTAACTTTAATCAATTATAAATAATAATTACGCAGCCTATGCTAATTGCACATCCATCATATTGATTTTTAATTTGTCTTTGATATTAGACTTCCCCTTCGATTTCTAATTCTATTGTTATTAAGATTGTTATGGGTTTTGTTGTTGTTGTTAGAATTATCTAATATAATATTGATTAATTTCAATTACTAAGCTTGAGTGAAATAGCAACTGACTTCTGTTGCCTACTCCTTTCCTAAGTATCCGAAACTGCTTTCTTCTGAATCATTAACTCCTGTCAATTAGTAAATAACTTCTTACTTGAATCATCAGCCAAGAGCGAATCGCATAAATCTAATTATTTGTAACTAGTTTCATATTTTAGAATTATCTTATCTGGTATCTATTATGATTATTATAATTATTGTTATTAGTTGGTTTTCTAAATTTAAGAATGCTTCTGTTGTGGTAACATATCAATATTCAAATTTCCTTCAGTGTCATCTTGATTAACATTCTCTGCACTCTGGATAAATTATTCAAACATTCTATCAAATTTAAATTTAATTAAATTTACTCTATTATGGAACTATCACCCACTCTTTTTAAAAACACCTTCATTAACTATTCTCTTTGTAACAATTTTTGTATGGCTTCGAATTGTCCTTATACGAGATACTTCAATTCTTGAGTTTCTACATGGATAGATCAATTATACATACCCGATTCTAACAACTCATTTTCTTGATTGTTGTTATTCTATTTTTACAATTCCGAGATTTATTACTTCAATTAGGTTATCTATTCATTCATTTACGATTTGTTTTCTGACAATTATTCATTCTCCTATTGCAAGATTTCTTGTTTCTTTTTGATTTGCAACAAGACATTCTCCATCTTCTTCTTGTCCAATTGCAATTAATAGGATTATTGTAGGATCTGAATCTGTCTTTTGAAGAAATGGTCAATTTGAATGGCTTAGAAGGTGTCTTGAGTTGAGGAGGGCAGATTGAATTGTTGTTGAGATACTTATAGATTTGGTTCTTAGAATAGCACTACCACTAATTGGTTGAGTATTTGGTTGAACTTGGTCATGAAGGCAAGTTCCTTGGCATCTTGTGGGAGATTTTGATCTCGTTCCTACAATAGCAATTTGATTTTCTCTTTGACTTTTTGAATTTGAGATTGATCACTTGATACACTATTGCTGTTGATTTTGTTTTTAACTGAATGATGGAAGGAGGCATTTTTGGTTAGAGCAGGAGATTGTTGTTCAATATGTATCATAGATTGATTCTTACGTAATTTGTGTGAGATCTTAACAGTTTCAATCAATTCGTTGTTGATGGAGTATTTTTACTTAGTGTTTTGTTGTTGTTGTCCACTAATCACATTCAAAATGCTGCTTAATTTTTGCTATGAAACTGGTTGGTTTATAAATGTCTTGTTGACTTTCTACAAATTCTCATAAGACTTTTATCTTCCAACGACAGGACTATTGTTGTTTGAGATGTTTTGCGATTAGCTTTCGATGTGATTCTTGGAGCCAGTTTTGGTTAACTTCTTTTCCAGGATTTTGCCTTACAATTTTAACATCTAACTGGCATATATTTATTAAGCTATTCTTTCATTGTCACATTTCTTCATTATTATTAATAATCTAATTATGCTGAAATAAGAGGATCAATATTATGCACAACAAGATCAACAAGAAAACCAAAGGGAATACGAAAAGACAGCTCTTTCCATTTGCGAGTTGAATTACCAACTCACTCAATAAGAAAACCAAAATCTCCAGGAATCCAGACAATAACATAATAGGATTGATGTTGACTTCAGAAAATATTTGACTTCGTTCAGCATCATCAAGAAGAAGGATAACAACATCACCTAGATTCTTAAGTAATTCAATCTTCTATATCAAGAATCTTCGATCGACAATGTGGTGATTTCGATCTCATCCTCCTCAACGAAGGTCGGGACAAGAAGGAATACAAGAAAATGCTCACTAAACTGTAGAGGATTCAGAAGAAAGCCTGGAATTTGAACCTAGACAAGAGAGAAGACATCAAATAAGTTTGTAATGCTTATGAATTCCCAGACAAAATTTTAGATGAAATTGCTTAAACCATAAAAAATTACAATAGAGAATGAATTGTATTTTTAATTTATCAATATATCATTATTCTTCAATCTTCAAATAGCTCTCCAATCTCAATTGTCTCATGATCAACTCGCAATTTTATTGAACTCCCCAAATTTCAAATTCCTGTATCTTAAATTAATTTTGCTTCGAAAGCAGTTCATTACTAAATGTCGAACTACTATTCAACTCTCCATTCAAGAAATTCTGATTGATCCTTATTGAAAACTGGTCCTCCTCCTCTGGACCACCTACAATACATCCGTCTTCGTTGCAAAATTGAAAGAACTCGTTCATTTTACTATTCTTGTAAATTCTAAACCCATTGTTCTTAAAACTAAATATGAAGCTCTGTTCACTCCCATAATAACTCTTATCAATGCGCCACCCCTCTTCCAAATAAGCCCCAAATATTACATCCCAATCATCCTTAACAATCAGTAAATGCTCTTTCACATTTTTTGTTCTTCTCAAAAACTCTTAAAATGAATTACCGTGATACTTCGGACTATTTAATATCAATAAGACTATTTTACTTAAATACTTGGTACCACGGATTGTCGATCACATTCTATGGCAAATTATTTTGCAATTACTCAAAATGAGACTAGGAAATAATGCTACTTGGCTTATTGAGAGTTGTGGATCGAATTTGATACGTATCGTATTTGTGTTCTACATCTAATTTTTAGATAGATATGATATCATAATAGGTAACTTGGGATAAACATTCCATCTAATTGTTTTTCTCTTAATGATGCTAATAGGAGTGAAGGATCTTTCGGAAGGTCTTTTTATTTGTTTGATAACGATTCAATCTTAAGATGTAATTCATTAGATGGTATATTTAGTCGCTTTGACATCTAGATCTAATTCCTAGGTTATTTGTCAACTATTTTATTAATTAAATGATATCATCTGGACATGTTTAATTTAACAATAAAGTTATTGATAAAACTGAAGGTTTGTTTTCATGATCCAAAACTGGCAACTCTATCCCAGTCTTACCAAATAGATAAAACTGAACCCAATCATCTCTATTCTTAATTGAGTAGATATCCTCCAATAGTATCATAAACGAAAACTTTTATATTATTTCATCATTAATGTCTTTCTATTATTTTGTCGTTGTTCTCACCAAAGTGTCTATAACATCGTTATTATTTGCAATGAACTATCTATTATTTCTATACACCATACATTTTTGTTTTATTGAATTCCAAAATCCCCTTTATTAAACCATAAGTAGTCCAATACTGACATTCAATCTGAAAAATTAAATCATTGTAAGCAAAAGGAGTAGGAATCACATAAAACTCATCAATTTCTCTGTTTGCAGTGGCAAATTTTAAATCTACAGGATGTATTTATTTAAAAATAGGTGTTATCATTATTTAATATAACAAATATATATTTTTTATTCACATTTCATTGTGGTAGTTATGAGATTTGATCACTAATAAAATTTGAAATTGAATCTAGCTTTTTGGATTTCAATTTGGTTAACTACTAAATCAATATTACTCTGTATTCATCTTTGTAAAAATTGGATTTAACAGATTCCTTAAGAAAATTATCCAACACATTAATGTCCAAATAGCCTTGCAATCCATCCTAAATGTAATTATCAGGTATTTCAGCCTCCAATTTTTGAGGAACATCAAATGTCATTGGGATAACCTTTTCCAAAACCTCCTTGATTAATTGTCTACTATTCATCTTAACCTCCTGATATCTTAAATGCAAATAGAGGATGAGCTTCATGGGTGAAAAGTACTCAGCATTGTCATCAGAACAAAAACTTTCAATGTAAACAAGATCCTATTCTGAGAATCTATTTTATTAAATAAGTAGGAATACTTGTCAGTCAAAGCATAGATGATGGTTTTCAGATGTTTTTTATGGATCAGATCTATCCCCTCAATTCCCAAATCAACCAATTCAACCTCTCGTGGATCATATTGGGCTTGTTGCATTCCTTTCTTCTGATATTTTTTGCATAGATCAATGATATCTACCATTACTGGTCTCAATAAAAGCAAATGGTTCTTCTGTAAGGTGTGTTATAATGACTTTTTATTGATATATCTGAGCAACTCGTAAAAATGATTGCTTGCCTCAATGAGCAATTACTTTTGTTATTTAATGACATTGTAAGCGAAATCATAGTTTCTTATGTACAAGCTTAGGACAATGGTGTAATGATGGATAATGTTATTGCTAATGTAGATGATGGAAATGCAGGTAGCTATGCAAACAACATTGCAAATAATAACTACGTAGTATGCATATGGTTGCCAATAATAGAAGTAGATGTTCATGACAAATAGTAGAGTTGTAGACAACTTAGTCAAAGAGGAAATAACTATACTTATGTAGCGCTTATTTGCAAATGGAAACAAATCAGTTTGAATATCAACTGATCGTTTAGGTAAGATGTTCTCAAATATTGGTTCCATAAATGGGGGCACCACTTACAATTCGTCTTCTAAAAGATTATCGTATTCCTTTTTGATTAAGCATTTCTCCTTTATCATGATCAATGTGTAATTGAGATTGATGATCTTGATGAACAAAATCAAACAATAGAGCATGCTAACAATTATGATATTAATTAAATAGAGTAACACGATCATGAAGAGGAAATAGATTGTAAATATTATGTATTGTTATGTATCCCATACTGATATTTAGTAAATGACATCTGCACTGATATAGCCCAGATAATTCGATAAATTAAAGGAACTATCCAAAACATTTGGACCCAAATATGGGGACATTTGAGATGTGAATTACAACTTAATCAACAAGTAATCCATGCATTCTTCTGTCTTTAAGAGCACATCCTGGATCTCAATTATCTCTTATTCTATTTCTTTGCTATTAAATTGCTATTGCTATTCCTTTTTTTGATTTAACTCATTCTTTTGTTGTTTGTACAATTACACCAATTGATATTTGTTCAACCATTTGTTTTCTTGGTTTGACCAGATTTGCATTTGCTTGTCGAACACAAATATCTGGAGAAAGTGAATCAGATAATTCGATATAATAACCAATCCTCCAATTAGAAGATAGGCATATATATTGTATTTGTAGTTTTCTTCGTAATCCTTGATTTCTATTAGTAGAATATCTTCTTTGGACTTCTCTTGTTGATACTGATAATTCAACAGCCAAAAGTCAAAATAGTTATTATAATAGAGGGCTATGAAGACAACAATGACAAACATGCAATAAGTGGTTTCTAGTGATATTTTCCATAAGTATTCTCTAAATATTCTGTGCAAGGATTTAAAATACATTTCTCTCATTAGAATCAAGACACACAACACAAATATTAGAGTTACCAAGAGAGCTACCTTGTGTCTTTATGCTATTGGAGCAATGGATAATACATCCAAGATAGGTTCTCCTAGAATTGCCTCCTCTTGAAGTTTCTTTCTCGGTAATTTTGCATTTGTTTAAGGTTTTTGTTCATCTGGAATCTCCTCGTATTTAGGTCGATAGGGAGATGGAGGAGGAGTATCATGAATTTTGATAGTCTTCTAGACTGCACGTTCTTCTTATTCATACAAGATTTGGTTCATTCTAGTTTGATCTGAGAATTGATCTTCCGGCATCGTGTTTATAGCAGGTTTGGTCTATGTCTATTGATCTAATTGCAATTGAGTTTTGAACTAAGCTGTATGGTTCTGGAGATAATTGGCATCCAAATGGAGAGTAGTTAAATCGATTGCTTAAGCCAAATTAAATAACAATAAAATAATCATTGCCTATAATAAAAACGTATATTCAATTATTAAGATTCTAGAGACTACTTTGTATATAATGATGAGCTTCTTTGATAGATATAAATCTCTTGGTTTGTTTCATTATTTTATTAGTCACTGAGAAATTAGTTTGATCATGAATAATAAGAGAGAATTTAGCATGATCATATTCTAATTCTCCTCTTTTCTCTCCTTTATAAGTAAATCCTTGGAGTCTCAAATAAGTGTGATACTCATTCTCAATAGGTTGTTTACGATTCTTCTGAATTTGATACTAATCAAATTCCCTCAAGATCTAAACAACCCATGGTTCATTCTCTCGATTGTATATGTCTTACGACACCAACTCCTTCAACAATTTCTTATACTCAATATTCTGACTATGAAAGACCTTGTGAACAATTTGTCTTATCGCATCTCTCAGATTTTCATGTTCCTTATACTTCTACAAGATTTCATTTGCTAATTTATTATGATCAATATTAGTTTTCTGATCATATTTATCAAATAGAATCTTATCCTTTTCAATATAAAGTTGATAGAATTGAGTGAATATCTCCAATGAATAAACAGTATTGGATAGTTCTCTGACTATGATATCTATCACCTTTTTCATGATATTATAAATAGACCCTTGCGCTTCCTAGATATCAAATAATTATTCAAACATCTTCTAATAGAAATTTTGAATTGTCAAAAACTCAGTTTAAATTACTGCAGTCTAATCTAGAGTCTCTATCTTTTTAAGGTAAGTGTCAAATAGAAATGAGCGAACTTTTTATCTAAATTTTTCATCCAATGATAATATGAATTTACTACATATCAATTTAGTGATCGTCACTCTAAACCTGTTCCTAACTACTAACTAGGCTAGTCCTTTATTCTACAATACATTAATTGTATTTACAGAATTGAAATAAGTCTCGTAATTCATTAATAGTTCATCCACAAAAGTGATATCAAACAAGGTTGGCTCCAATAAGACTTTTAAAATGAATTCCTAGACATCTTTCATTTCTTATTAATTCAACTAACATATTTCCTTAATTGGAGTTCTCTATATGAATCCAAGCCAAGTATCATGAATGAGTTGTCTAAATTCAGTTTCCTTTTATGCCCTTTGATAAATCTATGCAATTTAACTAATGAATGAGTTCCTGAAACTATCTTCTAATTACAAATGCTAGACCATTTGTTCATAAAACCTAGAAGTATGAATTGTAGTTACATTTTCTATACTTACTCACAGTTTTAGGGCAGATAATAATTGTATTTGTTCAAGTATTCGAAGACCTTGGCTGTAGGCTTCATTTATAATAAATAATTGCAATATTTATAGATGATTCTCAATGGGAAGACAGATAAGACAATCGCAAGAGACAACCCTCTATAATTATTAGATAATATGGTATGATATGTTAATCATTGTTCTTATTCTGAAAGAGCAGTTCCTTCAAGAGCCTAAGATTATTGTTCTTGCTTTGTCTCTTGCTCTAATTGGTCTTCTCTAATGATGTTATCCAAATCAGTTTATAATTTGATCATGGCAGGACCCTTTTCAATTTCCTGGGTCATTTGCAAATAAGCATTATAGAATTGTTTTGGTAAATGATCACCTGAATCCTATTCAAGGATATTTCCATTGATATCAGTAACAGTGTAAGAGCACACTCCTGCATTATTGGATAAATCAGTGGCTTGACCCACAACTCCAGGAACGTATTATTCATTGGTTTGGACTAATGAAGCATGTTTCTTGGCTGCTTTATCATGTTTGGTCTCTTCTGTGGTTATCTATGCCCAATGTTCTATTTAAATGATGAGATCGTACGAGCTTCCTTAGGGTTAAGGTGATAATCAGAATCTCCCAAATTCACGAATTCCATGAAGGCACTATTGAAGACTCTCTTCTAATGAACTGCTCCGTGAGTCTTTCTGACATGTCCAGCTTGAGATGCTATAAGTAAAGCACAAAGAAGAAGGGATTTATACATTTCAATGATAATAATAATAATCGTTTTTGAACTTTTAGCATATCGTCCAATTATTTTAATTATTAAACAATTCAACTTTATGGATCTTTCCCTGTTAACACAAACAAACTCATCAAACCAATCATCACCAATTTGAAATAAGGATAGTCGTTCAGATATATAGTGATGTATCCAACATATGGCAAAAATCTAAAAAATAAGTAACCAATCTGAACCCTTCTATCTTCCCCATTATGTCTGATCGCTCCAGCCACATCTGATCTTTTGGATATAAGTGTCTATCATCAACTTGATTATTATCTCCTTTGGTTAATATCAACTAATCCAAAGGATCCTCATTCCTATTCACTATACTATCTGAATTCTTACTTCTTATGAATTTGTAATACTCTATGCACAATTGGGATTTCCTTATCTTTTAGCTTATAAGCAATCACATCCCCGACTTCAAATGGCTTGTTGAAGTAGGTCAAGAATAGTATATCCCCTCTATTATATCCAGACGCCATTGAATCAGATAAAACAACAACCACTGGGCACTCTGAATGTGACACGACTTATAAAATTTTCCAAATTGACAATGCCGATCCTATGACTATTGCTAATGACACTAATTGTAATATTTTCTGCATAATTATCATGTCTCTATATACCTTTCTAAATTTCATGTGTCTAAATTCATCCACGTAGGCAAGTATGACTTCCATAATTTTATAATTCTTAATAAATTTAAATTTAATTACAAATTTGTACTTTAAATACTTAAAATTTCTCCCCAGCTGCTAACGTGTTTTATGAATACACTATCATTAGAACTAGTTCATATTAATAGAGATAAGAAGTAATTCATATTAAATGAGATATAAAATAAGAATTTGATTGAATAAATAAATATAATCATTTAATCAATTATTTAATAAATGTTGATGCAATCTTTGTGATTTTAATTTTGTCCATTTCACTCTTTTTCGTCCAATGAGCCACTTATCTTGCAGTTGCATAATATTGTTTTAGTACTCCTTCGTTTTTACCAATAAAATTATAATATAAACTATCAAATAGTTCAGGCCAATTATAAATCTATTTTTCAATTTTAATTTCAGACTTAGTCGATTTATTAAAATTACTCATCTTTTGCATATAATTGGATGAACAAATATACGGTCTTGTCATCATTATACCTCCATCAGCATGTTAAGTCATGCCAAAAACATTAGGTGCCATAACCCATTCATAACTGTCAATATGAACTTCCATAAACCATTTAAATACCTACTTTGGATTGATCTCTGACAATAACATTGTATTTCCTATATACATTAATCTTTCAATATGATGAAGATATGCATATTTGATAACCTTTTAAATCATATGGTCAATAGGTGGCAATTTTGTCTGGCCAGTGTACCAATTGTTACTCAATTCATTTTAATGATTAAAGAAATTAGCCTTCATTTATTGTTCCCCCTCAAAAAAGTAAAGTAATCTAACATACTCTCTCCACCCTATTACTTATCTAAGAAATCCTTCAACTGATTAGATAGGTGCTTTATTTTATTTATAGTATTGTAGAGTCTTATCAACAATTAGACTGCTAGTGATGAGTCCTATGTTCATCATCGGAGATAAAATCGAATGATTTACAAAGGGATAATCTGAATGAACTGCGTCTTAATAAGGTCCAAATTCACTTAATTTTTACTTTAAAAAACAATCCAACCATTCTTCTGTTGAGTCATGATCAATAGGATAAATTGTATTTTTAATTTCACCAAAATTCTTTGGAAAATGTTTAGTCACATAACTTATGGCTTCATCATAATAGCTTGATTTAATTAGGTCGGGTTTCTTTGGAACTTTAGCGCCTGGTTTTAATGGTTGTCTATTTTCTGAATCATAAGTCCATTTTTCTGGGTCTTCTCCTTTTGGACCCATTAAAATATTCAATCTTCTTCTTTGCCATCTATAGAATGAAGAATCATGACTATAATTTGGTTTACCATCCTTCAATTTTACATGTTCTTTATGATATTATTACAAATCATTTCTTGTACACAAATATGACAGATTCTCTTTGATTTCACTCTATATTCCCAATTTCTATAGAATATTTGAATACTTTTATAAAACTGGTTTATCAATTGGGTCATAAAAATCACATTGAGCAATAACAATTTTATCAGTACTTTAAAGGGATTCCAAAAAGGCACTACAATTTTCATTTTGCTCAATATAATGTATAGTTGCATCTTTTAAATTATTCATTAAATAATCCTAATAGGATTTCATCGAAGCTCTATGATATACCAGTTTGAGTTTATGATAATTATATGCTCTAAAGTATTAATCGTCCTCAATTAAAAATATTTTATTATAATTTTTCAGAATGTCAATGTTCTTGTATAGATTAACAGGAAACAATAAGAATATTTTAGCCTTTGATTCTACACTACTGATTTGTCTTTTTTAAGAAAAAGTGTTCTCATTTCTCTCTTTTCTGAGACTAAGTCTAAGCTTCTCTTATTTTTGATGTTTGATGTCGTTAATAGTAGTCATTAATTAAAATTAATGATAAAAATCTATTGAATTGCCAAATAAGAATGGCAAAATTGTAAATAATAAATTTGAATATTGGCATTAATATTTCTATACGATATATCATTATTTATCTAAATCTCAATCTCATTCTCTTTTTTTACTTATTTTTCCTATTCCTTTTCCTCCTTTTCCTGTGAAGATAGTTTATTAAACATTTTATTTATTCTAATACTCATCTCTTTCTTATTGTCTCCATTTATTTCCAATCAATTGAATTTCTTTTTCGTATTATCCCAAAGTTGGAGGAGGGGAAACCTATTAAATTATGGATCCTATTTAAATTATAATATATATAATTACCTAACTCCTCATGATAAACCAGCATTGAAAACTTATCAATGTCTTTAAAGTTTGCTGAACTCAATGAAGCATAATCAAATCTTCCTCTAAGATCTGTGTATCCATCTTTATAGAAGGTCTCTTTCTAATTTTTATCTCTTGAATAGACTTTCACGTAAACTTTGCATAAGTATTAACCTTGTTAATTAAATACTCTAATTTATCCTGAGTCCGCCATTGTTTGTACAAACAAAGATGTGGGTTAATACTTACATGTGACTTGTTTTTACTAGCCTTTAATTGTGACAAACAGATTCTCTCTTGCAATCTCTCTAGGAATTTGAATTTTCTATTAATGCAAACTTAAATAATTAATAACATAAATTACTTCTTTTGGATTTCTTGACCATCAAGAGTGTGAGTTGTACATAGATTTGGTAGGACTATGGAGAAATCTTGAATGATATTCTTCATGAATGGATTATTTGAAAATAGAATTTCAATATCCAATTTATAGTATTCTACCTTTACTTCTGATAGATTTGAATATGTAATGCTAATTGAATCTCCCTCTATTGAACCCGCCAATGTCTCTTCCGTTTTAGCAATCTGTTATTGCCTTTATTATTAAGTTATTTCTAATTTAGAGAATTGATTGTCTTCCTCTCCATCATATTCAATCAATAGATTAATCATTTCATAGAACATATTTCTCCAATGTATTACAGGATAACTCAGATACTTTTTACAAATGTCTCTTCCCTTCTAAAAATTGGGGTACCCAGTATAAAAGTCTAAGTATGCAGATAGATAATCAAACTATAATTATTATTCCTTTTATTCCTCTTCGCTAATTTGTGAATAAACTTAAACAGCTTCATTGACTCTCTCCTGCAATAACAAATAGTAGATCAGGATTAATTTATCAATGGTTGAAAATTGAGGCTTTTCCAGAAGATAGATTAAGTAATTTGTATATTGTTTCCTTAGTTATACATTGAGTATGTTGTTCTCTCCGTTATAAAGTTTATGCACCCTTTTAATAATCAGTGGGTAATACTCCAGAATTCTAATAGAATTGATTTCAAACAAAGAGCAGGCAAAATGATTAAAATATTATTTCAAAACCTTCTTAGATTTTTAGGTCATAAATAACTCTTTTAAGCATTGAACATTATTGTGTAGTAATGCATAAGCAAAACTGTGGAAATCATAAAACTTTCTCTTTCTATAAATCTACATGACTTAATTATAGAACACTTCATCACTAAATTTATGATATAATAATTTTGGATTAAACCATTTTGTGTTGAATATGTTTTTGTTCTCAAGGTAATTTAAAATTTCTTGATTATTGTCTGTTGATAGGAGTTCATTTATATTTTCAAGATTGACCTTTACTCTTTCATCGTAGACTTAGAAGATTTTCTCCTTTGCAATTTAAATGACTTTTCCAAGTTTCGAAATGTTGGCTGGATAAATTGTGAAATTTCCAGGCTTTGGGAAATAGAAAAAGTATTCTTGAGTAAAACTTTAATAAGGAGCAACTGTATATGTTATTGTTTTAGTTGAAAATGTTGTATTGACTGGAATTGAACCGTTAGGAATTTCCATCAATAATTAAAAGGTTTGCGAAGCTGCAGTGCAATTCGAAACCACTACTTTACAACCATAAACTTTTTTTATTGAAAAATAACTTAGATCTTCCTCATCTTCGTTATCATTTTGATCCTCAATCCCTTCATTTTGGGGATCGAAAAAGGATTGAGTAATTATGATTCTGGAATTAGGTTACACTTGAGCTTCTTAAATCTCCTTTATCAATATGAGAGCAGAACTTGGAAATAATAATTCTATGCCCTTATTCCCTAATTGTTGTTGAGTATGTTTCGGAGACTAAAAGGGTAGACTGATTAAAGCTAACACACTAATGATCTCTGTAAAATTAGAAGTGCAATACATAAAAGAAGAGGAAATGAAATTTTCAGTAAAAAACCCTTTTTGTATTGAGTGATTTGCTAGATCAATGAAAAACTCAGACCCACTAACCAACTTCCTATATTACTATTAATTAATTCCAACACTATAATGTTTTTCACAGTACTCCTTAGTGGCTTCAACTTGTTAAAAAGTTTAAACTAAGCTTTCACGCATGGAATTATAATTTCTAGCTCCAAAGCCTTTAGTAGCAGATTTAGCCATACTTTTTCTTGCAGTTTATCTAGTTCTAGATCCTCCACGAGCTTAAACCGTTCCTTTCCTTTTTTTATATTAAGAAATGCTACTACTACTACTACTACTACTTCTACTACTTCTGCTTATACTTCTGCTTATACTTCTACTCATACTTCTGCTGTTACTCAATTCTGCATCTTCATCTTCCTCTTCACATCTTTCTTTACATCTTTCTTTACATCTTTCTTTACATCTTTAACTAAAACTTTTTTTTTTTTACACCAATTCTCTCTATTATGCATGGTTGTTTATTTCTTTTGAATTCTTGTTTTCTATTTCTTAACTCTCTCTCTTATTTTTCTGATTGATTAGTTCTTTTTCTACTCCTAAAATTGTGTCAAAAAGCAACTTATATTTATCGTTGTCCTATTTATTAACAATAGTTTTAAAATTCTATTATAGATATTTAGCTATAATTTATGCTTCTTCCTTTTTTTCCCCAATTTCTTAATTGTATATTACTAGAAGTGCTTATTCCAGTGCATTCAACTATTAAAATACTTAGACTTATTCATATTTAGAAAGTGCTTAATGATCCTAAAGTAAGAAGCTATCCATAAATGATTTTTCTATTTTATTGTTTATGTGATTCAATATGACTGTTTCAAAAAAGCTGGCATCCTTCATAAATAGAAACAGGTTCAATTCATCACATTAATATTAATTATAGAATTTCTATTAAAAATGAGAAGTTTCTTAATCCCATTTTAAGAGGTCAGATAGCATTTTCAAATCTTTCTCTTATATCTTTTATTTATTGATTCTCACTAGCTCTTTCTAAATTTGAAACAATAAATTCAAGGAGTCTATAACAAATATTTCTGTCGATGTTATGTCTTAAATCTAAAATGGAGTCTAAGGGATGATTTCTTTTGCACTTCTAAAGGTGGAATAAAATTTATTCTTTTCTAGCAATGACTCATGGCATAAATCTTTGATTTAAATTTCTTTGTTCTATAATGGTAATATCTTAATAATATAGTTATTATCTGAATAAACCAACATCACAATTGTAGAATAATGAACTGGAACTTCAAAAGAATAGTGATTCTTATCCTTATGGATATTTGCGATAACTCTACCTGGAAATTTCAAGAATTCACAAAAAGAATCAAAACTTTATTAATGATATCGAATAGGTCCTGTTTTTCTACAAGCTCCAGTTGCCATCATTTTGGAAAGGTTCCTTTATGATAAATTTTGCTAAACTTATTTCAATTATTCTTCTTAAGTTTCTGTACAATCAGTAAGAAATCGATTTAAAAGGATTTAAGGTTTCTCAAGTGTGTTGCCTAAATATTTTGGTTGATTTTTCCTTTCAATAATATATCCTAACTCATCCGATTATTTTAGGTTTGACAAATATATGTTATTTTTGAATTCAATCTTAAGACCAGATTGGTCTTCATACTAGTACATAAAATTTTGCATTTCTTTTTCTAAATTACTTAGATCAGGATAAAATGTAGTAGCTATTGCAACTAAATGATATTCTTTATCATATAATATATCACCCTAAACCAAATAGTTTTTATCATTCAGTTAAGTCACAGAACTTTTTAAATTAATTTCTCTCAAAGATTCTCTTTATATCCTTTCATTTTAAGTATAAAGGTATTCCTTGCATTATTTTAAGGTATTATCAAGGACTTTGAATTAAAACGAATATTCTTCTTCTAATAATCGAAGTAAATATTATCCTTTCTAGTTGAATTCAATGGTTATTTCATTCTCTTCAAATTAAATCCAATTCCTAACGTTTTTAATCGGAGTTATTTCAGATTAAATGCGATTTTTTATTTGATAGAGCAGAACATTTTCTAATTTGGTTGAGAATGGTAAGGTCACTTTTTCTCCCAAATTAACCACTTATTCAAAATAGTGTTAGTAAGCAGAAAACTGTTTTAGGAGTTTCCATTCTTATTTTTAGATCTAATATTTAGTAGAAATAACAGATGAAGATATTTTTTCTATTTTTGACAAAAACCCTAACTTGATTTACCCATTTTCATCAGTAATAAGATTTTCTTTGATTTATTCATCAATCAATTTGTGAGTAAATAAAACTTAAACCTAGACATTTTTGTATGGCTCACCGTTCTTTCCCAATACAAATATTGAATAACCATCTGCATCATCAAATTTTAGCAACTGATTTATAAATATTTAATTTTATGTTTTATCCTTCATATCTATGTAACAGGTTTATTCTAATACTAAATCGTCTTTTTTATGTAATTATTTTATTTTCCCTGTCACATCTATTTAGATACTTAGGAGTTTTTAATTAATAGGGAATTTCAATTCTAAAGGAACTTAAGACACAAAATTAATGTCTTTGAAGTTGAAGGTTTAAGGAACACCCTTCTCATTCTAACAAGATATTTAGACATTAGCATCCTTAAATATTTCAAATCCTATGTTAGTTTCATTCAAAGTCAATTTAGGGATTATAATTACTGATACATCTGAGCCTAATTGAATCTACTCATGCCCCAAAATGAAACTGCAAATTAATATAAAACGTTCAGGACTTAACTAGAGATTTTCTTTTTAATAGAAATCTCCATATTGAATAATAGCTGAACATTTGGTTTCCTCCTTTGGGAATGGAATTACGATTTCGCCTTTAACCAAATTATAAAAGATCTCTTCGATCCATATTCCAATTCGATCATCAAACAATTTCTCAAATTTTTCATCAAATATCTCATATTTATTTCCAGCAGATACTATTGTCTACCTCAAACATAATCTTCCTTTTTCAATTATTGCTCTACAAGATAGCCCATTACCAATAAATTCGATAATGAAGGTTCCTCTTTCAGTTTTTTAAATTGATTCAAACGTAAACTCTTTAATTACTTTCTTGATAGGAGGACAATCATAGGTAAAATTTATCTCTTCTGTAGGAATAAAACCATTTAAACATATATCTGTAGTTAATTATTCAGTCTTAGTATTATAAAAATTCTTCATGTTAATTTGAAATATCTTAATCGTCAAACTTTAAATATTCTTTAATTCAACATATAAATTGACAGGTTCTCCGTGAATAAAATATGGTTTGTTGTTATCACATAAGTACAAGACCTTGGTATTGTTCATCTATTTGATTTCATTATTAGTAAAATAATTCTTCAAATCTTGAACTTCCTCTCCTTTATACAGGTGGCTTATGGCTTTTTGTTTCTTCAAATAATGAGTTTCCAAGTATTGCTCAAAAATACTAAAATCAGAATTTGATTCAAAGTACTTTTATAAATACTTTTCAATTAATTAATTAGCATTGATCCCTACTTATAATCTATAATAATTACATCTGCCAGTTTTAAATCTATGCCATTCCTACCAATTCGTTGAAAAGTCATTTCTGATTTTACTTTGCACATCCCTATGTGATTTTGTGATATTTTGATACATTTCCGTTGGGTCTTTTAGAAAATCCAAAAGTAAATCAAAGTCATAATGTTAAATTTCAATACCTATGATATATAATCAAGATTTACCATATTAAAGTAATTCCCTTAGAACTATTTACTTAAGAGAATTAAACTTTTTTGATAATTATTTTGTCCAAATATATGCCTCGTTCAAATTTGATAAAACTTCTTTATTTTACTCTACTAGAGTTTAAGAATTCTCCTATTAAATGTTATCCTGCCCAAATTTCTTGAAATATAGATTTCCTACAAAAATGGCATTTTCGAAAAATATCTTATTTAATTTTACTAGCTCCTCCATTTACTCAATAGTTAGGATGGTAAAGCATAAATTTGTAAAAATAAAGTCTTTTTTTTGAGCCAATAAATTGAAAAATTAAAGAATATGATTATTTAAAATTACCTATTAATCCCTTTGGTTTAATTCATTGAAGAAAATCTCAATAACTTTATTAGGAGCCTTAATTAGTTCTAAAAGATCTATTTATTGAAGTAAGCTAGGAAATAATTTTTTGATTCCCTTTTCTGTATAAGCATCCTTTAGATAATCATCCATGGCTAATTTGTTGTTATCAAATTGTGAAACTAATTCTTTGCTCTATACATTAGTAGTGAATGCATTTTATTACTAAAATTTACAATGAAAATTACTTTCGTAGAAGTATCTTCGGACAAGTTACCAAAATTGATTTTAAATAATCTCTTATTGATTTTTTGTAAGATTTCTCTTTATCTTTTTGTTATTTCTTCTGTTTGCATGGGTTCATTCATCAGATTATCATATTCAACAAATAATCTTCTTAAGCATATTTTCTTATAATTTTTGGTTTTCATTTCTTTATAATTTTTAAAATGCTCCTATTATATAGGATCAAGTTAATATCCTTTCTAATTTAAGATATTTAGAAAGTATTGATAGTAGTATTGATCGGTTCCTTTTATTAATTTTGATAATCCATCATCCTTTGAAATCAAGACTGATTACTCTAATTGAGTAAAATCAAAATCAGTTGTATCAGAATTAGGATTACGATACGAGTCTGAATCAGAGTCAGATTGCTATTACGAATCATTTTCATATCTCATGTTTATTATTTTTATTTTTATTTGCTTGAACAAATTTTTACATAGCTTTCAATACTAAATTATCCCCGGTAAAACATAAATACCAATTCATTTAAATGATTACAGAATCTTTATTGTTAGAATTATACAAAGAGACTTTCGCTTATTGTANATTCAAAGTACTTTTATAAATACTTTTCAATTAATTAATTAGCATTGATCCCTACTTATAATCTATAATAATTACATCTGCCAGTTTTAAATCTATGCCATTCCTACCAATTCGTTGAAAAGTCATTTCTGATTTTACTTTGCACATCCCTATGTGATTTTGTGATATTTTGATACATTTCCGTTGGGTCTTTTAGAAAATCCAAAAGTAAATCAAAGTCATAATGTTAAATTTCAATACCTATGATATATAATCAAGATTTACCATATTAAAGTAATTCCCTTAGAACTATTTACTTAAGAGAATTAAACTTTTTTGATAATTATTTTGTCCAAATATATGCCTCGTTCAAATTTGATAAAACTTCTTTATTTTACTCTACTAGAGTTTAAGAATTCTCCTATTAAATGTTATCCTGCCCAAATTTCTTGAAATATAGATTTCCTACAAAAATGGCATTTTCGAAAAATATCTTATTTAATTTTACTAGCTCCTCCATTTACTCAATAGTTAGGATGGTAAAGCATAAATTTGTAAAAATAAAGTCTTTTTTTTGAGCCAATAAATTGAAAAATTAAAGAATATGATTATTTAAAATTACCTATTAATCCCTTTGGTTTAATTCATTGAAGAAAATCTCAATAACTTTATTAGGAGCCTTAATTAGTTCTAAAAGATCTATTTATTGAAGTAAGCTAGGAAATAATTTTTTGATTCCCTTTTCTGTATAAGCATCCTTTAGATAATCATCCATGGCTAATTTGTTGTTATCAAATTGTGAAACTAATTCTTTGCTCTATACATTAGTAGTGAATGCATTTTATTACTAAAATTTACAATGAAAATTACTTTCGTAGAAGTATCTTCGGACAAGTTACCAAAATTGATTTTAAATAATCTCTTATTGATTTTTTGTAAGATTTCTCTTTATCTTTTTGTTATTTCTTCTGTTTGCATGGGTTCATTCATCAGATTATCATATTCAACAAATAATCTTCTTAAGCATATTTTCTTATAATTTTTGGTTTTCATTTCTTTATAATTTTTAAAATGCTCCTATTATATAGGATCAAGTTAATATCCTTTCTAATTTAAGATATTTAGAAAGTATTGATAGTAGTATTGATCGGTTCCTTTTATTAATTTTGATAATCCATCATCCTTTGAAATCAAGACTGATTACTCTAATTGAGTAAAATCAAAATCAGTTGTATCAGAATTAGGATTACGATACGAGTCTGAATCAGAGTCAGATTGCTATTACGAATCATTTTCATATCTCATGTTTATTATTTTTATTTTTATTTGCTTGAACAAATTTTTACATAGCTTTCAATACTAAATTATCCCCGGTAAAACATAAATACCAATTCATTTAAATGATTACAGAATCTTTATTGTTAGAATTATACAAAGAGACTTTCGCTTATTGTATATTGGAAGTGTAAATTAATAATAAAATTTATAACGGATATAAAAGTTTAAATTTGCTTCTACTATTAAAAATATAAGATTCCAAGAGATATGGTGAGAGCTTTAATTCAAATTAGGAATTTATATGTATATTTAAAGATTTATATCACTTTTTCTAGTATCTTAAATTTTCATACTAATTATGATTTTATATATATATATATATATATTAAACCATTAGCTTTATTAATATAAATGAAAATAATATGAAATACTATTAATATTTTAATATATATCAATTTATAATTTCCTCATATAATTGCTAAATAATTGCTTGATAATGTTTCTTTGCTACATGCCTTTGCATTTTCAAGGTATCTGTCAATATTCCTACTTATTAAAAGGGTTTTGCTTCAAGATATATATTTTTTACTTGTTCATACCCATTCAATTATTCCTTTGATCCCTAAAATAACGTATTCTTTTACCTATTCATTTAATTAAGACAGAACGTAATTCTTTATTTCTTTATTGGCACATAAGGTAGGATAATCACCTTCAATTTTCAATTAATCTGCAAACTATTTTAGAATTGTTGGATCAACTACAACAACCCCAACACAATAGTTTTATAATGAATCCCCAAAAATGACGATTTCCAATATGCCTTTCAATCTCAGATAACAATTTTCTACTTTTTCTGGAGCTACATATTCCCCTTAGGATAATTTAAATAAATTTTTTTTCCTATCTATAATTCTTAATGTTCCATCAACTATTTAACCTATATCCCCTGTGTGCACCCATCCTTCATTATCAATTAACTCTTTAGTTTGTTCTGGATCTTTAAAATATCCTTTGCTGATGCTTGGTCCCCTTATGCAGATCTCACCTCTAATTAAACCATCAACACTTTTATCTGTGACATAACCAATATCTGGTATGCTAACCAATTTGAATTCTTAAGAAATTGTGGGACCACCTACGTGACCACAATTAGGATCAAAGTAATCCGTTGCAAAGGATCCTCCCATTGTTTCTGTTTAGCCATACACTTCTACAATTTAACAACACAATGTCATTTTTAAGAAGTTTAATACTTTAGTTGATATAGGGGCAGCTCCTGTGAGAATCATTCTTAGTCTTCCACCAAAGACAGCTTTTGTTTTTACAAATGCAGCATCTAATTATTCATGATCTGGTTTTCCAGTTTGCTAAAAATACTTTAATTTCATTTAAAAAGCCTGGTCAAATTTGACTTTTACTTCTTCAGGTAATGAANCGATACGAGTCTGAATCAGAGTCAGATTGCTATTACGAATCATTTTCATATCTCATGTTTATTATTTTTATTTTTATTTGCTTGAACAAATTTTTACATAGCTTTCAATACTAAATTATCCCCGGTAAAACATAAATACCAATTCATTTAAATGATTACAGAATCTTTATTGTTAGAATTATACAAAGAGACTTTCGCTTATTGTATATTGGAAGTGTAAATTAATAATAAAATTTATAACGGATATAAAAGTTTAAATTTGCTTCTACTATTAAAAATATAAGATTCCAAGAGATATGGTGAGAGCTTTAATTCAAATTAGGAATTTATATGTATATTTAAAGATTTATATCACTTTTTCTAGTATCTTAAATTTTCATACTAATTATGATTTTATATATATATATATATATATTAAACCATTAGCTTTATTAATATAAATGAAAATAATATGAAATACTATTAATATTTTAATATATATCAATTTATAATTTCCTCATATAATTGCTAAATAATTGCTTGATAATGTTTCTTTGCTACATGCCTTTGCATTTTCAAGGTATCTGTCAATATTCCTACTTATTAAAAGGGTTTTGCTTCAAGATATATATTTTTTACTTGTTCATACCCATTCAATTATTCCTTTGATCCCTAAAATAACGTATTCTTTTACCTATTCATTTAATTAAGACAGAACGTAATTCTTTATTTCTTTATTGGCACATAAGGTAGGATAATCACCTTCAATTTTCAATTAATCTGCAAACTATTTTAGAATTGTTGGATCAACTACAACAACCCCAACACAATAGTTTTATAATGAATCCCCAAAAATGACGATTTCCAATATGCCTTTCAATCTCAGATAACAATTTTCTACTTTTTCTGGAGCTACATATTCCCCTTAGGATAATTTAAATAAATTTTTTTTCCTATCTATAATTCTTAATGTTCCATCAACTATTTAACCTATATCCCCTGTGTGCACCCATCCTTCATTATCAATTAACTCTTTAGTTTGTTCTGGATCTTTAAAATATCCTTTGCTGATGCTTGGTCCCCTTATGCAGATCTCACCTCTAATTAAACCATCAACACTTTTATCTGTGACATAACCAATATCTGGTATGCTAACCAATTTGAATTCTTAAGAAATTGTGGGACCACCTACGTGACCACAATTAGGATCAAAGTAATCCGTTGCAAAGGATCCTCCCATTGTTTCTGTTTAGCCATACACTTCTACAATTTAACAACACAATGTCATTTTTAAGAAGTTTAATACTTTAGTTGATATAGGGGCAGCTCCTGTGAGAATCATTCTTAGTCTTCCACCAAAGACAGCTTTTGTTTTTACAAATGCAGCATCTAATTATTCATGATCTGGTTTTCCAGTTTGCTAAAAATACTTTAATTTCATTTAAAAAGCCTGGTCAAATTTGACTTTTACTTCTTCAGGTAATGAATTAACTACATTTAAAATGCCATCATAAAATCTATTGAAAACTCTTGGCACTCCGCCGAAGTAAGTTGGTTTGCACCTTTAAATGTCTCTGGCTAGATTTTATATGTTTCCGCTAAAGTAGTTTATTTCTGCAGATCCTAATAATGCTCCCAAATGAAGAACTCTTTCAAATACGTGGGGTAGTGGCAAGTATGACAAATAAACATCATTTTCAGTAAACCTCTAATGGGGAGGATAGTCTAAAATGTGCAACATTTGTTAAAAATTATGCTAAGTTTAAAGAGTTGCTTTGGATGGTCCAGTGGTTCCACTTGTAAAAACTAGAGTCATAGAAATATCCGGCTATAAGTTGGGATATGGAACGATTGCAGTTTTGCCTTTTTCCAAAATCTAATTCCATGTTACAATCTCCTTCCCTTGTGCTCTTAGCTTATCCAAATCTTCTTCTTGGAAACCATCACCAACAATAACAATGGTTTTTAGATGGGGTTGATTCACATCTGCTAGGACTTTTATAGTACTTGATTAAACAAAACAGATGCTAATTTCATATTTATTTGCATACCTCACTTAAGTCTGCTCCAAAGAATATTTTATACTATTATATCCTAAGGTATCATAAAATGGACAGGATGTAAATCCATAAAGGATGCAAGCAATATCCAAAATGGTCCATTCCCTTCTGTTGGACATATAAATTCCAACAGGCTTAATAACAAGCCCCTGCTCATCTTTTACTTCAATTATGGAGTTTCTTGAACATAATTCAGAGCCGATTGCAGTAGCTGTTTCGAATATTTCCTACTTATTTTTAAAAAGTAAACCTTATATGTAATGTAGTCATATTATTATGATTCCTCATTGTATAAGCCAAGAGTCTTCTTATCTGGAAATCTCTATAGTTTCTCAATGAATTCTTGCTATAAGGTAGTTTTAGATTAAGGGAAGCCATCCTGTAATATTTAGTTTAAAATACCTTAGATTAGGGATGCCTATAGATAGGGGTTTCATTTTCCTTTCCATCAGATACTTTACAAAGATACTCTCGAACTTGGATCATTTATTATTAATATTTAAATTATTGTAATCTTCGCAATTGATTTATCAAAAATCTTATATTTATTATCATTCATAATGAGATTTTTGGCTATAGAATTTCGATATTCAATTTAATAAAAAATTAATAATGGATATGCTATTTGTTATGATAATAGATATTTGCAAAGATTAACCATTATAAACTGTAAGTAAGATTTTAAAATAGTATTTCAGTTTGATTTTAGTTACAAGTTGCACTTTATTCAAATGAAGCAATTTAATTTTTTAAGAGTCAAGAGGGACTTTAAATTCATCATCAAGTAAGGTTTTAGCCTACATAATTATAAAATATGAAATAATATTTTGATTCCACAATGAATAATCGATTAATCTTCAATTTGAATAGCAAGCTCACCTTATCATAATTGAAATATATGCGGTTTCTTAAATGCAGAGTATCAAACGAATACTCGTTTAACAATTTATATTAGAACTGAAAAAACTGAATACACTTGGTAATTACAGAGATAACTCATTTGAAGTAGTATAATAGTTATGGAACTTCTGGTGGAAATGGAATCAAATTTCAATGAGTGGATTGAGATTAATAAATGTTTTTAAATAATGAATTCGAGAAATAATTAAAGTATAAACTTCTGTTAATTCATAAATATTTATTCGTTTTGGTAATAAATATAATATTAAATAATCTATAATGAGCTTGTTTAGATCAGAGTAGATGGAATTCTATAATTTAGTGATTCCAAGAGAGTCATCATGGGATGTAATGAACACATTAGGATATTTTGATAGCGTTCACATAATTGATTATGATCCGACTTTACCTTAAATAAGTAGGCCATTTTCAAATTATGTGAAGAGGTATTACATTTAGAGATTAAAGATGTGATGATGTGATGCAGAAGATTGAGTAGATAGATGGTGAGATGAGAAATTTCAAGATTGAAAAGAGATATTGTCCTGATGTTGTTGATTTATTGAAGAAGAGAAATGGAACTCATAAACAATTTGAAGAATTGGAATAGGATATATCTAAAGTGGCAGACGATTTGGAACATCAATAACAAACAATGGATAGTTTGTAAGAGAAGAAAAACACAATAAGAGAGAATCTGGAAGTGTTAAGAAATGCAGTGGCATTTTAGAATGAGGATTCAGAAGAGGCTAGTTTGTTGGGATTTCAGAAGATGGTTGGAGTCATATTGAAGGAAGATGAATTGAGATTTAAAAGGATAATCTTTAGAATAACAAAGGGCAACATTCACGTTGAGATTATGGACATCCAAGAACATTTCATATAACAGGACAGGAGGATAGTATAGAAGTGTGTGTTTATGCTCTTTTATCCGAATGGAGACTTGACTCAGAAGAAAATCTAGAGAGTGATTGAGTCTTTTTCATACAATAAGTTCGATATCCCAACATCGAGTGATTAACATGCTTAGAGAATTGCAATGTTGGAAAATCAATTGAATGAGGCAGATTAATTGTTGCATTTGACTATTACTCAGATTAACAAAAGGTTGCAGGATTTGGCAGAAGTGAAATACAATTGTTCTTGGATTGAAGAGATGAGGATCTTGGTAACCAAGGAGAAGTACTTGTACATGAATTTGAATATGCTGAATATGACAAACTCTGTATTTCATGGTCAGATATGGTTACCACAAGGTCAGGATTAAAAAATTTAATAGGCTCTTCGAAACTTGCATGGTAATGATAAATAATTACCTAGTGGTTAAATCTAGGAATGTTAAACTTAATTAACTCCTCCTACATATTATAAATTAAATTCATTTACATATCCCTTTTAGGAAATTGTCAATACTTATGGTATACCCAGATACAAGGAAATCAATCCCGGCTTGTCTACTATCATAACATTCCCATTTCTGGTAGGTGTGATGTTTGGTGATGTTGGTCATGGGTATAATATATTAAATTATTAAGAGTTTGTTATTGTTTGTTTGTGGATTGTATCTCACAACCGAGGACGCGAGGAAATCAATCTTCTCTGGAATTGTTCCCATGAGATATATGATACTTCTCATTGGACTCTTTGCTTGTTACAATGGACTCATTTACAACGATTTTCTATCAATAGGCTTAAACTTATTTGGAAGTTGTTACAATTTGGTCGATGGAGAGTATGAACTTCAAGAGGATTGCGTCTATAAATTTGGAATAGATCCTGCATGGGGTTCTTCAGCCAATCAATTGACTTTCATGAATTCATTCAAAATGAAATTAGCAGTCATCATAGGAGTCACTCACATGACTTTCGGTATCATTTTGAAGGGATTCAACACACTACACTTCAAAAACTATATGGATTTCTTCTGCGAATTCATACCATAATTCCTTTTGTTACTCTGCAGTTTTGGCTACATGGATTTCTTATTGTTTTTGAAATGGTCTACCAAATTCGAAGATACAAAGGATGCTCCAAGTGTTATCACAACAATGATTGACATGGTATTACGACCTTTCGATGTCCCTGAAAAACCATTGTTCGAATCTGGAGAGCAATAGAGATCCATTTAACTACTGCTATTAACAATCATAACCTTCTGTATCCCTGTCATGCTGATTACAAAACCACTTCTTTTTAGTCTAAAAAAGAAGAGTCCTCATCAATATCAATAAATACCCTCTTACGTACCTGATGAAGATCCCAATCCAGAATAATTGCAAAATGATATGTAAAAGGAGTAGTCATAACCGCATAGTAAGGTGTCTATTTAATAACATAACGAGCATGACGATATTGGCGAATTAATAGTTCATCAATGTATCATTTGTTTTATTATTAATAGCCATTGAAACAATCGAATTTGTGTTGGGAAGTGTAAGTAATACAGCTTCGTATTTAAGATTATGGGCACTATCCTTAGCTCATTCACAATTGGCCGAAGTCTTCTTCTCTATGACCATAGCCAGTCATATTGGCGAGGGAGGATTCTTTGGAACCATCGGAGTATTCATCCACATTTACATTTTAGTCTATAATACAATTCCCAGGATTTGCTCTGGCCACTTTTGGAGTCCTGATGTGTATGGATCTTATGGAATGCTTCTTACATGCCCTTCGATTGCAATGGTATATTATGTAAACAATATCCATTTAGGGTTGAATTCTAAAGCAAATTCTACAAAGCCGATGGATATTTGTTTAAAGCATATTCATTCACAAATATTAAAAGTAATGAATAAGATGATTGATGTCTAAATATCATAACACATATAAATCAAATCAAAATCATCAATATTAACATTGGTATTAAGTATGTGTAGATTGGCCAATTCCATCTCTCAAACAACCCAATTCTCTCTCTTTTGTAAGCTATCATGGCTCCATATTCTAGAGCATATTTCATAGGCCCTGTGAATGTGAACTTGGCAAAATGAGCATGTTCCCACACTTTTTAGTGTTTCTAAATAAGAGATAAAAATGAAATAGTCAAAAAAAATGTGAATCCATACAACACCTCTTCAAATCCGATGTCCAATGCTGCAGTTTCTGCTTACTTAAAATACTTAGCTATAGATCTAGGTCCAAAATAATGTTGACTCTTTTTTGTTTTGTAAATTGGATCATCAAAATAACTAAGTTTAACCCACTTTGCTTATTGTACTTCATTTTCAGACAATCTCATGTGATCGGTCATTTTCTGAGGATCATTGATCGCTATTACGAAAGCACTGCAAAATAGAGATTTATTATTTTTCAATTTCTTCATAAAAGCATTCTTCGACAGTCGACATACATAATAGCATTCCAATCCATTTAAATTAATTCCTACTTCCTCATGTACTTCCCTTATTGCAGCTTACAAGTCTGTTTCATCATTGTCACATTTGCCTCCTGGGAATGCAATTTCACCACTATATTAATCTCTTTTTGAGTTTTATCTTTAAATATAAAGTATTTCAATATCTTTCTGTTCTTGAAATTTGGTGGATTGGGGATTGTTGATATTCAGTTAGGAGTATCCTTCTTAGGGTTTAAATTACCCTCTTAAGAGTATGCAAACCGCAGATTGAGCAGTAGTTTAAGTATTGGTATAGGGTTTATACTATGAGGGCGGAATTAAATTAAGCATATGATAATTATTAATATACAATCTTTAGCATTAGCATAAAATAATAAAAATGGTTGGTCATTAGATTAATATGATATTTTGTATATGTTCTCCAGGTATGACAACACTGCCAACATAATATTTGTCTTTCATAAACAGATCATTGAATGCTGTTGCTTCATCAACCTTTTGCTACAATTCTTATTTTGTCTCTTCAGTCGCGTTATTGTAATTATTGTATGCTTCTCTAAGGGATTCGTCATTTGTGAAATATTTGGCTGGGAATTAGGGATTGTAATGAAATTGAATATCAAGATCCAAGGGTGATGGGTGAGTGGCAACAGAGTGTTGGAGTATGATAGAAAAAGGTGAGGAGATACATGAAAGCACTCCATAGATGACTCTGTTGTCTGAACAAACCACTTTGACACTTTTATTCAAGTATTAAGATTGATCACTCATTTAATTAATTTAATATTTCAAATGTCACTTATCTTCATCTGATGAGTTATCATCATTGCTTCCCTTTCTTACCTTGATCATACCATATCTTAAAAGACTATAAAATAATTTCTTTTATAATTTACATGTGTGCCAAAGTACCAGTTTCAAAAGTGTCCTTCCCTCCCATCTCTTCGAAACCTACAATTCTATTTTTTAAGACTCCATTCACAAATAAGCATACTGTAGGTAGAACTTGAATTTGTAGCTTATTTACAAAGAAGGGTGCTTTTTCTGCATTCAAACAGTAGAATTTGGTCTCGGGATGCCTATCAAACTCACAAAATAATATACTATTATGATATTGCCTAGAGATGTTTGTCCATAATTTTGCATCTTTCGAAATCACGATGGAAGAAATGAACAACACTGAATTCAGATTTAGTAACAGATGGCAAGAATTCCTCTTCAACGATTTCTCTATATTCTCCAAATCCCTTATTCTTTTTAAGCATGGCCTCTTGCAATTCCTTTGCTCTTTGTTCCCTCATCTTCTTCAACATTTCTTTCAAATCCTCATCATCACAATCATCCTCGTCTTCCTCCTCGTATTGTCTTCTTGCTGCTCTCCTTCTCTCCTCTTCCTATTGTTTGGCCTACTATTCTTTCATCTTGTCTTTCAAGGCCTTCTCCATTACGGTTTCGACCAACATATTACCCATCAATGAATTACTCATTTTATTTAAATTTTAAATTAATGTCAATCAAACAAAAAATTGTTTTTATATTTACATAAAAAAAATATCTCACTCATTCCTCCTCTTCATCTTTTACTTTATGTCTTTACATGTATAATCTAACCAATTATTTGGTTTTTAACAATCTCGTTTATGATATCGTGATGGTAGGTTTCGATGGATTAAATTTTTGATGATGAGATCTATTCATTTATTTAAAAATCTCACCTACACTAACTAGGAGTTCTTGTTCCTATTATTTAACTCATCCTTTTGAATAATCTTTGACCCTTGCTATGATTCGCATTCTCTTGCAAAAAACGAAGATATGATTCGTGTTCTTCCTAATTCCAATGGCCTGCTTTCTTCTAAATCTTTTTGGAACTATCCTGCAAATCGCTTTAAGATTTTGTTACTTCTGATTCGTTCAATGGCATTACTTTGATATTTAAATAAAATATATATTCCAAGATTTTATTAGTATTCTAAATCATTCAATATCATAAATCTGTTTATTCAAATCTACATTTTCATCTTCTCCCCATCCATCTTCTTTACTGATTTCCCCTCTCCTCAATTCCACCTTTGACTCTCCTTTTCAATTAAACTCCTTGGAATTTCCCATATTTCTAATTAAGAATTTCTTATCATACAAATTATCTTTTTATATAATACAATAAACGTATAATAGTCTTTGTTTTCGAATTATTATCTCATTAATAGGAGATAATCGAAGCTAGAATACTATCCATTTTACTCTTAATTTAAGAGTGAAGGTAATTGACATTATTGCCTCAATTATTTTATTTATACTCTCAAATTAATTTAATTTATCTTTATATATTTAATATAATACACTTTATATACAAAATATAAACAGAATCAATTCTAATCAATCGGTCCTCCATAGAAATGTAGTACAATATCATTGCTCTAACTTCTAAACAATATAGAGCTCTAGGTAAATTTAAGAGGATTCTTTTATGCTTTGTAATTCTCCCTTAAAACCCATCCCAAGAAGCATAACACCACTGTCTCAATAGTTATAAATAGTAAGAATATTGTAATCTTGAGGAACTTGAAACTTTCTTCGTTAATTCTATTCTTAAAATAAAAACAATCTTGGTTAAAATGGAAAGAAAAAAAGTAGATTTACACCCCAACATGATAGAGACTCAAAATTTAAATTAACACTACAAAACTTTGATAGATATTAAGTGAGCACATTAAGGCCCTTAATCTTATTTGCTTTTGGTACTTTTTAACAATTTTTTTTTACTATATTACTATTTCCATCAAGACAATCGCAAGTACTCCTAAATACATTACTAAATCAATGCATAAATATATTAATTTATCATCTCTAAAAAAACATCTCCCATTTATTGATGATTCAAGTGATACAAAAGTAATCATAGCAATAAAAAAGAAAATCATATTCCTCATTCTCTTCTTTTTCTTCTCGATATTCTTTGACAAAAACAGTAATCTATCTATGTCACTGGCCTCCTCATGAATTTACATAAATTAATATGTAAATTATTCAATAAAAAAAATATTATATTAAATTCTCACAAAAAACTGCTATTTCAGTATCAGTTTAATTGACTATGAATTTAACTGTTAATTTAATATGATCCTAAATATTTAGTTATCTGTTTTTATATATTAATATAATTATATTATATTATTTTAATATAAATATATATTTCTATGCTAAGAGAATTATAAACTGAATCCAAAATACTTTGATTTTATATCGATTTAGACAAGTATAGATCCACTGAATCAAAGATGGAATCAAATAGTATTCTTTTAGCGAAAATTTTTGTGAATAAAATTATTTATACTTATAATTAAGGACCATCTGAATACAATTTTGATCCCATTGGGAAAGGTGCTTTTGATCTTAATTTTTAAGCTTTTCATATGCGAATTATAAAAGATTGTAGATTTTTTTAATTAACAATTTGAATTTAATAGTTTCTATATGAATCATGGTTTTAATTTTACTGATCATCTCAATTACTAAATTAGGATCATATTTATGGCATAGAGAATGATATTAGGAGGCCTTTGAATTGATCACACTATCCATTCTAAAATTCTTAATTTTCTATTTTAATTGCCAAACCAGTAAGCAGACAATCAATTTTCTTTGGCATTGATTATAATGATTCAATATCGATATTAGAATTAGTTTTAGAACAAATAATTGAAGTTTCCCTAATGTTAGCTATCTTTGAATTCAACATAAATTTATCTTGTAAAAATACAATTATGATTATTTAAAACTTCATCTAAAATCAATAAGATGCAGATAATTGCATTAGAAAATAGTTTATGATTTAGAAGGATTACCAAAACACACAAAGTATTATTTATGGAAGTTATAAAATAAAGTGGCTGTTGTGAATAATTAGATGGATTTCAAATAGATAGAAATCGAAGTAAAATTTGGTAGATTGCATCAAATCAAATTTTTGGACATAGATTATTATTTATAATTTGTAATAATGATTTTTATTAGTTAATATAATTATAATCATGAAAAACTTTACTGTTTTCGAGAAATTGGGTGAAGGTACTATTATTTGAATAAATATCATTTAAATTAGGTTCATTCTCAACAGTGTTAAGAGTTAAGCGTCAATCCGATTAATAAGAATATGCAATGAAAAAAGTGAGAATGGGATAATTGAAGGAGAAGGAGAAAGAGAATTCACTTAACGAGATTCGTATTCTGGCCAGCATTTCACATCCGAATATCATAGCGTACAAGGAAGCATTCTATGATGAGCAGTCTCAAAGTTTATGCGTAGTAATGGAGTATGCTGATTAAGGTGATTTGTAACAGATGATCCAATAACATATTCAATAGAAACAATTCATACAGGAAATTGAGATCTGGAAAATGATTTACTAAGTGGCAATTGGTATTCAGTCAATTTAATTTTTAGCTTTGCGAACGTTACATCAAATGAAAATCTTGCACAGGGATTTGAAATCGGCAAATGTATTTCTACACTAAGGAAACTATAAACTGGGAGACATGAATGTATCCAAAGTGGCTAAAAAGGATTTGGTTTATACGCAAACAGGAACTCCTTATTATGCAAGTCCTGAAGTTTGGAGAGATCAGCCGTACGATGCTAAAAGTGACATTTGGAGTTTAGGTTGTGTTGCATATGAAATGGCAGCCCTTAAACCACCATTTCGAGCATAAAATATGGAAGGGTTATATAAGAAAGTATAGAGAGGATTATATGAACGAATACCACCTAAATTTAGTGGGGAATTAATGACTGTAATAGGATTATGTTTGCAAGTACAAAGCAAATAAAGACCCACATGTGCTTAATTACTTAGCAATCCCATTTTATTGAGAAATGCTAGATAATTTATTATAGAAAGTAGAGTTTCTCAGTAGACTTAATCTTCTTAAGCTGGTTCGAATGTACTCTTATAAACAATAAAATTACCAAAGAATCTAAAACATCTCAAAGAGAAATTGCCAAAATCAAAATATTTTATTGAAAATGTGAATAAATCTTACGATTAAACCTAAGCTAATAGTTCATTTCTACCAAAAATTAGTAATCCTAAAGAAATCAGACCTAATTGTTCAGTTCCACCTGTAAAGAGTGATCGATATCAATAATAATAACTGCAGCAGAATTCTTTACATGAGGAACGATCTAAGTCAATTGTTAATTCAGTCCAACTGTTAGAGATGGAAAGAATTAGATAATAAAAATTATTGGAAAAATAGTAAAATTTAAAGATCAGCATTATTCATCAGAATGCTATTCCTTATATAAATAGTTCTTCTTCTTAAATCCAAAATCTATATGCCAACAAGCAGCGCAATGTGAGGGATGCTTCAAAATAATATGTAGAAGCACCAAAACCAATATGGTGGGGATGACATTTTATTTAAATTATTTTATAGACTCTCAATATTAATAATGATAATTATATAATGTAAAAAGAGGGATTAATAGAAATTTCTTATGTTTTACTTGGTTACAAAAATGATAAATTATTGGAGAGAGGAATTGAAATTTACGATAAATATATTCATCTATTAAATTTTGTTCTCAAATAAAGAGTTAGATCGATTGTTAAGAAATTACATATAGTTAATACTTTAGAAGTAGAATAAATTAACAAGATTCTTGTATAATTTATAGGCCAATATTAAATAAGTATTAATAAAATTTGAATTTAAGTAGAATTTAAAAGAAATGTAATTAAAATCAAGAATTTTTATAGAATGAGAAGCAGAATGAAATTAGACATTTAATATGTGTAAAATTCATAACATATATATAAAATCATCCTCTATTAACATTTCATTGTCATCTTTAGGAGACTGTGCTAGTTTATCAAAAGCTATACCAATATAAAAGTGAATGAATACCAATAATGGATAAGTTTTCTTAAATGACTTCTTCTTGCTTTTCTTCTGAGGGTTCAATCGACTTGTCATGATTTGATAATTATCGTTAAATGACTTAATCCTAATTAATATCATTGTTTTTATCTATGTTATTGTAATATTATTATTGGATAAGATCTTCAAGTTTCTAAAGTTCATCTATTTCTTGATCATCATCATCCTCTAAATATTATTATTGCATAAGATTTTCAAAGTAATTTGGATCTTGGATGTGATTATTAATGAGAATTATTTCAGACTTTATATATTTAGTTTCTTGCTAGTATTCCTATTACTAATGTGTTTCTGGTTATTATTGTTCTTCTTCATTTTGATTTGATTTGAGCATGGATGATGAAAATTAATCCATCATCATTTTTTCAATGTCATTAAGATTAATTTTGGGCTTGATTTCCTCTTTTTAATTGTGATGGTTTTGATTCTAATAAAATTACTAAGCCATAAGTTCTTCTAATTGTTGTGACTCACTTAACTATTTATTAGGTATGACTGGTAATGGTTCAATGCTTTGATCATTGCTCTTTACGAATTCACTGGATCTAATGGTTTGTATTTTGTCTAGACTTCCACTGTGCATGATTGATTTGTATTGCTGACTAGTTTGATTAATGGGAGGCTTATGCACTTGATTCTTGAAACCTTGATCTGGGATACCATTGACAGAGATTTTGGCAATTTAAGTTGGTCCTTCCTTTGGTCTGATCAACCCATTTTCAACCAAGGCATTTTTATCTTTGTGAATGTAGTGAATTCCTTTTTCCTTAATTTTATTTTCGATTTGAATCTTTCTTGTTACAACGCTGCATAGATCATTGTGAGAGAGTAGTTGTGTTTCTTACATATTCTCAGTTCTATTGAAGTCTTGATGAATAGACTTCAATTATTACAGAACTTATTGATATTTACTTGAATCAGGATTATTGCTCCTTCTTATTGAAACTGACAAGCCACCATGTATACTGGACCCGGACATATTGCTATTCTACGGTTTGAAGGATTTTCTATCATCATATTTAGTATGATAATGTTTTCTAGTTGAGATTACCACAGATTTCAATGGTTCAGTTTCAAGATCTCAAATTATAATAGAATGGGTACTTCGAAAGGCAGAATGAGTGAGCAACTGATTGGGAGTAGATCGTTCTTTCGGATTCAATCTGAATATTTGATTGAAGATCTACAAAATATCCTCTGATTTAGTTATGCGTTTGAATTGAAATAATTCTAGTTGATTTCAATATAATAATCTTACATCCTTTATTGATAGAGTTTCGTATTTAATCCAGAGTAATGTCAGAAGATAAATGATGCCAAGGTGGCATTTTAGTGAGCATTTCTACAAATATGCAACCAGCACTCCATACATCAGAATACTGGGAGTACTCCTATCCATTGAAACATTCAGGAGCACTGTACATGGATAGTTTGTATTTGTTTAGAATGTAGATATCACTTAATTTAGCATTGGCTTCTCCATCCACTAAGACATTTGATGTTTTTAGATTCCTTATTTAACTTCAATGATACCTATGCAGTATTCCTTAACTGTGCAGATATTCCAATCCTTACAATATTTGTTTCATGAACATAATAGCAAGTTGAGGAGAAAATGAACTAAATTTCTACAACAACCAACTGATTGAGCCTCCACTCTCGTAAGGCATGAGTATTTTAATTTCATTTTAGATTACTTCATTTTTGAATACGGAGTAATCCCAACCTATTATTTGATGGATATTCTTGAATTCTAACCTTTTGAGAATATCTACAATACTAATCACTTTATCAAAGTCATCTTCCGAACTTAATTTGAACTATCATCATAGAAATTAATACAATTTTCAATGCTAAAAGTTACCCATTTAGAGTATTCAATGCAGAGTATACATTACATCCCTCCTAAATCAATTCACCTTAAATGTAATCATAAACTATGTTCTAGAGTTGATTATCACAGATCTTACTTCTTCTTCTTCCTCCTCCTCCTATTCTTCACCCTATTACTCTGGAAAGTCCTCATTGTTAGACTCTCATATTTGAATATGCTATACTTTCATACTCTTGTCACTCAAATGTCCCCGATGAGCTACTTTCACTTCCTCATTTTTCTTTTTGTAACACGGCGCTGTACCCATTATAAATTATAATTATATAATAAACTAATTCAAAAAGTATGAATTAAAAGTAAATCAAGATTTTTATCAGATTATCTTCATTATATTCCTATTTAGATTATAGATAAATCTCAATTAATAATCTTTAAATTTCATACACCAACTACTTAGTAAAAATACCAAAGTTCAATTAATTTGATCCAACGATCATTAATTTGAGAGTACTAAATTGTTTAAATCTAAATTACGAGTTACCATCTTTGAAGTTACAAAATTCATAGATTATCAAATATTATTTTAATTATTATTATAATTATTATTATGGAAGAGTCTCAATTCAATTCATTATAAAAAACCATAGTAATCCCACCGAGAAAACTACATTAGACCATTTTACAAGAATATTAAACTGAGAATCCGAATTTCTCTTAATTTATTAACGAAACCTAATAGAATCCCTGTTTTATCAATTGCGAATTAATACCAATCTTCATTATTTATGAGTCTGATGTAGAGGTTATGCATTCATTCCAACTCAAGAAGGATCAACAACTCTTACCATCATACCCATCTTATTTCCAAACCAATCTCTATGTCAATAATACTTATACAGAAACTAAAAAATAGATTTTATAAGACAATAAAATTATCCATTGCAAGATCTTAGAAATTAATGTTAATGCAGAATATATTGATCAAGATATAGAATTATTAATCATTGGAACTTATGAATATAAGTACTGTTTTAATGGGATCAAAAATATATTGAGAAATGAGATTCCCAAAGAGTAATACAAACAATTGCAATATTAACATTCAATCAAAGTTGCAGTAAATAATGCGTTCACATTGGAATATAAGTATTTTGGCGATACGGTTAAAATGAATATTGCGTTTCAAATTAAACCTCATAGCTAATTGGATTTAATTGAAATGGATTTCCTTTTGAGTGAAAGTGAAATGGTTTGGAAAGATGTTGGAATCCATAGAGTTGTACCTAAGTGCATGTTGTAAAATATATCCATTAATAAACAATACTTTAATGATGAGGAAGGATACATAGAAGTCTTATTAGATTGGCCAGCAATGTTACAGAATGAGTAATTGCAACCTGATCTTCCATCTAGAAGATTGAGTCTTGTATAAGTCAATCCAGTGTTAGAAATTAAAACGCCTCTTTATATAAGATGGGGATAATAAAAGTACACTAAATGCAACATGATCCTATGGAAAGTGAAACCAATTCAAACTATTGGGGGTGAAATTAAAGAAGTGGTGAGATATAAGGATGCCTAGAATGAAGAATATTTGGCATTGAAGATAGTTCTAACAAACTATTCAGGCAAAGAACACGAAATTACATTCTGTCCTCCATCTCAAATATTTGGAAAGAAACTTAATCAAAAAAAAGATTAACCTCTGGTTGTGTTGGGTATAACATTATCTACAGAGAAAAATTTAGGGATATTGTAGCCAAATTAAGTGTGTGAAACTATTTTGAGAGTGTAATTAATCAACAATGGAATTTTGAATATGCAACATATCAATCTAAAAATAGACAATTAGTTAACTGAGTTGAGTTTGAATTTTTTATATTCTCATCAATGAATTGCTGTAGGGGGAACAATTATTATTTTAGTATAATAATGTGATGAATTTGTATGTATATATAAAAATGAGGAATAATTTTCTATTTTGATTAAGTAGTATAATTTGTTAAAAATAAATTAACAATATAATAAATTATCTAACTTAATTTCAAAATTAAATGACAGAACTTCTGTTGATTATGAATGTTAGAATTGATGAAGGGAGACAGGGCACAATCAATGTGCATTTTGGAGATGATCCTGAAGTGTTGGCTAGGGATTTCTGTATTGAACACAATGTGAACTAGAAGTTGGTTCCATTATTGATAGAGAATATCAATAAAAATTTGGAGGTGGCTGAATAACAGAAAGTGAATGTAAGAGCAAGAGATTAATGTATAGTCTGGTTAGGATACCATGCAATATTCAACTGAAACCTGCAATTCGAAATTTATGGAAACTCCATTCAATGAACCATTACATCAATTATCGATGAACAATTATTATTCAACACATTCATCAGTTCATGAGAGACTTTATGAAGATGCAAAAAACAAAAGATTGAAATAGAAATTGAATATTTCGGATAGTAGATCCAAAAAAATCAAAATTTAGGAGCCTGAAATAAATTACGGGTTATTTCTGTATTAGAAGGGAATAAAAAAGAATGAAGAGAAATTATAGAGAGCTGAGAGTGCTAAAAAGGATTTGTAAAATTCCTAATTAGTTGAATGCACTCATCATCCACGTATCAATCATGTTTCCAAACAATTGGTATAACGCAAAGGGGAATCTGTGAGTGAACATTTGAATAGGTTGGCTTAGGAATAGAAAATAAAGAGAGAGAATGCAAGTCAAGAACACTTAAAGTCAGAAGTCTAGAGTTGTTCATTTAAACCATAGATTAATAGAATGTATTGAAATTACTACTATTATGATAGATCTCGATATATAGTGGAAGAGAGAAACGATAGAAGCAATCAACCATGGTATGAATAATTGTATACTGATTATGATTCCAAGAGACAGAAATTGGAGTAACTGGAAAAGTAGTATTTCTCATCAAATTATACATTTCATCCTAAGATAGATATGATATCCGAGAAGATAGTTTAGGGAAGTAGTTTTGAGTAGAGATAAAAGATTAGATCAACATCAAGATAAAATCTATCTGTGTGTGATGATGACAATTAATTGTTTAAACCCAAAACTGGCAGACCTCCAGAGAAGAGACCTAGAGATTTGTTCTAGAATTTGTATAATCAAGCCAAGATATGGGAGAAGAAACGATAGAATAAAATCGTCTAAATACATCAATAATAAATGAGTACATCTTAAGTAAGAGCAATTGAAAAATCAAATTAAATGATCCAATCACAAATGCAGGTTTCATTGATGAAGATCTTCAATGCTTTGGATAGTGATAATGACGGCTTTATTAATTCTGAGAATTGTGATGTGGGTGATTTAGATGATAATGTGATCAAGATTTTGTCACCTCTGCTTTTGGAAATGGAATCTGGAAATCATACACTGAATAGGAAGGAATTCGTAGAATCTGCTGAAAGATTGGTTGCCACTTTGTCTCCTTGCGAGAAACATGACTTATTGAAGAAACCAAGTAGAAAAGCTGATGTTCCTTAATATAGTTTTAATGTGTGTAAATATTCTTTATATAGTAGCCATCTCTCAATAAGAGGTCTTAAAAAATTGTGGCAGCTAAAAGGAATTGAAGATTTTAATTAATATTTATATTAAAATATAACTTATGTCAGACGAAGAACCATTAAAAGAGGACGACCAAGATAAAGGAGACAATCCTGATCAAGACAACGAAGATTACCCCGATGATCAATAAATCTTTGAGGATGAGGACAATCTAAAAGATGATGAGGAGTACTATTTATGTTCATCTTTTAGTCCAAAGAATAATGAGTTAGCAAACAGTTTGAAACTCACTATTGAGGAGTAAGGATTAGATGAGAATCAGAAATTGAGGAAATGGAAAGACCTATTGACTGAGCATGTTTAATAAGTGTAAAAGTTAAGAAGGAGAAATAACAATTTAAGAGGCCAACTCAAAAAACTAGGAGATAAAGCTGAAAAATTGGTTTAATCTAATGTTAGAAAATAAAAATTATTGGAATAAAAATTGGACCCAAAACATTATAATCTCGCTGAAAAGAAGATATTATATGAAATTAAGAATGGCAAATCCAAATAGGACTTCGCTAATAAAATAGATCCACGAATTTGTAACTCTTTTATATTATACTTAAGTGGATTTGTTGATTGCTATTGACAAAATGGAACAATCTAATAACTAGATGAGAGAATCAATCAAGGCTTTGAAAGATAGAAACAAAAACCTAGAATAGACTGAAGAAGTAAACAAACTGAGTAACGAAATCATACTTCTTGAAAAACAAATTGCAGACGAAGATAGATTGAGAAGAAAGATGCAGGTAATCATGAAAGAACAAGAAGCAGAATTCAAATAACAATAGTTTGATTGTGATTATGAGGGTAGATTAAATAGTCTCAAAGATTAAATTAAACAATTAAAGGATAGTATTAGAGAAGCTTAGAAAGTTGAATTGCATGAAACAAGAAAAGAAGTTGAATTGAATAATCATTTCGCTGAACTTTAAAAAATGTAATATTCAATTGATATCCTCATAGTTATCGTCAAATGTGTAATCAATTAAATAAACCATGCGACGAGAAGTAGCATTTTAAATAAGACAAATCGAAGGACCAAGATCATCAGAATGAAAAATAAAGGAAGGTACAAGAGTTTGCACAGAAAAGTCAAGAAGAAAATCTCAAGAGGTTCTTACAATTAAAGGAGAATTAAACATAACCAGAAGACACAACTGAACTTCATAAGGCCTTGAAAGAATTCAAAGAAGATTAAACGAAATTCAAGTAAATTTAGGAGGAAGTCAAGAATTTGCAAGATGAACTTGAAAAAAAGGAGAAGGAAGCTTAAAAGGAAAAGGCGAGATAAGTTGAGGAATACTCTAAAATAAATGAAGATGTAGTTTAGTTAGCAAAATAATTAAAAGAAAAAGAAGTGTAAACAAAATCATCAGTGTTAAAATTAAATGATCTCCAAAGATAAGTACAACTATTAGATAGAAAATAAGTCTCAGAACCAATATAGAGTACACAACAAAAACCAGAAAACATATTTTATGGAATTGATAAAGATTCATAGACTTCTGTGCCATTTGATGATATCAAGAACTTGGATTGGACATCCAGCATGCCCATCAATTAAATAGTTGTGTGTAAGAATAGTAACAATAATCTGATCATTGGTTTGGAGTTGACGTATGGAGATGCAGAGAACAAAGAAGAGCAGAAGACAACAAAACATGTTGGATTATAAGAAGGTAATATTGAAAAGGAATAAATCAAAATAACTCCTGAAGAAAAATTAAGCTATATATCTGGTTTTTATAATTCTGAACAAATAATTTTCTTGAAATTTGAAACGAGTAAGAAAAGAGTCATTCAAGTTGGAAATATGAAATATAAGGATAATTAAACCAAAGATTTTAGAATTGAAATTAAGGATAAGGAAATTCTAGGATTTAAAGGAATTTTAGACTACACCTAAGGTAACCAATAATGTATATTATTTAGAATCGTAGAGTACATCTGAAAGATACTTAGTCGCGATTGGTTTAAATCTCAAATCAAAGGAATTGGGCCTTTCGGCAAAGAAGCAATAGAAGAAATAGAAGATGTTAGAAGAATAAGAAAAATAAAGAGTTCCTGTTGATTATAGAAAAATATCATATCCCTTTAGAAAGAACCATCCAAAACATTTAGAACTAATTAAATCTCAACCAAAGTTAGATGTCTCAATATATGAGGAAGAGAAAGGTATATCGATTTCATAGCTATTTTAGCAAAGTTGTTCTAAAAAGAAAAAGAGAGATACTTGTAGGCACAAAGAGCATAATTGGGATTACTATCAGCTAAGCAATTCAGTCCCGCAACATACAAATAATAAGAGTATTTAGATGAAGATTAGAAGGTAATAATGATATCCTTACAAATAATAGAGAAAACAAGAGAGAGACAAGAGAAAAATTTGGGTCGAACAAAAGAGGGAGGAGAATAAAAATACTTTAATGCTTCCTGTGATAGAAAACAAGACGCCAGTAGACTAAGACAAAAAAGGAGCAAAAGTGCAAAAAACAGTTAGTCCATAAAAGCAATAGAAACAGCCTTAGAAGGAGGTTCCAAAAAAAGATGATTCTAAAGCTAAAAAAAAATGAATAATTTACAAATTTCAACACCTATAGCTTAGCGTGGTTCTTCCATTCTATCCTTTGAGCCTGAAATGGTCTATCAATCATTAATTGAAGTCCATGTTATTGTTGAAGATAGCATAAGACATCTGATGCATTCTCTAACCAATGGTCTGAATATAAGTGATGTATTAAGAAATATGCCATCATACACCTTCACAAAAACGATGGAATTGATTGAATCTATTGTAAAGGAATTTGAGTATGACAAAATCAAATCAGATCTAGTTGAAGAGTGTGAGCCTGAGAAAACGACATATGATTAATGGAGGAGATAAAATGCTCATTTCATGAAGGAATTCATAAGAAAACCTGACAATGTCATGGAAGAATTGGTTGAAGAATAATATGAAGAGAAACCTCCAATTTGGGAAGAGTTTTAGCCTGAAATTGTGCAAACATAATAGGAGCCTGAAAGCGATTTATATGATGATCATTTGAGAAGCCAATTATCATATAGGGAGAGGATGAGAAAGGAATTTGAAGAGAATCAAGCTCTAATAGAGAAGGAGAAATTAGAAGAGCGAAGAAAAGTCAGAGTTTTAGTAGATGGTCAACCAGAAAAAGTAACTTATGATATTGATGGTAAAATAATACTTAAAGCTAAGAGAATACAATTGGCTCCTGTCAGAAAGATTGAAGGGTAATAAATGAAAGAATCAGCTCCCTCTTAAACAGAAGAATTGGCAGTTCTCAAACCACGACGACCGGCATTCCGAAAACCAAAATTAAAAGTATTCAAAGTACAACCAACAAATGAAGATGGAGAGGCTCAAAAGATTATAGCTTAATAGGAGAGAAATCATTTACAGGAATTCATGGATGTTTTACAATTAAAACCAGGAGTTTTCCTAGAAATGGAGCATTATGAAAAAGGACAAAGGATTAAGCATACATAAGCTTAGGATTTGCCATATCGTATCTAAAACAAGATGGATCAATATTTAGCATCTGAATAATCATAATCTATTCGTTTATCAAAGGAAGAATATTCAAGTATTACAATCAATAATAGTATTTTGAGAGGTTCATATGAATAATCTTATTTAAAGAAGAAGACAGGTGTTCGATAAAACTCCACTTAAAAAACTAAACAAAGTGATTATGAGGATACTGTCCCTAAAAATGGGATTGTGAAAGTCAATGATATTGGCAAGTTCTATGATTTGCTTATCAAAGACTCAGAAATCATAGAGGAAAACACTCACACTGATTTCCCTCCTTTATTGATGGATAGATAAGAGAGTCTTAGTATTTAGGAATTCAAGACTCCCACAAAATCAGAACTGCCTTCTATTCCTGCTACACAATTCTATAAATATCTATAAAAATAACAACCACCTAGTCTATCAAGGATAGACAACAACAGTGTTACTGGATCTGTGACTTCTAAATTAACTAGGGATAGATCAATGCCTGAAGTTGCCAGCAATATGAAATTACATTAATGTCTAGCTGCTCCTAAAATTGGGAAGTTTTTAGGTTTCGGAGTCAATCAAAAATACAAATTCTGAATATAAAATCTTTTAATTTATAATTAATAATGTTATAGCAATCACCATTATTCATCAGTTTAATCCATCTTCTAAAAAAACATTGCCTATTGGCGCAGCTTTTGATTAAAATGCAAATCCTTTTAGATCTTCACATAATTTTGAAAGTGTTCCTACTTGGACAAATATTTCACTTCCTTTTAATCTTCTACAAATATTTATATACAATATATACTCTTTTAGTAGCTACTTTTCTTTATCTAATCCACTTTCTGTCTCACTTTCTGTTAATCTCCTTCCTTCAAACTATGAATATTAACTATATCCAAATCTTGATTTCTATCTCCTTTTATTGAAGTTAGACAATGCAAGTGGTACCATATTTTCTTGTCAAAACCAAATCCAGGTGGTCGAGTCAATACATGTCCTATCCTGATGTCATCCTTAACAATGTTCTAAAGACAATTCTAACATTTCACTCTATTTGAAAGAGCATAACCAACTTCAATATACTATTTCATTATAAAAATCAAAGTCCTCAACATTTAATCAAACCTTTAAATTGATAAAATCATTTCAATATTTTTTCCTTTGAATTTTGATCCTAAATGTTGCTTAATCGACTATAGATAATGCCTTATTTTAATTAACAACACAAAATTTATACTAAATTTTCATCATGTATTTTTTTATATAATTAGTTTTAGCTGTTATTATAATATAAAATTGTGATAATACTTCTGTTTTTTAAACAATTAACCTCATCCTGAATGTATAATGAGAATTACTTACTCTAAAGTAGAGACTCTAAAATATCATAGATACTATTAAATAAGTATTTTAGCTCTTTCTTTTCTTTTCAAAAATTTTTCCGTTGCATCAGATCATTTTTAAGTGTCAAATTTATGCTTCTTTTCAATCCAGGAGTCCATTCATCAAGTAGATTAGCTGTATATGGCATATATATGATAATAGGAAAACATTTGAAAAATTCTGTAGGACATTTTAATAATTAAGAAGTATATTTAACTAGTTATGTTGATTAAATTATTACTTTATTATAAAATAGTGTAAATGTAAATGATTCCAAACTGTTAAATTAAACTTATATTGCTTATTATTAAAATAGAGAAAAACAATAAAAAACCCATTTTTTCATTTAACCTACAAGAGCTTTTTGATTTTTGGAATCAAAAAGGTTAATATTAAATAAATAGAGAAGCCTTCAATAAGTCATGGATGATATAAGATTCAAATTATATTTGATTATTTTTATATTAATATTAAATTTTGAGTTGATTAAGTTCTAACACAATGTTCGTCACAAATTTATTACTAATCATTAAAGAAGACTTTCTGATTTGTATAATTTGCAATTTTGTGAGGTATTATTCAAATTTTATCAGTAAAAGTATTAAATATTGCTTCACTGTGACGCACTAAGGGCTGATTTGCTCGAATTTGGATATTTATAAAGATTTTTAAATATTAATATTGAATTAGATGAATCTCATAGAAGAGGGCGAATAGAAAGCTTTAACGAGTGATCAATAATCTAAATCGCCCTAAAAAAAGGAACTTAGGCCTCGTTCTAATATAGTCCCAGGCATATTCTAAGAATATAAGAGACCATACATTAAAGTACCTCCAGTTTCTAAGGATTAACTGTCTAGACTGGTACTCAAGGAAGGGTTTAAAATTAAAGAAGTATGATACTGAATATTGAATTTAATAGGCTGCTAAGAAACTCCAAATCAAGTACGCCACAGCTAAAACTATAATATTCCATCTTCGAGAGGAAAAGAAATAAATTATTTAAGTAGGATCGAAGATGTGCTCATACACTGAACTGCAATCAGGTATGATTTCGAAGCTAAGAATTATTTCAACAACCTCAAATGATATAATTTCAAACGCTGAGTATCATTTAGTCCCTCTAAATACTTCACAAATCCATTGAAAAATCTATTTTTATACGATTCCTATGTTGAATAAATAATTTGAAAACACAATTTAAAATTCAATTATATTTCTAAAAACATAAAACTAAATCAATAGATCAATTGTTCTCATTTTTCTACTTTCTAAGTTTTGGACTATTACAGTTCTCCAAGTTTTACTACTTTCTATTAGTTTCTATTAGTTTTCCATCAACAATTTCCAAATCCTGTTTAAACATCCAATTTAAAGAATATCAATTCCTAAATAAATACCACTATAACTCCACGAATACAGCTCTTTATACGCATTAAGTTTCTGTGCATGTCTTCAGCTGATTTATTTTTAGACCAAATATGGATGTCTCATATTTTCAATATTTTTCATCACACAGGCAAAATCTTGAGTTCTGCAAAAGATTCTCAATAAAAATCCTTTTTGTAATTCAATGCATTTACATCCAGGCTTTATATTGTCAAAAATGCACCTTTCCCATTGTACCAGCATTGATTATTGAGATGAGTTTCCTATTAAATACATAATAACATTTCTATTTATAGATTATATTAAGTGATCATTAAATTATTTATAGAACAAAAAATTAGTCATTTTACAAAAATAATATCCCACTTCTTCCTCTTACAATATATCAATACCATCCTTACTTTGATCTCTCTAAATATTTCTTAAACTAATTTGTTATTCTCCAAATATAGTTATCGACTGTGAAGCAATTTTCTAAATTTAGATTCAATCTAATACTCATTTTTCTAAATACCTTTCTTGGCTAAAAATGCAAATAACAGCATATTGAGGCTAAAGAATACTTAATTAGAACTACAACGAGTATGCTAGATCAAAATAAGAGAACTTTGAAACAACAACTTGTTACACAATAAAAATTCTAATTACTTTTGCTAAAAGCTGAATATAAAAAATGGGAGATACTCTGAAGATGGCGATGTCAAATTACAACTAAGCAACTTAATTACTTGATAAAATTATTGATGTTTTGTGAAGAAGTTTAATATTGTAATAAATTAACCTAAATAAATTAAATCATTAAGTTTTTGCTTCCTCACTTTAATCCATTAATATTGTAATAAAATAAGTGAAGAACACGATGGTTGAGATAAGAAAGGCCCAAAAATGCAATAGATTCTCGCCTCCAATGCATTTCCCTGTCCAAGGACAATGATGATCATAATTTTTTATGCAAACTCTACAAAATGGGCAATGATCAGATCGAGGAGGTTATATTTTTTAGCATTTTTCACAATACCACACATTTCTTTATTATGGTTTATTTGGTAATGTGTATAACTACCCAAGATATTTATAATTCAAAGATGAGTCATTTGCAATTCCAGGATTGGCCAATCCGATAGCCAAATAAAAAATTGATTATACTATTGTTATTATAATTCCAAAAGTAATATCGTGACCCTGAGCTATTTAATTTCTAATCATTAGATAAGCAAATATATTGAATCCAATCAATGTACCAGCAAATAACGGCCCTATATAATAAATCTAATATAATTTACAATGCGGCCCTAAAAATATCGTTTTAGCTATGATCACATATTCACCAAATGAATTGTTGTCATTCAAAGGTCTAGGTACACACTCTGGAGACATATCCATTGATCCATAGTTCTCAACTCCTTCAGCCTTTATTAGTATGTGCTCCATATTATCTATGAGAATTTTCAATAAATAATAATTTCAAGTGTTCATAATATAATTATAATATATTTAAAACTCCATTTGAATGTATAGCTAATTGAACTAGATTTGAAGAGACAAGTTATTTAAAGTAATTGATAAACCATTTAATACCTTGTAAACAATACTTAATTAGGAGTTTTAACAATCATGTAAATCGAATTTGATATCATGTTTAATTATTAGTCATAAATAGTAATTTTGGATTAAAAAATGGTATATTGAATTTTATAAATTATTCTGAATGTAATAACAAACATCTAGATTCCACAATATTTTATAATAAATTAAATATGCAAATTCAGATATAAGTAAATTATTAGTTATTGATATTTAATTCATTATTATTTTGAATTTAGATATATTTAACTAATTGATCTATTAAATGTAACATTTAATTATATATTTATTTATTCTCTACTAATTTTGAAAGATGTTGGATTTTTAGTAGTTTTAATGAGTAAAACCATTTAAATATGTGTAATTATTATTTAATAGATTATCATTGTTGTTGTATGTTTTGTAATAAATAGTCTATAAATCTGTCTCCATCAACATTAAGTATATCAATATATTATTTGGTAGCTAACATATCATTTTCATCCTTATGAACGAAGAATAGCAATTCTTTAATGTAAATTACACGGTCAAAGTAATTAGTATCTAAATAATATTGATAAATAATTGTACTTTCTTCTTCTGGTATCCTCTCATATTCATCAAACCAAGCTGGAGTATTAACAAAAGTATCCTTATTAACCAAAGGTTGACCTAGTTTACTTGCATACTATTGAAGTTCATCTTCTTTTGGAGTTGGAGATGAAAGAAGAATCAAATATGTACAAATTTATCTGACATTGACATAACTAAAAATTTAGAATTTGAGGTTTACCCATTTTGATCTAGAATTAATAAGGCTTGCATCCATTTAGATGGTGAGTATTTCAATACACCATAAGAAGATCTAGCTAACAGCAAAGCCAATTATTTAATGTCAATTAGCAAATGTGTGCTTGTAATGGCTCTCAGATCTTCTATCAAATAATAGAGCTGAGAAATAGAATATCTTTCTTTGGATAATGGTTCTCTTGCAGTTAAGGGAGGAGGAATCGGTGTTAAGTAGTTTAAGACCTCATGACTAATAATAACATCCACAAACTATAATTAAAGTTCCTTCTAGATTCTCTCCACTCTTTCTATATACCCTCTAAATAAACCAGAGATTGCATCTAAAGCTTTAATTTCTGTTTAATGAGTGTAATAGATCCATTCATCTATTTTTAGGTATAATTGATCAGCAGCCTATCTATATGTTCTAATTTATTGTTATGCATATCTTTTTATAGCATCCACTCTATCCTTAAAAATTTATTTTTCTAAACTGATAGCATTGACAGCATCTGGATTTTGAAGTTCTTTTTTGACAACTTCCTCTTCCTTTCCTTTCTTCCCTTTTTTTTCATCCTTTTTTGCAGGTTATTTGCCTCCTTTTTTTGTTTTGTCCTCTATAATTTCTTCTTCTCCTGCAAATATTCTTAAGGAATCAGCGATGAGTTTATCTAATCTTACATTAGGATCATCTCCTTCTTGCAATTGCAATTCTCCAACACTAGGTTAAATGTCTTACAATTCTATAGCCTCTTATGTTCCATAGTAGTCATTCAGCAATTAGACTGAATTCTAGGCTCTATCTAATTCTGTCGCTAATAACTATCTCACTTATAGTAAAAAGAGATCAATTTCATTCTCAATGAATTAAGAGTTTTGTATTTATTATTTTTCTACTAACAAATCATCTCTTTTTTAATCAATGATATCAATTAATTAATCATATAAATCATCTACTCTTTAGTGCAATTCTTCCTTGCATACATCCTCTTCACACAAATCTGGATTTTCTTACACAAATTAATTGTACGATTCCTAGAAATTTCTCACATGATAAAACTTCTCATCAGGAGTATTAATTAGATCTATGAACTTTCTCTGAATATCCATTAAATAATTTGTGATAAATTCTCTTTGTTCTCTGAATCCTTTAAAAATGTTTTGGAGGGAAATATATTTGTTTTCTATTTGATTCCAAAATGAATGCAGATATTAAAGAAATTGTTAGCTTGGTTGCTTTAAAGGCAAAGAGTCTAATTAAACCTACTTGAATTAGCACTTTTTATCTAATTCAGCTTACTCTTATTATTGCTTTATCAACTCCTCCTATTCCAATATATCATTCTACTACTTGTCATATTTCTATTATATTTTGTTAATTTGAATTTAAAGAAAGTTTTAAAATATTTTATCAACATCATAAAACACTCTCTCATAATTATTTGAGGCATCTACACTAATGAATGCACTTTAAGCATTTGAATTATCAGTGGACTCAAAATTATTATACCAATTCTTTAATCCTTCAATCTGTGTCATAAAATATGAATTTTTATCTGAGATTAGTTATTATAAATTGTCTACTTCATAGAGGGGTTTAATCCTTTCAATTAATGGAGCATTATCGACTTGAGGAGTGTTGGATTCCAAATGATATAATGAGTGATTATGATGATCATACCTTCTTCCTATAGCTCTCCTTAAACACTATTCATTAGATGGCATTTCTAAATAGACACAGACTCCCACTCCACTTTCCTGCTTTTTGCGTGGAATGACTGCATAATCAATAGGCTTGACCACCCTTGCAGCTTCTTTAAGTCTAGCTTCCAAAGGAGTGAGTTCATCCTGAGGTTCAATACCTGTTAAATGCTTTTCTAGTAACTTTGCTTACTCATAATTATGGGGAAATCCAACCAATAGCCATCCTTTACAATATGGTTTATTATTAAACATATTATTTCTATGAAAATCCTCCCAATTTATACCATCATCATTAAATTCATCAATGGTTCTACTTTACCTAGGATTAAATGACTAATATTTGGATTTGTATTCTTCATAAATCTAATCAAATTCTTATTTGTCAAATAGCCTTTTAATTTTCTAGACAATTGCTTTGATATAAAGTTCTTCAGGGATGTCTTCTCCTTAACAAAGATACTCAGATATTTGTTAACCTAATTCAATTTATTGTTAATCCCAAACTTATGAGTGTTCTTCACCTTATTCATATTTCTTAATATATTCTAGTAATTCATTTATAATCACATCAATTGACAATATTTGAATCCCATACTTTTTGGCAAGCAATTCACTTACAGTTTTCTTCCCGCTAAATGAGAATCCAATTAAACTTCCTTTGAAAGGTACATAAGGTATGTCTGTAGATTGTACTTCTGATGTAGAATTCTAAAATTAGCTCTCAATCAGATATCTAACTAGGTTCCCTAAAGCATAATTATTTTGGGCTTAATAGAGATCCCAGGCTCCAGTTCCTTCTAGGTAATCTTGCATTTCCATTTTAGCAAGGAACACCTTTTGTTTATAGTTAAGACTTTCTTGCTTTTTAATTTCTTTGATGGGATCATAAGTTCTAAATCTTTTATAAGGAATTAGTTCCATGCCTTATTTGAATAGATGATGATTCTCTCTGGTAAATTGCTTGTTAAATTAATTAGAATCGTTGTTTTATAAGTGTTCATAGAGCTATTCTTCAATTTCGAAGAGAATCTCTACTAATTTTTTACATTTTTCATAATTTGATTGTCTAATATGTAATTTATATTCAACATTAATTTCTAATTATCTTTTTTATTGTAATTCTATTTCTTCATTAAATTCTGATTATAATGCTCTTAACATTTCTTCTTCTTTAAATTTCTAATTAATTACATTGAGTTCTTATTTATTTCTATAATTTTCATCTCTTAATTATCTATTTTCCAAAATAACTTCCTAACATTAATAGGCTCTCCAGATTTCATACATAATCTCTTTTTCTTATTTACTTTATTATTTGAGTTTTTCTAAAACAGTGTACTCTCTTCTCTGTAATTCATCTGTTTACTTTTCCTAATCCACAATCATTTTTCTTCTTCTTTTATCTCTTTCCTTTCTCAAGAATTCACTCATCATCTTATTCCTCAATCCTAAGGAGACTGGTTCTTGTGTTGCTCTGGTTTCAAATTATTCTATTTGATCCTCCAACTCACTTCTCATAACTTATTATGTTTGAATCAATCTGTCTTCAGTTGCTTTTTGCATAGTAGATTTGAATTTTTCATCAGCTACTTTATTTTTATGTCGAATTTATTAATTCTTTTTCCAATTTTCAATTCCTTTTTGATTCCAATCTTCCATAAATGCCATATTTCTTTGTAATTTATTCAACTAGATTTTTCTCATTTCTTCCTTTAGATTTCTTTCTTCCGTTTCCTCTTTGATTTTCAACCTACGTTCTTTTTCCGCTTATTAAATGGCAAAAGATGTAAACTTCCCAAGATGCTTATCTAGGTTAACATCCTTCTATGCTTTATTCTTCTCATTAAGTTTAGATATGAAGAATTCTTATTCCATTTTATCAAATTACTCTTTTGGTTATCTGATAACCATTAATGGTTATATGACATTATATTTACCAGTTTTTGCATGCATCATGACATCATGAGGATCATTTACTTTTTGCAATTACTATGTTAATGAATAGATTGGATACCATTTGTAATTGATAGAGCAATTACATAGCAACTCCTTTTTTGCCTTTAATTACTTGATCAGCAATTTGAAAATTAAATGGGATGTGTAAAGTTTTAAAAGTTGGTTCCAACAAAGTGAAATTCTTCATCTTGGCTTCTCTTACATCTCTTAATTTTGAAATCAATAATTACTTATTAGAGAATTCTTCGAAATTGAGTTGTTAATTGAACTTGCTCAGTAACTCTCCAAATAGATACCCATTATGAAAATCCTTTTCGAATGATGTCACCTTCCTACTCAACTATACTTCATCGTTCAACCACACCATAAGAAGTTACGACATTTTATATATAATTATATTATATTCATATTTTAATCGCTCCTTTCTATATCAAAAGTGGTTGCAAAGAATCACTTCTCGACACAATATTTGAATTCTTCAAAACGCAATCCTTAGCTTAAATGAGAGGGCACCTTGAAATGATCTTATAGCAATCAAACTTCTGATTATCTATCATTTTGAATAGATGGATAGATCCATCGAAGCAACCTGCAGCAAAGACCTATCCAACAGGACAAACATCAACACACTTGACCTAATCAGGAGCAGATAGACTAGCTACTTATTTTTAAGTGGTCAAATCCCAAATTCCAATGCTTAGATCATCGCTGCCTGATATGAGCATTTAGCAATCATGAGATAATGCAAGTGAAGTTATTGTATTTTGATGCCCTGAAATTACAGAACTCTCTCTCTATTCCTTTAAGTTATAAGTCTTGATAGTATGATCACTACTACCTGATATTAGTACATCTTCCACTAACTTCAATGAATTTACTGATCCTCTATGGATTTTGATTGAAAGTTCTTTCTATCCAGTTTCGACATTTAGAACAAATATCATATTATCTGCACCTCCTGATATGATGTTACCATTCTTCATAAATAGTAAACAATTAACAGTGTGAGAATGAACATCAAACACTTAAGTTAATGAATAGTCTTTTAGATTCCAAATCTTAATAACGTAGGAGAAACCTCCAGAACCAGAGGCCAACATTGAGCCATCATTAGAAAACGCTAAAGATTAAATGGAATCACACTGAGATTTAATAACATGCAATTGCTTCTAAAACTATGGGTCCCAAATTCGAATGGTTTGATCATCTCCACCAGAGGCCAATATCATCTTAGTGGGTGAAAATTTAACACACCAAACCATCTCAGTGTGTCCTTCAAGTCTGCAAAGCAAAGTGCCTTCTTAAACATTCCATAATTGAACACTGCAATCTCTACTTCCAGATGCCAACATTTAACCATCAGGAGAGAAACTCAATGATGACACATAATTTAAATGACCATCTAAAACATAATCTTATTTTGTGGCAGTAACATTCCATTATCTAATCATTTTATCTTGACTTCCAGAGTACAGAACCATCCCATCTGGAGAAAACACTAAGGAAGTAACAAAGTGGGAATGTCCTTGTAGATATCCTATCTGTTTGAATGTTTTCACATCCCATAATCTAACTGATTAATCATCTGAACCTGATGCTAATATTTATCCACTTCTTGTAAAACTTAAACTATTTACATTACTACCATGTCCTTCCAATATACTCAATTATCTCAATCCTTTAATATCCCACATCACTATTCTTCCATCCTTATAACCCGAACTTAATAACTGCTCGTCTTTATGTAAAGATATCGAGAATACTTCGCTCTCGTTTTACAATACTTCACTTTAACATCTCTTCGCTACATCCCACATGATTATTTTGCTGTCTTACCCGCTTGAAATCAATTTTTAACTATTTTCATAAAGTAATAATGATGTTATTGTTTTTTGGTGACCCTCCAAGACAGCTAAAATCTATTTAGACTTAATATTCCATATCCTTACAGTATTATCATTTCCCCCTGACACCAGTATGTTTGAATCTTAGGAGAAAATTACGCATGTTACACTCTCTTCATGTCCCTCTAACACATCCATTTACTTTCCTGTTTTAATTGACCACAATCTGATTGTTTTATCATTGCTACCTGATGCCAAGATTTAGTTATCATTTGATATACTAACATATCTTACCATATCAGTATGTCCCTCTAAAATTTAAATTTGTTAACAAGTCTTAGCATTCCACAAAATTATTAAATTATCTTCTCCTCCTGAAATCAAAGTTGATCCATCTGATGTAATTGTAATAGATTTAATATAATCCTTGTGTCCTTAGAAAAATGGTTTTTCTTTGCATATTATATTTTTCCACTCAACGTTACTTAAATTTGCTTTATTAAAATTACATGAATCTATGGCCACATTATTCATCTTGGTATTCTACATATTACAATTGTAAAATGATAATCCATATAATTTGGTATCAGAAATATTAATATTGCTGATGTCCTAATTATTCAAATTAAGTTATAGAAAACTCAATAAATAAATACAATTAGATGAAGCTCTTTCTAGTTTTGGAAATATTCCAGATAGCTTCACTAATGACAATAATTTCGATTTTAGTTAATCGATTGATATTACTTCACTTTTTAGTATGTTTAAACTTCCTGAAAAATGTTCTAATGTTATATTAAAGGAAGGTTAGTTATATAAACTATATTCCATTTTTTCAATGTAATCTTAATTATGATGTTTCTACAAAGCCATAATTTCTTAATCTAATTTTATTCTTTCTATAAAATCGTAAATGTATTTAGCAACATAGAACTCCTATATTGAAGTGTGACTAAATGAGTAATTACTGCCACTTTACACTATTAACATCGAATTTCTTATTAATGTTTTATATTCCTTCTCTCCATATGAGTCATTAAAGTATTGATCCTGCCATTCCTCTTAAAATTAGGAAAAATGCTATGCTTTCCTAATTTTAAGTTCTCCTTTAATTTTATATTCAATTGATGTTACTTAATTTTTTGTCATGTCCAATGCTAAGGATTATGAAAATTCCTATAAGTCCACTTTCACTGTTTCATAATTATATACCTTTCCCATCTTCTTCCATTTATCTATTTGCTAATCATGATAATAACTTATAAATGATTCATAAAATTGATAAGATGTAAATTGCTTCTATTTTAAAGATTCATAAACAATTCTGCCATCATTTTCAACATTAAATAATTAATTCATTATCCTTAGTGATTTATCATCAATCAATTCTAAAGTATTCGATTCAGAGAAGAAATTAAAAAAGTTTTGATTATCTAAATTCATTATAATCTTCATTCCAACATCCTTTAAATCTTTATCATTAAATTCTTATTAACCCAAATCATTTTTGAGTCTCATCATCGTTTGTTCTGATTCAATCAGTTTCTTTTTAATATTGATGAAATTTTATAGAAATTAATCTTTTATTGTTGAAATCTCCTTATTGGATTTTGTTAAATTTGGTAATACTTAGACAACTACATTCAGCATAAATGGTGTATTGAAGAGTATTTGGAGATTAGAATTATGAATAACATTTAAATATTTCTTAATACTCCAAATATTAAAAAGAGTTTATGATAATTATTAAACTTGATTGTCATTTAAAGATTTAAATAGACTTTTACATTTCAACAGTCTTATTAAATGCTTTATTTCATTGTTACCCAATAATTGATTAGAATGAGTATTCTGAAAATTCGTTTCTTAAACCAGAAAATCATGAATTGAATTCCAAACCTACAAAAACTCCTTTACAATAAACTATTTTCCCTGTAAGGATATCAATTTCTCATAAATGCTGATAATTGATCTTTTAATGCAAAATAAACAGTATTATTTAATGTAATCTTGACATTAATCTTCATTCAAACTTAATAGCATGATTTCTTTCATCTTTTCTAGACTACTACCACAAAACCATGTTTAATATCCCATGACTGTTAATAGTTCCCTCCTTGAAGTAATAACAACTTTAAAATTTGAACCCATCACATCCTATCCAAACTCAGCAATAAACTTATTTGTATTAAATAGATTAGATTATATGTATTCAGATCTCATCTCATCATAACTATCCAAAATTACAACCACTTTCAACTTCTTCTTCTTAATTGCCTCCTTTAATTCTTTAATTTATAACTTATCAAATTAATACTACTCCTTCTCCAAACCTTAATCTATGATGTTAAATTAAGGATGCTTTATAGTTGGTAATGAAATAAATAATGGAATCCATTATTCATTGTTAGTGTGAAGTTTCCACAATTCAACCTCAATCCTTTCTGATGCTTTGCTTTTACCAGACCCTGCCTTTCCTGTTATTAACATTACATCACACATTTTATCTTAATTCAAAAGAAAGTCATTAATCTCTTGTTATAAATCCGATGCTTTGATATCTTGTCCTGTAATTGGATCTATTATCATAGTGTTCAATGGAATGTATATTTCATTCAATTCTTCTTGTTCTCTAGCCAACAAAACTCTTTATTTTCTGATTTCCAGTAATTCGTCGTACCTCTTACCCCTCAATCTACTTAGATCTACACTTAATTAATTTATTGAGTTTTAAATATTCTGTATCTTTTCTTTAATTAAATGTAATTATTTTTAAATCTCCTTCAGGAAAACAAAATTCAGATCCATCTTAGACGACATTTCATTAACACCTTCCACATATTCGTCTAATTCTTGATTAAGGATCAACATTTTTTTTTAAAGTTGACCTTTCTTTTTTGGATCAATTTCCATTTAAATTTCTTATTCAGTCATGTTTATAATGTCAAATTTGCTTTGAATTGTCTATTTCAAGGTTTCAGATATTGTAGTTATGTCTTTAGAAAACAATCTCCTTTATAATTCTATCATTTCTTTATTTTTAAGAACTCTTTTTACACGTTCGTCCTTTTCATGAATCCATAACTATGATATTATGTTTTGACTAAATTTATTGATGGGTTCTTCTTAGATTATCTATTAAATCTTAATAATGTTGAATGCCAAGCATTCCCTTATTTTATAATCTTATGATCCATTTTAGTTATTATTCTTATCTGTATTACTCATTTATTATATCTATTATTGGGATTACCAAATAAAGGGATCTAATTCAATTTCGACTTCAAAAGATTGATCAATATGGTCATCAAAATTATATATAGCTTCAATCGCACCTTAAATAATATCGTTTTTAATTTTTTGTTCATTTGTTGTAAATAGTGTTTCCTCTAAATTCTTCATTTCTTCTAAATCTTTATTAAATTTGATATAATGCATCGCTTTAAAAGTTTACATAACTTCTCTTTGCATCTCATTAATTTGCACATTCTAATCATCTATTTTTTAAGAATTCAATAACAATAAATTTATTTCATTTAAATTTTACAAAAACTCTTAAAAATCAAATAGCTTTTATGATAAATAACTTTTCAAAAATTTGAGTTGATTTAAGTTTTATTATTATAATGTTGCAGCACTGTCTTCATTTTAATTATTGGTTTATTATGGATTATTATCAACAGATTTGATTTGATCTTAATACAATTGTCTTAACTTCTATTCACTCTAATCTAAATTTACAGGTTAAAGTTAGATTTAAAGTAAGAGAGATTAGATGTCCATGAAGAAGCGCATTTAATCCTTTTTAAATTCATTCAGAGGCATTGCATTATTTAATGAATCAAAGTCAGCATTGATTTATTTTATCAAAAAATTGAGTGTCTCTTTATTTAATTGTGATGCATTTTTATAGTCTTAAAACAGTTCATCTACATAATGCCCTTATCTTATTAGAACTTCCTTATGTTATTACTATAAATTAACTTCTTTTATTTCCTCTTGATCTTTACTAAATGTAGATTTAAATGCTAATTCAACTTTATAAATTTAATATTCGTAAACTCTTATTTAAGATATTATGCCATTTAGCAAATATATAAGATTGTAATTAACTTTAATCTAATCATCTAATGAAATCTCGTTTTGATTCTATTGGATCTTTTCAAAAATCAAGATCGCTTGCTTTACATAATGATTCAAAAAGTCTCTTGATATTAATTTATTGATCAGATTAAATAGCTAATTATCAGTAATTTAACCATCTCTTTATTAATGTTATTTAAAAGGAATTAATTGATTGGATTAGTGATTAAATAATTTTATTTCGTTGATTATTTTAAATGAATATTCTGTAAATTTATTGATTGAACTGTTGAATTTGGTTGTATTGAATTACTATGTGGGTTTTATGTGAATATAAGAAGCATTTTAGAAATGAATTTAATAATTACTCATTAATTCATTTTGATATATCATAACTGATTGTATTTCACGTATTAGTTAATAAAAGGGTTCTCCAAAACTATCTTTGATGATTTAAACTTAACTTGTCATTACTTTCCTTTGATCATCTGGTATTGCTGTCAAGTCTAAGATTGATATCGTTAATTAGCAAGAGTTTGCTAAAGTTAATAGCTGAGACTAGGTTTCCACAATAAGAAATATCAAGCTTTTGGTATTCGATTCTAATTAAGAAACTAGAGATGCACAATGATCTTATTGCAATTAAATGCTATTTTTTGTCTAACCTTAGTTTTCAATTAAAATATTAAAATTCTGCAATAAATCTTAGCATAATATATTATAATCTGATGTAATTTTCTGAATAATCGTTAATGTATTTTGACATTTGTCAATATTTAGATTACTTAGAAATGTATGAATAGGTCTATCATTATTATTTTAATTAAAAGTAAATTAGCAATATGATTCACAAATAGTTTAACTTTAAAATGCTTTTTCTTCTAATAAATACTTTTAAAACTATCTAATTTTATTGAAACCAACCAGTTAGAGTTAACTTTCAAATTATTTCAGTATGCCATCTGATTAATAGTCATTAAACAAATTAATTTTTGCTTCATTCCTGTTATAGGAGAGCAGAGTTAGTAATTTTGCATGTAATAATTTATTCCAATTTAGTTGTTATTGGACAGAGTCTTGAGTTTTAAAGAAATCGAATTTATTGACAATTGGACGATAAGTAAGTAAATCAGTGATGAGTTTCAGCCAACAAAAGTGGATTAACCAATTTTTGGAATTTGCGATATATGTGGTATACCCATCCATCAGTTAATTTAATTAACTTTTCACGGAAAACTATGATTGTCTCAATTGTCTAATGATCAACCATTTTAAGGATTCAAAAAAGTAATATATTTCGTATAATTAAATACTATTCTCAATTTTCTTCTGTATTGCAGCAAATATATATTATGCCCCTTCAATTAATGAGTAGATTAAGTCCTCTGTTGGTGACATCGACATAAATGAGGATACTAATCCAGACATAAAGTTGATCAAAATTTCTTAACCTTTTTGAGAGTTGCTTCTGCAATTTTCAACACATACTTACATGATGGTCAATTCAAATTCAGCGCCAGTTATCCAAATGTTTTAAGATTCCAATTTCAAATTGTTTTCGAATTCAGACAGATATTCCAATATTTATTGCTTGTATGAATCTTCGATAAATCTATCTTAATTTTTTAGTAAAACTGAAAATACGATTCGGAACAAATCATTACAAATTTACAAAATTTGGAGACACAAGAATCCGGAGGCTCTTAAATAAACTGTAATTTGCCTCAATACTTGATCGAGTGAAATCAATGCAATATCAAATGCTTACGCTACTTATCTATCATTCTGACACAGGCGATCAAAGTTTTCTTTATTAAAATTAAACCACTAAATAGCTATCATCACTTCATCACTTTAAGCCTTATCAAAGACAGTTGATGATTTTTCAGATATAATTTTACTATACTTTCTGAGATCATCCAAGAGATTAGACTTTTATAATCCTGTTTGTTTCGTAAGTGATATTGGTTATGGTTCTATTTTAGTAGTACCACATCCTCCTCCTCTCAAACATATATAATATTTGTCTATTGTCATTTTATTCATTATAAATATTATGTTTATTACTATAATTAGTAATTTGAGTTATTTTAAATAGAGAGTTTCGAATTATAAAATAAAAAGGATTGACAGTTTTGATTCAATTGATTATATATATTTTTATACTATGAAATAGAGTAAATTAAGTATTCGTAGTATTTTTACGAATAAATCTTAAATGTAATTATTAGATGAGAGTAAGGTTGGATAAATGATATGGGTTGTGAATAATATTTGATTAATTTAATTGGATCGTTAATTATATCTGATTTTTGAATGCCTTGATTCGAGTATAATATGATTTAGCGAATAAAATATTTGTATTTTTGTAGTGATTGTGTTATTAAATTAAATATCATAAATGGATCAATGTGATTCTTCTAAGTTGAAAATAGACTACTTGAGTTAGGAAATCCAAAATTTAAACCAAAGGTTAGAAGAATAAATAACCATAAACTTGCAATATTAAAGTCTAATTAATGGTCGAACTGATATGAAAATGCTTTTGAGTGTTATGCAATCGGAATAAGAACTTTTGAAATAATAAATAACGAAATTACTTACAGAGAGGAATGAAGCAGTATCAAAGGTAATTCACCATGTAATTTAGGTTCTTATTCTAGAATAAATACTCTAAGTCACTCAATAGGAAAGTGATTTCATTCTCAAAGAGTCAGAACAAAGAATTAAGCAACTGCAAGAACAAATAAAATATTATGAGTAGTCATGCTAAAACCTGAATCTTTACGAGAACGATCCTCAAAATGAGGGTTATTTAATAAAGTATAAATAAGTATAAATATATTACATTTTTAAGATTGTGAATTTGAATGAGGCCACCTTGAGATTGCAATAGGAGATCGAGAATTACAAGATTCAATTGGCTTTGGCTCACATGAAGATGAGTAAGTTATAGGAATCCAAAAACGATTTAATTTAGTTGAACTTTGTAAATCCACATAATATACATTTAGACTCTCTCAAACGAGATATGTAGATTGAAGATGTAACCGAATCAAGGAGTGAAAAATGTAGACAAATACATCTCCTAACTAATTGAAGTCCAAAAGAAGTTGGTCGAGATCGAAGATGATGATTCAGATAAGGATTGCACATCTCCAATGGGAGATAGAATTCAATGTTGCTCAAATAAATGTATAAATGAATCAATATTGAGAGACCATTTTAACTTAGCACAATATGCCAAAATTGGATTTGAAGAGGGCTCAACAAATATAAGCCTTTACCTTATAACAAATCAACATGAAACAACAAAAGAACCAAGATTTAAATCAATTAGAGGAACTATAAAAATGGGTAAATGAATATAAGTATTTGAAAAATAACTACGATGCTTCCAAAATACTATTTGATTAATTGAAGATTCAATTCGAGGATCTCCAAAGGAAATACTATGAAACATTATCAATAAACGCCACTTTGATTCGGGCAAATCAAAATTACGAAGAAAAATGGTAGAGCATCAACAAACAACATATCATATATAAGGAATTTTATTTGTAGTATAAGGATTCCATTGAAATATTCAATAAAAGTCTAAGCAATAAAAAACTATAGGAATCGCTATCTGAAAGGAAGGATCTGTGTGAATTTTCAATGTAAGATTCAAAGTTGAGACCGACATCTTAATTGAGGAGATCCAGTGTTAACGTAGTTGGAATTACATCAGTGGATTCAACAGCCAATTGCATCAACTACAAAGATAAATTAATCCAAATGACTAAGGATGTTTTTTAAATATTCAAGAAGAAGTAGAATGAAAATGAAAGTAGCGATGAAGATATTCCTAAATTGAACCAAATGAAAAGGGAATTTACTGTATCCAACAATTTTCAATCTAAATAACGACAAGTAAAAAAATGATATTTATCCACACATTTTTTTGCATGATAACATATATCATTATTTGCCTTTCTTTTCTTTTTTCTTAGACGGAGATTGTTTGATTTCTTCTGTTACTTTAGTATTAGGTTTTTGAGTTTCTTTAGCTTCATCCTCATCAACTTCCTCCTCCACTTCAATTTCAACCATCTTCTTCACTTTCCTCTTCCTCTTCTCCTTTTTCTCAGGCTACTCATAAATGACTTGGTCTCTCATAGCTTCTATTATGATTCCCAACAAAATTGTTTTGTATCCAACACTTTAAACTATTTTCATATTAATACTGCTATAAGGCTTCACTAAGTTCCTGCATTTCTAATTTAAAGCAATAGCGAACAATTAATGAGAGATCTACCACGCCTATTAACAAAAAAGCTATAAGAAGCTTCTTAACGTCAATCAAAATGCATAAGCCTAACGCAATTGCGAACAATGCTTAAACAGCATGCTAAATAATTAAACTCATTTAATGTACATTGGGAGTAAACTCAAGAACGTGTTGAAAAGGATAATATGGCAATTTGGCTTCAATGAACAAGTACCATCCCGAAACAAAAAAATAAATGGTGGCAGGAATAAGCAAAAATTTCATTAAAATATATTTAATATTTTCTTATAAATAATGAATTACTCATTCTCCAATGTTCCATCTTCACCAAAGGAGTATTAATAGAATATGATGAGTAATAAGAAATATATATTCTAATATAATCACAATAAGAGCTAAGTTGACATTTGGGATTCCTTCTTATTTGTTTCACGCAAGTAATTAATAGTATAAATTTGATCTATTTTAATCAATATGCATATGAAACAATTGACTAAGGATTCAATGAATAGGAGTATTAGTGGAGCCAATTTGGTTTTGTAATTGTCATTTATGGGCATTTTAAAAATATAGAAGAGTACGAAAAGATTATATACAAATTAGAGTCCAAAATAGATTATTTCCACTAGATGCAGTTTATTCATGTAGTTTTTGATATAATATCTTGTCTTATTAAGGAGTATGAGGGTCATCATAAATAACATGATAATATTGGAGGGCATCAACCATAACAAGACAGCGCAAGAGTCGCATTGAGTCTTAGTCATTCTCTATTTGTACAGCAATTAATTATCGATGTCAAAACATCTCTCCATGGCATTGAATGATAATTGGCAAGTGTTCTCGTTGTTCTCCGCAATATTTAGGAAGTATAGAGTGATGTTGATGATCATTAAGACACTTATGAGAATAATTTCTATTCTGAGGATATTCTTAATTTATTTAGAAATTGGATTCATTAATTAATAATTGAAATATAAACTAATGAGGAGGAGACTTGAATAAAAGGGTGAATGGAAAGATGAATTTTATTTATGGAATATAAATTATTATTTAATATTTTAAGAACAAAGAATTATGAAATATCCATACGAATTCCAACAATAAGATGTACCTCTATTGGAATTGGCATTGGCAATTCTAATGTTGGGTAGTTTTTTCAATGATCTGCTTTTGATTTTGATTTATGAAATCTAGATCGATTTGACTGAGAAATCATAGATGATCTTTTCAACAGCATTCATAATCCTATTTATGATCAAATGTCAGAAAATGAGACTTACTATATACCTATTGATACCTGCATACATCACTTTGATACTATCAAAATATTGGTCTCATCAATCATATTTCATGGTATTTTTGGGCTTATTGTTTTAAATCGGCTATGTTTCTTTAGTAATGGTAATGCCACAATATAAATATCCGAAACCAACAGGGAAGTATTTGGTAGGATTTAGAGAAATGAAATTACAGAATGGAGATTTGGTTTCTATATACTATCCAACTCTTTAGAAATCTAAAATTAGATCCATCAATTCTTGTAGGAACAGAGATTACATCAAATAAGTTTACAATGACTTCTAGCATGTGATGCATTGGAGACCTCCTATTATGTTTATTTATTGGATGTTGGGGTTCCTGAATAAAGTGAAGGTGGAAGATATTGAGGTTGACTCCCCTATCATAGACGGCAAGTTGCCCACGATTGTATTTTCAAATGGATTGGGAGGTTTGAAGGATCACTATTCGGTATTTTATAAGGAGTGGGCAAGCAATGGATATCAAGTATATTCGATATAGTAGGAGGAAGTCACAATAATTCTGAATGAGAAGGAGATCCATCAATATAAAACTGGAGAGGCTACTTTAGAGAATCAATTGGGCTAGCAGATTTTAGGGAAGGTAAAAATGATTAGACATTAATAATTAAATGACCGGGTGACTAAATTTCAGTCGTTATTGGATTATGTCTATAAATAACAGAATGTGGACTTTAATAAGGTAATTGGAGCAGGTCATTCTTTTGGGGCTGCAACTGTTCATCGCAGTGCATAGATTGATAAGAGAATCAGTGCTGGGATTATACTGTTCGATCCATGGTTCTTGCCATTCTCAGAAGACACTTTGAATATCAAATTGTCAGTGCCTTTACTGAGTGTCAATAGTGAGACTTTTAGATTGCGAAAGGAGAATGAAACTCCACAAAGATACAGTGTTGTTTTTAATGCACAATAAAAGAAATTAGTGATTATGATCAAGGGGTCATAGCATCTATGCACAACTGATTTGGTGTACAAGATGCCCTTTGAATTAAAGATGTTTACCAAATTAAACAATCTTAATAAAATTTTATAAATCACCATTGCGCATTTAAGATTATCTTAATATTTTATTGAGTCCTTGTCGCCATAGAAGACTCTAACAAAGTTTGAAGAGTTTAGTAAGGAATCTTTCAGGCAACCAATACATGAGATTGAATATAAATGAATGTATATATTAATATTTATGGAATCACAAATACACAGCAGCTGTGACATGAGCTGGTTAGTTTGTATGAGGTAATGGTTCAAATACTTTCACTTAGATTCTCTTGTGATCTTCTGTTTCCACTATGAATTGATAGTTTGTTCCGGCGACGATTTAATGACGTACTTCAATGATTGTGAAGGTTTAATGATGAGAGCCCAAATGTTGATTGATACCATGATGAACAACTCCTAAGACTTAGTGGTGTCTCTCTTCCACTTCTACTACTGACCAACCTCCCATCATCTTTTTTTAAGTTTAATTTATTAATAAAATATCCCAATCATCATCTAAAATTTAAAACACTTATATTAATTTATGGAATAGCTCGTATTATATTACACAATATATTGATATTCCCTTTTATCTTAATCACGTCTCTCCTATTTCAACCACACTTGTCCATCTCACATAAGATATTACTATTTGGGAAGAAAGGTGGAATGTGGATGTTCGATCTACATCAATTCAAAGATTTAACATATATTGGACAGTTAGATTTTTGAATCAATACAAAATAGAATGCTCAAATTCAAATTCATGAGTTCACGAAAAACTTCATTGACACCCAATTCATATAAATGATGAAGAATGTAACCACTGATAACAATGGAATGGCAAATCCCACTACTGAACCTTGAATCAAAGATATAGCCATCATTAGCATAAGCAAGATCACTGCGATTATGAGAATCCAACCAATCACCTCATTTATTTTTGTATTTGAGAAATTAACTGAGTTGAATCTCTGCTCGTAAAAGTTAATGGGACCAGGAGGAAACTCTTATTTTTGCAATTAATAAGCATTTTTCATTTTCTCCTACTGCAAGATCAATTGGTAGTGATTCAAGTTTATATGCACGTTCAGGGTAGCCATGATTAGTATTAAATAATTTTATTTATTAATATTAAAAGTCCTTTGAATTCTAATCAAATTATCCATAAATCTATGATTTGGATACATTGATATTAAATTATTTCTATATCTCTTATTCATTATACGGAATAATTCATAAATATAATTAATCTTATTCCATATTTTACATAATTTCTATACTTCTCATTATTTATTATTCATTTTACATCATAATTTTATTTAATTCTTTGGATGCACTCAAAACCATTCAAATTAAGAAATGCTAAAATTAATACACATCTAATCCATATTCCCTTCCTCTTTAATACGAATACTAAAGATACTGTTAATTTAGTTCATCTTCTATATTTCATCTATTTACTCTCAATGTTGTTGAAATGTCTTAATACATCCTTCTCAAATTAATTCCACTCTTCTTGATTCTTTAATTCTCAGTCACATATATGAATGACAATAGTTAAGTTAACATAGTAATTAATTCATAATATATATAAAAATCATTTATTTTCATCAATAAAATCTACAGTTTCCAAATCTGATGTCAACATATTGTGAAACTTATTGAACTCAGCTTATATGTATCCAACCTATTAGCTTGCATGTTAAATCTGATTTCTTTCATCCTATTTAACTTATGCATGATAATTAGATGCAATTTAACATATTTCTCTGATTTCTTTGAGGTATTAAATGTGATTGTTCGCTTTGATATGCAGAATCTTAGGTTTGAGAGGAGAAGGAGACTGATTTGGGGAATTCGTTGAATGCTAACTCTTATCTATCTTCTTTTGTGGAGCAATAGGAGTGGACATCACTGTTTAAAGTTTCAATTTTATTGGGCTATCCGCTGGGATGCCTATCTTTTAGTAGAATTTTTTGAATCGAGCATAACTTGGATCGTTCGATTGCTATGCATTCGGTTGAGTATTTAATTTTATAGGCGAGACTGAAGAGTGATTACTAGGAGCAGTACCTATTTCACGTAAGCGAAATTCGATAGACTGTCTCCTAGTGAGGAACTGCATTTTACGTGGTTCCTTATTAGATGTCACACTCTAACCACCGTCATTCTATTTTGTTAGACTTTAACGAGATTTCTCTATGAGTGATTTATAATTATTAGTCATAATTGTCCATTTCTCTTCCTTAATCTCATCCAGTTTTATATGAGGATCTATTGTCACCTTCTAGAAGGTCTTGAAGAATAATAGCTTTTTCTTCTTTGGTTAATTGTTGTATTCAACATCATGCAAAGGAGCCTGGACTTCTTCAGCACTCTTCCTCCTCATCATATACTTTACAACAGTGGGACTTTGATCAGCCTTGACATCTTCCATTTTCTTCTGAATTAGCCTCAGTTTTTTAAACTAAAATAACCGAATGCAATTACATATTCTTATTAAGACTTTGTATTTTACTCCATTAATTTATTAAATGGAATAAATATTACTCTTAATTCATACACAAAGAGAAGGAATCTGCTGTCATAAATTCGCACAATCAGCTCAGTAAAATGTTGAAAAATCAAATCAAGTTTTTAATTATTGCTAATTCTAATAATGATACTATCTATACAACCAGTAAATTAGAATCTAAAATTATAATAACTTAATTTGTTGCAGACAAATATTTAAAAATTGATATTCAACTATCTTGACATATTGAGAAATTGGGACTAGTTATTCGTCATCTCTATTTGATACTTACTTTTCATATTGATATTCTACAATTATGAATAAATACATTATCGAATTTTAGAATATTAATTTTATTGCATTATTGATATTGATAAAAGGAGATTAAAAATACTATTTTTATGCATTATTTAGAATACTCTTATTCAAATAAGATAGAAAGTAACCATAGATTGACAGAACAATATTGCATTTGGATTAAAAATGAAATGGGTTTATTTTATAAACTATGTAAGAATCAATAAAGCTATTAATTTAAGTACTCGATGAATTAATTAGCCCCGATTGTTTATATGACCTCTAATTTTAGTCTCTCCAGGTAGAATACTTATTCTCTTATCTTATCATATGACAATCCAAAATTCTTTGTTGCTCTCAATTTAATTAATAGCTTACATCTCTAAATCAATAATTCCTTATTAAAAATACTCTCTGTATTGCAAACATGAATTATGGTTCAAAAGTGGTTTTATAAACATGTCCGTTCCATTTTTAGCAGATTCCATTAGCTTCTTAATTTCAATAGGAATGGTGGAGTCAATCAATAGATTAATTAGTTCAGTACAAACACTCCAACGTCGTTATGATGTGGCACCATATTATTCTTGCAAAGTCTGAATACTCTACAATCCATTCAATTCAGCTAATTATTTATGATATTCTTCCCTGAAGTTTTCGAGCTGAATAATATAATTTCTAAAGATATACTTATAGATTTTTTATTTTGTATTATTACAAATTACACTCCAATTGTTGGATTTGCTCTGTCAACTCTTTGACTTTATTTTCTAACAATTCCACATACACTTTCTTCCTTTTTCTAGAATTCCTTGCCGATTCCCTATTTTTAGCCAATCGACTCTTTCCATCCGATGAGTCGCTATCAACAATTACTTTCTGACGACTAAGTGGATAAAGCAATTATACGTCTGCTTTGGCTTGCTTACAACAGCAGGGTTATCAATTAATTGCTATATTTTATTTAGATAGAGACTTTTGGATTGATTAGCCTAAAAGACTTCTTTGTTTTGTTTAAATAGATCCTCCTCCTTTGTTTTCTTGAACTTTTGCAACAGTTGACTTCCAACAAGTGCTTTAGAGCGCTCATACACAATTGGTTATTCTGGCTCATTTTATTAATTTGCGTAATTGTTCTCATTCTCGAACATCCAATCTTGTTCGACTCTGTACTCGTCATCAATATCTACAACAGACAAATTGTTTTGATTGAGAATGTTCAGAAAAGTATCCGAAGGTACAATCTAAAATGAATGATTCATGTTATTATAATATTTATATTGTTTTCAATCAATATTTCGAATACAACTCTTTTCTCTTCTCCCTATGTACATTTAAATTCCTTTATGACCAAAACAGACTTCCTGTAGTAATTATATCCAAGACAAGTATTTAATATACTATGGCAAAAGTCCAAAAAGGAGCAGTTCCCATATTTGTTGCGCGTGAATAGGCTATCATAGTAGTAACGATATTAAGGAGAGTNCTCTTATTCAAATAAGATAGAAAGTAACCATAGATTGACAGAACAATATTGCATTTGGATTAAAAATGAAATGGGTTTATTTTATAAACTATGTAAGAATCAATAAAGCTATTAATTTAAGTACTCGATGAATTAATTAGCCCCGATTGTTTATATGACCTCTAATTTTAGTCTCTCCAGGTAGAATACTTATTCTCTTATCTTATCATATGACAATCCAAAATTCTTTGTTGCTCTCAATTTAATTAATAGCTTACATCTCTAAATCAATAATTCCTTATTAAAAATACTCTCTGTATTGCAAACATGAATTATGGTTCAAAAGTGGTTTTATAAACATGTCCGTTCCATTTTTAGCAGATTCCATTAGCTTCTTAATTTCAATAGGAATGGTGGAGTCAATCAATAGATTAATTAGTTCAGTACAAACACTCCAACGTCGTTATGATGTGGCACCATATTATTCTTGCAAAGTCTGAATACTCTACAATCCATTCAATTCAGCTAATTATTTATGATATTCTTCCCTGAAGTTTTCGAGCTGAATAATATAATTTCTAAAGATATACTTATAGATTTTTTATTTTGTATTATTACAAATTACACTCCAATTGTTGGATTTGCTCTGTCAACTCTTTGACTTTATTTTCTAACAATTCCACATACACTTTCTTCCTTTTTCTAGAATTCCTTGCCGATTCCCTATTTTTAGCCAATCGACTCTTTCCATCCGATGAGTCGCTATCAACAATTACTTTCTGACGACTAAGTGGATAAAGCAATTATACGTCTGCTTTGGCTTGCTTACAACAGCAGGGTTATCAATTAATTGCTATATTTTATTTAGATAGAGACTTTTGGATTGATTAGCCTAAAAGACTTCTTTGTTTTGTTTAAATAGATCCTCCTCCTTTGTTTTCTTGAACTTTTGCAACAGTTGACTTCCAACAAGTGCTTTAGAGCGCTCATACACAATTGGTTATTCTGGCTCATTTTATTAATTTGCGTAATTGTTCTCATTCTCGAACATCCAATCTTGTTCGACTCTGTACTCGTCATCAATATCTACAACAGACAAATTGTTTTGATTGAGAATGTTCAGAAAAGTATCCGAAGGTACAATCTAAAATGAATGATTCATGTTATTATAATATTTATATTGTTTTCAATCAATATTTCGAATACAACTCTTTTCTCTTCTCCCTATGTACATTTAAATTCCTTTATGACCAAAACAGACTTCCTGTAGTAATTATATCCAAGACAAGTATTTAATATACTATGGCAAAAGTCCAAAAAGGAGCAGTTCCCATATTTGTTGCGCGTGAATAGGCTATCATAGTAGTAACGATATTAAGGAGAGTGGGTACTACCCACTATTATGATAGAGTTCAATCTATATTTTAGCTTTTAAAATCATCGAATTTCATCATGTTCAAACCAATTAAAGAGCCACACAATAAGCTATATTTTAAATTTAGCTAATCCATACACAATTTAACATTTTTAAAATAATAGATATCTTGGAATTGAATACTGAGAGCATTATAAAAAAAATAATAGGTGGGTACTGTCATTACACCAACAGAACTGAAACAATTCTGGGAGTATTACTTTCAATATTGGAAGTTTGTTATTATAGTCTCTCTGACATCAATCTAGCTCTCTGTTTTTGTGCATTAATTTGTTATTCATTTTACCAAACCTTTTAGGAGTTTAGTATATTTATTATTTATATTTGAAAATATTCTTGAAAATAAGCATATAAATATTAATTTTAATATAGAAATAATATTTGATAAATCACCAAAGAACTATTAGAATCAAGAGTGCGCAAATGTGTAAAATAGAACCATATATATAAATGTCGCAGGCTCTGTCATATTCATATGCTTCCTAATTAGACACGCATTTATTCATTGGTTTATACCAAACACATTCTGATTCATGAGTACATGATATCTGATTGGTATATTAATTACATGAAGTCTCTAAGCAAGAGTCATTTTACCATTCACATCCAAAAATACTGTATTCATTGCATTTGCATTCTTCAGTCAATTATGAGCAACTCAAACAATGATTGTCGTCATTTCTATTTTGAGTGTAAAAGCATTTTTCTGAATTTCTAACACTTTTAAAACATTCTTCCTAAAAATATAATATTTACTAAATACCTTATTTAGGATGGCTTTGCAAGTATTTGTAAGACATTAATCATTAGACCAAATGCAATTCAATCCTTAGATTTGAGACACCAAGCATCTTGATTTTTCAATTATATCAGAACATTAGTTAATTGATGAGCATTTGTCATTCTAATAAATGCATTTCTCTGAATTGGTTAATTTGCAATTTGATTTAGTATTATGCGAACAAGTTTTGACAACGCATGATTGATCCCAATGACATTCTACTCCTTAGGGTCTGAGAGTAGAACATGATTCTTAATTGTCAATATCTGAACATTCCTTGACTGATTAGCATCCTTATTAAGAATTGGAACAGAGTTCTCCTTAGTAGACTAATCCATCGCAAGGAATTTATGAATTTTAGCAGGTTTTGAATTAACATTAATTCTCATACCAAGTACATTCATGACTATGATAAATGGGATTGTATTACATTCCATTGATTATATTTGTGCAATCAGTGGTTGTCAAAGCTTCTGAACATGTTAATGGAGTTGAAGTGATTATTGTGAGTGAGATGAAGATGAATATGATTGTTTTCATGAGTTTATTTAATGAATGAATGAGAAGAGAATATTATTTATTATTAATTTAAATAAATACATACATATAGAAAATAAGTAACCATATGAATACATTTTCAAAAATATTTGGAATATTTCTGTCTGAGACTCTTGTCAATTGATTATTAACACAAAATTCTAACTTTCTCATTGGGATTATTGGCCAATAGAAGTTCAATTACTTCAAAATGTCTCCATCGCAATGCGGCAACCAATGGATAATCATCAATTTAATTAACCTAAATATAATTCGAATTGTCAATTACTTATACTGAAATATTTTAATCGGCACCATATTAAATTAATATTTTACAAACATATTCGAATCCGTTCTTTGCTGCTATGTATAACGGAGTGAATCCACACGAATTCTTTTTGTTCACAAGTCTCAGAGGACTAGTTGGTTCATAGAGGTATCTTTAATATTATTATATAATTATATAATACCTTTTTGGATCATTCATTATGATTTTTTCAATTAGATCAATTGAACTGCCTTTCTCGACATAATAGAAGAGTTCTCTCTCTCTCTTGATTGCCTTCAAAGCATCGCTTAAATCATCATGGGCTCGTTGTTTTGCAATGTGCTACTCCTTGTTGATATAATCTATATAGGAGCAGGATCGGAATTTGGTTTAATTGGCATTGAAAGTCACTTCATCCTTTTATGTTGTTTTAATTATTTACAGGTGATGAAATGGACTTGATGAGGGGCATTTAAAATAATCGAACTGAAAGACACACATTCCTTATTTTCCTCCAATAATTTTTGCTATCGCTTTCGAACATAGGAATACTACTCGTATAGCATATTATTACTCATTCACTAGTTTCGGACAAGGCTATTCAAAGACTACTTTTTATCTCATTATTGAATATATATATATATAATGTAGTATGCAACTATTAGGGAATTTATAAAGTATTAATATTAAAGTAATTATTATCAAATGTAAAAATATTAGGCAGCAATTATAGGCAAGAAGTCCAACTAACCTGACATAAATTGGACTGATTTCAACTGGCCTCCACTTATTAAGATCTTTCATTTCGACTTGAGTGAATTACAAGATCCGTATAAATCATTGGCACGTCTTCTTTACATTTCTTATCTATTAATATTTGGCACAACATGCTTGAATCTGTTGGATAGCTTTATTTAAGCTGGAGTGGGATATCCCAAAATCAGAATATTATATGGATTTCTCAATATCTTCATATTTAACGGAATCCAAATGTACATATTTTATAGAGGATACAAGGGACTGTGTGCTGATTAATCTTTGTTAAAATGGTACAAGATTCTACATGTAATCAATTAAAATAAATTAAGTTGGTGGCTGGAATCTTGTGGTTGATAGTAAGTATCATAGATGCTTTGGGTTGGAATGGGTTTGTAAGAGCAGCATATTTTGGAGATCAGGGGGAAGGAGGATTAGTGTTCCTCTCCATCATGGAGAGCTTAGGATTTTTGTTTAGTTTCATTCTAGCTCCAGTCTGCATTTATAAAGTCCATACCTTTGTGTTTGATACTATAGAAATGACAGATAAATTATGATATTTTAGAATATGACTTATTTATTATTATTGTCACAATCATCATTAAAATTTGAGAGACCCTCTAATAATAATACTAATATCTAGTATCCTAATATTCTTGAACAATTTATATATGTATACAATCTAAAAGAATACTTGTTAAATGATCCATCTCTTAATTCCTACCCATTCAAAATGAATTACTTATGGAAATTAACAATTTATTTATTCTGAAAATTAATTTAGAAAATAAATGGACTCCAAATAAAATCTGATTTCGTTTTTAGCAGAACTGAAATCTAAGGAGATTAATGACGACACTTATGATTGGTTGGAGAAGCAGATGAACAAAGGAGATTAAACAATTATTCATTAGTTGATTTTAAATATTGGAGATCATTTCGATGATTAATAGTATGTATTAAATGCATTTTAAGGATTGATGTACTTCATGAAATTTATTAGATTCACTCAGTAAGATATATGATATCAATCCTAATGTTCTAGTTAAAGAAGTGAAAGAAACTAAGATGACAGCCAAAATATTGGTGCATTATTTATGTGAAATAGAATCCAATACATGGAATGAATGTGGACTACAACTTTTGGTGTTATCCTTTGATGACAACCATTTTCATCATCAAATAAAACAATTAAATAACAAACAATAGTTATAGCTTGTCAACCATATACTAAATTATTTTGCATAAAGTGACAATGCTGAAGTTTTTAGTATTCTAATTCAGATCTTGTTTGTGTTTCATGAGAATCAGGACGTTGTGTCAGTTATTATTCAACATCAGAATGCAAGATTCTTCTAAGAATTTCTATTGGAATATCTCAACCACACTAAGAATGATGTCTCCAAACCACTCTTTTTTATTGAAACTATTATGAAATTAGATAAGGATTTCTTCTACGTCAACGATTTTAAGATCTTATAACAAATCTCTATTAGGTAAGTGTATGATGGAACTGACAATGAAAGAAGATTGTATTTGAGGAATCTCAAGATTATTATTTAATATGGCAATCAAGAAAACATATTAGGAGATGAAATACTGGAAGCAGCAAGAATGGTTCAAATGACTTACACAGATAACTATTGTTTAAAGAAATGTATAAGTATTATTGACAATTTGATGAATAAATAAAAATAATGAAAATGAATATCTTAAAAATTATTTTAAATTCCATTTGCATTAAATGGCATATCACAAGAAATCTTTTACTTGGTCTCCCTGTGTTTCCCAAGTGTTAACTAAGACTTGTCTCATCAATCTTAAACCTACCGTCACTCCTAAATAAGGTCCTGTGCATCTGAAAATTGATACTGAAAGAGAATTATAATTCTCAAATGATTTAGGATGGAATTGGCACAAAAGCTGGAATATACCAAATCTATCAATTAAATTACACCTTCTAAACGAAGATACACCTTCATGGATAGACTGCCAAGTAGATTTCAAATTTTAAATTAGGCTTAATTGATGGCTGTAAAACTTAAACAAGATGGACTCTATGAAGAAGTAGGCTTGGAGGGAGTTACATAACAAGACTTGGTCGATGGTAAAGCCTTTTTCTCGGTATATTCATTAATCGATTTTTTTAGGGTGTTAAATTTAACAGCACAACTTACAACCATTAAGGACATAAGTTTCATTTGATCTTTTTATTGAAAACTTTAAATAACATAATAATTGCACTTGAGTCTCCTCCTGTATTTGTAGATAGTAGGAAAAGTGCAAGAGATGAACACAGATAAACATAGTTTATTCAACCATTCGAACCAAAATATTTGGAAAGGAATTTTTGTAAGAAAGAGAAGCATTTCAATGATGTAATCTAAGCCCCTATAGAAAATAATGAAAATGGATTACACAACTATCTAACTGCTCCAAACATACGTAATAAGGTATGAGTTTTAATGTTATCCTGTATAGATTAAACATCCATTATTTTTGGCCTTGAAATTTTCAAAATGCATGGCCATCTATCATTTAAAAACTATGACAACTGATAATCATATGATAGAATTTCAAAAGCAATTAAAATAAAAACAAGGATATTCCGAATACATCATTGCCTTTTAATCAAATAACAATAGAATTCGTAAAAAAGTAACTATACACATTATATTTTAGATCGAAGAATCCTTAATCTAGTTATTCATTCAAAGTAGCGTGAAAGTTATGGAGAAGAAATATGTTGATGAAACACTCTATTAAAAATTAGATTATGACATCAAATCATATTATGCATCCTATAACAAATTAGTGGAAATGATGAACTCAACTAACGCGGAAACATAGATGGAGATTCAAATCGAAGAATAGAATCAATAAAAAGTCTACTCATAGAATTAAACCAATCGTCAATAACCAAATGGAGAACGAAAGTCAGCATTCAAAAAATTCACTAAAGATTTTGACAAGATGCCAACCAAAAACTTTAGCGATTTACAAAATGAATATGATAATATTTAGAAGAAGGTGAAAGTGGAAGAGGAGGTGGAGAATGGACAGCCAATGCTCCCTGTTAATGTATGTATTTAATGTAACTAAAAATAGATTTAAAATTTATTATTGCAAGAATAATTAATAAAATATTACTTATTCTAATAATAATATATGATTAATTTGCTATCTTAATAGATCTGAATGTATTAAAATATATTTATGAATAAATAATAATTAAAAGAAAATTTGTATAAATATTGAGTTCTTTCACTGCTCATATAATTTTGATATAAGTTATCCCTTTATAATTAAATAAATAAATGGATTATCAGTTTCCGAGAAAGCAATTAGCGATATCGAATTCGACGAAAGACAAGGTGGAGGCATGCAAAAGATATATAGAGAGAAAATATACAGATCTATTGAAAGCGGAGATGGAGAGGAGGGAAGATTGGGCCAAATTATGGGTCAAAATGAAAGATATGCAATTGAAGGGTAAGTTTATGAGGATTAATTTAACTTAGCTCAGGATTAAGAGTATTATAAATAATTGGTTTTGAAGAAGGAAGCAGAACTGATGAGAAAAAAGTAATTAATAATTTTGAATATCTATTCATTAGAAGATAGAAGTTTTGCACTGATGATTTTGAGCCAATAGCTATAATTGGAAGAGGAGCTTTTGGAGAAGTGAGAGTTTGCAGAATAAAAAAGACAAAAGAGATTGTGGCAGTCAAAAAAATGAAGAAGTGCGAAATGTTAGCCAAAAATCAATTAGCACACATAAGAGCAGAGAGAGACATCTTGAGTCAAGAGAATCCTTGGGTAGTCGAATTAAAATGTAGTTTTCAAGTATCCAGTGCTAATTATATATTGAGGATGACAAATATCTCTATTTAGTGATGGAATATATGGCAGGTGGAGATCTAATGACTTTGTTGATGAAAAAAGATATACTAACAGAAGATGAAGCCAAGTTCTATATTGCAGAATTAGTTTTAGCCGTTGATTCTATCCATAAAATGAATTATATCCATAGGGATCTCAAACCGGATAATATTTTGATTGATAGAAAAGGACATCTAAAGTTATCTGACTTTGGTCTATGCAAGTAAACCAATATATTTAATCTAAGGTATTCAGAAATCAAACCCAAGGTTGAGTTGGGCAGAAAAATCCAGAATTAAAATGTGGCCCCAACTCCCATACTCAACAAAATGTAGAAGAGAAGACAACTAGCTTTATCAACAGTTGGTACTCCTGATTATATTGCCCCGGAAGTCTTTACTTAACAAGGATACACTGAGACAGTGGATTGGTGGAGTGTAGGAGTAATGCTATATGAAATGGTTGTTGGATATCCTCCATTTTTCTCTGATGATCCTTAAACAACTTGTCAAAAAATCTTACATTGGCAATCCACATTCCAAATCCCATAAGATATGAGTCTGTCACCCTAATGCATTGATTTGATTAGAAGATTAGTGGCTGACCATACCGAGAGGCTGGGTATCAACGGAGTGAGTGAAATTAAAATTCATCCATTCTTTCAGGGAGTAGATTGGAAAAGAATAAGGGAAAAGATCACTCCTTATCAACCTTAAGTGAATCATGAAATAGATACTTAAAATTTTGAGTAATTCGAAGAGGAAGAACCTTGGAATTGGAATTCTAGTAGGAGAGTCAAGAAAGATCATTTTCAAGGATATTCTTTTAATAGATAAGTTTAAAAAGAACAAAGCCCAGTGAGAGTTGCTTTAGAGAACATTGATAAAGTTGAATTCCCAAAACGATAATAACCAACCTAATAACCACAGAGTTAAATTTAGTAGCCAGGTAGTCCATCTCACAGGAAGGTTATTGCTAAACCTGTTGCTTATGCTTATAATAAATCTGCTCGTTCGAATTCCCCTGTAAATAAGAATCAATAACAATAAAGCTCTCTAAAAACTATTCCTTAACAACAAACATTATTAAATATTTTATCTTAATATAAAAGAAATTCTAATAATAATAACAATAACAATTCTAATAATAATTCAGCCTTGAATTATTCAAGTTCCAGATTGCCCAATCTCAAAAGTGTTCGAGAACAAAGTCCTAGATCACCAAGAAATGCATAAAAATATTATTATTAATGATCTTTCATTTAATTTTGTTTACAATCTTAGTTTCATTATATCTTACATATATAAAGTAAATAAATCATTCACAATTTTTTTTGCCACTTTTGAAAGCTGATCTAACAATGTTTTTAATTAAATAATAGTGCTCCAAACTTTTCTAACTTGTTTTCTAAGAATAACATCTAAATAGATATATCATATTTAAATTACTTTAAGTGTTTAAAATTAATACGATTACTCAAAAAATATATCTCCTCCAAAGTAGGGTACTACAAATTTTCAATTTATTCGCATTAACTCGATTTCGTAAAAGACAACCTTTCTAATAATTTATAAAAATTATTGCATGATTAATAAAGTTCTGCTATTTGAACACTTAAAAAATGCTAAAGTAAGTTTGATATCATCTTTGGTTGATAACTATGATATTCAATAAGTCTACCTCCTTTTTTGTATCTTGCTGATTGTAAATTCAATTATTGTCTCAATAGGATGAAACAATTAATTGGTGATAAAATATATAACAAGACACAAAAATAGAAAGACACTTATCAATTGAATCACTGATATGTAGAACCTTGTTGTCAACTACTATATTAAATCATCATTATAATTTTCTTAGAATTTGTTAAATTCAGAACTACTGATTAAGCTTTAATAGTGAATTTTAAAATTTACACAACAATCGAAATATTGAAGGAACTAATAGTTTACATGCTTACAAACATATCTTAATTGTAGAAGGAATTAAATAGGCAATTTAACTCTTTTTAACTTGTCTGGTTTTTGCAACTAGAACTAATTGTGACGCTGTTTAAGCTTATCCAATCATCTTCAGTAAATCCAGTAATAGATGTATTATAGAAATAAAGTGGCAATTGTTAAGATGTAATCTTGTAGGGATGCAGAATCATTATACCATCTAAGGATACTAAATATATTGATGTGAAATCTTAGCCGAATTGTTAAATTAGATTTGCAATGAGCATAGAAGGAATCAAATCAAAGGCAGCACTTCCAATTAGTTCTAAATTTTTATCAACCAATGGCATAGCCATAGATAATCCAATGCTGGCTGATTGGAATACTAAAATACACATAATTAATACATAAATATGGGGATGCTAATGAATAATTATATTTATCATAAGGTACATGATTATTAAAGTTTCGAGTCGCCTCTATGTACCAACCTCTACTCTCAGGAATGTATTTATCAATATCATGTCTTTGTAGGCAAGGATATGTCATTAAGATATTGTCTGTTTTGATGTATACAGAGAGTAATGATTAAAATGTTGTTTTGCCTTTGTGGATAATTGGTCCAAAGGCTTACATTTACTCCTGAGTCTTAATATTTAAAATTTCTTCATCTGTGAAGGGGTCATTAAACTTCGTTTTATTTGTGTAACAAATAAATGAAATTGTTGAGTTATAATAGGATATTTTGTTTCCAGAGATTATATGTTAAGGAATATTGTCACCATCTCCTCCATATAGCATATTGAATTAAGGGTTTAGGGGAGATGGTTGGCTCCTATTCTTTTTTTTAAGGTAATTATATAACTAGAAAACTGATACTAGGGTTTGACCATCTATATAAGCAAATTAAAAATTACTCGTATTAAGCAGAGAATTGAAATAGCTTTGGTATTTATAGAGTTGAGTTGTAATAAAAGCGCTAGAAAGCTTAGAGTAAATTTCTTCTGAGGATTGTGTAAAGTAAAATTGCACAAAGGTTGAGTGAATATAACTAGCACATACGACGTATGTAACAATCAAGATAATTAAGAAACTGATAAGAATTAGTAGTTAATTCTTAAGTTTTAAATGTTTAAGACAGCTGAAATTATGGGTTAGGTTTTCTTTATTTTCTCTCTTCATTAATATGATTAATATGATTAATATTAGATAATTTGATTCAAACTTATAAAATTATAAACTAACTCGTGCTTAAATGAAGTAGATCTATCATAAATTTATCGATGTTTACTTAAATTATTTTCCAGTAGTAAGGTAAGAATGATATTCTCAAATGAATTTAATTTTACAAACCCCAATCATTAATTATAGTATTTATAAATTCATGAAACAAATTTTAGATAGGATTAATTTCCATTATTATATATTGATAAAATATGGCTGGAGGATTAGAAAGAGTATATGGAACCGAAGAAGACAAGGTTATCAATTATATCTTAAGACATAGGTTAATTGCTCGTTCTACATCAAAATTGGCGCTTGTCGTTATGAGAATAAATGCTAAAGAATCCACAGCATACCTCCCATATCTTAAACCATATTATTCAAAGTAACCTTTATCTATCATAATTTTAGCACATGTACTAAAATTCTCCCATCGAAGTGGCCATTGCTTCCGGTAATGCAGTCTCATAGGCAGGGATTGAAGAAGCATTAGAAAAATTTGAAAACTTTTATGAAGATGTGTTTTTAAAGGTATTATGTGTGTTTATTAATGTATAAAAGTTGGCTGAATTTGGAGAGATTGAAGATCTAATCGTATGCGAAAACATTGGCGATCATTTAGTTGGAAATGTTTATGTGAAATATACATCGGAATATTATGCAGAAGGCTGTTTTAATGCATTGCAAAACTTATCCTATGAAAATAAACCATTATAGATGGAATACTCACCTGTACTTGATTTCAGCAGTGCTAAATGCAAATAATATATTGATGGCACATGTCAAAGGTATATAAATTTGCATATTTATTCAGAGGAGGAGCATGCAATTACTTACATCTCAAGAAGATTGCTACTAAATTCAAGAAAAGTTTATTCAATTAAATGTATGAAGAGCATCCTGATTACAGGGAAAAAAAAGAAAAAGAAAATATAGAGTATAATTTATTTTGATTATTGTTTAGAAAAAGTCCCAAGAAACATAAAAAGAAGGAAAAGAAATCTAAAAAGAAGAAGAGTAGCAGCAGTAGGGAATCCAGCAGAAGAAATTCAATTGAAAGATAAAAAATGATTAATGATTGGAATGAAACTGGAATATAAAATGTAAGATATTTGTTTTTGAGTATTATTAATTAGGTTTCTTAAGCATAAAAAATGATGTATGGAAATAATATGCCTGCTCCTGTTTATACTCCTAAAGTATCTATGCGAACAAGTCCAGAGTTATTACAACTTTAACTACAATTAGCAGCATTAAAAGAGCAATTAGCTGCTATTAAAATGAGCTGAAAACGCTTATGTTATATTTTTAATAATTATATTATATATATTCTAACCCATGCAAAGGAAGAATTGGTAACTAGATGTATGTTTTTTCCTTAACCCAAATTTAGGAAGATAATGCATTGCTATAGAATTGTTAACAATTAAATTTCAATTGGAAAAGAGTTTCAAAAAATATGAATTAAATGGGATTCAAAAGATCTGGCAAGTCTTGTAAAGAAAGGTTCTAAAATCAATTAAACCCTCAGATCAATAAAGATCAATGGTCACAAAATGAAATTGATAAACTATTTGAGTTATAGATTAAACACGGAAATAAATGGGTAGTTATTGCTTTAATAATTTAGAGAATCATAGCCAAAGAGTTGCCAAATAGAACTGATGGACTCATAAAAAATTATTTCTATTCCCTCGTCCGAAAAGTTCTACGCCGTCTATCTAAAGCTATTAATAGAAATAAAAATGGTATCAACTATAATTGAAATAGGTTCCAAAATGACTAAAACCTTAAAACCATCGGTTATCTCATAGATCTTTTGTGCAAATCAGGATGAATCCAAATAATAGACAGTTAGCCTAGAATTCGCTTATTTATTTAGAAACATTATATTCAAGTATAAAAATTATAACTTGTCTTAATAAATTGATATTGACGACATAGGCAAAATTAAATTCATATTTCTTACGTTACAAAAATTAAAGTATTTTAATATCTTACTTAGTGAATCTTATAATTCTGATAATAATAAAAGCTCAGAAACTAAAATAAACTAAAAATAAGAAAAATATAATAAAAAAAGCTTCAATATGAATATTAATGCAGTATATAAAATATTAATTAGGTTATTTTACATAAAATTAATAACAAACTTCCGATTTTTACTACTAATATGTATCCTCTAGAAAACTTGTATAAGAGATAAGATAATAATTTTGATCTTCCTTAATAAATTAACTATTAAGCAAAATCATCTTTTCATGTAGCCTAAAATTTTAGTAATAGTGAATTTCCTTTGAAACAACAGCAGTAATATGTTTTTTATCATCCTATTCCATAATATTATTATGTATATATACTCATATTATTTAGTCTATGACTTTAAATGCTTATATATTATAACAACAAAACTTAAGAAGTTTATATAGTTCTTATTTATATGAATCAAATAAAATCAAGCAAGAAAATGAAGAATGATTGGTTCTAATGTAACAGACTTTTATTATGTTTATTATAATCTAAATTCCCATACTTCAAATTTCTATCTTAATTTCAATTATCATGAAATTGGTTATTAATTAACTGATCTAATTAAATGAAGTTAATTGTTAGTAAAAATTGTAGAAAGAATATCTTATAATTTAAATTAAATTTATAATTAATTTATTCAAACTTTATTACTTATTTTAAATACTTCTTACTCAAAATATTTTACTTTTGGATAGGCATTTTGCATCATAACTTTTATTACATTTCTAACATGGCTTAATATTAGGTTTTTCCAACTCTTTTCTTAGATATTCATATTTCTTATTGGATTCTTATAATTTTTATTCAATATATCTATTCTTCTATTTATCTTTGGCTTTTATTTCTAATTATTATTTATATTGTTAGTTCAATTCATCAATGTATTACAATTTCTTTTAAATTTCTTAATTTTGCTCACTCTCTTCTCTATTTTATATTTGTTTATTGATTAATTCACAATTCAGTCTATATTCTTCTGCTGTCATTATCCTCTCATTTCTCTAAATTATTGAATAATCATACTTTTTTTTCCTTTTGCTCCTAAATGGCTTTCTATAAGTACTTTGAATATTAAGTTTCTATCATTCTTTTTTTTCCTTGTTCTGCTAATTTAATTTATTAATCTAACTAATGTTAATAATCTGCTTGCTATCTTTCTTATTGTTTTCTTAGTTTTTCTTACTCAATTAATACAGATTCTTTCATTTTTAATGACTCATCTCTTTGTTATTTTAATAAATTCCTTTCGATAATCTTTTTTTATTAAATAATTTGTTCTGCTCTTTCTTCATCTCCGACTTAAAACCATTCATTCTGACTATCATCTTGTGTTTTAATTTTTCTATTTTTAATTTACTCATTCAAACTTTCCATAAACTATTTCTTTTTGTAATACGATTGGATGACCTCTTGTTAGATCCTATTTTAATCTAAAATATCGGTTTTTTTAATTTATTATGCCAACTTTTCATTATCTTGCTTTTCTTTGCTTTTTCTTTCCTCCCTATATTTTTGACTTTCTTAATAACTTTTTTATAAGAATTCTCTTTCTTTTAATTTCTTTTATATGATCTATGTATTCTCCTCTTCTTATTATTTAATAATTGACTTGGTCATTTCTTGAATATAAGCCTTGTCTTATTCAATTAATTTCTATTTAAGGTGTTTCTTTTAATCAGAGATTTCATTATTCACACAATTATAGCACACTTACGAGAGACTTTTGGAAGCGGATTAGCGATTTGCAATATATTCTTAATAAGCTGTGACTGTCTTTGAAGATGTATTTTAATGAGTTGAATTTCTTAAACTCTAATTTTGATGACTCCTATTTATAATAGATTGTTGCATTTAACAGATATTTAATAATATGAATAATTAATATTGTAGTTTTATGAAATGCGCAATATTTCAATAATATTTATAATTATATACAATCCTATCAAAGTGAGTGATTATTCAATGCGAAAGTTCTAAAAAAATAAGGTTGAAATAGTAGTTTTAGAACTTGACATGGCATTTATTAAGAATATTTTAAAAGTACAAATCATAAGATACACTTCATTTATGGGAGTTCTAAATTTTGAATAGAGACTTAGGAAATACCTCCATAGGTGCAGACTAAAATGAATACTTTAAGAACCCTAAGTAATATCACCTAATTATTATAAAAGCAATTTGAGATTCTGGAAAATTCAGTTATACATATTAGACTTTCTCATTATTTTCAAAAGAGCATATCAATCTATTCAATTAATGTGATAGAATACTTGCTGTTTGATCCCCTTGGACTTGAAGTTATCAGTATATTGAGACTCTAATAGATAGCATTGGCTTGATCAAGTATTTTAATGAGGTTTGATATTAATATAATTAAATTAAATGCAAAAGTCCATAGGAAAATATACAACTTCGACTGCTGGTTATTTAGGTAGCGGATCATTGGGGAGAGTACAACCTTTTGATTATTTTTAGGTTGATAAAGCAAGGGACCCGGAGAAAAATATAGATGTGGTTCTTAAAGCAATTCCTAAGAGTATTTTAAAGGATGACGAGGCTATTCAGTTGGCTTTATTGGATGAAATAAAATTGTTTCAGAAAATCAAGAATCCAAAAGTAGTGGAACTTTTAGATGTATTTTAACATGAGGGAACATATTATATGGTGATGGAATACTGTCAACTCAATTTATAACAGTTAAATATTATATGTTATATTAGGTATTTAAAGAAGGACAAAGAGAAAATGTGTATGAGTGAATAAGAAGCTATTAAGATGTTAAATGATCTACTTGAAGGGTTCACTGAGTTAAATAAACACGGGGTGATGCATAGAGGATTAAAATTATCCAACATTATGGTAAATGAAGGAGTTTTCAAATTAGCAGGTAATTTCTATAAAAATATTAATAGATTGTGGATTATCCAAATGTTTAGAGTCATTCAGAAAGGAGCAGCAATAGCTATCCTAATATCAATATTTATCACCACAAATTTTATCAGGTCAAAAATATACTAATAAATGTGATATATGGTCACTTGGTATCATATTATATTAAGTGCTCTTTGGATACACTCCTTGGTTTGGTGCAAAGTTGGATGATTATCAACATCAATTATGGCACACATTACTCTAATTTTCAGAAGACAAAAAATAAATTAGTAATGAGATGAAATCTTTCATAGAAGGTTGTTTGGCAATAGAAGAGGGTAATAGAGATTGAATATTTTAGAGGAGAGATTTGATTGGGATGCAGTTTACAAACATAAATTAGTGTGTGAGCATTTCAAAAATTACAGATCTCAAATCAAACAAGACCAAATCAAATTTCTGATGAACGAAGTCAGGTAGAAAATCATCAAGTAGAATATCGATGTGATTAAGTTATTTAATGAACTAGATGTCAATGGCGATCATACTTTAGAATATAAAGAATTGGTTGTACTACTTAGAAAAATTGATAAAACATTATCGAATAATGATTGCAAAATCATCTTTAAACAATTAGATCTAGATGGGGATAAAACTATTTCATTTGATGAATTTGCAAAATGGCTCACTGATAATAATACAAAGATGACTTTATTAACTAGGAAATTTCATCGTCAATCGACCATGAAGAATACACCTTCACCTGGAATCTAACCTTAGGGTGCTAAATAACCAATATCCAGTTAAGTCAACATTTAAGCTCCAGCAGGATTTGACAATTAGCTCTATAATCCTATGTTTACATAAGAAGATTTAGACACAAATCCTTTTGAAGATATTTGCAAGTAACGATCTCCTGAATAAACTATTTTATTAATTAAGGATGGAATCAATTAGTTTAGAATCAATTTATTTGATTTCTTTTGTAGGTTTGATTAGAATAGAGATGGTTTTATATCTTTTTAGGAATTTTTTGCCATGGCTAAATAAATTAACTAATAATTTACCAATGAAGAATTAAGAATAGCATTCAAAGTCTTCGATTTGAATGATGATAATTTTATTAAATTTGATGAATTTTCGGAGATCCTTGCAATTACAGTTCAAAGAGTATAATTTATTATTAATTTTAAGCCAAATAAATTAAATTTGAGTTCTCCATAATTTCCTATGCAAAATTCAATTCATGCTCCTTTTTTCGGTACTTAATATTAATAATAACCATAATAACCATAACTTCCATAATAAGTATTAGTTTCTTAATTTCAAAAATAACCCTATTATTAATAATAATAATAATAATAATAATAATAATAACAATAATAATAATAATAATAATAATAATAATAATAATAATAATTGTTTTAAAATAATAGTTATTAAAGCTTACCCTATAACTAATTTTAATAAGGAGGATAATAGTAATAATATCCTAATTAATAATAATTTAATAACAACATTCCAAGCTAAAATAATGATCTTAACATTGCTTACTAACTTATGAATTATTGATTAAAAACATACTTATTTTTTTATAAATATATAAATTCTATTTAAATAGTATTGTTGAAAACAAAAATCATGATTGAATTAATCTAATTTTCAAATGCTGAAGCGGAAGCTGAGGAAGTTAAAACCTATTGTTTGTATTTTATTTAAGAGGACTAGCTAGTTTAGGTTTCTCGGGTGATTTCGGGGGTTTTTGAGTCGATTCGAATTTTAATTAAAAAGATTGTATTCTCTGCCGGTTGGATGTTAGGGTTTTTCTGTCAGTTATTTGGTTAGATGTATATGGTAGCAAGGAGTTATTTTTCTCATTTGAAAAATTATTGCCCTATGAATAAAATGATTATTTGGAATTTGGTTATAGTTTTTTAGTCAATCTACCAATTTTGTAAGGTGAAGATTTCAAAGGAGAGTCATCCTAAAGAAAAGTTGTATTGGAATCAAATCTAATAGAACCTTCTTTAGAATCTAGAATGGATTATTTTATTTTATTTCTTTTATGATCTTCCCAAAACTTCTCTAGTTAAATAAAATCAAGCCTATCTTGTGGATCAAGTTAGATCATCTTTCTTAGAAGAATGGAAATATCATCTTCATCTTAATTTATTTTAGTATGTAATTTCTAAACAAATTCTTGAGGAGTTATTTCACAACGTTTTGCATGAGAAATTGAGAAGTTTTTGTAAATACTAAGATACAGCAATCCCAATGAAAAGACATCAGATAGATAATAGTTTTTGGCATCCCCTTATAGCATTTCTGGTGACATATATTTATAAGTCTAAATTTGAAATAAACATATATAATACTCCAACAGAGTCAACCAATTCTGAACTTTGGAGCTTGCTTGAACCAACATCACAAATTTTGTAACAAATAGGCTTTAATTCCATCACTAAAATATTTGCTGGTTTGATGTCGCAATGAGCAATATGTTTTCTTTGCAAATATGCAAGAGCATTAAGAGTTTGATCAATTAAAGTATTATCAATTGGATAGCCTGCTTGTTTAAAGTCATCCAAGTTGAACTATCCCAATTCCATACATATGTAACCTAATCTTTCTTGATGGTATTAATTGATGGAATAAGATAAAATACAAGAATCAAGATATTAAACAATATGAGGGTGATCTAGTGACTTTAACAATTAGACTTCTTTTTACATTTACTTGATATCATGATTCTAGGTTTCAGTTAATTCATACTTCTTTAATCGCCACTTATTTTCCACTTGAATCCTATGCTTAATAAACACGATTATGGTTTTGGCTCAAATATCCTTTGATTATGTATTTATGAAAGATATTGAAGCCCAATTCACATTTCATGTGTTATTAAGCCATAAACAGGAATTAAATGTCTTTCCTTTAATCGCTGATATCATTCATTATATAAATTATGTAATTATTACATATCCTATATTTGTTATTTGGACACTTTTTAACTCACAATTATCAAGTTGTAAATTGAATCCTAAGTCTATTATTAAATCAAAATATTTGGAAATTCAATTGATTTTAATAAGTTGGATGGTGTTTGAAAAAAATGGGAAGTCAATTTTAATTTCAAAGTATTACAAGACTTCAAACTCATATTTTGACTATAAGTAGTTCTGATAATTCAAACTTTTTATCATTTCATTATTCAGGAATTTTCAATTAAGAAACTTGTCAGAATCTAGAGATCTTTTTGATACAGTAAGACTAATTATTGGCTGATTCCTCTGAATTATATAACTCACCTACCATAAAGTAGAAACAAAATTATCAAGAATATCTCTTATATGAAAATGGGTATACTCTCAATCACTTTAATTAATACAGATTTATGAAAATATCATATCAGATTGCTCCTTTTAGCATAATATAATAAAAATTGATATTGATTGGCCGAAGAATAACTGTATCATCAACCAAATATTTTTAAACCTCTTAAAAAAGTGACCAAAATTATAAAATTGGTCCCAAATTCAGATGTTAGAAGGTCTTAATCTTCAGAATTCATTATGAGATTTTGGGTGATGCAATTGATAATCTAATTGTTAGCTTAGATAATCAAAGATGTGTAAAAAGTTTAAATATAGAATTTATTAAATTATATAAAATTTTATGGAATCGCTATTTTTTATTGTTTCATTGCATTGATTACCAAAGAAATCAATTAAATATGGCTAAAAGCTTAATTACTTTTGAAGATTATGGCTGAAAATATCATATAGAAAATTCAAAAGCAATCTCCAAGATTTGTAAAGTTCTATTGCATTTTTTAAAAGAATCCTGAAACTTTAGATACGGTATATTCTCTCACACTATTGAATAATTACCTACTGTGAATTCTTTAGAATAAATTTTTTGTGTTTAGGTTCTAGTGTGTTGGTTTTAAGAAAATATGTATCTTAGGAATAATAAAATGCAAACCTTTTGATTTGATTATTTGAAAACTGTTTTGGAGTTAAATATGCATAATTTATTGGAAATGAGTTTTTATATCAAAAAATCATGAATGTTTAAGGAATATGCATTTAAATTTTACTATCTAAATAAGTGCTGTAGGTATTTTAAATCTATTCATTTTTGAAGCATCATATTAAAATATATAAATATGTGAATAAATTGAGGCCTGATCTCAGAAAATTAATTAAGCAAAATTCTTCTGGCTGAAAAATTGCTTCTAGATAGATTTCTTTGAACTTCAACTTCGAAAGCAGCTTTGATAAATTCAGCAAGAGATGATTATAATATGTCGTAATAAAGTTGAAAAAATGCAATATATTGTAAATATTGCATTGTCAAAATTATTTGGTTAATAAAGAGCAATTAAATGTAATAAATTATAAATAAATGGATATTATATATTCAATATTAAATATCATTATTATGTATTGTAGTATATCGAATCGAAGGTTTTCCTTTTCCATTTTACTACATCTTTATCCTATAGATGAAAAATGGTATATAATTAAAATATTATAATATCTTTATATAGAGCATTTAAAAATTATAATATATTTTCGAAATTTATGAATTAGGTAATGACCTTAGGTTGTATTTCAAAAAGAATGATGGAGACCTATGCAGTTTAAGTTTTCTGTATGAGTACTTGGGATCATTGTTGCTTAATATATCACAAAAAGAAAATTCTTTTTAAATACCATTATTTGGAAGAAAAAATAATCAGATAAATTATCTGGTGCAAAAAAAAATCCTATCGTATATTTGATATTTCAATGTCCAAAAAATAGAGGTTATACTTCTTATTGTGCTAAGATTGGTTTATTTACTTTCTTAATTTTGAATTTTAAATAGTTAATAAAGTACAATTGGAATGCAAATAATTCACCAACCTGTTATTCTTAGATCACTTAAACACATTTGTTATGGTATAATTCAAATCAGTAAGTACTTTCTAAGTCGAGATGAAAGAAAGATTTAAAATTGTTAAATATTAAGAGCTGCCTGGATCTCTGGAATGGAATAGATAATGCAAATAATAGGATTACTTTTATATCCTATACAATTCTCAAAACATCACAATTTATGATATGAGAACTATCTAACATGTAGGATCAATTTAATTAGGTATAACGATTTCAGATTTCTATTATATCAATGATCTATTATATATGGGAGATGTCTATGGTACTCTTTGGTGTTACGATCTCAATGGTATACTTTAACATTACTACGAGCATGCTCATGAGGGTTCGATAGTGAGCATGACAGTTCATAAAGACGAATTATTCACTGTTGCAAATGATCTTATTATTAAAGTTTGGAAATTGAGTAATCTCTTACCTTGCCAATCGTACCCTATCTATCAACTGTAGATATAATATTTCAAATTCATCAATTACTCTAAATACTTTCTGCAATCAGCTGATGAATTATTTATTTGTGATTTAAACCATATATTGTAAGCCTATTATTTACATAATTCATCCGTATGTGCAGTATCTAACTAATGTATTGCTTTTAAAAATCACCTCCTCTACTCTAATATAACCTAAAGAGTCATATTTCCTTCCAAAACAGTATATTAAGTTCTCTAAATAATCGATAGTCCAAATCACCCAAACACATGCTACTTTCATTTATCAAATTAAACTTTAGCCAAATGTGTTAATAATTAATAAACGGAAGTTTTCAGTTTTGACAAAATTCGGACCATAAATGGAGACAAAATCAATTAAGAAATTACATTTGTTCAAATTGCTACTATATCTCCTCCTCTATATGATGTTGAATTAACTATTGATTCTAATGATCAGATCAAAATCTCCAAGATGATTAACAATGCAGATTAATCTTTATTTTTTATTTTGGGTTGTTCAAAAGGAGCTGTATTATGTGTCCCTTTTGAAAATTTTACTATCATTTACACCCGTATAAATTATAACAAAGCTGCTATTTAGAATATTTTTCATTTTAATGATCAATTAGTTATCAATAGTATTGATAATGTCATAAATTTTGTTCAAATTCATTCCAATAAAACATAATTGATTAAATCATTTAAACTATTTAACTTAGGACCTATTCATTTGACCCACTCTAAATAACTAGCGATTGCAATATCCAATGAGTTATTCGTTTTTAATTCAAATCTAACTGCTTATGAAACTAGTTCTGGACATGAAAACGATATCCTATAGATCACCAGCAACAAAACTTATATTATTAGCAACTCTTTATAACAAATGAAAATTTGGACTGCCAATGGGTTTTGCATTTATACAATCAATTTTCATGTTTAAATAGATTTTATCTATTATCTAAAAGATGATCTTATTACCAGCGTAAATGGAGGACTTTGTCATTTATCCATACCAGAACATGAAGTAGCAGAGATTGATACCAATGAATATAATTAAATCCAAATAATCGATTTGGTAGTATCCAAAAAATAGTCATCCAAAAGGGGAAAATCCTAATTCATATAGAAATAATCACTTATTTCATAACATCTTAAACTAAAAAATACCTTAGAACTACCATCAATTAAACTAAAGGTTTATACACAATCTAATGAAGCCCCCCAGACTTCAATCAGAAATTAATTTAGTACTAATCAAACTGTAACTAATAAAAGTACTAACATTAGCACATCTAATTCTCAAGTTCCTATTAGTAGAAGTGTTGATTGCAGATATTAACTAACAGAAGAAGCCAGTTTTGTCTTACCTACTTTACCTAAACAAAGGGAAGACACTTCGCTATTTAATTAGTACCTCCATAGTAAAATCTTAAGAGGAAAACTAAGAAATAAAAGAGAATCGACTTATGATAGAAAGAATGTGGAAAATATTTTATAATTAAATTGAACAATAAAATCTTAAAGATTTTTTTATACTAAAGATATCTAATTTTAATTAGTTAAAATTACAATATTATTTAAGAGTGAAAATTTCAAATGAAATTTAACCAAACATAAATGAAATAAATTAATCTATGACAACATAAATATCTTTCATCAATTGGAAGTCTTTCAACTTATTATTATTAATATTACATACAAATCTTTACTTGATATATAATATCATCTAGTAATAAAGGATAAATTATGAAAAGTAATTTATACCTTCAATGTGTCTCAATGATATTTAATATAAGTAAATTTAAGTTATTCCTACTTACATGAAGAATTTATTAACTTGTGATTGTCAATAAGTGAAGGAAGAAAGAATTAAGAAATATTTTAATGTTTCAAAAGAGCAGTAGAAAATGTAAAATAATAATTAGGGAATTGAATAATAATCATTATAAACAATCATTGTCTTTAATACCATCCTATTTCACATTTTCCTGGTTTATAGCATTAATTGTGTTCATATTCTAATTACCGTTTTGCCTCTTAAGCTTTTAGAGAAGTTTATTTTTGCTTATCTTAATCCCTTTTTTTCTAATTTTTTTTTGCTTATTTATCTGCATTTCTTTCTTTCCTTTCGCTTTCCTTTTCAAGCATTTGGGCAAATTCTTCCATATCTTTTCTGAAATTATCCTTCAAGTCCCACCAAATTGGAGTTTTGTAATCTTCTTCAGTCAATCTTAACCACAAGACTAAATGAATATTAAGAAGATATTACCTGGTTCTATCTTTGTGAGATTCACATACATAGTTCCTACAGACTCAACTTTTTCATAACTAGTAGCCGGGTCGATTGGTTTATACAATTTGATGGCATATCTATATTTGAATGGAATATGTGAAACTATTCCAAATGCTTCAATCAAGAGAGAATCATTCTTTATTTCGACTACCTCCAACTTTGCATTCAAACAAGCAGGGGCATCTTGTCTGTGAGAGAACTTGATGTTGATAAATGTAGCGTTTTTTGATTGAGCCCATTACACAACAGGTTAGACAACTTAGACTTGATTGCTCTTTGCCATAGCCAATTTGAATAGAGTTTACATTTCTCTCTAGTTGAGATACTTATCATTCTTTAGGAATGCGCTAAATAAATTAAAGAACAATACACAATTCTATCAGTAATGTCAATGTGATTCAAGAGGAAATAATTCTCATAAAGACTCAGTGCAACTTTATAATATCCTCTTGAAATGATAAATTCCAAACATTCATACTCGATCTGATGATTCTTTATTACATGATCCTCGAAGTAGATCTAAATTTTAACTAGGAATTCTGAAATGATTATTACCTTCAGGATCACCAATGGTGAATTGTTCTAAATAGCATTTCTTGAGTAAGTCTTGGGAAGCTACAGAAACACTAATCAAGAATGTAAGAAAAAGCATATTAAATTACGTGTATTTTAATAATTAAGAAATTTCTATATTAAATGAAATAGCTGAATCGTACTTAAATTGAATAAAATCTTGTACACTCTGCAGTTGCTTAAATCAGAAAATAATACTAATATGTGGAGTCAGAAGAAGTCCCCCAAGATTTGCTCGAGAATAAATACTACAAGGAATATGAGCCACTCGATAAACTAGAATTATTAGCAGATCAACATATAAAATATTGTACAAAGAGACTATTAAACATTGGTTACTCTATTCTTTATTTGGATGTTGGGTAACCTTGGTGTATATATTGGCCACTAAATGCTTTGAGTATCTTATAAGAAGATGTATCAAAATATGAAGACAAAATTCTCTAATATTTGCAGTAATGCAAAATTGGAGGCTTTGGAGGAGGTCCCTATTAATTTGAACATTTGGCACCTACATATTCCTCTTTGCTAAGTATAAATAATTCATACTTTAGGCTTATTCATTCTTGGATCTCCAGCCTCTTTAGGATTGATTGATAGATAGGGATTGGAAAAGTTCTTCTGGTCGATCCAGGATCCAAAGGAAAAAGGATCGTATTTAATGCATATCAATGGAGAAGCAGACATGAGGGCTGTATATATAGTTGTGATAATGGTGGTCATTCTTAAATTAGAGTATCAATATTTGCGAATATATTAGTCCCAAGTTATTGGATGGTTGTGCTGAGTATATTGCATCATGTCAAACTTATGAAGGAGGAATTGGAGCTGTTAGGTATTCTGAAGCTCATGGAGGATATGCTTATTGTGGATACGCTGCTTTAGTGTGTATGGGCAAAGCACATTACATAGATTAAGAGAAACTATTGAATTGGTTAGTGAATAGATAAATGGAAAATGAAGGAGGTTTCAACGGTAGGACAAATAAAGTTGTGGATTCCTGTTATTCATTTTGGCAAGGTGCTATATTCAATTTGCTCATGTTGTCTGGTTATGTCAATGAGTAGTTAATGGACGTATAAGAATTAAAGACATACATTCATATGTGTCAAAACCCAGCAGGAGGAATATTTGATAAACCAAGTAAGAACCCTGATACTTATCATACATGCTATGGATTAAGTGGCTATTCTCTGGCAGATAAAAACTTTTAGAATCCAATTTACAATGTTCCAAATAAATGTATAGATTTTGTGCGAAAATTCTTCTAATGATCATAGGTTTTGAAATTACATTTATAAATATAAATATATTTCATATTTCAAAATCTAGAAGTGCTATTATAAAATATTATATTATTTTCATTTGATTATTATAAATATAAGAAAAAAACAGAATAATAAAGCATTATTAAAGAATTATTATCTATTTAATATAAACATAGAAGAAATTGAATTAATATCGAATGTTTTTATTTTACTCATATTATTTTCTTGTCTACTTTCGATTTATTGTACATATAAGCAGGACATATGTATTCTCCACAATTACATTTTGATCCGATATATTTAAAGTCGCCTACCCTTTAATTACATTTTTAGCAAGATATTTTACCATCTTATTCATATTCTTCGATGAAGTGAGGTCTTTCAATGAAATAATGATTGCATTCAGGCTCTAAATGACATCAAATTTATTATTACTTATTCCATGTACCAAAACTGCTGACACAAATACATCGGTTCTACACTTGATACATTTAAAAGCACAGTCTTTCTAAGTTCTGATTTAAGGTTTAAGTTGAGCTGAGATCTATTAGAAATACTGATCTAACTAAATTAGTTCCTATTCTTCCTAGATCTTACTTGAAATCTTAATGTCTGGCTTTTTGAATGAGATAGTTTGTAGAATTTCGTTTAAATTGCTTTAAGTGATTTTTTAAACTACAGATGCAATTAGAGCTGGAGCTCTATTAATTCCAAATTGGCTGTGGATCAAGACATTTCCATCTTTATTTTGCTAAAACCATTGTAGGGTTTAGTTAGGCAGGATTTCACCATGTTCTTAGATGTTTAACTTCAAGTAATTAAATTTTTGTTTGAACTCATAGACATTTGGGCATTCAGAAGTACCAAAACTATTTAATTTCATAAGCCTTACAATTAATGATATGTTTGATTTGTTTTTACTCCAAGAAATTTAAATTGGAAGCATCGTTTATTGATCCAATATAGATTTATTGTGAAGGTGAAAAGGTAAAGACGTATGCCATTAATTAAAATAATTTATATATTAAAAATAATATATATATAATTCATTACTATATTGAAATAATACTTGACCTATTTAAATATTTATAGTGTAGATAAAATCATATTTGACGAACAAAACTCAAAAATAAATTGGAGAATAAAAAATAATGCAAAGAGAGATTTTGATACACAATTATTTAATTATATAATTATGGAATTAAAGAATAAATATAAGTTTTTAGGTCTGACAGCAATTTTAGCATTGAGCGGTATTTTCTACATCCAAAAGAAAAAGAACAGACCCATTAGTTAAAAGATAGCAGAAAAATTTAAAGGCCTGTTTGAGAGAATTGATTCTCACTTCGGAGGCCAATAGGTAGAAGAAGTAATAGTCTATCATTATCCAAGCTGAATAAATCTCTTATAAATAATGAAGAATTTATGGAAATCCTATTGAATGCAGCACAGGATTTCTTTGACTTAAAAAAAGTAGATGAGGAAATATCCAAAGTGGATTTTATTGGATAATTATCCATCATAAATAAATAAATTAATTAATTATTAGAAATAAGACTAGTTGCCTAATATGTTGAAAAGTAAAAGAAATAATAAATATATAGAAATTCACTGCGATCAGTTCAAGAACTAATTATTCAGAAGTTGGCATCATAGAGAGTAACCAAAAAGCAACCTAATATTTAATTTGGAGTGGCTACAATGGAATTTTTAATATTTGTTTAATGTTCTTTTCTCCATTTGTTACATGAAGTAGAAAATGCGTTGCAAGAGTTATTGAATCCTCAAAAAATAGTTTCACTTAACTGCTATTTAATGTGCATCCTAGATTACTTAAACAAACTATTGGCTAAACATCCAAATTTGAGAAATCTAGTAGCAATAGTAATGCTTGAGAAAATAGGATCCAATTAATTTAATTTCGACTTTTAGCATGATTGCAAGGATCTTTATTATACTAAGGCCATAAAAGACTGTAAAGTTCTCAATAGTTGTGATTGTAGCATCTTTGAATTACTCAGCAGATATATTTCAATATTTTAAGCTTCTGTTTAGAAAGATTTGTTTGAATTCTTTAAAAGTAATCAATTGTTTTAGACTCATGAACATTTGTTGTAAATGGGGAAAATATTATTCAAAAATACATTCTATTTAGGAGGATAGTTGAGCCAAGACCAACTGTATTATATTGACACTTTTTCACCTCTACATAGTTTATTAATAGAAGCAACCTCTAATTCAAGCGTATAGGAAGAACTATTGAAATCGGAGGAGTTCGGAGTTAATATTTAATATCTTGAAAAAGTAATAAATTCACATGAAAATCCTTTTTTAAATAAATTGCTAGCAAGCTTGATTGACATCTATGCAATTACATATCCACTGTTTTACAATTTAAATGCATTGAAATAAATTATCAATGAAGATCAACAAATAGAATCAATTCTTAGTACATTTTTTGGAGTATTATTGAACTTAGAGAATCGAGAAACGTATGATTCGAATAAATGTATTACAATATATGAAATTAGAAAATGAAATTAGCATTTTGGATTGGTTTGCTCTGAATATGGGAACAATATTCACTTAGTAATTGCTGGGAAATATATCCGTTGAATTTATTCTCTAATTACTTAAGCTTCAAGAGATTTAAAAAAAAATCTTATTTACCTATATCTATTGTTTAAGGGTCTCTCAAAATAAAAGAATCCATGACAGACAATCAAAAAAGAAAAATGTTGACGTCAATTCTCTCATTACCAAATTGATAAGTTTGGTTGTAATTTCATTATTAAAAGATGATTTTAGTAATTAAAATATGGATTCGGTCATGAAGAATTTAGGCTTTGTTGACGAAGATGAAAGATAGAATATATTGTTAAATATACTCAGAATTCAATTTGAAATGCCTTTGATGAATTTGAATTATCTCAAATATGTCTCTATTAAATGCCAGTAACTATCCGAGGAAACCTACCATTCCTTTAATGGATATTTCACCAATGTCTTGAATCCTTCCACTCTTTCCTATGATCAATATATGATTTCAATGCAATTAGGAATCATCTATGGGAAAGTTGACTCCTTCTTTGCCTCAATTGGATAGAGTTTTCTGAGAGATCTCTAACAATTTGAATAATACAAGGATTTCTTATAAAGAGACGTAAATATTTATGATCTAATTTCTTAGCTTATTCTTATCGTAGATTTGATGGAAAGTCCTTATTACTTTGCAAATGTCTTAGTTCACAATGGTAATTGCCCTGAGGATATTTATAAGCATTTACTCAAAAAGGTTGCAATTACCATTTGGTAATTAAATCCTAAAATCAAATTTTCACAATTGCAATATCAAATATCTTTACTTTTAAAACTAGAAGTCTTGCCTTAAGATATAAAGGAAATGTTTATCGTAGATTAGAACAATATCATTAAATTAAAGGAGCAATACGAATAATTATGGCCATTTATGTGTTTGTAAAGAGATTTATAATCAGTTGAAGTTTATTTGAAATTAGTTGCAGATGAAGTGTTATTCAATGAAGTATATAATTCCTTTGATTAACTAGTTATTGCAAGATTAGGCCAGTTTTGAATTCTTATCCAGAATATAAGAAGTCATGTTCAAGAGCCCCAATTTTATATAAATAATTTATTAATTGTTATTGTGTGCCAATAGATTGAATCTTAAGATTTGGTTAGGAAAAATATTGTTTTATGCCAAGAAGTTTAGTCATGTCAATTAAGAGTGCAAAACCTTATTAAAATCAAAGGAGTGCTAATCCTTTATAGAAGAAATGCCTTCAAATTATAAGAAATATATGCAAATCGAGAATTGAAATTTATTTAGAAATTATTGATTAATTTTTTAATTAAGTTTTTAGATTTATTTTAATTTTATCATGAATGAGTTCAATGATAAATTATATAGAATTAAGTGTTTAGATACCTGGTAAAATAATCAATCGAAATTTAAATCAAATTAAATTAAAGATTATAATTATGGAAATTAAAAAGGTTAAATTTCTTGATTGGCTATTTTATTAGCATCTCTTTATTTAATAACCATTATATTAACTTAAAAACTATTATATGATATTTTTAATTAACTTTCAATACAAACATAATTATTAATAAAACTTAATTTAGGGCCATCATAACAATATAGACAGACTCTAAAAGCATATATTGATTAATTAAAAAATTATTAACATTTAATCATTGATCGATTATATATTATATACTCAAAATCATTGTTAATAGAAATTATGTATATGAGACTCTAATTTTAATTGAACATCCTTTCCACATGATAAAAAATCATCAATCTGATCTGATTAATAATTTAAAGCCTTCATAAATCCAACAGCAAAAATGAATTTGATAGCTTAGATATTATAGGTAGGTCTTCCAACATTATGCTTTTCATTTAGAGGATCTTATATCAATAGAGTTGGAATTTGATTAACTGCATTTTATGGATTAAAATAGATGGGATAAGCTGAAATCTGTTGGTCAGGTAGGAAAACGTAAATGGTCTTAGCAATGTAGTCCATTTCACATCCATAGAGGTACAGAAATTCGACTAAGCATTAACCCAAGGAAAGTTATTGGCCAGTGCGAGATTGCAAAAAGGAAATGATCATCAAATTCAGTCCATAACTACTTAATCCTCCTTGGTATGGGTCTAGGAGAGACGATTGAGATAGAAATTGCTTTAATACCATGGTCAAGGGTCTCAGTTCTGGCAAGTAGTTGAGGTAGGATTTAATTAATGAAACACATTGGATACCATTGTGTCTGGGTTCCTGAAATGAAATATCAATTCTTTTGTTAAAATAGTAGCTGACAGACTTCAATTTGAGTACAGGGATAGCAGTGAATAGAATGCACTTAGTTTCTTCTATGAATTTGGTTTTTGAAAATTCAATTTCCAATTTCTTCATTTGATCAACAATGTACATGGTTTATGCAGTCATGATCACAATATCTATGTCACTGTTAGGGAGGGAGAGTTCAGTTGCAAAGGATCCATAAACATATGCTTCTTGATTTAGGACTCTCCTGACTGTGGCTTTAATTTTATTGATTAGTTCTTCTAGATTTTGTTGGTGTTATTTGTTGTATTGATCTACTTCTTGGATGTACTTATTGATGCTTAGATTAAGTAAAGTGAGTGAATCTTCTTTGGGAAGTATTTAAACAATTTTTTCAGTTTAAACATCTGTTTAAACTTCGATTTCTGCCTTTTGTTCTTTAGGAAGAATGTTAAGTAAACGAAGTCGCTCCTTGTTGGATTTAGTAATGGCATCTAGATCCGAGAGATCAGCCATTGTATGAAACATTTTGGACATTTTATTTAAATTAAAAGTATTTATTAAATATTCGTTTTTGTTGGAATGAATTAAGATGTTTTAAAGCAGATTCGACAGCATTTCCCAATTATAGACAATATATTGTTCAGGAATATTCTATCTCAATAGAAAGATTAGAACCTATTGATAGCATTAGTTTATATTTTGAAGAGAGTAAGGGAAATAGTGGGCCATATGGAAGACGTCACAAAGTTTGCGTTGTCATTATGGGAAAAGGAAGAGATCCAGATTTCAAAAGAACGTATTAATAACGTGTTTATCACAATAGTGCATGACGAGATAATATTGAATTTGGTTGAATCGAAATTTTATTACTAAGCTCTTTTGGCAAATAAGAACAGCCAATTTTTGAGTAATATTGGAGTTAAACATTAGATAAAAACAAGATATATATGGAAGTCTAAGAATTGTCAGAACAAAGTAAGAAAGTGAATGATATTTTGATCCAAAATTTTAGTGCATAGAGACCCTATCAATTGTTTGTCGAAGAGCAACAGGAATTGCAATCTAAGAAAACTGCTTAGACTCCAAAAATACCATAAGTATAAAAGGGATAGAAACTATGCTCACTGACCTTGAATATTTAGGATCGAGATCAATTGGATAAGTTATATAGAAATAATAAGCAGTATCTGCAACAGTTGGGTATTAAGATGGAATACCCTAAAAATACTACAGCCACACAAACAGAATAAGTTGATGGATTGATACCTCTGAGTAGCAAAAAGAATAAGAATCAATAAAAGGATTAAAGCAAGGAAATGAAATTCTATGAATATCAATTGGAAATGGGTCAATGCACTCAGTATTTGCCTACTTATGATACAGTGGAATAACTAACTTAAGACATCAAATTGTTTGTTTCTGAAATCGATTAATACAATAAAAAAAATAAGAATGCATTCTAAAAACTTATAGATGAAATTTCAGCTGTTGTAAGTGCCACTTATGCTGGAGCTCAAATTGATGTCTATGGTTCGTATGCAACAGAATTATGTTTACCACACTCAGACATTGATCTGGTGATTAAAATATCCAATCAACATGAGAAGTTCGTGACTGACATTTTACAAAGAATTGAAGTTGAATTGAAGAAATGCAAATTTATTGAGGAAACTAAATGTGTTACATAATCGACCACTCCAGTGCTCAGAGCAAAATGCAATAAGTAATATATGAATAAAAGACTTGATATCTCTATCCAAGAAACTAAACATAATGGTTTGCAATGTGTTTAATTGATTCGTAAGTATATCAAAAATTACGAACCCCTCAAACCGTTGACACTTATTATGAAGCAATTTCTTCATAAGAGTGATCTCTCTGATACCTATAGTGGAGGCTTAAGCTCTTATGGATTGATATTGATGATCGTGTCGTTTCTATAAAGCTATCAAAATCAGGATAAGAGTTGGCCAACAATAGGTACGTTACTTATTGAATTCCTGAATGTCTATGGTTGTGAATTAGATTACGCAGGAAAAACCATCTGTCCTGATCAACCTGAAGTTTTTGAGTAGGAAACTACTATAATATTTGACCCTCACAATTTTGCTTATTGCCAATAACAAAGCCTTGTCATCATTGACCCACTCAACCCATAAAATAATGTTGGACGTCCATCTTATAATGTTGCCAAGCTCAAAGTAAATCGTCTTTCTCATCTTAATTTAGCTTGCATTCACTGTGGCTTTTTCTAAGTTGCTTACTTTTGATTCTTCTACTCAATAATACCCACTTAAGTTCTTTTTCAATTCCGCTCAAAATATTCAATGTTCCCTTCATTCTGTGCTTGTCAATCAATATAAAGCCTATGCAGATCAAATTATGTTTGGTACATCTACACGCTATTGAGTTTATACCAAAATTAGTTATATTTGTAAAATATTTTATAATTCTGTGATTTAATATTATACATTTATATTAATATTACTCCAATAGGTAAGAGTAGGCTTGGATTTGTTTGATGAGACATTTAATGGTTAAATACTGTTGAAAACCTAGAGTCTCAAAGGAAATATAGCGTAAATTATATATCAAATGCAATATTATTCTAAAATAATAAAATAAACAGAGAGATTCAAGTCAGACACAAATTTAATTGAAAGTTAATGTGACTTAATTTATTATTTGAGTTTGTGCATTCAAATAAACTATGTAATAAATATGCCTGCTTAAAGATTAAATTATAGATAGTATGAATAGTACTTTTTAAAACATTAATAACATTCAATATTTTTTACTATGAAAACGAAGGACTTATGACAAGTTTCAAAATACAATTAATTAATTATAATTGTTTACAGTTTTATAAAATCAAGCATTGTTATTTTATGGCACTTTGTTATTTAAGTTTTCAACGTTATTTACTTAGATACTGCTTTTATTTTTTCTAAAAATTAAATAGATTATAGTAAAGACAATGATAACAAATCCAGAGAATAAGGTGGTCAGTTCATATCCAATTTTTTCGACAAATGCCCCACAAATAATTGGACCAAATATGTCGCCTAAAGACCATCCAAATTAGTATAGATTTGCTCCGATCAAATTTGCTTTACATACTCCAACCTTGTCTACGCAGGAGTCACTGATATTTGGTATAAAGAGTGCACAGCCAATGCCCAAACTTATACCTCTAATGAACTCTCCAACTAGAATAAAGGCAATTGAATGTGGTAACTTAAACACTGTTGGACAATAGAAAAAGAAACTTACTCCCAAAATCCACATTCCGATTTTAAAAAGAGTTTGTTCTGTAAAATAAGTTTAACGAGCAACCAAGATTGCAGATAACAAGTATGTGAAAATAGGAATCATGAAGAGATAAGAGATGTTATACTCTGAAAGACCATAATAATCTCCTAATTCATTAGCCTATAAATATAATTATGTTAATTACCAAAAAGGGTCTTAATCCATTTTCTAGAGCAGAAAGCCAAAAGAAAAAGATGAAAGTCACTTGCAATGACTTGTTTTTAAAAATATCGACATAATCTTTGACTTCTAATTTACCATCATCCTCTGTAATTTCTTCCTATTCTTGAAGAACCTCCAACTGAGTGCTATTCTACATCTTGTTACCACTTTCAAAGAGGCTTATTTGATTCATCTTCTAACTATTATTCATCTTAGGAGAATCTGGAATAGCAATCTATTTGCCTTCCCTTCTTTGTTGGATAATCGATCTTATCTAAGTTTACCATTTGTTAATGGCCTTCTTATCATGAAGGCTGTCCTCTTCACATGATCGGTCCTCTCCCCCACTAGAACTGCTCTTTCTCATTCCATTGATTTGTGGAACTTCCAAAGTTTGCATAGTTGTGTCATGTCGTTAGAGCTAAGCTTCAACAACCTCTGCATTTTAGACTGACTAATTTAGTATTTCATTAGGCTTGAGTTATTGCTATGATTAATTTAAATCTTCATTCTATTGAATCAAAGAATTATCGTTTTAAACAATAACTTCGATCGGAGTAATCGTTTAGGACTTAGTTATGGTGATGGGATGATTTCGAGTGGTTTCGGGTTTGTGTGCTTCCTTCTGTTTCTTCTTTGGAGAAATTCCCTCTGGTACTTCAGGTAGATAAAAATATTTGTATGTAACCAGGAAACTGACCACATAGATTGCTGCCAATCCATAACAAGGAAGCTAATAAGTATCGAATGAAATCAGCTAGGCTATCATTGTGAATAACCCTGTGCTTGTTATTCTACCAGCGCAATGACCCATCTCTAATCCTGCAATCTTTTATGTTACATCCTCTTTAAATAATATAGGCAATGCTGCATATGAGGGGATCAGCAAAAATGATGCTCCCTATTGATATAGACAAATTATAGTACAGATCCTATGATCACTCGAAAAATGCAGGATAACGCAAAAAATAGGCCACCTTCTGAAAATTTAGACACCCCCATTCCTATTGTTGCTATAGAACTCTGTATCAAACCGATTAATATTGCTTTCCTCTTGGAACTACACATAGAAACAAAAGGCGTAGCAATCACACTTCCAATAGGATAAAATGCAAGCATGATACCAATTTCAGTCTCAGTAAATCCTTTGTCTTTTGCCACTGGCGAAAAGTAAGGTAATAAGGCAGTGTAAACGCTATCTGATATTGCGACCAAGTCAAAAAGAATAATGAAGAGAGTAGTTTGTAATTGCATATATTTTATTATTATAGTTCAATCTCTGAACATCATTTTCAAAAATATTTAATTTTAATTATTAATCTGACACCATTTATTTATTAAAATGACATCATTTTTATTAAAAAATCGACTTTTTTCGCAATCATCACCTACTCTCTTTAAAACTCCTTTTTTCCCAATTCATCCTTTCCTCACATCAGTAATTCAAAACTCTTTTGCAACTTCCCTATTAATTTTATACATTTGAATAAACCCTTGAATTTAAGCGTTTCGGTTTCCATTAATTTTAACCCAGGAAATCTCTCACATTGATATTTTATAAATAATATTAATATATGTATTAATCAACAATTTCATCTCTAATATGAAATCAGTAGAATTTCCTTCTTGTTCCTCATATTTAGATTTTAATCTTCTCATTTCCTAACTAGTTTCATCCTTCTAAATTCGTAGAATTCAATAATTAGAATCTTCAAATTGGACTCTAACCTATTTCACATCTCCTTGAAACTACATAAATTTGACTGAAATTGTGCACTCTACAAATAAAAACAAAACAAAACCTTAGCCAAGACATTATCACATCCCATATGCATATCAAATGTAAAATACAAATATCAATCATTAAATTCGAAAATATTGTTCTCATTCTTCACTTGGTTCCATGCTTCATGTTTTCTTTATTAACTCCATATTTTAATTTTATATTATTCAATAATCTCTAACTAATTAATTTTTGAGAAATCTATATTAACCATATTTTTTCACTGCTTCCTTCCCTTTTAGCATTTAAATCAATTGAAACAGAAGTTGATATTCAATACATTTAATTAATTCAGTATAATTTATTATAAAGGGTAGCTTGTGTTTTCATATATTAAAACAAAATATTTATAATCACAACTCAATACAGAAATTTAATATTTTTTCATTCTCTATCTTTTTATATTAGAAGTAAGAGGGTCCTATTTCATCGATAATTCCTTTAAAGAGTAAGGAAATTTTATTTCTTGCTCTACAGTCACAATTCATCATATAGATGTGATTAGAGATAGATTTGATAAAATTGTAGTGATGTTTCTTAGAGAACCATAAATTTGTAAAATAAAGCATCTATTTTAAACATTAAATTTTTACTTTGAGGGTGATGAAATGAGCTCAACAGCAATTAGAATAGACTTAACTAGATAAATAAATACATATGACAACTTAGATAGAAGGTGTGTATTAAGCGTTGATATTTTGATAGAAATATAGAATTATTAAGTTGTTGTTATAAAAATATTGCATCACAGCATTTTATTGTATTATGAATCTATAATAAGAGGAGGTGAGGTCATTGACCATTTCATTGGATGTTGAGTAAATTTTGAATATATTATACAGTTCTATAGATTTTTGGTTGTGTTGGTTCCAAACTGTTAAAATCTACATTATAACAAATATATACATATATTATTTCTTGAGTATAATTAAACCAGAATAGAAATTTAAGTTGGTGTTCTGTAAAGAGATATTTGAAAAATAATATATTTTAAAACAGGAAGCATTGAGATTACTCTATAAGATGTATAGAATAATAATGAGGCTTTTATTTTTGACTTGAGGAATGTATTAGAGATATGGATGCAAAAGAGAGATGATAGGATAGAGCCTAGACTATATTGGACTAGATATTTGGTATTGAATTGTTTAACTTTTTTTGGTTTTTAATTTTAATTTAAATGGAAGAATAACCGTAAATTGAAAATACAATAATAGAGGAAAAGTATAAGAAACCTAATGGGGAGACTGCTTATCGTAGATACTAGAAAGGAAAGGTATTAGGAAAGGGTGGCTTTGCTAAATGTTACGAGGTTACTTCTATTGAAAGCAAGAAAGTGCTAGCAGCTAAGATTATTGCTAAAAGCACTTTAAAGACTGGGAGGACAAAAGCCAAGGTATAGTAGTAGATTAAGAGTAGTTAATCACTGAGATAAAGCTTCATAAATCGCTCCATCATTAGAATATTGTTTAATTTGAAGATGTATTTGAGGATAATGATAATGTTTATATACTTTTGGAACTGTGTTAAAATCAAGTGATTTAATTTATTGTAATGTTTTTAGACTCTGAATGAGTTGCTAAAAAGAAGAAGAAGAATTACTCCAATAGAAGTGCAATGTTACTTGAAACAATTGATAGGGGCATTGAAATACATCCATTCTCATAGAGTGCTACATCGAGATCTGAAGTTAGGGAATCTGTTTATAAATGATAAGATGGAATTGAAACTGGGAGATTTTGGTTTGGCCACCAAATTAGATTATGATGGATAAAGAAGACTCACTATTTGTGGGACTCCAAATTATATTGCACCTGAAATCTTGGATGAGAGAATGGGACATTCATACTAAGCAGACATATGGTCAGTTGGTGTTATTGTCTATACACTCCTAATAGGGAAACCCCCATTTGAGACTTCAGATGTTAAGACAACTTACAATAAAATATCGTAATGTCAATTCAATTTTCCAGATCATATTCAAATATCTGAAAATGCTAAAAATTTGATTTCCAGAATTCTTGTTCTTGATCCTTCTAAAAGATTAACTTTGGATGAAATTCTAAGTCATCCTTTTATGACTTCAAATCCAATCCCTAAAACTACTCACATTTCTCAACTGTTAAGTCCCCCAAATGCAGCATGGTTGTCTCAATACTCATAGGCTGCTATGTTTAGTTCTTAGGCTGTGTTGCTCAACTCTAAACCCATATAGCCAGAATTAGTCTCACTCAAAACTACAGCCTAAATTCCAAAGTCGAATGATCTATTTTCAACTCGACTCAAGATGTCCTAAGCTGAACGCATTAAGAGTATTTGCTTATTTAAATCATAGCCTTAACTGAAGGAATTAATTACTTAAAGGAGAATCAATAAACTCAGAAAAAATAGGATTCAAATCTGGAGAACAACAATCAACCACAATTTGTAATTGTCCTATTATAACTTAGAGTAAGGAGAATGAAGTCATATATGTTATAAAGTGTTGTGATTATCAAAGTAAATATGGTATTGGTTATGTCCTATCAAATAATAACTGTGGCATCTTATTTAATGATTCGACCAAAATTATTTAGTGCAACAAACAACAATTCAATTATATCGACAAGTAGAATCTAGTATAGGATTATTAATTTGATAATTATCCCTCGGATTTGGATAAAAAGGTCAGCTTACTCTAAAAATTCACTTTGTATTTAGGTGTAGATGAAAATAGCACATACTCTGAAATCTCCTAAGTTTTTGTTGATAAGTTTCTTAAGACGAGAAATGCTCTTCTTTTAAAACTGAACAATGGTGTGATTCAGGCGAATTTCATTGATAAAAGTGTGATTGTTATCTCATCAAATCAGAGTATTGTTTTTGTTAATGAAAAGGGTGAAAAATATAGTTATACTTAGGAATAGATAAAGGATAAGGATAAGATTTAAAGAAGGTATATTGTAATATAATTTTAGATATAATTATGTACAGCAATTAAGAAGTGGTTGTTAATGATGAATGTTTACTTTATTAATAATTAATTTATAAAATATTCTGGAAATTTAAATGGACAATTCAAAGAAGGAGCATTCATACACCTATTGGGTTAAAAATGATCCAAATCACCCAAAAATTGATTGTTAACCAAAAAAGGTAGAGGATCCTTCCTAAGTGCAATAACCTTAAACAATTGGATCACAATGGAATGTCTCAGGAACTTGGGAGGAAAAGAAAGTACCCGTTAATGAGATTAAGAAATCCTTGGAGAATATTGTTGGAGTATTCCAACTATTTAATATTTTAGATGAAAATCGGATAAACTAAGATTTCAGCCGTAGAATCAGTTGAAGGGGAAGCTCACTTATTTTTAAGCAGAGGAAAGAAGAGAATGGGTTATCATTTGAAAATCACATATGCTCTTGAAGACGATGGCCAAATCAAATATACAGACTTTACAGATGATGGAGATAGAGATGTAATAAAACAATTTAAATATCAAGTATGTATTAGAAGATGTCAACGATGAAACAGTCAAACATTAAATTGAAGAATTGCATGATCGAACAAAACAATATGTAGAAGTGTTTAAAAATTGATATTGGCCTATATTTATTTTTAAAGTTATTTTCACTCTTAATATTCCATTAAGTTTAATCAAAGAAATTAAAATGAAGAAACTCTTTTTGACGATATGAATATATTCAGTATTAATTAATACGTTTTAGAAATACTTTTAGTATTAATAAATTCAATCATATTTCACAGGTCCAATGCACTCAGCAATATCTCCCTCGTGAAATTTGTCACTGCCTTTGATGACTCTGCAGTTAACTTTCATTATGGAACCTTCCATTACACCATCATACTTTATTTGAGCCCCATCCTCAAACGTAGCTACACAATCCAATATTCCATTTTTTAGAGTTCCAGCATATAACTTTTTCAAGGCACTTTCTTCATTGTCATTCTTATTCCCACCACTTATTGTTCCGTTAGATGAGAGATCAAACTTCATTTCCCAGCCTGAATTGGTGACCAAATTATGCTACTAAACCCCCTTCAAAACCTTCCAAGTGCAAGTTCCATCTTCACCTCCTCCCACCTTCACTTTTACTTACTTCTGTTCCCCCTCACTACTTTTGCTACAATGACAAATACCCATTCAAATTAAAAAAAATATTAAAAAATCATTTTCAATCAATTTTATAATTATCTTTGTGTTTTTCATAATATATCCGAAGCTGCTGTTAAAATCCCTCATTTGGATAAACAAAGCCTCTCTTGTTTTTAATGTATGATAAAGCGGCATCAGGAGTCATGTGGAGTTCCTTAATAAAATAAGCCATAAGAATAGAGACAGATCTTGAAACACCTACTTAACAATGAACTAGAACATTGGTGGATTCAAGATGTTGCTTGATGAATGAATTTGTTTAATCAAAATGCTCAGACAAATTAAAATTTGGTTCATCATAGGCTACAATTCTGAGATGATGAACATAATCTGGAATCTATTTGTCCAATTTCTCAACTGCTGAGATTATTGCACCAAATTTATGCTTCTAAATCTAATCAAGTGATTTTATTCCCCCTACATACAAATTGCCTTTCTCTGTATATTTAGACGGGTGTATTAAAGTACAACCATAAATTTCTTAATACATTTTAAAATTATTATTAAAGAATTACTTTATAATTTCATTACAAAATAATAAAATTGAAATTATCATCTTAAGGAAAGATTAAAAGCATTATTTGTTAATAAAATTTATTTATTTTTTAAAGATAATATTTGATTACTCAATATTTATAATAATAAATTTTCATCATAAGTTAATAAATCTGATAGACACAATATTAATATTATTTAATTATTAGTTTGATTCATAAATTCCTATTTATCTATAGAAATCAATGAGCATCTGGAATAAACCTTGAAATTTGCAATTGGATTTGAAAATTTTAAATAACATGAAATTAAATTAATTTAAAGCAAGAGAATATTTAGATTTGTAGTTTGGATCTTTGAATAAGTAGTGATTCAATTGAGGTGAGTTAGTTTTGATGAGAAAAATGTATTGTAAATAGCTTTGAAGATAGAGTGTTTAATGGATATTAATTATAAATAGATGTTGTTAAAATGAACTTAACGACAAAGCTAATTATATTGCAGTTAATTCTCTGACGAATTCAACAATTTATATACACAAAATTTTGCCTTGGATTACAATTTGTGTGATGGAGATGTAAAAGGCTTAAAGTTTTATCTTATTAAAAATTGTTTATCATAAAAACTAAATGAGAAATCAGTGAAAAGAACAAAGTTCTATTGTTACTATGCTTCAATGTGGTTGCTGAGAATAGCATTTTATATAGGATATTATTAATATTGAGTGGCATGACTCATTACAAAAAAATTAAAATATTTTTCATGAAAACTCTGAATCCTGATCCTCTTCGATTTATTCATATTTGGCTATCTTCTTGTCTTAAAGTATCTACTTAATTATCAATCATTTACAATATAGAGTCCTAATAACCATTGCAAAATGAAGAACAAAATGCAAAACACAAACAAAGTTGTATTTAAATTACTATGATATACCCAAATCTATAAAGGAAAAAAGGCAAATTGTTAAATAATTTGTTTCTTGTCTGATTATTACTTGATGGTTATTTTATTATCTATGTAGCTAATGGCTGAACTCACTACGATCAACACCACGAACACTATTACTGGGTAGGTCTTTACAATATAATTATAATTTGGTTACAATATTCTTCTGCTGATTCTGATTGTATTCTTCTGAAAAGGTAGATTCAAAATACCCTAAGAAATCTCCCAAATTGCCATTAGGAGAACATTTCTTATCAGAATTTGTATTGTCTGGACATTTATATTCCGTAATCTTATCAACTTTAGGACAGGGAATGAAGTTGACAATCACCATCACAATTACCCAAATCAGAAACTTGAGTAGACCAGTATAGGAAATATATTTGGAATGCTGAAATATATATCTTTAAATTATTAAGAATTCTAATTACTAGCACATAAATTCTTCTTTTAACTTTACGGTATAGATATTTGTTCCTATTTGAAGGAGAGTTGCTATCAAACCAATGTAGCATTTATCATTCCCATCGGTATCCAAAGCGAGTGAGAAAATGCCTATCAGTAGGACCACACCTCCATAAATGAGTTTTAGCTAATCGTATTTATTTGTATAGATGATATAGGATACAAACACAATCCCTTAACACTATATTACTTCATTTATTTTACTATAATGAACAATCCGAAGCTCATATAGAATAATTCAAAACATATTAATAATATGTCTGCTGCTTGTATTGATGCATTTATAGCATACTATGTAAATGGTATGTATGTTTATTTGTGTTCACTAATCTCCTTTTCAAGTAGCTGTTCTCTCTCTTCCTCATTTATTGAATCTTCCTTTATTAAAAATACCATTGATAAAATCATCCCAAAAAACCATAACCAAATCCACTCAAACAGATAAAACATACAGTTGTACTCAAATAAGCCTGTCATTAATAAGCTTAAGGCTAAAAAGCTCTTAATAAATAAATTTCGATACATGACACCATATAAGAGTAAAAAAAACATTTCTTTTTTTATTATTTATAATTCCATAAATATATTAATAAAATATTGAAATTAAACTCAAGAAAACAAAAATAATAATTATGGAATGAGATTTTAATCAGTAGCCTCTATGATCCATATATTTTTCTCTATCATCATTACTCTGACGTAATTATTATTTCCATAAGTAGCTCCTAATTAAATAATCACAAATCCCTTACCATAGTAATTATTCACTTCAGTAAATCTGATTTTCTTAAATGTGTCCCAACCAACCTGCAATCTAAATGGCTGACTTTAATAAAATCGAACATCCTTAATCTTAACCTAAAATATCTCCGCCCTCAAATCCAAAAAATCTATAAAATTATACTGACTTGTTGGCAATAACACATTCAAGATTTGATTGTCTATCTGTATCTAACAATTGATGAGTTCCTTGCACTCGTCAACCACTATCAAATATTGCGATTCTCGATCCAAAATCTTTTTATTGTCTGACTTTATCCAAAACTTCGTTGCTGTTTGTAATAAATTAATAATTACATTTATCGCCTTGAAATTTAATGTTAATGGACAGACTTTGATCAATCTTGTTAAAAATATACAACGAAATCTTTAAGTAATTTTTATTATTCAACACTTGAAACTATAATCCAAATGTACAATAAACTCTGATCAATTCATTCTCAAACAAATTTCCCTTCCCCAATAAACATGTCTTCTTCCAAACATCAATCATTTTTTATGTATATCCACTTTTACTTAATTTTTGGTATATATCAAGAATTTGATTATTCTATTGATTACCAGTATAAGGAGCACTAATTTACTGCTAAAAAACATCATATTGTTGCTATTGTAAATTATGCCCTGCGTTCCTGACTTCCTTAAATTACACTTAACTAGACCCTTCTTTCTTTTAATCTTATCCTTAATCAATGCTGTTCCCGAAAGTTAATTTCATTCCTTGAGGTTTTTAAGTAAACTAATCTTGATACTATTCCAAAGATCCGTGTTTATCCTCTTATTTTTAGGGTTGTTAATAATAATCTTAAGCAAATTAATTCCTATTCTATGATGGAATTGTTTGCTCAAATTAAGAATAATCGGTTTCTAATAAAAGTGTATTGTTTTATTGAACTGGTTTTGAAGATTTTTAATGATGTTGATCCTACTAAATTTGATACTTCTATTGCTCCTAATACTACTTTTATTATTACTGTTAGTCATATTAAATTTGTTGTTGTAAAAGTTGATTTTATATATCAGTTGGGTCAGGATCGTCATATTAATTATATTACTATGATTATATTACTTTTTATTTTTCAACTTATTTAACTTTATTCTAGGCTCTTGATTAATCAACTTATTATTATTATTATTATTATTATTATTATTCTAACTCTCTTTGATAATTATTTTACTAAAAGATTTTCTCCTTTTTCTCAATTTAAGTATTTGTTAATTCATTAAATCTTGAAACATCTTGTGTTTCATCTTAACCTACCTATCTTATGGGAGAAAGTGGCTAAATCTTGGATTTTTAATAAGCATCTGATGGAGTATAATTCTTTTTTGTAATTTTACTGGCCTCTGATAAAACTGCATGTTGAAACTCCAAGAAACCATTCTTAGTTTTGTTTCTTTCAAAATGATTAAACTTTAAATTGAATATCTTGATGAAATTACACAACAACTCAATCTAATCCTTCTGTTATTAACTGAGTTTGTCGGATAATTCATATTCCAATTATTGCAATTTAGCATCACTCTCTTTAAATGTATCACAATAAAACTATAACACTAAAATCATAATTTTTAGGTACTGTCTTTTGCCCCTTCTGGATTGCAGTTCTAATCATTAAGCATATCCCAAATTGTGTCAATTTAATCATTCATTTCAATTTGCAATTCCTCCAATTGATGTATCCCATTTTCCTGATTTGGTTCCATCTATTGTACTTGATATCTTTTGACAGGTTAGTTATCTTCAACAACATCCTCTATTTCATTGATATTTGCAACTAATTCTTTATATTGCGTTGGAAAGACAATATCCTATTGAACCAATCTGTCATACATGATTTTAAACTTAGTGGGTTTGTTGGTTTAAGTGACAGGGTACTTTTCAGCCAAAAACTTGATTAGTTCTAATATCAAATTGAAATATTTAATAGCAATCTTTGGAGCTAAACGAATTAATAACCATATAAATTACTATCATTTTCAAATTTATAGATGCCTTTATATTCATCATCAGAACCTGGCTGAAACATAACAATATCTTATAAATAATTCAAAACTGAGTTATTGCTAGCTAATTTATTTGTTACAGTTCCAACTGGATTTGTGTAAACTGCCTCTCTAATTATCTATAATTTATAGATGTGATTAACAATACCATCAAAACCAAATACTTCTTTAATAGGCTCTCATTACTTTAAAATGTCTCATCAGCAAATTGAAGGAAATTAGGAGCAAGATCACTTAAAAAATAAGTAAAAACTCTACTTCTCTTTTTTCAATTTATCCACCACCGTATTTATATTTAGCTAAAATCCCTTAAGACTCGAAACGCAAACTTTGATTTCTTCCATTCAAACTTTTATATAATATATTATTCTGTTATGAAAATATTTATCAATTATTTCTGTTAAATAGAAAAACTTTGGTGAGCTATATCATCTTCAAGAAAAATAATAAAATTCTTATGAATCACATTGTTTGTGTATTGGGAATCTACAAAACTAAACAAAGACGGTTTAAGTGAGATAAGTATTTCAATTTAATAAAGGTATCCTAAAGTAATGAAATCTCAACAACAATGAAGAGGATAAAGGATATGATCGGATAAATTAGATATGGATATATATTGGATCTATCTCTAAATACAAATACAAAAAGAATTGCTATAATATTAGACCTAAAATCATTATATTTTTCATCCTTGCCAAATTAATAATATCAATTATGCTCCAAATTATGAACGGTAAAGCTAACTGAACAGTCTTACATAAATCATATAATTTAATAAAAATATAAATTCTAAGAAGCAAATGAAAAAATCATTTTAAAAAACAGCTGCTTTATACCTTCGTGATTTAATTAGAACAGAAAAAGTAAGGATTTCCAGATCTTATGAAGCATTCTAATAATATTATGATGATAATGACTATAAATAATTTCAAACTTTTTCATAATATAAAGTATATCCTTATTGCAAATCTATATTTAATAACATCCTCCTTAAAGTGTCAATCATTCAAATAAAATCATTATTTACTCATCACATATTTGAGACATCATTTCCATTTAACTTTGTTTTTCTAGTGATTTAAATTGTAATTTCTGTGATTTGTTTATTTATCTTTTTGAAGTGGTTCTCATTTAAATTATGTTTAAGTAAATGGTTTCTTTAACTCTGAAACTTTCTCAAATGTTAAAACTGGCTTCTAAAGAAATCTCTTCAGAATTTCCATCCAAAAATAAATAATTTAGAGTAGTCTCTGTTTCATTTAAACTTCAACTAGCAAAATTAAAGCAAATAATCCCTTTTAATGCAAAAACTTCTTAATATCAAGTAAAGTACAAGATAAATTTTTTGTTGTTTAAATTCTTAACAATGTTTTTATCATTATTTGACCCATTAGAGCTAAAAGATTAAGAGAGATGTTAGTTTTGTTTTATTTTTTTATAGAAACACTCATTTCATAATTAATAAAAGCTTATTTTCTACTATAACATTATACAAGATCAATTTTTAAATTTACTCCTGGTTGAGCTAAATGAGATTAGTTAAAAAGATCTCAGTTTTATTTTATTAATTAAAGAATTAGACATACTTGAGTGTTTAATTACATTATGAATTCTAAATAAGTTTGTTATTTTATACTTAAATTTATTAGCTTAATTCTGTAAGAATTCATTAGGCAGTGAGGTATTATTAAATTAATTTATTTAGATACTCAAATCATTATTAATAAAAAAAATGGATAATTTAAAAAGTGCAAAGGAATATTTTGTAAGCTTATTAGTTTATCTAGAAACCTAAACTTATATAAGAAATTAAAAAAAAGAGAATCAAGGAATTGCGTTCAAGCCCTAATTGGGAACACATTCAATAAGTTGTTGAAAACATCTAATAAACAACATATTCAATCAATACGATTAAGGCTCTTGATGATTCTATTCTCAAAGCATTGACTTTTAAAGATATTTGTGGATCAGATATCGCTTATCATTTAATAATAAATTTTCAATTTGACCAATTTATTGATATCATAGGATAAGTTGAGTCACTTTTTACTTCTAATTTCAATTAAGTCATTCAATCTGTCATTAAGGGAATTTCATTAATTAAAAAAGAAAATAATTACAATAAGATTTTGGCATTTATAAAATAACTAACATCTATTTTAAATGCACGAAGGGAATCAGAATAGGATAAAGGTATCATATTAATCATATAATTTATAAGCATTTAAATTTAATTTAGACATTGTTGTAAGTTCAAGATACAATTATCTCAAGAGTCTTTGGGAATTAAAATTATTGATGAATCTTTATAGATTGCTTGGAGATTTTGAATCTGAAATAACAAAACTTAGCGCCATCAAGAAAGATCTAAATATTATAAAACTACTCAATTCGCCATCTTAAGAGAGAGGTTAAGTTTCTCCTTTAAAAATTTAATCGTATTTTTCTGGGGATGTTTAGAATTATATGTAATATGTATAATAATAAGAAATAGTATATTGATTAAGGAAAAGTGCTGGGATCTGTTTTTCAGGCTGGACATTGCCACAATTTTTAAACCTCTATCAGATGGATTATCTTTGTATATGAGATTATTGAAGGCAGCTCCTTTTTATGTATTAGTAGAATTTCATTAAATGCATAATTAAATTATTAAGGAGAGTCTCGACTCATAACACAAAGGGACATATAACATTTTACATTGCATTTCTGAAAATAAATATCCTATTGATCAAGAGTTTATATAAATATTATAGGAGCTTAATTTAGGCAATCTTAAGAGATAGCCATATAATCAATAAATACCGCTTGTATTTTATTTAAGAAAATAAAAATCAATAAATTAAAACTATTTAAATTATCTTTCCACAGATATTATAGATTAAAATCAGAGCCAATACGAGGGTTTATAACTATTAATGTCATTATATACTAGAGGAATGTATTAAAAATAACGTATTGGAGAATGCAGAAAAATTGTTAAAAACTATAATAAATATAAAAAGTAACCAAAATAATCAAAAAGGAAAATTCAACCTGGCAGAAAAATTATTAAAACCTCTTATAATCCCTAAAAGTAACCCAAATAATTAAAAGGGAAAATTCAAAATTTCAAAAAAATAAAACCAAGATATAAATTGTCCAAAAGCGTAAGTGTAAAGTAAGACTAATTTAGACAACAATTAAGTACATTTTCAGATGATATTAAATATTCTGCGTAAAATATCTATGAAAATACTGCAGCAATTCATAAAATTTATAATTTAAAAGGAATTAAACAGGACTTCAACATCACTCAATATAGTTTTTCTTTGTGTCACTTTGATTATAACATTTCCAAAATAGACTAACCATTAGCAATTTGGATAAAAGATTCAACATTATTAGATTAATTTTTAAATTATCTTGAAAAGGATTTTTGTTCAAATATTAATCAATAAATCAAGGAAGCCATCGAAACTCTATTACAAGAACTCAAATATTCTATTTCAATCGATGATTTAATAGTTTAGAGAAAAATTGTTATTTTAAATACTTTGTTAAAGTAAAACAGGACAGAATAAGAAAATGAAAGGATAAAAAGTTAAATTTCAAATTTATTGAGTAAAAGTTAGGAAAGTTTAAGAAAGCCATTCTGTAGTTATTCTAAATATTAAACATTTTAAGATTATTTGATATTCAATGATTTAATAACAATAGAAGAATACTAAATTGATAATGCATTTGAATCTGTTATAAATCTTCTTAGTTTGGGACTTAGAAATTAGGATTATATTTTGGGATTAGCTAAGAAAGTTGAAAGAGATGAATAGTATCCATCTTTAGATTCTTTGCTCTAGATTTGCTTTTAATAAAACATTATAGATAAATGTAGCAAATTGTTTAATTTGAAGAATCAAAAAGATTTTCTTGATAATCTCATTGAATAATCGTTTATGAAAAGTAGTTTGATTAAGACTCCTAAAGGTATTGAACTCATTTATTAGTTTTTGGGGTATCGTTTGCATATTTAATTATATAAAAATGTTCTTTACAATTTTTAAGAAGAATGTGTAATAAAATTCTTTTAATTATTTTATGAAAGAGAATAATAAGATTACTTTATTAAACAGAAATAGTACACAAAATTAATTATCAGTCATTTGACCTAATAATAATTAGGATTGATATTCTATTATTAATTATAGGGAATCAGGGTCGAATTCAATATCAATTCCCTTAAATATAATGCATCTACAATATAAGAGGAAATTGTTTTAAGATAAATCAATGAAAGCAAAAACTTTTTATAAGTTCTGGTATCAAATGATAAATATTCTGAATTTTTATAAGTGAGTTTAAAATTTTATCCTTTATTTTAAGCAAGAGATGGCATCGATTATGTATTAGAGGCTTTGAATAATGAAGCATATAAAAATTTGGCAATCTTGGAATAATGGATTTTTGATAATTTTGATGAATGTTAAAGTTCGAATAAATACAAAAATACTATTTTTATCTTTTTGAGACATCACAGCTTCTTAATATATGGGGCATTTGGGAAGGCAAGTAAGAGGATTGACAGAGAGAAATTCAATAGGTAAATTAAAAACTATTGTAACATATTCGGAAGATAAATTGAATTGTAGAAGACATTAAAACAACCAAATATTTTCGATCTCAAGAATCTAAAAAAATTTAATAAATCCTTTATTAGTTATCTTGATAGAGAAAACACTATTCTATTTTCTCAGCTTATCAAAGAACACTTCTAAAGTCAAAAATCATCTATTCTAATTAATTATGTTCGTAATTCAGAAAATCCAGCAATACCAGAAATAATACATTACAGTTAGAATAAAAGAATACTTGAACATCTTGAATATTTGGATTTAATTACCAAAGAAGAATCTGAGGTGAAATCCATTATTCAAAATCTTGAACTGTTACAAAAGAGAGAGTAAGAAGGAGAGGAAGAGAATTCTGATATTTAAATCAATAAATACGTAATTCTTTATTATCTGACTCATTTTACAAATTTAGAATTCATTAAACCTTACTTTTTGAAATGTAATTATCATGATATCGGCAATGTATTTTTAAAGCTATTAGAAAAAAATTCATTTCGAACAGTAGAATTCATTTTATTGAATCATAAAGGTAAATTAAAAGAACCTTAAATACAACTTAATAGTTCAAAAGATACTTACTTAAGGGCTTTAGGTTCCCATTGGAGTATAACTTTGACAGCAAATCAATTCAAAGATTTAGTTTAAAATAACAATGTTTAGAATTAGGAGAAGGAGTAAATCTTAGAGTTGTTAACCAATTCTGGTCATTTTGAAAAATTGGAGTATGTCCCTAATTGGATTAATAATGATAATTAATTGATAGAACTAGCTTCTATAGCTTGCTCACTTTTGGTTAAAGAATATAATTGGTAAAATAAAAAATTTAAAAATGCCTCTATTCCAGTATTTATGTATCAGAAAACTAAAATGAACTATACATTAACCAAGTTAATTGATTAACCTATTGAAACTCCTTATTTATTCACTCATAGATTGGGAACAGCAAAAGTGCTCTATAATTAAATTCTTGAGAGAAATGTTGATTTAAAAGAACATAATAAGAATTACCTCTTATTCCAGATTCTTTTCCCAAACACAAATTGGACTTTTGATACTAAAGAGTGCGATATGGCTACTAAATTTCTACTTTTGATAAAATTGAATTTATTGAAACAAAATTGGAAAAGCTATATAGAAATTATAATAAAAAATGCAGCCTTTTATTATGAAGTTCTTTATGACTTTTCAGAAGTTTTATATGCTAAAAGATACACTGAAGCATGGAATTCATTAATAAACATGATTGACTAATTGGTGCCAATTTATGAAGGCATATCTAAAGATAGTCCAACTACTAACGGATTAAGATAAATCTAAACTGTCATGCATCAAACAAGAACAGAAAATGTTAAAAACAATTATTTTGCAAAATAACTTGAATAGCACTTTGAGGATATCTAGTTTAAGAATTTAGAAATAAATACCAGATTAGCAAATATTTATTATGGACTTCCATTTGAGATTGGAACATTCAATGAAGTAGATTTATTTGTAGCTCTAATGGGTAGAAACTAAAATTCAATTCTAAAGCTACTCAAAAATTCAAGTATTAATATTGCTACGTTATTAAATAAGTATAATGTCATTCAATACTTAATCAAACATGGAAATGAAGACACAGTTATTGAAGTATTAAAATTACTAACAAGCAGTGAAATTGTTGAATCTCATTTCTTTCATCATGGTTTGCCTTTGCTCACCTATATTGTATTTAAGAAGTAGTATAAACTATATAACTTTGCCTAAAAGTATTTAATTAATTAATGGACCTTAAAGCCAAAGATAATAGAATAAATAATTCACAGCTAAATTTAAGAATTAACTATCCATCAATTTGCTTAATTAAATTCATTCTATGTTTATTTCGAATTACCAATAGAAAAGAAATTAATTCTAAGAACTAGCTAATTTTTAATACCAAATTCTCATAACATCTAACTCAAAGCATATAGGGTTTATTCAATACTCAAAATCATATTCAACAATATGCCATTAAGATAACTTGAGATTATTAGTTTGTTGTGTGTATAAATTAAAGATGACTCATAAATCAGTTTGGAAAATTTGTTTAAGAAGTTTGGCAAAAATTAATTAATCGAAGACTTATTTTTATCTATTTATGATAATGAAAAGAATGACAAAAAGGAACTCGTTTTAGATCTAATGAGTGAATTAGGACTTAGCTGTTCAATATAGTTAGATCAATTTAATGAAGCTCAATTAGAATGGCTCTACAAAAAAATATATCAACAGTATGGCCATTATCATTTCTTGATTGAGAAAATTATAAGATTAGCTCCCAATTCGTTTATAAATAATGATATTTTGGATTGTCCTAAATTAGCATTGATTGTAGCACAACATGGCAGATTTGATGCATTGTAAAATTTAGTTGATGTTTAAAATTTTGGATAAAACTATACAAAACTAGTATCAGCACATTTCATTAAAATTATCTTAATGGTAAAATATGGATAGAATTATGATCCATTAATTGAACCCAAAGATATAGACGAAATCCATTTGAAACATTACGTGAATGCCTTAGATTTTATCGAATCTGATCAACAAGGCTCTATTAGTATTTAGTTTATGAATCAACTCATTCCTATACTACATGTTGAAAACTCATCGATCTAATATATTGATAAATTTTATGGATAATTTAAATCCGAAAGTAACCAAATCAAAAAGGCTTTCAAAATTATAATCAAGTTGAAGGAATTCAATTATGAACTCTAACAAATAGAGTTGAATGCTATTGCTAAATGTGATTACCTAGTTAAAAATTTCAAGTTCTAATTCGGAGAGAAATTTAGTTTAGTTTAAAGTGGACAATCCTCTACAATTGTAATTCCCTTTGATTATTAAGAAAATGAATTAGAAGAGTTTTTGAATGGATTACCTTGTTTTTACAAAGAGTTATATGAAAGTACAATTACAAGTAAGGCATTTGAGAAAAAGAGAGGTATATTCAAGAAAAAGGATAAACTTGTCATCAAATTTGAAGACCAGAACTTATCTCCATTTTATAATGATTTAAGATTTTTGCTGCCTCTATTGAAGGAATAAAAATAACCTGCAGATAGTCTAGAATATAAGAATGAGTATTAGATTAAAGGATGGTAGCAACTATCAAAGAAAGATCATGATGATAATTGTTTTGTTTACACTTCAGATGTTACATTCACATAAGAATGGGCTTAAACCATTTTTTATTAAGAACCTTAAAAATCAGAGTATTTTTAAAAATATCAAAATCAAATCTTAATTTTCTTTAATACAAAAATAATCTTAAATTAAGTTGAAATCTAATATTAATTAAGTAATTCATTAAAATAGTTACTCAATCTTTCAACTAAAGGGTTAGATTAAAAGTGTAAAATAGAATTAGAATCATTTATGAAAGTGTTCTTTATGAACAAAAACCTCTATTCTGTTTACAACAATTGGTATAATCTAATAAATGGTATATCCACTTATCCAACATTGATAGCCATTTTAAGACAAATTTTAACTTATGTTTGTCAAATCACATGTATGTTCAATTAAAATAGCGATAATAATTAAATAACTGTAAAGTTTGAAATTACTGATACTCAAGGTATATCACCTTAAAGTCACTATCTGGATGAATATTTCTCTTTTTGCAAACCTTCTATATATTTAGAGAATGAGACAATTATCGTTACAATTCCTGTAAGTAACAGTGGTAAGAAAGGAGAGAGAACAACTTATTTAGAGGAGATTTTTAGTGCAATTGATTTAGATTAGTTTATCAAGGAGTAATTTTCATTAAAAGATAATTTGGACGCTTTGATTTTGAGATATTAATTGGAGGAAGCTGCTAAGGAAACTTGTGAATAATTTAGAAAATCGAACAATTTTGATCTATTAATATAATTAGATAGGAAGGATGTAAGATAATAAATAGAGAATCTTAATTATGAATAATAAATAGATTATTTAAATAAATTCAAAACATATTTTCAATGGACTTTGAATTTAGATTTGTAAAAATTAATAGCAGGTAATAGATTCTCGTAATTCTATAAGGATAGTTTATGTTCTGGTAAATATCTTACGAAGCCATTAGATATTGGAAATTTCTCTTAATTTAATGTTAATTCATTACAGAATAATTTTGGAATCATATAAAATAAAGAATAATTTTTAACAAATGCATAAAACAAAAGAATATATCATGTTTTTTATACAAAGGAAAATAGAAATCATGCTGTTTTCTGTTAATTTGTGAAATCAGTAAAGAACAGAAACTATTTTATTGAATTAGATCTATACAAACTCAAAAGGAAATATAATAAATACGCTAACTTAATAATTAAAAGTGATTACATAAAAGGAGCTATATATTACACTTATGAATATGACAAATCAATCACAGAATAGAATGCAAAATTAGTACTTATTGATTTTGAGGGTCACTATTATTTTAACTAGGATGTCAATTTTGCAAACTAAATTCAAGATCACACAACACTATCTGATAACATCAAAGTTACTAAATTAAGCTTTGGGCTTTCTTTTGATAGATCAAATATTGGTTAAAATAGACTTTACTTTAATTAAATTGATTTCAGATTGAGGGATTATTTGGAAACATCAAGCATTTAATCCGACAAATCTTATGACTTATAAAAATTAAGGGTAGATAAAAGTTAAATTAAGCTTGATCCTCAATTAGCTGAATATAATGGATTTGAAGATAAATACAATAAGAAGAAAAAACAGAGAAACTAGAAATTACATAACATGCTTTTAACCATTCTATCTTATGTTTCTGATCATGATGCTACTCCAACTTAATTTGAAATTCCAGGCTAGAATACAAAATTAAATGATGAAAACCTGGACTCATTAACAGATTATTGTAAGTAATATAGAAAATAAGAATTATAAACTCGTGCTGGAGAACTTAGAAAGGACAGGGTTATGTTTTATGATTGTTTAAACAACCTGATAAAAAATAAAAAAGTTATAAATGATATTAAATGCTATGTTTAGCATGAAAAGTTTAAGGAGATAGTGCATCATCCTGAGGTCTCTTTCAATAATGGAGTATGCCTATCTTGGACTCCTTATATCAAAGGATAATATGATGTATTTGTGAATGGTCAATAAATGAATTTCAAGTTTTCTGTTATGGCTTCTAAGTAGATCTAGTCTGAAAAATTCAAGTTAATAAAGGATGAATCAGAATTTTAATACTTTGTTGAAAAAGACTTAAGATTCGAATTATACGACATCTATAACAATTTGATAACAAGAGCTGATGAAATGCCATCTGCCTTATCGGTTAAAGTTATGAGTTCTAATTTTACAGTGAAGACTAGATGTGATTACAATGACAGTTGGTGTGTATTATACATATAATTTTGCAATTATGCCAAGCCAGATGATAAGATGGATGAATGCAAATTGGAAATAAATTTAGACAACAAAACCATTATACAAGGCAAAATAGTCCAAATCAAACCATAACCATTGAATCAAAAGAGAATCGATTCATTCTCATCCAAGTTCACATATGGAAGTCCAGTTTAATACTTAATAATAAGAGCAAACTTCCTTAATTCATTAGCTTAGATGGATAATCATTGGGGATTACATACTCTAAAGTTCAGTTTCCTTTAAGAGGTAGCGAATGACTAGGGAGGACCTAGCCGAGAATTCTTTTGTTTATTCGGAAAGAATCTTAAGGATCCTTAAAATAATTTGTGTCATCCCACTCATATGGATGGCTTTTTCTACTTAAGTAAGGGTATGCTTTTATTGAATGATTCAATAACGTTTGCAATTGGTATGTTGCTGGCCTATGCGATTGCAAATAAACTAAAGATTGGAATATCCTTTGCTCTGCCTTTTTGGAAGATAATTTGTGATCTACCATTAGAGTTTTCTGATTTAAGTTATGTAGTCGAACCACAAATCTATCAGAGTTATCAGTACTTAAGAAACCTAAAAGAAGACGAGTTGTTTTAATAAGACATTTACTTTGTGAATCAGTCAAATGAAGTTGAATTGTGTGAGAATGGTAAAACTAAGAAAGTGGATTGTAGCAATCTAGAAGAATATTTACAGTTATCTGCTTAGTATATACTTAAAGGTTAGTATGAGAATGTTTTTAAACAACTCAAAAGAGGATTCCAAGGGTAATTTGATGCTAAATTGTTGATCCAGAACTTTGCTCTCTTCGAAATTAATTAATTGATTGACATCATAGATTACTAAATCAACAAAGAAAAATTATTGAAGTGCATTCATTTCTCCAGGAAGAACCAAATAAATGAAAACTACTTTACTTAATATGTAAGTGAGGCAGATTAAGAGAAATTAGAGCATCTCTTGACATTTGTTACAGGTATTACCATTCATTTATAATAATAGGCAGTAAGTATAGTAATTTGGAGAACTTTAAGATAGATGTACAAACTAATTTAGAACTCTAAAAAGATAGACTCCCAGTGTCTAGGACATGCAGTAACGTTTTAATAATTCCATAATATCCTACTTATTATGACTTCAAAGCCAAAATGGATGTGGCGTTAGATTGGGGACTGGAATTCTTTGGTCAGGGTTGAAGTTTAAATAATTACAATGTTATAAATTATTTTTATTATAATCAACTAAAGTTATCTTAAAGATAATAAAATGATTGGTAAATGCATGTAGACATGATTCTTAAAGAGAGGGATAATAATAATACATGATTTAAGATGGTAATAAATATGAGTTCAAGTACTCTTAAATTTTAAATGTCTATAAAGTTAAATGAAGCCTGAATAGAATTTATAATGTTAATTTATATTAATAATAGTGATTTCATCATAAGAATTACAATGAAGATTTGTATTCAACATCTTTCTATCATTTCAATGTTATTTAATCGTTTTAAATTCGAATCTTGTTTTTTGGGATTCAATTTTAATTATTTGTGTTACAATTAGTCCCAAGAGATATTAAACCATTTATGAGCCTTTAATTCATCAAAAGATGATCCAACTCTTTGGTATACATTCAATGACATCAACTAATTCATTAGGTTCTTGCCTACTTAATCCCTATAGAACTGCGGATATTTGATTTAATAATTGAGGATATCTTCATACACCTTATAGGGATCCTAAATAAATATTGCAGAATACTTCTTGATCTTCTCCAAAGGGAACTCCCCCACAAAGGAACTCATACAAACATACTCCGACACTCCAAACATCACTAAAAGTAGTATACCCTTTGCCTTCTATGATTTCTGGTGCCATATAGTGAGGATTTCCAATGATCGTATGAGTCCTGTATGCCTACTTGGAGGTTTTGAAATCTATGAGATATATATATCCATTTTTATCAATAATAAAATTATTGGGTTTGAATTCTCTTGAGATGATTGAGAGATTAGAGAAGGTTTCTAGTAGGAGAATCATTTGTGAAATCAAAAACTGGGCTTTCTCTTTGTCCAACAGTCCATTATCATGAAGATAATCTCCCAAGTTCTTCCCCTTGATGTAATCCTATAAAAAGTAAATGTGCTATTCATCAGAGTAATATTGATGGAAATTGGCCACAAAAGGATTATTGATGATTTCTAGAATCTTGCGTTCCTGCTTGATCTGTTTTTCCAAGTTCCATTAAGATATAATGTCCCTTGAGATTTTACGCAATACGTATTTTTCGTTCTTGTACTCCACTTTATAGAGTGTGCCATATGCACTATTGCCAATCAATTTTTGATTATTCAATTCAGAAAATTGGGGTCTGACTCTTTTAAATTCGTAAGTGCTATCTTCAAGAACATAATCCTCCAATTCCAATTTGACCTTATCCAATTTGGCCAAAGTTCCAGTGCAATAGAATTGCTAATCATCATAAACATCCGAAACCAAATCTCCCTTGTGATATACTTGATCTTCTGAACGCATGGTGCCTTCAACGACTATGACTAAATAATCATGCAACTCATTGATATCAAATATCTCATTATTGTAATGATGAAAACGAAAAGAAGGTAATAATTTCTCAATCTCCAAACTTGGGGTTTTTAATTACTTCAATCTTTCCTAATTTAATTTAAGCTAACTTACATTTATCGAATGACAGCAAATTGCAATTGCTTCTTGACATCATTACCCAAAATCTATTTGACTCTCTCTCTCGTCAATACCAAACATTGGACCTCGCTCACTGCTTGCACTGTGGCATTCCTTTTGGTAGTCATCTGAAGGGAATTCTCTCCAAAACAATCCCTTGGTTAAAGATAGCGAATGAACTTGGTTCCTTTGTAAACAGCAGCCTGACCACTTTTTATAACTATGAAGGAATCTGCTCTTTCTCCCTCCTGTGCTATGATTGCATTCGGTCTATATTTGGTTACGATGATATTCTGAGCCAATCCATCTTGTTGCATCGGAGTCAGGAATTAATAGAAAGATTGTCCAGTAATGAACTATTTATTTTACAGATATTATTTGGCCATTATATAATCCAAAGAATTTAAAAATGTATTTTTATCCAAACCCCAAAAGAAGCAATCATCTATCGCCTTCACATTCTTCTGCTTCTCCAATCGCAGCAACAACGACAATTCCCCTATGGTAGAACCCTTTTATAAAGAGCATCCCTCATATTGCAAATTCCCTCTCTCCAATATCAAAAAGCATGATGCAACACATTCCTTTGGATAAAGGGTAGTATTACTATGTAAACAACAGTAAAACATCTTATTTATTATACCCATGATCACCTCATCCGAAAGGGAATAGAAGATAAAATGGTTCATCAAGGTAGTCGTCAAAAAGTTAAGGCAATTCGCTCTTAATATTCATACAAAATACCTGATTTCTTCTGTCTCAAGACTTGCACATTCTCTGTAATTTTTCTGTTACTAGTGTCTGTTTTCATCAAGTAGATTGAATCATTATCTGTTACTGCAGTGCTCGCTTGATTCAGCAGTAGAGTAGTCTTACTATCTTACACATCTATGGAAGATCCACAACCCATCTATTCGTTAGATTAAATTTAATTAATAAACACTAAAAGATCAGAATAAATTTATTCATCTAATTAAACATCAAAAATTGATTCTCCTCTTCATCCACCCATCCATCTTTATCACTCTCTGTCCTCCCCCCATTCTCATTCAACTGTAGTACAATCATTATCAATGGCATTAATTGGTTCTTCTCCTTTAAATTACGTTCATATTCTCTATTAGATATGAGCATAATTTATTTGTCAATGAAATCCCTCTAAACATAAAATTAGATTCAAGACCAATTGTTTCATTAGACAAAACCATAGAAAAACTATTAAGTCATATCTTTTAAGACTATATTCATCCTCAAGTTTGAGAATACTCTTTGACTAGAGTGGAGCCACACAGTTACCAGAGTTATTTGAATTTGTATTTATTTGTTAGAGAAACAATAATAATTAATATATTAATATTTATTATAATAAAAATGAGTCAAATGGAACCCTATCGTGAAGAATTTCTAGAAGAATTGGATAAAATCAGACAGCAATACAGTTTTGGACAATCTCAATAGATGTCTTAGAGTCAATAGAAGAAGGTGAACTTGCAATTCAAGGTTACTGATACCAATGACATCTGGAATAATAGTAAATATTCTGATGTATTTTATCACTAATGATTTTAGAATAAATGGAGAGGGAACCTAACAACCACATTCTACAACAAGGAGCACAATGCTAGTCATTATGAAGTTAACTCACTTTTGAATCCGGAAGTTACGAGAAAGAATTTCAATATGAGAGCAACTCAGATCTCAGAATATTCAAATGCAAAACATAACAATACAGTTTTTGTGAATCCCAAGTTCACAAGTTGCTGATTTTAATATATATTTCACATTATGAATCAAGACTCAACCTTTATAGACAATATCAACAAGATCAGTTAGACTGCATCTATTGTCACATTCCCAATATGTATTCATATTATGTACCAAAATTAAAGCGATTATTCTCTTACAAATGATAATGTGATTTCTTCTTTACAATTACTTTCTTTCATGACGACAATAAGGAAGATGAAATTCACTTCTGCTGAATTCAAGCCTTTTTGGAAGTAACATTATTAGATATTCAATATATATAGTTCAATATGACTTAAATTTTGTATAATTTAAGTTATAATTGAAAATCAAAATAATATTATATATATCTTTATTTTTTGGTATTGAAGTTTTTGACTATGTGTAAGTATATCAGACATTTAAACTAATTAAGATTAACCCACACACTTTAGTTATTATAGGTTTAGTTCTAATATGTTACCTACAGTTTAGAATGCTCTCTAAACTATTGTTGCAATAGAGATTACGTAAAATAATTAGCTGAAACTCCAATTTAATGATGTGTTAACATTTTGGATCATATACCAGATATGATGATGTGACCTAATTTTTTGAAATCTCAAATATAGCTTAACTTATATCAAAATAATTAGCTTATCATATATTTAGCTTTAATTTTTCCTTAGGAATCTAATTTGATCAATAAGAGTTTTATTAAAGCATTTCTCTCAATATATTAAGTGAATAGAATCTCAGGGATTGTATAAAATAAGTTTAACTATCTTAACCAATTTCTTTTATATTTTTTTTGCAATTCTTTATCAAATATACTCTCCTTTTTTCTTTAGCTCTCCAGTGCAAGAATTCTGATGTAAGCATGGTTTATACATCTGGATCATCATCATAATTTAAATAGCATAAGTTATTCTTTGAAAGATCTACCTGCTAGAATGAATTATGAAATCGGTCAATTGTTTTTTAGCAAAATGTTCTATTCTAAAGTGAGCCTTCTGATATTGTAATGAGTTGTAATTGTTGATTGCTATGATTTGTCAGTGTAGACAATAGAATAAAGATGAAATTGATTATGAAGAGGAGACTGAATAAAATTCATATATAAAATGAATTAATTGTATAAGCTTACACCTCAAGAGTTGGCAATTAGAAAGGACATTGTTGTGCTTAGTGATAAAGGATTGCGATTCAGGGAAGAGATTAAATCGTAAGGTCAATTCGATTTAGATGATTTCCATTTGCCTCAAAGTAATTCTGCCATTTTAGGGGTCTAGTCAATTCATAGAAAGATAAGCCATATACAAGAAGGTCTGTGCTCCAAGGAGAGAAACCAGTTGAACTGCTGCTTGCTGATTTGAAGAAAGAATTAAATGTCAGTAGACCATATATGGAGAAAGCTTTGGAGAAAATGACAGCCAAGATAACTTAAGAGAAGCCATCTGCAGCTATAAACAATAAATTGCAAAAACTATATTAAGAACTCGATAGACATACCCGATTGTTAGAGAAGAAGAAAGTGAAGTTTCAAAAGAAGCCAATTGAGTAGTAGATGTAGGATCAAACTTCAATTTTGGAAGAGTCAGAATTTCAAGATAAAGTGGCATCTCTTAATGCTTTAGAAGCAAGAATATGGAGAATGCAATAAAACTATTAAAATGAAATATAAATCCGAGAGGACACTTTGAAAGTAGATATAACTATCTTACTTGTAGAAAGTTAAGCAGAACCTAAATTCGATGAGGATTTAAAAGGAGGCTGAAATTGAATAGGTTCCAGTCCCTGTTTAAGTGGAGCAGCTTTAATAATCTTAATATCTGGATAGGAAGTCAACTAGGCTTAAGGATTATTAAAAATATAAATTTGAAGTAACCAAAGTTAGTATTTATAGAAAAACTGGAATAGACAGCCTCCTCCAACCTATACTTCTAAGTAAGCATTGATTGAGGAAGAAAGGAAAAGATAACTACAATAAATAAAAGAATAATAAGAATATGAGTAAGAGTTGTTACGAAGGAATGGACATGCAAACAATAACATAGTGTCTAATCATACTGATCATGAATAATGAATTAAATATCTATTTTTTTTGAATTAAAATAATAATCACTTAATTATCTATTAATTATTTTTAGTAATGAAATGAAGAACAAATAATTTTATCTGTTTTTATTCATATTTTTGATAATAGTTTAATTTCTAATGTCTAATTTCTTGATAGATTCTTTTTCCCAAATTATAATTTATTTGTGCTAGATTCTTTTAATATAGCAATCATTTTTTCAAGAAATACGTTACATACTAAAAATATAGTTTCCTGAATGAATATTAGAATCGAAATAATTAATAAAATTTACGATAATACTCATTTTCTAGGTGGAGGTCTTTTTTGTTATTGAGTGGGTTTGGCAGAAGTTGGTTTAGGTTATGGCTTGGATTGAGGTTTAGATTTGTTTTTACGTTTTGGTTTATCTAAAGAATGCAATTAATAAATTACCAGAATCAGATTCATCATCGTCATCATCATCTTATTCACTGATATTATTGAGATCTAAAACATCAGACAAATCATCATCATCATCACTTCCGCCATCATCATCATCGTCATCATCACCATCATCATCATCTTCAGTGAAATCAGAGTCATCATCTCCATCATCTTCCTATTGGATTAATATCATAATGTACTGATTATTCAGGTGAGAATTCACTGTCTCCAGCTTCTGGATCATCATCGTCTCCTTCCTCTTCCTCACTTTCAGCCAAAATGTTAGTCCAACCTCCATCTTACACGAATCCTGGAATGTCCTTTTAGATTTGAGCAAGTACATTTTTCCAGACCAGATTCTATGCTACTTCGAAAAACAACAAATTCATCTATGATAACATATTTAATGATACCCTATCCAACCAACTTTTAACTCCTTCCAAATCTTTAATGTCAATACTCTCGATTCTCAACACTTATCTGTCGTAGTTCTTGAACACAAAAACTAGATCAAAGGATTTAATGCCTGGGATTATACGTTCAAAACAACATATTTCAACTTCAGATAATGTCAAGATAAAGAATGGACTTTCAACTACATTCATTAGAGTATTATGAGTGGGTTGTAAAAACAATCTTGCTCTATTCCAATTTCCTTCAAATCCCAGATCTCTAAATGGCTTCTCAAATTATATCTTATAATCTGCTCCCATTTCCTCAATTGTTTTAATGAACACTTCAAATTCTCTTGCCATCTTCTTTCTATGCACTCGCAATCTCTCTTCTTCTTCTATTTCGTCGTCATCGTTTTTATTGTTTTTCCTCCTTCCTTCCAAATGTTCTACTGCTCCTCCTACCTCACAATAGAATTATACATCATGTGTCTTTCTCTTACCTAGAACTATAGGAGAATGAAGATGGAAATGCAGGGCAGCAATAATGTCTTGTTCTGGACTTTAATAAATGTAATGCTTAATATTCTTAAATACAATATCCAATTATTCTTTATTTGAATGAACATATCTAAACCCATTGGAATGCACCTCCAAAATACCTGCAGCTTTACCAGACCCAAAGGTAGGTCTCACTTTCAAATCCTTGAAAATGGGTTTTCTACCAGACTTGCTAACAACCAAAGGTTCTAATTCACCAACATGCTATTTCTCCCTCTCCACTTATTATTCTGCCTTCACCTTTTTCTATAATTATTTTATCTACAATATCAAATTCTAAGGACGATCACTCTTCTTTGATCTGTACTACAACTCCTTGATGAAGATTGTTTCTCCATCAATCTGAGGGAATTGAATCTGCCCGGCTGTAGTCTCTGAAGTAAAGAAATTGATTCTAATAGACGACCCCATCTTGCCTTCGTCAATCTTACTCACATTTTTGATGCAAGACACATGAAATGGCACATGAGTACCCAACAATGGTACCAACACTGCGCATTTCTAATTATCAATATAAATCTATCCCTTTTACAACTCCTTCGGATACTGCTCTGGTTTCTAGTAACACTACAACTTGTCCAACTCCAAAGCTTTAGTCTCCTGAGAATTCTATACGAACTAATCCTGCTCTAACCTCGCCTCCAACTCATTCTATTTGTCCTTCGCCAACTTCTCCTGATGAATCTGTCTCTATTTCTCATTCTCTCTCTGTATTTGAATCTATTAATTACGTGGTGCTCTCGTTCGCCCCTCCTTTGGAGCATCTGCCTACTTGGGCTATTGCTTCTGAGCAGGCTATTCATCCTCCTCCTACAATTGATATGATATCTATTTATAAGCCTTTGGAATTTGGTTGGTAGTCACATTGGCTGCTCCATTTGTTACCACAATGACATCACCAACAGAAATTGTGTAACTGATACCCTTCTACCCATTTGGAAGATTCTCCAATGTTACTTATACAAAATAAACTTCATTCTTAGCCACAAGATGAGTTGCCTTTTCAGAAATGGCAAGAAAGGGTTCCTTCAACTCTAGCCCTATGCCATATCCAAAAGAAGATGGCAACTAAACATTCGCGATGTTTATTTCTTAGATCTTCTGCTATAGGATAGGCAATGCTTCCTTATACACTTAATTCAATGGAGTGCCCACTGTCAATAACCCAATTATTTTGCTCTACACTTCTATAATTGTGTTATACAATTTCTTTTGCACCTCCGTAGGATTAATAAATAATGTTCTTATGCAATTTGTGTTATATTCATTCACTTAAGTACCAAGTGATATAATAATTACATCTGAAGATAGGTAGTCTTTATTTGGACCATCCACTTGCTGATAATTGCCACCACTCTGAATTATCGGAGTGTAGGCAAAATCATATAAGCCATCTTATAATCCGATGTCTTTTATGACTTTTTGTTTATCATTGTCCAATGATTACTCCACTTTCTTTGCCAAATCTTAATGAGTTATGCGTGTTCCAACATCGATTGAATCCTCTATCTATTTGATGAGCTTCTTGAAAAGACGAGTAGTCAATTGCGATGATTGATTGATGAAGGCTTACTCTTGGTCATCCTTTACTGCGAGGACATCACTAATCAATTAACTCGCATCCACAATTTGAGACCATCCTTTATAGTCGTACCATTCTGTGGCCAAACTACCTGCTTGTTGCTCTGTTGCAGGCATTCCCAGCTTGCCATTCCCCAATTTCTAGCGAATTTTTTCGAAGCTGTCACGATTGTCAGCAACTTTCTTATAGAAGTGGACTTCATATCTCCCGCCCAATCGCTGCTTAGTCTCCTCCATCATCTACACTATTCAAAAGTCAGAACAACACATTTACACTTCTTCTCGCTCGCCAAATAGAAAATTTGTTTCCTTGTTGCGATGAACACAGTCTCAATCATATCGTATCCGAATAACCACACAAATAAAGCCTTAGTTTTTGGTTTGATCGACCCATCCTCCTTCCCTGAAAGAATGCATAGGGCTGGGATGTCCTATCTTCTAATTTAACAAAACATACATCATTGAGACGACTGGTCAATTAATCTAAATGCCTTTGGAATACATCTGCTATTATCTTTTTATCCATTATTAAATTAATATATGTTAATAATTTTCTATTGATGCTTTTGATATGACTGCACCCAACCACACATTTAAATTAATCAATTCACCAATCCCCTCCCTCTCCCACAAACTCCTTCCAACTCAATACCAAAAAAAGCACAAAAAAAATATAAAAAAAACCGCGAAAAATTTAATCAGCTATTCTATAGCCGATGATGCACCCCCTTGGGAAGGTATCATTCCATATAAAGTTTCGTTCTGCTAACAATCTCAATCTATGTCGGTATCAATCAGATCCTGAGGTGCTATTTGATTTTATAATAAATCTAATGTTGTTATTATAAAAATAATTAATATGAAAGTCAAGATAGTTTATAATAACGAAATCCACCTCTTCAAACAATAAAACCCCACACTCTAGGGAATCAGATAACATATCTAAAAAATACATCCCAACATTGATTCCAACTTCACACTTGCCTATAACGATTCAGAAAATGACCAAATCACTCTCAGTTGCCAAGAGGATCTGTAAGTCCTTATTGATGAAGGAATTCAAACAATCAAAGTCTTTGTGTTAACCAACAAAAAACCATAAGAATTCCCTCAAGGTAAGATGGTTCATAAGAGACATACTTGCGATGGATGCTATACATACCCAATCGTTGGTTCAAGATTCAAATGTCTCGACTGTCCCAATTATGACTTATGCGAAGTCTGCCAAGCCAAAGGTCTTCATAATAACCATAAATTCTTTAAGATAAGTACTCAGGAAGAGTTAGAATAATTCAGAAAGGAACATTGGGGTAAATTTGGACATTGGGGTCACGGAGGATGTGGATTCCATAGAGGTGGACCACATGGACATCATGGACCACATGGCCATCATGGTCATCATGGACCATTTGGACATGAAGCATTTAAACAAGTTAGAGAATTCTTCTAGGATCCTGCTTTTAAAGACATTAAACAGACAGTTTGCACAATTGCAAAAGATGTCTTTAATGTGATTAAGACAGAATTGGAGAAACATAAGAACTCCAAATAAGAAGAAGAATGTAATACAAATGATATCTAAGAAACATAACAAGAACCATAACAATAAGCTTAATAAGAAATATAATAATAATAAGTATTATAGGAAAATAATACATAATAAAACGAATGTAATATGCAAGAGGAATTTGAAGAGAAAGTTAAAGTAGTGATTTAAGTGTTGTAATGTGATGAGAAAGTAGCCAGAGAATATGTTGAATGCTTTAAGGGATTCCCACTAAATGAAATTGTTGATATTTTATTAGAAAAATAATGATTATGATGATTAATTATTAAATGAGTTATTCTAATTCAAATAACAGTGCTTGCTCTTTTTAATCTCCTCTCTATTTTTGGGAAAACCAATGGCAGAGGGTCGATGATGAGTTTTATCAGAATGAAAACATACAAATTCATGAGGATACTAATCTCTAAATATAGTTAAGAGAAGCCAAAACTGACCATCTCATAAGACTAAATCTCCATGAGTAAATACTATATGACTAATTAACAACTAGTTCCTAGCATCATTTGCAGGAGGACGAATAGAAGGCAGAAAATTACAGTTCTTAAAAGTAACTTAGATTCAGTGATCGATCACAAAATCATATAGAGGAAGAAAATAAACCAAAACAAGCAAGGGGGACAAAAGACAGGGAGTAAAGGCAAAGAACCAGAAGGAGAGTAGATTATGGAGTATGAGAATAATACTAATTTAAGGTTGAGGATTCGTTTTCGAATGATTCTGACTTGAAACCATGTCAATGTTCCAAAACTAAGTGTCTATAGCTTTATTGTTCGTGTTTTCATAAGAGGAAGGCATGTTCTTCGAAATGTAGATGTAAAGGCTGTTTTAATGATGGGAACCATAAGGTGGAAATGGTGCAGGCATTATAGAAGGTCAAGTTGAAGGAATGTAGGGTATCGCAATCTGATTTGGATTCATTCGACACAAGACAAGTTTGGGGTTGTAAATGTAAAAAGACTCATTGCAAGAAGGGATACTGTGAATGTTTCATTAGAGGAAGGAAATGCACATCGCAATGCAAATGTTGTGAATGCAATAATTAGAGACAAAAGAGTTAAGTGAAGAAGAGGATCAAAAAGAATTGATAAATAGAAAATATAATATATATATACTAATGATGAAAGATTAAGATGTGTTAGAATTTCATGATTACAAATAGTCAGTTCTACTTAAGATGTTACGGATCTACTAAGAAACCTACAGTGATTGTGATGGAGATCGCATTATTGTGGAAGCCTACAATACCAAAATCAGTAAGCAGGATCTGGACAATTTCATAGTGGATCCCAATTTTGAGTTGAGCATTCAACTTGTTATTCTCTATCTCAATTACATAATTAAATATAATTAGATAACTCAGAAGATAGCTCCTTACTTTTTGATTATAACGAGTGAGGATTACAATGTAAACTATAATTCACATAATTCAAGCCATCCTTTGGGAATGTCATATTGTACGATGGTTAATTGATCACTCAAGTGCCTCTGTCTAAATTCAAGTATGATGGTAATAAATAAAATGCTCCCATTGTAATATTGATGAGATGTAAAAACAAATGGAACATGATAATTTTGGAATTACAGCCATGGATTATTGATTTTAGAACAGACAAAAACACTAGTTTTAATGCAATATCTGCGTTTGCTTCTCAATTCATATTGGATACTTTTGGGATTTAGATCAAGAATTTCAATGATTTTATGTTGGATTACGAATAGCCAGGAGACCAGGGCGATTTGATAGTGTATGCCATATATAAAGTGTTTGTGATGAATCTGGACCTAATGGGAGACACTATTCTTACGAAGAATGATTACACCACAGCCAAACGCAAATTGTTGTGGTTGGCATTGTCTCATATGAGAGAGAGGAGGAAGGAGGATGACGATGCTGAATTCACGAGGAGATTGATGAAGAAATAGCGAGAGGAGATGTAGAAGTAATTGGAAGAGGAGGAAGAGAGAAAGAAGCAAATAAAAAACTAATTATCTGAAAAAAGAATGTAAGTTTATGGATTCTTACACGCAGTAGAATAACCTTAGGAAATTAAAAAGGTTGAGGAAACTCCTGAGTAGATTTTGCTAAAGAAATAATTGGCATAGTTTAATGTGACCAGACCAAGGGATAAGGTTGAGGCATACCTTACAAAAATGAGGGTCAAAGATCCATTCGAATTTTAATATCCTGAACCTCAAAAGTATGAGGCTCCTAAGAAGGATCCTAAGGGCAAAGTAAAGAATTTTGTTTATGAAGTTGAATGGCCAAAAGTGACTCCGGGGGTTCAACAAATGATAACTCCTGCCTCATACTGTGTTTCATAGCTCTTTTCAGATAACACTTTGTAATTCGAACAACCAAAATTATAGAAAGTTTACGATTATGAGATTTTGGAGTAATTGGAAAAGCAAAGATAAAAACAATAATAGTTAATGTAAGTGTAAACAGTACAAAGAAATGGTAGTTATTTTGGATCAATTGGATCAAGAGTATTTGATAACACTGATTACACCAATGGAGTAGTAGTTCCAGTGGGAAGGAAGGTTTTCAAGCAAGTAGATAGAGAAGAAAGCAAGCCCAAGAGATTACACAAAATACAAATGGCAGATAGATGCATCGAATAATTAGAAGATGAGTTATTTTTAAATTATTGAAATAATTATATAATGAACGATTCGAAAGGACCTAAAATAATGAGTTCTCACTCATTCAATAGTATTAAGAATGAAGAGCCGAAGAAGGCTGAAGTGATCGATGAGCAATCATTATAGACCACTCAAAAGAGAGGATAACCAAAAATCAATATTAGTCGTTTGCCTCCAGCATTTGCAAATAAAAAGTAATTACTATGGTGTAATTCAGACCACAAAAGAAATAGATAGAACCTTTGGCGTAGAAGAAGGAGTAGAAACAATAAGTACAACAGAATCTGCAGAACATAGAGGCAATACAAGAGTACAAGTAGGTGAGCCAAATGTTAAGTCCCTTGAAGGCATTAATTATAAATCAAACCCTAGCGCGAACACAACTAGCAATCCAAGAATCCATTAGCACCTTTTCGTTAGTTCATGAAAGACCAAAAGAAAATTCATGAGGAATTAGGCCTCAGCATCAGTACTCTCGTCCAAGGTTAGATGCGCATAGAAGACATGATTACCACAGGCACATTACGATGTTAATATCGATTCTAAATTAATAGCCTATGGTGATCAGAGTCCTGTCAAAAAAATGCTACATGCTCCAACCATGAAACTTTATGTTGTAAAAGAAGTATTTATCTACTTTGACATCTAGGAACCTTTGCACAACAAGGAAATTCGTAAAAACTTAAAAGACTGGATCTCCTTTTGGTAGAACAAATTTGCCAATTCAAATTTGCATGTTCAAGTCTACGCCACCTTTTGGAACACACCCGAAGGCTACGTATCCATTGTCATGGAATATATGAATGGTGGTTCATTATAAGTGAATATTTAAATCTCATTCCTAGAATCTTCTTGAAAGCATGGGCTTCCTTCCAGAGAGAAGTATCAAGTAGCTTGTACCACCAATTCTCTAAGGATTACAAAAAATTCATTAGCAAGGAGCCTAATGTCATGGGGCTCTTGGACCATCACAAATACTCTTCCTCAGAGATGGCACTGTTAAATTAGGTCAAGGCTTGCAATACAGAGTCTAAGTCCAAGGGAATCAGCTCTTTAATTCTTACATCCTTGGGAAACCTAAAGATGTTCAAAGGTGCTTTATTCAACCTTATGAGTAGTCTTTATGACCCAACAATTCTAGAAACCCCTTCTCTCTGGAGCAAAGCATCAAGCGAGAAAGTCCATTTCCCTGCCCAAGAAGATTTCATTCTGGAGAGAGCCAATGACATTTGGAAATTAGGTTGGCTAGTCTTGAATTGTGCCATCGGAACTCTTGAATTTCATCCCAAAGCCTAACAAATCTATGAAGGATCGAGAATCATCATTGAAGAAATTGCAAAATATACCGATCACCTCAAAGATACTTGTTGCTTACTTCATAGTGAATCGAAAGTCATTTCATTAGTTGAATAGAATCAAAAGATAGTATCTGAACCTACCAAAATTACAATACTAGAATTACTCCCATCCGATAAATTCAGTCCAGAATTTATTCAATTTTTATGTTCAACCCTTAAAATAGATCCAAGACAAAGACAATACACTGAATAATTATTGCAACATCCATGGTTAGTAAGTGGTAGAGATCCCAAAGGTATAGGCTCACATTTTATTCTAATAGGACCCAATGTACAACTAAAGGAACTGCTTAACATCTCCAATGCTTGGAATGCATTTCTGCCAGAAGAGTTTTAAGGCCAAGGAGCCTAGAAATTGGAAAGACTCTGTGATGCACTATACCTTGTCTTGCAAAATTCAGAACGACCTACTGTCAACAAGTAAATCATTCAATAATTCGTCAATTAGGATGTAATTACAAGAAAACAGCCCTATTATTAAAGAATTGTCCTATGATATGGGTCTTAATGCCAAGGCTGTAAGTGATCGAATTATGTCAATTTTCCAATCCTTAATCTGATTTGGCATTGCACTATTATCTATATATTCCTAATTATTAGTGTTATTAAAATAATTAATAATTATTTTATGCATATTAAGATTATGAAAATCACTAACTTGGTATCATTCTTCAACTTATTAATGTTGATATGAATATGAATGATGCCTTCATTCTATACCGAAATGTCTTATTACTCCATATTGATACATAATTTTAGTTATCCAAAGAGAATATTCGTTCTTTTTGATATTTTCCATTATAGTTTATAATAATCAGATATTTATAATTAATTAAGTAAATGAAGCGACAGTCTGAATCCAGTTTCATTAAAGAAAAGTACTATTTTAATGACAGAGATGCTATCGAAGATCCCTTGGCAAATAGTATCGACGAATATCTTAAGAGGTCCAAAAAAAGAATCTATGGTTTCGCCTTAGTGAGTACACTTTCAATTCAAATTCAGGCTTTGCTTTCCTATTGCTTTTAATACCACCCATCATTTTAGAACCAAATCTGTTGGAACTCATTGTTTTACCATAAAAGGGAGTAACATTTGTCGTCACCAAAAACATATATGCTCCCATCACTTTCGAGATTATCTCTGCTCAGTCTTATTCTATATAGGATATTCAACTTTATTTAGATGGCAATGCAATTGAACACTTTACAATATATTAAGAATTGATCTCAAACTCAACTCATACAATCACTAGCAATAAATCCTTTTAATTTAGTATTAATTTAATGATCGTAGCAGTTAGATTAATATCCTAGTTTACATATATTCCTGATTCCTACCTTATTATCTAAATAGTTATGTTCGTTTTATCTTTCCTGTTTTTAATTTAAGAACTCTTACGAAAACAGAAATTTTGATTATATATCTTTTCATGTGTACTTACTAAATAGTAAATTTAATCGCCTTTTCTACTTTATAATAATATTAAGTTTACTTAAACCATTTAAATTTGCACCCAAAGATATTTATAAATTCTATAGATTTTCATAATTATAATAATTAAATCTAAACTGTGAATTCACTCAGAATATATTAGAATAATACCATATTCAACATCATTATAAGTAAGTCAAAAATATTATTTAATTCTGTATATCATAAATGTAAATGACATCTACCCTCTCCTTGAATCTAGATCATAACAAATCCTTTGAAAATCCTAAAACATCAACCCAATTCGAGCATCCTTTTAGAAGAAAATCGTGTTATTGTAAATAATGCGGAAATCAGGGTCATTTTCAATTACAACACTCTAATTTACCAACGCTAAAAGAAATATTATTTAGTAAATAGCAGAGGATCAAAAGAAAGTAGAGCTTCGGCGATGAGATTAGGACTGAAATTCCTAGTGAATTTAGTTAAATTGAAAGTGAAAATGGAAGACGAATTAGGTAAACCTTTAGGTCAATTTCAATAAAGAATATATAAACATAAGGAGCACAAAGATTTGAATAAATATGCACAGAAAAGAGCAAAAAATCAAAAAGAAAAAGCTGTGAATGCAGCGAATGTGGATAACTTAATACATTCCAAATAAAACATAAAGAATTATCGATTCTTAAAAAAGAGAGAAAGATCAAAGAGTTTCAAATCAAAAGATAACGATAATTCTAAAAATATGGATCCACAGATTTTTAAACAAGCAAAAAAATTATTTAAAAGTCGATAATTTCTTCTCCTCACAGCCAAAGATCATTTTAGGTGAAACAAATAAACGAAATGAGAAGAACAAAAGATATTAACAAGTTAATTAATAATAGGATATCAACAAGAGACTTAGAACAGCCTAAGTAGAATTAAAGTAAGTTTTCAATAATTAACTCATGTCAATAATTAGATTCTCCATAAATTCTACAACACTAAATTCGAAGATAAAATACTCAGAAATACTCTTTGATCTAAACTAATATAAAATGGAAGATTCAATGACTACTTATACTGTGTTCTCAGCATTATAAAATTTATAAAAATACTATATAATATTATAAAATATATCAATAAAATTATTGCTATAATAATCATTAGTTTTATAGTGTTCCTTTAACTTGAGTAATTCTTTCAAATTGCTTATGATTTTCCACTTTGATTTTATTATAGTTTTCATCTCTGATAGACTTAGTGGACAGACGGATTGGAGCATCACTTATAATTGATAATAACCGATTTTACATAAACTTGGTTTGCTTTCTATTTTCTATTTGTTACAGCTTTTTTGAGAGTATAAGGTTGGAAGCAGTAATTCTAGAGAGGACTTCTTTTTATTTGAAATTCTAACTATTTTGAACTTTTTTATTTGCGTCCTTTTCTTGATTAGGAAGATATATGTTACATCTTTATAGAATTTCTTCGACTTGATCAGGGAATTTGTTGTTTCTCTGCTCAATTTATTCGACTGACTTTTTATGTTTGGAGTATTATTATTCCCACTATCTGGTTTGGATATAATTATTATTCATTAATTAATAATAATCGAATAGAAATGTAATTGATTTTCCTAATTTAGTGCTATTAACTATAAATAATATAAATTAAATGAATTCCAACAATAATTAAAACAATGACAGTTCGAGTGAGGATGATCTTTAAGTGTATGAGACACTCACCAAACTGGCACCTCCCAATGAATTATTGCCTCGTAAATTGACAATTGACATAGATGTTAAATCCTTATATCCTCTCAAGTAATTTAATTGTAGATCTTATAAGACCGCTTCCTCAATTTTGTAAAACCTATACAACTTTTTTTGAGGAGTCCCTAAAACGAGATTGCTCGATCCCTGACATTTAGGTGACTGATGAGAATAGGACACTCCTAGATTATTACGAAGAGAATAAACAGAATTTAGTATACAAACGATTCGACCAGTTGGATTTGGGCAAAAGGACTTCAAATGACCGAACATATTTTGCTAGTCTCATAGCCAATTTTAAGAGGTATGGACAATTCTAAATGAAGAACATAACCAAGAGTCTTCTTCAGAGGAGAAGCACTTTTTGATTAAAAATTAACACCTTGTCCTTCTGACTAAATATAATTTGATTCCAATTTTGAATCAGGCAATCTTTTCTGCGCATTCAAAAAAGCATAAAATGTTTATGATCTCATAATTCAAAATGATATCAATACAAGAGGCAACACATAATGGTTTTTTTTTAGCATAACCGGAGCCAAAGCAGGTTAAACCATATAGTTTAATATCCTCAATCATGTATTTGGATCAGTAATTAATTTTAGCTCAAAACTGGGAGTCTATTTAATGAAGGCCTACAACCAGCTGTCTATTCTGTAAAAGAAAATCAATTAACAGGCACTGAATGGTGTAGAGATGGATTTAACATAAGCTATTTCAAAAGCATATTCATGAAAGAGTATCCTCTATCTTTGAAGAAGAAATATTATCAACTAAGATTTCATTACACTTTTAAACACGAAGGAGACAAGGTTTACTTTGCTCACTCCTACCCTTATACTTATACAAATCTATTGGAGTTTTTGAATACCCAATTGGAAGATCAAGAACGAAACTAGTAATTTTAAATTTTAATATTTCAGATACTTATCTCGAAAAGTATTGTGTACAACTCTTGGTGGAAATACATGTGAAGTCCTAACTATCACTTCTAATTCGTTGTAGAAGAGGGCTTTTAGAAAGGGAGTAGTGTTTTTAGCCAGATAACATCCTGGCGAGCCTCAAGCATCCTACGTTATGCAAGGCATTATAGACTTTCTGACATCTAATAATCCATAGGCAGACTATTTGAGATAGAATTGCATTTTCAAAATATTCCCAATGATGAATACTGACGGGGTAGTCAATGGAAATTACAGGTGTGGTCTTGAAGGAGGTGATCTCAATAGAAGATGGAAGAAGCCCAACAAGTATTTACATCCGAGTGTTTATTATGCGAAAAAATATGTAAAAGGATTTAGTAAGGAAAGGCAAATATTGTTGGTAGTTGATTTGCATGGTCATTCAAGAAAGTAATGAGGATTTATATTTTAGACAATCATCATTTGTATATGGTTGCGCTTACTCATCTTAAGTAAAGACTATTGAGAGAGTATTTGCACTTTTGATGTCCAAGGTAAATCCATTCATGGATTATTCCTCTTGCACATTCAGGGTTGAGAGTGCAAAGGATAAAACTGCCAGGATTCAAATTTGGAGAGAACTCAAAATCAACTGGGTCTACACTTATGAATGTAGTTTCTATGGTCAACAGAAAAAACATTATTAGATCAAGGATTATTTGAATTGTGGTGTCAGTATATGCAATGCCTTGTCTCAGATTGTCAAGGACACTACAAAAGAGTTCACTAATTAATCTAATTAGCCGGATATTTAGCAATAGATGTTGGAAGAATTGGGCAAGATGCCTCAGACTGATGATCAAGATATAGGATCAGATTCAAGTCAATCTGAGGCAGAATTGTCAGATGATGAGTTGGTTCAATTGTTCCAACCCAAGACCTATTCAATCAAACAGAAAAACCTTTTAAAATAATAGGAAACAAATAATAAAAAAAAACCATAATAACCGAATAGTAATTTAAAATCAACAATAGCTTCACAAAAAGCATCGATCTTGCAGGAGTCCCCCTCCAAAAATTCAGAATAAAAACCGCCAATGAGTAGCCAAAAGCCCAAGAATCCTTTATATAGAATCCAAGCTCCATTGAGAGTACGATAATTAGACTAAGTAAAATAACCAGAGACACCCCTAATGGTTGACAAATCGGTATAGACTGACGATTGGATGTATCGTTAATGGCTGATTCAAATGGGAAAGCTAAAGAAGCAGCAAGAGTTCCAGAGTTTTACACCAACTCGAAATATTTACAAGTCATCATCTCAATCAGTGACTAGATTTGTTGTCAAGAATTCCACGATGAAGAATGATCGAGGCCGAGTCGACTCCATTTCCCTTATGGCATCCGGTTTGCAAAATAAACTAAGTAAAATGTAGTTAACAAATAAGTTTCTTCCAGTCAATAGCGCTAAATGATGAGATACTCTGGTAGTAATTTTATGTCTTGAAATTGTTATTTATTAAATTATAGTTCTATTCTGCATTCCTCCCATTCTTTGATAACGTTATCAATTTATAATATAACTATTTACAAATTATAAATGAACGACAGGCTATTGAATGGCTCTGGTTCTTAAGATTTATATACGATGCTTCATACAGGAGATAGATTTTATCACATTATGGTTTGGCTCTCATTTTGTAATGTCTTCGCAATCCTTACAACCAACATCTTTTTTAATATGGCATAATTTTTGATTTAATGGGAAGCTATTCCAGCCGTGGTATCTTCATGTTTATTATCATCATCATTTTAGGTTTTATCTTTGCTTTAGAATTGTGGAGTTATTTATAATTAAGGCAGATGAAGCTAGGTTTATTAGTAATAACTAGTTTAGCGTAAGAATTTTGAATAACCATTTAGTGTAATCGTGACTGAGACATTCTTCTTAGGATTAACAATTTATTAATTTATAATAGGAAGAGACAAACGTTTGGAAGATAAGTATTCCCGAACTTTACTCGTAACCATATTATCTTTTATTATCACTTTTAAAATAATTTTGGTCATCTTCTTAAAAAAGAGGTTAAGGTAGATTAGATAAACATATTAAATTTTTGAAGAGACGAAAAACCATATGGTTTATAATTTATATTAAAACTGAATAGTTTGATTAATATTTATAATATGTTACAACCGAGGAGGTTGAATTTTTAATTAAAAATAAATATTTATTATTATGATGATAATATGTGTATATATATCATTCTAGATGAGCCCATAAATCTTCAAGATATGGCAATTTTCTTCCCCACATGAAGGAACAATGACCAGCATCATAGAATTTAAGTTCTTTATTTGGTGCATTTACCAATGCTGAGAACAAGTGATTCACATCTTTGGGTGCAGCCAACAAGTCATCGTATCCAGCAATATAGAAAATCCTATTTTATAATACTTCAGAATTACTTAACATCGATATTAGATAAGTCATATTAGGGAGCCTTCTTGGTTCCGTATCTCTTCAAGTTCTCCTTGTCTCCATAATCATATCTCTTGAATTCTCCAGTTCTAGTGAATTATTACCAGTGTTTGAGATTCTTGACACTAGTACCAGCAGGAGAATGTCCTGCTAATACGTCATATCTGTCATAGTTGTCAAGAACTGGATCTGCTGAAACAAATGATCCAATCAAATCTCCGCAAAGATTTTCCATGATTCCACAAACTACTCTGCCCACTTCTGATGTGAGGAATGAATCTCCAGGCATGAACTCATGTAATCCAAATGTTGCCAAAACTTCCAAGAAATTAGTGTCAAGCAGACGAACTAAAGGAGAATATTTGGTTGTAACCCAAGCAACAGGTCCCATTCCAATGAATTATATCAGATTGTCTCTGACTACACTTTATTTGAAGAGAGATAAATGAATATGCATTTAGGCTGTTCCTTAAGAATGTCCAATATATTGGATTTTTTGGCCAGTCTTGTTGACAATGTATTTAAATCCTGCAGGAAGATCATAGATAGCGAAATCTTCTAATGTGAAATCCCAGAATGACCAAAAGAAGGGATTCTTTTTGACGTGGGCTCTGCCATGTTTGTTTCCTCTGTTGTTGCCTATTTAAATATTTCTAAAATACCAAGCCACACATCATAGCCTTTATTAGCGATCAAGAAGGCAGGTGCTTTGTCTTCGTCATTGATAATGAATGTATCACTACTATCTAAGAGTCCATGTTGGAGAAGAACAACTTTTTTGCCGGAAACCATTTTTGTTCCTTTTGCTTATACTCTAAAGTATGTTAGAAGATATCCATCCTCTGTTTAGATAACATGCTCTTCCACAGGATAATTGAAGTATTTGCAATACTTAACAAAGTCCATGTTACCTTCAGGATGTATTGTGCTCAATGCAAGATATGGTAGCAATAATAAAATAATCTTCATTAATAATATTATTCAATTGCGTTCCCTCACTAAGTAATCTTTAATAAGTTCATTCATCTTCAAGAAAAGCAAGATCACATCCCAATAGATGATCACACTTCCTGACACTTCATCAGCTTAATTGACATCATATTGATCTCCTGAACTAGATAATCATATGCTATTTATACTTAACATTAGTGTAGGTGTCATAAATCAGGAGAAATGCCAAAAGGAAAGCAAAGAGTGAAACACTAGACAACCAAAAGAGGGAAACTTCAGTAAAGATTGTGAAGATTTCAAAAATTAGGAGGATGCTAGCTGATATAAATAGTATTGATCCCTAATAGGTGAGTCTTCTTTTGACTGTCAATGAATACATAAACAAGAAAAACACCATGCCTATATAGTAATTCTGAATTAAATACTTGCAAGACTGCTGAAAACTAAAAGACCAACAACTGAGTCTCCCAAAGCCACTAAGGTACCACAGACGACTGAAATAGACAGTGTGAAGGTGACAAACACCACCCAATTCCAAGGGAATACTGCTACATCCTTTCTGAATATCAATGCCAATGTGGCTGTGCCTATTGAAATGAAGAGACAGAGCCAAAATAGCCATGGCTTACCCTCTAAATAGGAATCTAGAGAAGGGGAAGCATATACCCAATATATGAATAATGCTAGCACTTTAATTCAAATAGTGTACATATAACGATCATTTGGATTAAGAGGTATTAGTATAATTTCCTTGAATACACCACTCTTGAATTGAATTGATTTTCAAAATTACATACTTCCCCCACCACATTCTATTACATTTGGGATGTCTTCCCAGTCTGCTCGAATTGACTTTGAAACATAATAAATTATATATATTTATGTAATATATCAATTTTTTTTGTAAACAATGTAACTACTCCTAAATATGAACAGAATCTCCTCATCATTGATGCGCAGCACTTTATTAGGAGTATCGCAATTGAACACTCTTCTCTTCTTGTTTATCAAATCGTACAGTACAACCTTTTCACCAATCAACACCACTTAAGGAGTGTCATTCAAGAGATCCATAGAAACCATCTTAGAAACATTGAAGTCTATTTCATAAGTAGATTTGATCTATCCAAATTCAACATCCCATATATTGAGAGTCTAAGATGTTAGTGTGATCAAATAATTGGCATTTTAGGAAGAACACCAACAAAATTACAAAATTTTCTGATCGTCTGTTATTTCGAACACATACTCATCATTTTGCAATGTCCATATCTTTATGACATTCAAGGTACTTGAGAATGAGGCTAATAGGGTTTTCCTTTTGTTGAATTCAATCAGAGTAGTCTCTAATTCTGCTTTTAATTATAATTGTGGTTTGTCAATATCAATCTGCATTAAATTTATGTAATAATTAAGATCCATTACGATGAAGTGATCAAAATGTCTCCACTCAAAATGAATCACATTTTCCAAGTACTTCAAAGTTTGGCATTTGTATATGTCCACTATCTAAAGATATCTATTTATATAAATACTTCGACATCCTTCTCAAAAATGAGAGCAACCACATTAGGCCAGTTGAGATTCCAATGGAAGTCCATTAATTTGCTTGCATTTTTGATGTTGAACATTTTAATGATTTGAATCGTAGTGTCTATCACTTTTGCAGCGCCATTTTCATATACTATTAACATATTGTTGCCGCTCGATCTATCAAACTTCATTAATTTGACTCTGGAAAAGCTTTCCCCTACAACTGTGGGCATTATTTGTATGATTTAATTGTTTTGGATGAATTTAATGCAATTGAGTTGATATATTGCCAAAATGTTTTTTTGAGCATTCCAATCACTCAGTAAGATCTCGTCCTGTAATTGTATTATGTCCTACTATAATTCAACATTTAAATCCATTGTTTGTCCATTGCGAGACACAAATTCCTGACTTCTCATCAATGCATTCTGAATCATTATTTCACGATCTCGTCTCTCTTACTTCTCAGCCAATTGCTTTTTCTCCGTGAATTAACAAACATGCTTTTGTATTAGTAGTTAGGGCACTTTGCATTCATAATATTAATTGATCTAAATATGGTCCTGCAATTGCTAAAATAACAAAGCCTTTTCCAATAAATTAATTAGTTGACCCGGCTTAACATCATCACGATAAAGTAGTTTATCTATTTTCACTTCGTTAATCAAAGCAAAAGCACTGTGTGAATAACCTTATTCCAAAAAGTAGGTATATATTAGATAATTAAGTTCTTCTGTCTTAATTACAATCATTAATAAATAAAATAAAATTCATTTTTTCTTGGCAATCTCATGTAATATCTCTCTTCTCGTTACTGGATTCTCTCTATCATAATCAGTGTTAAAGTATTCCTCAGCTTCATAATACGTTTAGACTTCATCCTTCTATTCAAGTGGAAATAAAACACTAGAAATGTCTTCCATTGGCAGTAAAATGTACACTACTCCAATTATGATTATAATAAAATCTTACCATTTGACTTCCCCAAACAGTATACTTGAAACCACAGTATTGCCAATCCCTGTAAATATTATAATCAACTCTAACATCTCTATCATTTCGATACTCAGATGCTTTGATAACGATTCCTTGATTGTCCTTCTCCTCAGAACATTATACTTATCAACAAAATAGTACAATGTTAAACCCATAATACTGAACAATATGCCTAAAGGTATGATATCTCCATAAAAAAATGTGAACCACATTGTCTTCATTATGTCACCATATCTTTTGGCCTAAGAATAATCAGGCATTTCCATTATTTCATTTGCCTCTTATTAAGTCAATACACAATTCTTTACATTCTTCTATTATTTCTACCTTTGATAATCCTTCTAGATACTCCAAGGGTCCACAAACCAAACAATAGGTGGAATAAATGCATTAAGCAAGAACACATTAGATTCATTATAAATGAAACCACCCTTACCAATTACGTTCCCTGTCAAATAGAAGTCAATCACCAATGATATTAAAGCAGTATTAATAAATAAAGCAACTGACTGTTTTCTAGCAAAACTGATATTGAATTTAGTCTTATTTGATATTTTTTCCAAATCAACAATTAAATGATACACCTTTCCAATAACAAACTTATTAAAAAACACTACAGTCCAAGAAATAGACTAACTAGTTAAAAAGGCTATAGTCTAAGTCAAAGAGTCCTTAATACCCTTTTTTTCTTGCTCTTCTACTTACTCATTCATTCTCTCTGCTAACTCACTCAAAAACCAAATTAAAAAGAAACAACCAGCCATAAAACTTATAGATATAGACCATGCAATTACACGTGCTTTCACTTTTTATCCTGTTTAGATATGGATGAATTCCCAATCAACGTCATTAGGTTCTGGTGCTTCTTCTACATACAATTTGTGTCCTTCAAAAATCAACCCCTTTTCTTTTACATCTCCTGTCAACCCATGATTAAAGAATGCTTTGATTCTTTCCCATGAAGTGTGAGGATTGTGTTACAACACCAACTACTTCATTTCTTCAGTCAAAAAACTTATAAATGCTATTCCTGCAAATTTTTCTTTGTTAATAAATAGTTCATGCTCTTTTTGATGAATCTTTTATTCCAAAGACTCTAACTTCTCATCCAACTATTTAACTTTGAAATCTGTAAAATTCATGCCATTCTCCAATAGATACTCCTATTTCTCTCTTATCATTTCCTTCAATGCTTCCTCCAATTCAATTACTTCATCCAAATTATACACCAACACAATCTTAGTTACTGATAACTCCCTTCCATCAGCTGCATAATTCTAAAAGATGTTCTTCAACACTTCCTTGTAATCCTCATTCAGCTTTGGAATATTCTTAACACAAATAGTATAATCTGATGGAGTCAATTGTGATTCATCTACTTCTATATCTATGCTTCTTTGAGCCTTCCTGAAGAACAGAAATGAAACCATATTGGCAAACACAACAACTAGTGACAGGTTTGATTACAAATTTCTAATATCCTCTCTATCATATACATTAGCCAAACTCACAAAATGCCACAAAGACCCACCACATATTGAATTATCAGATTTATGCTTATGGTGATGCTACTAGTTCAAATGATCATGAATAGAGTGGTGAGCTTGATCCTATATTTTAATCTTTTCTTAATTATAACAATAATCCCCCATCAAATCTGTAGCCAAACAAAACATCCCTTTCAATAACCAAAATTCTACTAAGATGAATATACAGTATTTTATAAACATATAAAACAATGGAAATCCAGACCCTAAGAATTTCATCTCTAATGGATCGCAATCAAATTCTAAATCAGTTCTCTCTATTGAATACCCACAACAAGGGCATGTTGATTAATTCTCAACTTCCAATTCTCTTGCCACTCTTCTTGCTTTAGCATGATTCTCAGCCAAGACCCAATCACAAGGTATAACCAAAGGATTATAGTGATGAGATGCATGACTCTTATGATGTACTTTTTGACCACCTTTTTCACTTCTACTTTTTTAATGTTCTGATAAGGCTCTACTTGGCCTTTAAGATTCTTATTGATGAAATGAATTTTGAATAAAACGACTTGCCATTTCAAAAATTAACTTATAATATAATATAATTTATGCTAATCCACTTTAATTCTAATTATTACAACAATTACTATTGTAACGAAATCTAAATAGAATTACGAAAAAGACACAACAAGGTTTTAAAATTTTCACTTTTATATACAACAATAGTCAATAAATAATTATGGAGATAAAATAAAATAAATTTAATTTATAATTAATTAATTAAATAGATCTATGAACTACCTTCTAATGCTTCCAAAATTTAGAAGATTTAACATACTTTTTAAATATAACTCACAGAAATACTATTCACTCTTAATAAATAATATAAATATTATCAATATTTCCAAAAGTAATTCACTTGAGTAAATTCTACATACATGATTTGGGTGTTAATCTTTTATAGAGTTTCTCTGAATGGATGCTACTGAGTTGTTATTTTTCAATTTGATGTAAGATATCCTCTTTTGTTTTCCTGATAGAATTTTCAAAAGTCTATTATCCCTTTGAAGTGGTAGGCATTTCTGAAAGTGGAATACTCAATTGGTGATTACTTTGGATCTACCCTCTAACCCATTTGTGTTATCGTATTTCCTTCAATGTTATTCTACTCTCGTGATCAGGATTGAACAAATCAGTTAATAAGCTGACTAGTTCCCAACTCACCTATTTGGGAATATTATAATTCCCCTCACTTATATTCAAGAGTATGTCTGTATTCTCCTCACCTTTGAAAGGATATTCAGCAAACACTAAATAATATAGAATGACTCCCAAGGCCCAGATATCAACTGAAAAATTGACAGTCTTTAATTTCCCAAAGACGATTTCAGGGGAGGCGTAAAGAACCGTCCCAACATTTAATGGTTCATCAAATGGAATACCTGTGCCAGACAAATAAGCCAAACCAAAGTCTATAATTTTAATCTATAATATTTATTTATATTAAATACTCGTAAATCGGTATTGTCACAAAGAAGAATGTTATCCAACTTCAAATCTCTATGAATTACATTATTTTTGTGGCAGTAAGAGATGCCATCCAAAATCTGATTAAAAAAAATGCGAGCAGTTGGTTCGTCTAAAGCACCATGATCTAAGATTAAACACAAATTCTACCTAACACATAATCCAACAAGGACCCTCCTTTCAAGTATTCCAATTCCAAGACTGCCTCTGACCTCTCAGGGAACAACTTATATTTATGGAGTTTGACTATATTTCGATGTTTTAATTATTCCAATATCACAGCCTCCCGAGCAATATACAAGTATTAATTCTCCTAGCCTTCACTTATAAACTTTAGAGCTCGCTCCTCACAAGTAGTTTTATGGGAAATCAACATTACCGTCGCCTAACCACCTTTGCACAGGACTGATATCGGATTATATTCAAACAAGACAAATCGACCATCCAAACACTTACCATTGGTTGTGATATAGATTTTGTTCCCATTCTTGAGGTATTTAAGATCTTCATCGAACAATTCTTAGCATTTATGGTCAAAAAGTCTAATTTTCTTAAAAGACAGCTTCCTACTAACTAACTTAATTAGACTATCAAGTGAATTCGCTTATGCCAAACTGACCTACAAAGGATTCTGACCATATTGATATACTGTGACCGTATTAATTGGGGTTGATGAGTTAGATTAGTTCATTGATATACAATTTTACATTTCGCGTTTAAATTATTACTATAACAATCAATTTCGATTTAAATACTTATATTATCAAAGAATCAATTTTAAGTTAACAACATTAAATGGTAATCTATTTCCAAATAATATTCTCTTTTCTCACTTTTTTTTTACATAAGTAGGGATTTAACATATATTCAATCCAACTTGTATGTTTAGTATTTTCCCTATATATTCCCTTTTTTTAAATTTATAAAATCTTTCTGATTATTGCTAAATTTTATAATCAAATTTAAATTCATCAAGTTTAGAGTTTCATAATCAATGGAATAATACCCTCGAATCATATAAATATGAATCTGATTCTATTTAAGTTACACGCATAAGATGTTCTCATCAAAAACATATGCTTAATTCTATAATTATTAAAAACAAATGATATCTTATGCTTTTTAACATCTTATACTAAATATGAAATTTAATATAAAATTTTGATGAAAAATGCATATTAATCTGAGAATTAATTTCATAATAATAAATAATTCATTCATTATTATTTGCGAATCCTCCTTAGAATTGTTTATACACTCTATTCAAAGAAACTACTGAAAATTACTAATTTATATTTATTTATAATAATAATTGCATTTGCTTTTAAACAAATATCGGATTAATTAACTAAGCTATGTCTTATTAATTTAATTCGTTTTTTATTTATGAGATTTGTTCATATCTGCTTAATTATAGCTATTGCAAGTGCAACAAAATTCTTAGATGAAACCACAGTTTTTGGATAGGAAGCAGAAGTTTAAATTTCATATGATCAACCAACATCGTTATTCACAGAAGATTAATTGGCTCAAAATACGGAGTAGGGGATGAATAAAAATGAACCCTTCGACTACTAATCAGAATAGATATCACCACTACAAAGCACTGAACAATAACAAATTTTATTAGCCTATGAAAAGGATCTCTTACCATAAGGAGACTGCGTAATTTTATATGCTGAATGTCAATTCAAAGGGACATCAAAACAAGTTTGCAAAGGAGTAGAAGAAGTGATGAGCTTTTCCCTTCCTGTGTATTCAATTTATGTACCTGAATTGTATACTAAAATATATATTAATAGATAACAATTTTCAACAATTGATGTGAATAGTAATTCCCAAGTTACCTTTTTAACCAGCGACAAGTGTTTAAATTAACCAATTGTAATGGCTGATACTCAATTAGATTTTTTCATCGCAAAGTCAATGTCAAATTGGATTGGAGAAAACACAGGTATCATTATTATCAATCTATTTAAGTAATAACTTAATTGATTCAACAAGAGGAGGTAGAAAACTAAGAATCAGCAACTCAATAAGTTGAATAGTAAGAAAATACAGCTGAATAGGTTGATTAATAAGTTTAAGTGTCAGCAGATGGAAATGCTGAGTAATAAGTTGATTCAGCAGTTGTAAATGCTGAATAATAGGTTGATCAATCATAAGCAGAATAATAAGTTGATTAAACATAAACTGAATAATAAGTTGAATAAACATAAACGGAATAATAAGTTGATTAAACATAAACAGAACAATAAGTTGATCAATCATAAACTGAATAATAAGTTGATCAATCATAAACAGAACAATAAGTTGATCAATCATAAACAGAACAATAAGTTGATTAGTAGTAAGATGCTNAAGATGTTCTCATCAAAAACATATGCTTAATTCTATAATTATTAAAAACAAATGATATCTTATGCTTTTTAACATCTTATACTAAATATGAAATTTAATATAAAATTTTGATGAAAAATGCATATTAATCTGAGAATTAATTTCATAATAATAAATAATTCATTCATTATTATTTGCGAATCCTCCTTAGAATTGTTTATACACTCTATTCAAAGAAACTACTGAAAATTACTAATTTATATTTATTTATAATAATAATTGCATTTGCTTTTAAACAAATATCGGATTAATTAACTAAGCTATGTCTTATTAATTTAATTCGTTTTTTATTTATGAGATTTGTTCATATCTGCTTAATTATAGCTATTGCAAGTGCAACAAAATTCTTAGATGAAACCACAGTTTTTGGATAGGAAGCAGAAGTTTAAATTTCATATGATCAACCAACATCGTTATTCACAGAAGATTAATTGGCTCAAAATACGGAGTAGGGGATGAATAAAAATGAACCCTTCGACTACTAATCAGAATAGATATCACCACTACAAAGCACTGAACAATAACAAATTTTATTAGCCTATGAAAAGGATCTCTTACCATAAGGAGACTGCGTAATTTTATATGCTGAATGTCAATTCAAAGGGACATCAAAACAAGTTTGCAAAGGAGTAGAAGAAGTGATGAGCTTTTCCCTTCCTGTGTATTCAATTTATGTACCTGAATTGTATACTAAAATATATATTAATAGATAACAATTTTCAACAATTGATGTGAATAGTAATTCCCAAGTTACCTTTTTAACCAGCGACAAGTGTTTAAATTAACCAATTGTAATGGCTGATACTCAATTAGATTTTTTCATCGCAAAGTCAATGTCAAATTGGATTGGAGAAAACACAGGTATCATTATTATCAATCTATTTAAGTAATAACTTAATTGATTCAACAAGAGGAGGTAGAAAACTAAGAATCAGCAACTCAATAAGTTGAATAGTAAGAAAATACAGCTGAATAGGTTGATTAATAAGTTTAAGTGTCAGCAGATGGAAATGCTGAGTAATAAGTTGATTCAGCAGTTGTAAATGCTGAATAATAGGTTGATCAATCATAAGCAGAATAATAAGTTGATTAAACATAAACTGAATAATAAGTTGAATAAACATAAACGGAATAATAAGTTGATTAAACATAAACAGAACAATAAGTTGATCAATCATAAACTGAATAATAAGTTGATCAATCATAAACAGAACAATAAGTTGATCAATCATAAACAGAACAATAAGTTGATTAGTAGTAAGATGCTTAAGTTTAAGAATAATAATCAACAGAGAATGTATAGCAATCTACATAAGAATAAACAGAATAAAATGAAGACACATAATAATAGCCAGAATAGAATATTCAATCAGAAAATTAATAGGAATAAGCATAAGAAAATACATCTACTGAATAAAATTAAGAAGATTAAACATAATAAACAGATTAAACTTAGGAATAAGTAGAATAACAATCAGAAGCAGCTACACAAAATGAGGAATTATAATAAAAGGAAATGGAGGAAGTTGTAGAAACTGTTGCAGAAATCGTATAATAAGTAGAAGAAAAATAAGAGGTTGAATTATAAACTGAAAAAGAGTAATTGAAGTAAGAAGAGGAAGCCTAATCATAATAGTAAACATAATAATAAACAGAATAATCTGTTGATGATATTCCAAAAAATTAAGAACCACAATAATAGTATTCCTAATCTGAAACAGCAGAACCACTTGTAGGATAATCATAATATACAAAATGATTGTAATCATTATTAAAATTAACATTATAATATATCTAGGAGTAATATTTAAAATCCAAACTGTAGTATAATAATAATTCTCAAATTTAAAGAGTTTATCTAATTATATCAATATTCTAAAGAGTAAATTAGTGTACTAAGAATTTATGATCCCTAATATAATATAAGAGATTATTAATAAAGAATTGCAAGTTTTTTATATTATTCTTGGATAGAATTAGATACATCATATTCATAGAAATCAATCTTATAGTTTTTATGGTTGATTCTTATTCCAAATTTGAGTTAAAATGATTTATTTTCTTTTTTCTGGCAAAATTTTCAGTTTTTAAGATAAAAACTTCATTTTATTTATGTTAAATATCAAAATATTTAAGCATATATTAGAAAAGTTCTCATAGTTCTCTTTTGATTATTGTTTAACTTTGTCTAGTAGGCAGATCAGATATATGTTAAAATATATATTTTATTCATAAAAAGAGAATTTTGTACTGGTTTAAAAAGCAATAAATTATCCTTAAATGCTACTGATTTATCATTAATATTTAAAATAAAAATATTTAAATTAAATTTTTCTTTTAAATTTGACCTTTGGTGACTTGAGTGCTATTATTGGTATTTTGCCATTAAATTTCAACTTCTTATCAATTTTAATCATTAATTCATCTCATTTAGTTTTTATTTAACATATTTGTAGTAAATTATGAGTAATAATTAAAAATATTTAGTTAAATATAGATAAATGGCAACACTATCTTGTGATTTTTAAAGGTTGACATATCATTATATTATTTATGGAATATTTTTTGATTAAGTTATTTCTATACCTATTTATTGTCTAAACCTTATAAATAGCACTATTTAATCAATAAATACTTGGCGTATGATGTCAAATCAAGAAATCCTATGTATTGATATCTTGGAAAAATTAATATCTTATTCCCACCATTTCAATAAAAGGGAACAAAAATATTTAAATAGCTCAAAATGTTGTATTTATGGAAAAAAATCTCTAAAATTAAAAATTCTATCTTAATCAATAGCTATGTCGCTAAGCATTCAAAGATTAAATTAATTATCTAAATTGTGATTTTACCTTATAATTTAGTAATTATGAGAAAATTAACTATAATTTAAGTATTAGATATCTACTTTTAAGTTTTCTTTTATCAAATAGTATCAGATAAATTTACTCTTAAAAAACAACTATTTATATTCCGCATTATTAAATGAATGTAATGATAGGCAAAAGAAAAATAAAATAATCTCATATTACATTTTATGACTTTTAGCTAATTAATATTTCATCTAAAAGGGAAATACTTTAAAAAACTCCCCATATTACATTTATGATAAAAAGTAGAACAATAATCTATTCTTTATAATACCAAAATTACATTTAACTTGACAATACTCTTTGATTACTTTAAATTAGAAGCTTATGTGTAACTATATTATATAAAATTTTCAAATCATTAAGTAAATTTCCCAAAGTTTCAATTCAAGCCCTTTGTATGCTTTAGTTAAAGAATTAATGATTTGATATCAAAATATTTTCTAGTTAGATATATGGTTGGTTAAATAAAAATCATTTTATATCAATGTTTGTGTAATTTAATTGGGAAATAAAAGTTGAATATATCTCTTTATTCTGAAGAGTCTGCAAATGTCAATGCCAACATTTCAATTTTGTATAAGCCAAAATTTATGATATAGGTTAATTCTTTTAATTAATTAAATTAATAAAATGAAAAACTACAAAAAAGTTGGACTTTCAAATACTAAGCACTTAAACGATGAGATTGGTTATTATAAGGAGTGCATAAGGTTTCTTCCCTCTGAAAGAGTTAATGACTATTGTACTTCTGATGCCATAAATTACGATCTATTAAGGGAAGCAGGAATGAAAAGGAGTAAAGCACTTAAATTTTGTACTGCTCATCATTGTAAAATTGATTCAACATAAATTAAACATGGTCCTCCAGGTTTAAAGATTTTTAAAACAAAAATAAATAAATTCAAGTAATTAAATGGATGGCAGATGGTAGGAAGACTAAATTATGAGGAGTCTATGCAATAAGAGTATTCTGATGATACTAAATGGTAAATATAAGTATAAAATAAAGAAGAGTCAAAAAAATTGGAATAATTAAAATAATTTTATAGTGATCTGGATATAAAATACTCATTCAATGATTTGAGTTTAGATGAAACAATCACAAAATTGAGATCGTTGTCATCGGAACAAAATTATAAGAGTCGAGTACCTCAACATCAAATAAAGGATTCCAAAAACAACATAATGTACTATGAAATGGCAGAGTATATTTTATAATTAAAAAAACCCCAAAAAAACTTGATTTCTGATTTGTGTGCATTTGATGATTCTTTGCCATTAGCAAGACAAGAATACTACGAAATTTAACCAAAAAGAATTAAGAATGCTACTCCATTGTATTCACCATAAAACTACGAGAAAAGATCAAAATTACTAAAAGAACTAACCAGAGCTTATACTGGGAATGTGACTATAACTGAATCCTCGGAAGAAATAAATAAAGTAAGTAATTAATCAATTGTTGGCTATTAGATCTTCTTATTAGATTGATTATAACAACAGCTAATATGTATAGGGATATAAATAAAAAAAGGTAATTGGTGCTGTGCTTTCAAGCTTAAATGAAAAAGAACAGTAAAAGACAAGGAAAATGAAACAAAGATGTAGCATAAGGACTCAAAGAATAAGCAGACAATCACCTGAGGAGGAAAGAATTAATAGAAACGCACAGTTCAACAATAAATTGTAAGATTTCATACACAAAAGCATAAAGCGATTGAATTATTAATGAATTAACAATTCTTTGAATATATAATTAAATATTGTTATGATCAGCCTTTTTTATCCAGATTCTCAAATTTGCACCAAGATGATCCAGTTTCGATCGATTCTAACTAATAGTTATACAAATCAAATACTTCATCGGATATTTCTTCTTCAGTATGTCCACTTCTTAAAACTGAGGTCCAAAAGTTTAACCATTCTTCCTCTGAGATTGTACCACTATTATCTGTATCAACAGATTTGAACAACTCCTCAGTATTGAGTTTTGCGAAATTGCTTTTCCTGAAGGTGTGAATTTTATATAAAGTTACCAATATTTGATTGTTTCTGTTTTTTCTATAGACTTCGAACCATCTACATCGAATTTAGCAAATAATTTGAGGACTCTCTCTCTCATTTAGGGAGATAACTAAATTACAATTTAATTCATACTTCTTTTCCTTGAGTGGGACCCATAATTAATGTTTGATATTTTTATTATTTATATGTTTGGTCCTGATCGAATTTGAGAATTCATTCTGATTGACTAAATAATTGAGCAATAAAATACATAATAATATATAATAGTCAAAGTTTAGATCTTAAGTATGCTTTAAGCTAATCAATTTAAATTGGTTTTACTAAATAGCCATCCATTCCATTCTGTAATGCCAATTGTTCTTCCTCCTTTTTTGAATAGGCCGAACAACCTATGATTTGTATTTTTGGAAACTGCTTCTTTATTGAAATAGTAGTTTAGATTCCATTCATAGTTGGCATATCAATGTCCATAAAGATTAGATCATACCCATTGCATTTCTTGCATCTGTTCATTTTAACCATCTAGATAGCACTATACCCATCCAGAGAGCAATCGAATTGTATAGAAGGGCTTATTTTCATAATCAAAAATTTGAGCACTTCAATATTAAAGGCATTGTCATCCACAATTAAAATGCTGGTGCATTTGCATTTACTTTAACGATGAGTTTTTATATTATTATATCTCCATAAACTTTGCCTGCGTTCTGGACTCTCTTCATCAATTTCATCCATTTCCTCCTTGATCTCAGTTTCAAACACATTCTTAGAAACATAAAACCAAAACGAGGATCCATTCATATATTCAGATTGAAATTATAATCCTTTCTCATTTTTACTTAGGTTTCTTGCAATCATATTACTTATAAGCAATCCCAAACCAACTCCCTGAGGATTCAGCTTCTTGCTGTCTTTATCATCTACTTTCGAAAACGCTTACATCAAATTCTCTTTGTACTCCTCCTTAATCCCCTAGCCAGTGTCATGAATCTCCACTTTAATCGAATTATTTAAGTAATTAGATACTCTTATTTCAATTTACCCTTGCAATGTAAATTTAAATGCATTGCCTAGTAAATTAATGATAATTTATCTAATTCTATTAGGGTCATTATTTAATAATCTAGGAGCACTCTTTCTATATATTAAAGACAATTTGATCTTTTTTAAACTTGCTTCTAATCTGAACAATTCTAAACATTCCTCGATTAATTTTTATAAATCCATTTCCACTGGACTTATCGAAAACTTGCCAGCTTTCAACTAAGCAAAATCTAATAAATCATTTGATAAATTCAATAAATATTTGCAATTAGATAAAGCAATTTTTAAGTATTTGCTTTATAAATTCATATCTTTTTCTTCTTGCAAAGCAGAAATGAACTAGATGATTGAATTCAAAGGTGTTCTGTATTCATGACTCACAAATGAAATGATATTTGATTTTGCCTAATATGATTTCTTAACTAGACTGATGTAATCTCTGTGTGTTACATCTCTGATTTATAGAAGAATCATCAATCTCTCATCAACCAAAGTCGCATGAGCATTGATTTCAAGCAATCTCTTTTTTTTCGGTTATTCTAGATCCACACAACAGGTATTTTCGTACCAGTTGGCTAAATAGCTACCTATGTAAATAGTGTTGTGAGGACTGCTTTTCAGGATTTGGAAGAATCTCTTGTTTGGTTGGATGCTGCTTAAATCACTTAGTATTTGCTATAGTAAAAAAATCAAATACATTCAAATCAAGATCCTCCTTTAATTATTTTGGATTGTTTATTTTATACTATTAGAAAGATTGTTAAAAACTATGAAAAGAAGGAAGAGAATCTCTGGGATCTCGGGTTTCGGATTTATTCTAAGTTGATACAATATCAGTAAGTTATTCTAAACAACTCTTAAAATTTGACATATCACTTATCTTAAACAGTTCCAAAGTTGCAGCATTGCAAAAATGCACATTCAACTATTGTGCTGTCATTAATACTAAAGAATCTGGAATCAAGTTGAAAAAGTGGAAACATTCTTGTAATTCTTGTTACAATGAATTAGTTGAAGAATGGAGTTATTATTTTTTGTGCTCTGGCGTTGGAACTATGTTTAAAATTGATTTCTCCGAAGACTTTTTTGATAAATAGGATTACTATTAAGCATCCACTTCAACCTATTTTTAGTATACCCACTCAGTATAGAGATTTAATAATAATAAAATTAATCCAGCCCCAAAAATATATAAATCAAAGGAATTCCAATGACTTATTCTAAATAAGACATAAAAATTCATTAACATTGTAATTTTATTCCATTTACAATCTTAAATTCTTACTTGTCCAATTTGAATGCAAATGAAGTATAAGAAAAAAACACTTATTTTATTGAGTTAAATACTGCATTCAACAAAAAACAAGCTCTAGCAAATTGAGTAAAATATTTTCATTTCCAATTATCTCTTTGAATTCCAATATTTTGATATGAATGCACAAAATTACAAAGTACTCATCAAACATAGTAGTATAATCATTAGCAGCAATGAAAAGTCAAATAGAGGTATGAGGACTATAGGAAGCAATCCTTCAAGAAGCACTTTTATTTTCATTATAATTATATATATTTATATATTTAAATAAAGTAATTAATTAAATATGAGAAAACGTAATTAACTTTTAGAAAACTAAAATAAACTTTCAATAAATTGGTTGTGTTTGTTAACCCTTTATCAAAATAAATCAAAATCTGAGTTTTAAATTCATTCATAAATCTGGGTTTTGGCTAAACATTACTTCAATTTATTGACTGTCATCTAAATTAAAATAAGAGATGTTTATTTTTATTATATCAAACTCACCACTGAATTAAGTTAAAAAAATTAAAAACAAAAATAGAAAATTCCTAGAATTTCAACAGATCGAAATAGAATATATAAAGATAATAGGCTTTGTAGTGTTTTATCAACATATTCATATGAATTGTCTTATATTACAACAAAATACTTTTATTTATTATGAATTTTATTATTATTAATTTTGAGTATTTTGTAATTTTAATAAAACTTACCCTTATATTACAAAAAGTGGATTGAAATAAGATCTCAAAAGGAAAATACTCTTCGAATTAAACATGGTTCTTATGATTGAAAATATTATAACTTTATCTCCATTATTCTTATGATAATTTATTAAGAATAAGTATATTCTACAATTTTGATATTGTATTAATGTTCATCTAAGGAATTCTACAATCTCCATGTTTTGTTATATGAATAATATTTAATTAAAAAATAAAATCTAACGTATATGAGTTAGACGGAACAATTAGAATTCAATTATGATAGATAATATCTAGATGTATTTGGTTGCATGCATAACACAAGGATCACATTTTCAGGGAAACAGATTTGTTAGCAATGCGGCATATTTATTTACAATGTAATATATTCGATTTTAAATCAGTCATCAACAAGGGTTTACAAGACAATAAAAATGAGATATAATGCATTTTTTAATCCAACCAACATATTGAATAAAGCATTGGATCCCCAAATTATTTAGCAACATTAAATAAATAGATAGCCAGTTATTGATTTCATTGAATAGGCATCTGAGAGATTGAATTTGAGTGCCAATACTTCATTTTTGGCCATCACTTACTTGGATCATTTTTTTAATTAGCAAGGAATACACGAAGATCAAATATTTTTATATGCAGCAACTGCTTTGATGTTGGCAGCAAAAGCACAAGAATTAGATGAAAAGATTCCCTTCATAAGTAAATTGAAGAGATACTCCTCAATGACATCCCATCCAGAAGTAAACAACTATACAACTTAAGAATTTCGAAATGCTGAAAAGGCTATCATTCAATCACTTGATTGGAAACTGCAAAGAGTTACTTTGTTAGATCGAATAGAAACCTTGCTTTCTTTTGGGGCAATTGATGATGATGATAGTCTGGTTCAACAGCTGCAACCATAATAAAAGGAAAACAAAGAATAATAATAAGTTCATATTAAAATACGAGATTTAAATGAAACTCAGATTGTAAATTATGTCAAAGAAATAGAAAATAAATATATTGAGACTGCTTTCACTATGCTTAGGGGTATTCTATCAAATTTATTTAGATGATTCAATATACTTCTCAAATAATTAAGCGATTTTGGCATTATCTTGTGTGGCCTACTTAAGGAAAAAGGCTGGATTATTAAATATTTGGTCTTAATAATTATAGGCTCTAACTGGAGAGTCAACGTAGAAAATTTCATCTACAGTTTCATAAATAATGACTTTAACACCGAAAACCAAAGCTTTGAACATTCCTAAACCTTTGATCACTACTTAGTCTAGTTCATATTTATAAAATTTCTAGAATCCTCCTTCTCAAACAAAGACTTCTTAAGCCAAAAATAGATAATATTTGTTTGAGTCTAACAAGCAATCAACTGCAGATATTTTGCAATCATACAACACAACTAAGGCTCAAGTGAAGGTCCCCTTATTTTAGTCTCAATCCACAATGCAACTATCGAAGAATGACATTATGAAATCACATCAATTGAATTAAAGTAAATTTACAAGTAGAAATACTAATTTTCCAATTACTACCACTGCTAATTATTCTTACTTATCTGACAATATTGTACATCCCAATTCATATATAAAACATGTCGAGTTAGATAAAAAATATGAGCATGTTCATAAGGTAAGCGAAGCTAAATTTAGAACCAAATTATTTAATCAATGAAAAAACTTATACAATTATTAAATACTATGTTTTTATTACATAACAATATTTATTAAATCATATGTTAAACATAGATTTAACAGCCTCATTAATAAATTTATATATATATATGTATTGCTCTGAAGTATGAACCATTCCCCATCTTTGTTCTCTTAATCTACGAACAATCCCAAAGATTGAGATTCTGTAAAGTTCCGGATTTTCTTCCAGTTCTGAGACATAATAACAAAATAAATACTTTATTTGTCCTCTCCAATATGCTATTTATATGCTCTCAACAAAATCATCAAATTAGCCAAAGCAATTAAAGTACCAGTACGACCGACTCCAGCACTATAAAATCTAAGATAAATATTACCTGCAATGAAAAACAACTTTTTGATCTTATAATAATTTCTCATTAATCATATTCAAAAGTTCTCTCATAACATCAAAATCACTAGGAGATGGTACTCCTTAATCAGGCCATCCACACCATTAAATTTGAATTACTGACTTCTCTTCTTATTCTTATGTAACTTTAACTACTCTTTTGATGATGTTGTTTCCCAAATCATCCTGACTGAGTAAGTTAACTTAAATATTTCCAAGCTGGATTGATTCCCCAACATTCTTCGGCCAATATTACTCACATTAAGCCTAAATGATAGTAGGTGACATACTCTCTAATTCTCTCTTAAATTGCAGAGCATAACAATCATAGCCATGTCTTCTTAAACCACCATTTTCCAGAAATGCCAAAAGGTTTAATTCAAAGGACCTTGAGTAGCAATAATCATTTTCTCCTTGCCATTAATAAGCTATAGAAAATATGAAAACAAAGTTGATACATTAATAAAATTGGCATTTATATAAGTATCTTTAAGATTTTCTTCATCTTCCCCTTCTTATTTGAGCTTGACAATTGAATGTTTGACTATTGATTAAATTTCATATACATGGTATAATGTTATTATATCTATTCAATTTCTATAAGTCTGGATGAAAATCATGCAGATTTTCATTGTGAAATTAGGTTTCTGTCAATCTACGTAACAACTTCTTTAGAACTTTTATATACTCTAAATTCCATTTCTAAATCTCTTTTTTGTATTTCCTAATTGATATGCAGTATTGGTATTCCTCTTTCAATTGCCACTAAGTCAGGACTGCCTGTTAACCATTGATACGAATAGTCATTATTAATTTCCTTGCCTTCAACTAAGTACCCTTGCATTATTTTTATTTATTAAAATTCCATCAGATGAGACCAGGAGAAGTTTTTGAAAAGTTCATCAGTCAAGCCCCAGAATTTGTACCTCAAAAGAATTAATCTTATACACTTTAAGAAGATCTCAAAATAATGTTGGCCCTTAAGGATGTCAGCATAGTTTAGTCTAAGAACTTTAGAGATATTGAAGAGAGCCAAATTGTTAAAAGAACTTACAATTCTATAAAAAATAGGTTAGCTAACATCTTATAATAGATATATGGACTACCTTCAATATCTTTCTTAGGATAATATGGATTAAATTGCTTAACATTTAAATGAACATGGATTGGTGGGATATTTATTATTTAGTAATTCAACACCAAGAGAATTATTAAAGATTGTTACTTTTGATCCTAAAATAATGGAGAAGGAAAAAAAGAAAGTGGAAGACGAACTCGAGATTAATAAATTGTAAAAGGTTAAAGTTGAACACAAAAAACAAATTGATCCTACTTTCCCCAGAAATGATTTTGATAAATTTTCAATTGAGGATATGGATCAAGTAGTGACCATCTTGTCAGAATATAAAGGAGTTCCAAAAGCATACTTAGTTGAAAGACTCCATTAATTAAGTGGAAATCTAGAAGACTTGGATGGATTCTTAAAAACAAATGATGATACCTATTGTTTCTTAGAAGAAGAAGACCATTTATTGAAAGAAGATCATAACAAAGAAAGCCCAGCAATTCGACTTTTAATAAGAAAGAAGGGCATTTAAAGAGTATAAAGAAGATTAAAATACTTAGGGATATGATTATTAAATTATAAAGATAAATATTAATATTTAATTTAAATTTGTAAATTAGGTGGCATTTTTCTTTATGTGCTTTTTTGTTAATAACTACATTCATATATCTATGAAAATGTAATAAACGAGTTATCAATTACATATTAGGGATGTTCCAACGGTTTAAAAGAATTTATTATGATTAAAAGAAACGGAGAGGTCTATACTTATTATACTTTTTGTCGACTAAACGTTTCAAGATTGAAAATCTATTGCAAATCTCTTTGTCTTCTAAAAGTGAAATACCAAGCTATGATGAAAATAACAATTCTATTGATCCTACCTCGAATTTTACAAATAGAATTATAAATAAATATAATTATTGAAAAGATATTGTGTCAGAAAAATAATTTACAAATGAATGGTTTTTAGGATTGAATGAATCTATATATAGTTTAGAGGTGAATAAATTTTTATTTTATCATTTAGATGCTAAAATAAAATAATGTTTAAATAGGTATCAAAGTCCTTATTGCTACATTTAGGAATGTAATGATTAAAATGAATACACTTCACTATTCTACCAAAAAAATGACGATTCAACTTATTTTTTTAAAAGATAAAAAGAAATATCATAAGAAAGCATATATAAATTGATGAGACTAAAATTGTATTCAAATTTATAAAAACAATTTTAAATAATAATTATAATAGAAATAGTTTTATAAATGGAACAATTTCCTCTATTTAATCTTAATTTTTCAATAACTAAAAGTTTATCTCATGAGATTTTAATAATATTCATTTAAACAATAGGCAAAATACTTTTCTTAATATACATCTAAAACTTATCAGCATCCTTTCACTTAAGATATTCCATATAATTATTCTAATATCATTGTGTACTTAAACTTCGTATATGAGTATAATTAATTTAAAATTAATTCTACTTTTTAGAAAGAAAAAGAGAAATAAAACTAGTTTTATATTAATTATAATTCAAATTATTAGTGCTAATTAGTTAAAGAGAATTAATTTATTGAAAACTCTAGTTATTTTGATTAGATTATTTATGATAGAAGGTGAATAACAATAGTATATAAATAATGTTTGTAATAAGTATCTTTTAAATCTCTTTTTTATGTATAAAATCTCCATCCTATATATTAAGCACAATACATTTTTTGAGTGATTAATAAACACATAGTTTATTCTATAAACACATATAGAATAAATCGATTTTAAGGCGTCTAAATATTGAGAAATTAATTATTAATAAATATGGGAAACGAATAACCAAAGCCTTAAGCTCCTAAACCTACAATTGAGGATGCAATTTTGGATATGAAATTGGCATCCAAGAGATTTGCCAATGAATCAAGAAGGTGCGAGAAGGAGAAAGATAAATTAATGAACCAAGCAAAAGCAGCTTTATAGAAAAACAATGAGGAAGGTAAGAATTGGTTCAATGATGTTTAGGTGCAAGACTATTCTTAACATCAGCCATGAATAAATAGAAGGAAGCAGAAAGCTTATAGAAGATGGCACATAAAATGGATCATATGCAAGGCATTATAAAAACTAGCACAAACCAAACAAAAACAGTGGAAGCTCTTGCAAAAATTAGTCCTCTCATGAGTTAATAAGTAATAAGCGTAATAACTTTAGATTTAAAACATGCCCTTGGAGTTGGTTTATCAAAACATGAATTAATTTGAGAAAGCAATGGATGAAATGACCGTGTAAGGAAACATAATGACAGGAATGATGAACCAAAATAACAACATTGGATAGGATTTGGCAATCGATTAAATGATGGGATAGTTAAAATAAGAATTACATAGTGAGGTAAAATACTAATATTAATTTTAGGTGGCCAACGATTTAAATGCCAATCCTAATGTTCTCTTTAAGGAGTTGAACCAACAGAATCCACAATAAAATGCTCAAGCGATTAGTAATAACTAAATTAAATGATTTTATGAAGATATCTATATTGAATATATTGGACTTCATAATCAAAAGACCTCTTCTCTGATTTGGAGGAATTCTGATGCAGCGCTCAACTTTTGAGTGAGAACTTCTTATAATCTTTCAACAACTTCCAATTATTGTTCTCTTTCGAAGGTTTAGGCTTCGTATTGAGCTTCTTATTCAGCAGCCCATCTTTCTTAAATAGCCAATGAGTCTTCAGCATCTTCAAGGAATAACTATTAGACATTAATTTAAATATTTTACAGTTTGATCTTCTAAATCCTCAACAGACTCTTAGATGGTCACTTTGAATTGGACAATTGAGTTTTCTAAGAAGGCCTTTCTTTCGACTAATCTCTTGTGTTCTTCTTACAAATGGGCACTTTGAACTTCCCAGTTGGCAGCTTGTCTTTCTTCTGTGGCAAGTAAGGATGCTCTGCTTGCAACCAATTATTATCTGATTTGAGCCAAGAGTTCTAAGATCTTGATGATGCTCTTGTTGTCAACCTTTGAGGCCAATTGAGTCAAAGCATTGATGAGTGGCTAGAATTGAGATCAAAGAGAGTACCTTGAAGAGTGCGTGTTTGGATTCCATCAATTTAGCTTAGACCTTTTCGAATCTACTTTTGAGTTGAGCAAAGGCAACACCAGCTTATAAATGTTAAACGATCTTTGAAGCTTCATCAATAGCATCGATTTAATCAACGTGTTCTGCATCTTTTCTAACCCAGGTATCGTGTTATGATTGTCTTGTAGCAGATTCATCAGCAAAGCTTTTCTCGTTATTGGCAATATCTGAGGTAACAACTCTGACTTCAGCTTCAGCTTCACCCAAAGCTTCAGTTGTGGAGTCTCTCAAATTTGAAAGAGCAACAATTTGGGTTTAATGATAAGCAATTTCTTGTTCTAAGTCAGCAATAATCTAATAAAAATTAATTAAATAGACAAACCTTTTCGAAAGCAACTGTATCACTTTCATGAACTTTGTCAGCTTTCTTTTAATCTCCATTAAGTTGGGAGGCAATATTGTTTAAGAGAATTTGAATTTCACCTACGGGTCCACCTGTTGCCAATTAAAGTTAAAGGACTGACAACACTGAATTTCCAAATGAATCCTTGTTAATTTAAGCCAACACTTCCTTTGGGCTTTCTGTCTTTGTCACTCTAGCAGTTGCAACTGCGAGGATAAGAGCCAATACAGGGACGATTCTCATGTTATTAATATTAATGAAATGAAATCACAATCACTCTCCAAGACATTAAAAATTACCCGTTTTTCAATTTATTTCTACATCCCTCATTAATACGTTTTTCTTTTTAATTAAAACTCATTCATTTCATTATCTCTAATCAAATGCACATCATGAACATACTCTGAACAATGGCAACCACTAATCTCTAAATCTCAACTATTCTGAATCATTTAATTTTTTTGAAGAAAAAGAAGCACTAAATTCATCACATAAGACGTACTTTAGTCGAAATTCAACCTCAATGATTAATATGTCTGTAACAGAGTGTTCATAGCTCCTAATTCATTATAGAATTAAAGTAGAAAACTGAAATTCCTGAAATTCTTAAATTTCATTAATTGGGTTACAATTACTTTTTCTCTTGAAATGCTAAATAAGTTCAGTGTTCAATCGATAAATCTTTGTGTATCTTATACGTTACAAGAAATAAAAAGATTTGCCAAGATACGGAGACTTTACTTTCAATGATACAATCAGCTTCTATTTTTATTATAGCACAAGTATTCAACTTTTGTAGTCAGAAGGTTTAAACATTCCTTGCTAGCACACATGTTTCTGAGGTTTTGAAATATTATACTTATCATCAAAAATATTTAATGCAATTCTATTTTAAGTTAATAGTAAAAATCTCTAGATTTATAGAACTATTGCTAAATAATTTTTGTTAACTAATATTTATTTATTATAATTAATTATAAACACATAATCAAAGCAGAAATTTGGGCATTGAAAATAAATGGTCATAATCTCAAAAACAATCACATACAATTTGGAATTAATTAATAAACTAAATCAAAATGAGATGTAGTTTCCGATTGGTTAAAGTATTAATAAAAACAGATTGACAAGTTCCTAAACTTAATAATTTAGCAAAATTTTATTCATCACAAGAAAATAAGGCTACAAACCAAAAATGAAGGAAATCTATTACTCATTTTATAAAAGTGATTTCAACTATATAAGACTGTCATTTTTAATAAGTTTGAATCGATATAAAGTTTAAATTTGATGTAAGCATAAAAATGAAGGAGTCATTTAAAATTAAATGAACAATTTATTTAGAAAAGCGATACTTAAGAAATATGCAATAAACTCTAAAATCGCTTATGATAAACTGAAAGTAAATAATTAGTATTTTTGATATTGAGAATATAAATAAAGAAAAATATTTAGTGAGCATTTCTTTAATGAATTATTTATTAAATTAATAATAATTCCATGTTCATGTCAGTCCTTATTATTTGAAAAAGATGGGAGATTATTTTAACTCTCTTTTTCTAAAAATTTTAAAATATTCTTCAATATAGATACTAAAATAAATAAATATGTGCTTGTTAACAAATAACAAATTTCGATCAATTTAACGATTTATAAGAATGCTCCTGTTCTTATCAAAATTTCATACTATTACTGTATGAGTATATAATTAATCATTCAATAAAGACTTTTATATCGATGTAAATCTAAAAACAAAGAATAATTCCTAATTGTGATTATATAATATTATGAAATATATAATTTTAAAGAATGAAGCCATGCAAGTATGATTATTAATAAAGAAATATGGAGAAAACATCTTAATCTGAAATAATAAAGCAAATGGAAAAAAATGAGTGCGAAATTAAATTAGCAGTTTATATAATATAATTTCAAATGCAAATTATCGAGGTTTTAAAATAAAAACCTTCCAAGAATCAAAAACAAATCATCCTCAACTATCAGAACATTAGAGAGATAGGCTTACACAATTCCTTCATGTACATTACAACTTTGTGTTTGTCACATAATTGCATTTAACATCTTGATGGAATCGAATAGTTTGTGTAATTAACTACGCTCTCTCTCCATCACAATCTGATTCAAAGTGTTAATGAGTTAAATAAGATCAAACAACCTCATTTACTTAAATTGCTCAATATTCATCATAATCCATTTACTGTTAATCCAACATATTCAACTGTCATTTTGTAGAAATTTTGTTATTTGGAGTAACTTGACAACTAAAGGTTAAATAAGTAATATTATTAATAATATTTTCATTGGATCAAATGCATTGGTTAATTGCTTATTCCTTACCTGAACGAAAATTGTATATCAGAATAATTAGTTAATTAATTGTCTATTGAATTAAAGAAATATGAAATTTGCATCTTTAAACTAAATTCCATCATATATACACATCTGATTAATTTTCACTATTCAAATTAGCACACTAATTAATAACTTCAACAGTCAGGAGAATAAGTATTCTCAAAACTACTAGATATCTTAAATAATAACCAAAGAAACAATGATCTTTAGATGTGTTTGATGAATCAAGCATTGCAAGATTAAGAGATAGATTTATTTGAATTCTAATCCAATAACGTCTACAAATAACAATATTTATATTCAAATTTTTTGTAGTTGAATGACAATATTTTTAAGGAATAATAATTTTGTTTCCCTTATTTCCCTTTATGCCTTGATTATGTTAAATCAATAATAGAATTAATTAAAATTTAATTTAAAAGGCAAAACAAGTATGTCAATACTAGATATCAGTAAACTTCATTATAATCCTATCGTTAACAAAGTGTAGACTATTAAGAAAATACTCGATCCAATCACGATAATAATTAATAATCAATAAATAAGACTAAATCAAGTTAATCAATTGGTAGAATGAAAAATAATACTAATAAATCTATTTTGACATCCTAAAGTTAGTTAAGTCATAGAATAAATCATAATTCTGTTTCCATTTTTGTTAGAGTTTTAAATAATTTCACAAAAAAATAAACTGAACTTTAATAATAATAAGTATTTGACATATTAAGGAAAAGAACGCACATTCAATAAATTTTTGAGAAAATCATGAAGAAAAGATAAATCGGTCTTTTGAAGTACAGCTTTACTAAAGTGAAGTAACTTATAGCCACAAAAATTATAGCAAAAGTTACTTAACCAATTCTCTATTAAATGAAGGAGGAAGCGTTCAATATTATGCTTAGGCTAAAAAATAGATATGAGGCTAAATAGCTTGAAAAAAGTATATAACACTTTTAGATGTAAAGGGAAAGATTGGTTTTCTCGATATTACTTATAAATCAATAATAAATGGTTAAATAAAAGTAAGCTTTATTTTCATTGATAAAAAAATAGAGATAGATACCTTTAAGAGAGCATTTCTAAAGATGGAAGATTTATTCTATTAGTGAATAATTTTATGATTAAATTTTTCAATAAAAAAGTAACGAAATAAGGTCTTTAGCATCAATATCTACAAGAAATGAAATTTTTAAAAAGTACCCAAATAAATCAATTCAATTTTTAGAGAGCAACTCTACACTTGATTAAGATGGAAATAAATAACAAAAAAGAAATTCTACCACTTCTATCAATCAACATTTAAAAAATAATGGAACAAACATATACTGTGAGTATGTAGTCATTAATAAATTAAAGAAAAAAAAGAAGAAAAAGTCTTTGAAGAATTCTAAATCTAAAAAAGAAAATAAAAGTAAATAAAACAAGAATAAGTGTGGNATTTTCACTATTCAAATTAGCACACTAATTAATAACTTCAACAGTCAGGAGAATAAGTATTCTCAAAACTACTAGATATCTTAAATAATAACCAAAGAAACAATGATCTTTAGATGTGTTTGATGAATCAAGCATTGCAAGATTAAGAGATAGATTTATTTGAATTCTAATCCAATAACGTCTACAAATAACAATATTTATATTCAAATTTTTTGTAGTTGAATGACAATATTTTTAAGGAATAATAATTTTGTTTCCCTTATTTCCCTTTATGCCTTGATTATGTTAAATCAATAATAGAATTAATTAAAATTTAATTTAAAAGGCAAAACAAGTATGTCAATACTAGATATCAGTAAACTTCATTATAATCCTATCGTTAACAAAGTGTAGACTATTAAGAAAATACTCGATCCAATCACGATAATAATTAATAATCAATAAATAAGACTAAATCAAGTTAATCAATTGGTAGAATGAAAAATAATACTAATAAATCTATTTTGACATCCTAAAGTTAGTTAAGTCATAGAATAAATCATAATTCTGTTTCCATTTTTGTTAGAGTTTTAAATAATTTCACAAAAAAATAAACTGAACTTTAATAATAATAAGTATTTGACATATTAAGGAAAAGAACGCACATTCAATAAATTTTTGAGAAAATCATGAAGAAAAGATAAATCGGTCTTTTGAAGTACAGCTTTACTAAAGTGAAGTAACTTATAGCCACAAAAATTATAGCAAAAGTTACTTAACCAATTCTCTATTAAATGAAGGAGGAAGCGTTCAATATTATGCTTAGGCTAAAAAATAGATATGAGGCTAAATAGCTTGAAAAAAGTATATAACACTTTTAGATGTAAAGGGAAAGATTGGTTTTCTCGATATTACTTATAAATCAATAATAAATGGTTAAATAAAAGTAAGCTTTATTTTCATTGATAAAAAAATAGAGATAGATACCTTTAAGAGAGCATTTCTAAAGATGGAAGATTTATTCTATTAGTGAATAATTTTATGATTAAATTTTTCAATAAAAAAGTAACGAAATAAGGTCTTTAGCATCAATATCTACAAGAAATGAAATTTTTAAAAAGTACCCAAATAAATCAATTCAATTTTTAGAGAGCAACTCTACACTTGATTAAGATGGAAATAAATAACAAAAAAGAAATTCTACCACTTCTATCAATCAACATTTAAAAAATAATGGAACAAACATATACTGTGAGTATGTAGTCATTAATAAATTAAAGAAAAAAAAGAAGAAAAAGTCTTTGAAGAATTCTAAATCTAAAAAAGAAAATAAAAGTAAATAAAACAAGAATAAGTGTGGTATCTGTAGAGATTATTTAGATGAAAATGGAAATATCATTGAGAAGAAAGAAAAAAAATGATTATAAGTTAATTTTTAAAAGAATACTATTTAATTCTATCATTCACAAATTATTTTACATATTGAGAATATTATATTTAAATTTTAATTGGTAAATCTAATTGTCTCCAATTTTGTAATTCTAAATGAATTATTCAATTTTGATGTTGTGCAAATGATCATTCTTGTTTGTTAGACTCAAGTATCATAAAATATTTTCGCTTCTCTAAATCAATCATTATGAGTTTTACTCTAGTTAATTAACAATAAAATTATTAAAGATGAAATAAAGAAAAGTGTAGACACCTTAAGAGATTATCGCTTTTCTTCGATCCTTCAAAAATTATATTAGAAAACCCTATTCTATGAGTCCTTAGAGTCGATGCCAAACAAATGTTCAGACGGCCAAAAAGATGATGAAGAATGATCATCTACTGAAATCTCCAACTGATAGATAACAAAATACTGAATTTGTTTGTGAGGGTATTGAGAAAAAAGTCGAAAGTCTGGCTATTTAGATCAAGGATTTGTAGACAAAGTAGGAACAATTAGAGAATTAACATTATTAATTGAGCATGAGTGTAAAGAAATTAACTTAAGACAAAAAGCACTAATTACAAGTAAGAGGGAGCAAACATAATTTTAGGAGCGAAGTTAGATGATTAAAAAATTAGATCAAATGATTGATATCTAACTAAAATAGGAAGAAAACTTGAATTAATTTAAGTAATTATTTGCTTCTCGAAAATTAATTAATTGACTTTTGGTTTTTCATTTTGATATATATCATATTTGTATTTATTGAATGTGAAACTCATCTGCAAAAAAAAGTATATGTATATATTAAATAAATGAATATATATTGAAGAATTTGATAATTTCATCATTTATTATTCTCAACAAACAAAATTACAATGAAAAAATAAAGTGAGAATGAGAAGATTGCTATTTATGCTTCATAGATGATGAAATTGCATGGGAAAATCTTAGAGAAGAAGCTGACAAAGGTGCCTTCCAAACAGTAATTTGAAAGTCAATCGCAAAATATCTCGAATAATAATAGTCCTGCAGTTGGAAGACAGAAGTCATATGAAAATTTATTAAAAGTTAATAGAACATTCATAAATCCAACACTTTAAGTGTCCTAACAGAAATTATGCAGCATTTTAAATGTGATGGCAGGCTAACAGACGAAACCTAAAAATTAAAGTTTATTTAACAATGAATTAATCGACACAGTGAAGATATCTCATAAATTAAGAAAGAATCAATCAATGATATAAATGGATTAATAGTCACCTTAACTTACTAAAAACTCATCCTTTCATCGCCCCAATTCAAGTGTGAAGATAAAGAATAGTAATAGTGTTTCCTGTGATTAGACTCAAATTCAAAAGATAAAAGAAAAAATCAAAGTGCTTCTCCAAGATAAAGAGAATAATTGGTAATAGGATTAAAAAGAAATGGCATTTATGATTAAATTTAATTAAACCCTAAATCAGCTACTAGCAATCATGTTTCAAGATTAACAAAACACTTAGCCAACTTCGACTCAAGATACTAATCAGGCTCTGTAAATCGATCATTTCTTCAAGAGATAAATTTAGATTCTATAACAATCATTTTAATAATAGACAGAAAAGAAAAAAATGGAAAATATACTTGTTTCAATTAAAAAGAAGCATGAGAATCTATTATAAGAGCATAATTAGTTATTAGAAATTAAGAAATCTCAAGATGAAATAATTGTTAATTTGTAACAATAAATTAATGGATTGTCAGCTTAGATTTAAGAGTAAGATCAAGTCGGATAGAATGACGCAGGTATAGATAGATAATAATTGTAGAAATCTTGGAATTGAAATATTTAGTGTAAGGATAGTTCGAAGCAATCCAAAAACTACTTCAAAGAGAACAATTAACTAAAATATTCTTGAAACGAGTAGGCGATAGTTCAATAATCGAGTAATTATGCAATTTTCATTTAGAATGTTCGAATAGTTTATCTAAAATTCAGAATAAGAGAATCCAGATGACACTGAAGGAAACTTAAACATAGATATTAATCCAATAAATCAACCTAATACTCTTAATAAACTTTAAACTCCCAAATAAAAACTTAGTTCTCCTGAACAAAATACTTATCCTCTCAAAATCTTGTCCTAATATGAGGATATTTACAAGTAGCAGTTAAACTTATGTGACTCTTTATTGGCAGACGATTCAAGTATTAATTCTGTAACTTTATGTAGGAGTAAATGATTCTGAAGAAAGTAGTTTTGAATATAAAGGCAAGGAGTAAGCGACTGAGATAAGTTGTTACTTCAACTTGGCATCTTAATTTGTTTAGCCACAAATGAAAAAAAAGGGTAATAAGACGATTTCCAAAGAGAAATTGAAAATAAATATGATGGATGTCTTATTAGCCTAAGCTGCGTATTTATTAGATTTTATCTAGTCAAAAACGTTAAGAACTTCTGGAATAGTAACAATAGCAGTAATAGAAAATTTTGCCTGATGACATACTGGATGAAGATTAAGTAGATCCAAACTTATCTGATGAGGAAGTATTTAATACTTAGAAATTAGTATTGAAATTTTGAATAAGACCTATTTTTCCTCGTTCTATTATATATTGTTAATACTTTTTATAAACAAACTAAGTGTATTTTATAATTAGAAGAGATAGAAAATCAAAACTTGTTTTAAATCAGACCCACTTTTTTAATTTGCCTTTAGACCAAAAGCCTTTTCTGGCAATCCCTTCTTTGTCTACAAATAAGCCTATACCATCCTGAAGACCATGTTTCCATTATCCTTTATAAATTCGACCGTCTATGTACTACATTTCTCCATAACCATGTTTGATATCATCCAAATATTGGCCTATATACACACGACCTATTAAATGATAATGAAGGAAATACCATCCCCCCATTTCATCGTGCCATCGCCATTCTTTAATCCATTCCTCCAGTATCCTTCAAAAATTCTAGCTTTATCAGGCCAAGTCTACTTAATTAATAGAGTTTACGAATGAACCATATCCATGAAATAAATCATTTTGAAATTCGCCTTAATAAACTGACCCATCAGCCAACTGAAAAATGCCTAAACCACACTTCATTCCATTTTAAAATTTGCCTTCATAAATGGATTTATCCTTATAAATCTCTTTGCCCATCCCATGCTAGAGACCTTTCTTCCATTAACCTAAATGTAAGATTTGGATACCTGTATAGATGCGACCATCATAATACCTAAATTCCCCTTGACCATGGAAAATATTATTTAGCCACTCTCCTCGATATGATTCGTTGGGATTCATGTAAACTCCTTCGCCTTGAAGTTCATTGGCATTCCACTAAAATATATTGAATAAATTACAGTTCCTTCGATGTAACTAGAAAATAAAAAATAGTAACTACCTATCATGGAATTAATATTTTCCTTTTCCATTTGCCTTCCCGTCTTTCCATATCCCAGTATAGATTGCTCCATTTTTCATAATTATAGGCTAATCATTCTCTTATACGTAAGTAGGATCAAAACAGAATTTTGGATTGTCAGGTTGAGTAGGAGCAGAGGGTACTGGAGATTGGAGAGTAGGCATAGGAGATTTGCGGACTTTGTGTCCCCTATAATAAGCCTATATCGTGATGATTTTATTCTCATCATATTAAGGAGGGATTTCTTCCTTGATAGGATTATCTGTTTATTTGCAGGCACTTGAATCCATTGTTGGTAAGTCATCTATAATACTTGGAGCACTTTAACAACTGCCCATAATTAGAATAGATTTTTTTATCAAATTATTTTTATATTTGATCATGCCAATTTGTTAGTTATTGTAAGAAATAATAAAATATTGAAATAGTAATACGATGATTTGCTATAATGGTGGTACGGAAGTCAGAAAATTACATTTCGATTTAACTTTAAATATTTATACTTTGTGAAGTGAAATATTCATCTAGAAGCTGCAAGAAAGTTCAAGTTATTTCGATGAAATTACTGATCCTTCTATTTCTGCACATACTCTGGTGATCTATATGCCTATGCAAACAAATTAATATTATGAAAGAATGAGCATTCTATAAGGGAAATTGCTTCTATAACCTATAAAATATATGTTACTATTAAGATTTGTTAATGCTTCAAAATTGATCCAACTAAAGTCAATATTTTGTCTCAAAATATGCAACTTTAATAGATGGAAAACTTCTAACTTACAAGAAGGAGATGCTCTAATCTTCTTAGATCTCTTGTATCGACTAATGTTAGGATAAAGAAATGATTCTGCTTAAATTATTGCAGAAAAATTTGGAGTATATCATTTATTAAATCCAAATATTTTCTACAGAAAATTGATCTTTCGATAATAATAGTATTATTATACATATATGTGCTCCATAATTAGGGCTTACTAATATTCAAAGTTCTCCTCTTATGATAACTCTAAGCTGTACTTACAATGCTATTAAATGTAATTAATTTATTAAATGATTAGAACTAAATAATACTTTTGTTAAACCATTAATCTGGGGTAGATTCATTACAAAATTGTAAATCAATAAACATCTAAAAGTAGGTTTTTCGGGTGTTAAAATAGGAGTAATTAATGATGATGAATCAAGTCTGGCAAGTAATTTTATTAGTAAAAAACACTGTGACATACTTGTAGTTCTTAATTATAATTGAAAACAACAAAGATTAATTGGTAGTTGTCATCTTATTGATTGGGTAATTGATACTTAAGAATGATAATGATTTTTATATCATTTAAATTAATAATAGTTCTTGTAGTCTCTATTTATACTAGAAAAATTTAATTCAGTATATAAAATATGATAATGGTATAATTATTAATCAATTAAAAATAGTCTTTAATCTTATGGTTGTATGAATTATGTGTTCGTGTTTATCTACGAGAAGCTTGAACTTCTCTGATGAATTTCCATTCTTAAATCTTTTTAATTCCACCAATTACTTATTGGCTTTAACTTATTTTTTAAAGCTTTGGGAATTCTAGACTGGGAGCAGACAAGAACCAGTTTTAAGCCTATTCACAAGAAGGGGAGACTTGATTATAATATCCTTATGGGATCGAGATGTTAGTGGATGGGATTTTTTAACATCGGAGAATTCTTAAAAGGCTTTTCCAAGCGACTTCTTGATTATGAAACTTTTGAATTGAGCATTTTTAATAGGCTATCTCAGGGGTATCTAATGACAACTAGTCTTTTAGAATAGGGTTTCTTAGCCGCATTCTTCACATTTACAACTATGTCGTCTTTTTTTGATTGAGTCAGTATTTTTGTTAGAGAGATGAAAACTTGTAGAAATCATTTTCTTAAGGGGTTTAGATTAAATTAGTTGACTCAGTTTTTATTTTTCAACCTAATGTTGTTGAACTACCAAGGGAGAATTCTGATAAATTTGTTAAAAATGAGTGAGTTTGCCACAATTGTCACAACAACAACTTGCTCTTCTTGGCTATTCTAAGACAGAATCTAAATATTTAAGTTTTTGAGTAGTCCTTCTATTTTGATTTCTTTTGCTATTGATGATTAACATTTAATAATTTTGAATCATTTCATAATTAGTTTGTTCTTTATATACCTGATAATATCATTACTATTGATGATAGTTAATCATCCAAGATAAGGGAATTAGTTGATTAGAATTATAACTTTGCAGAAAGATCAACTGATGTTTTGACATATATTCAAAAATAATTACAATAATCATTAGATCAATAGTGGTTGTACTGATTCATCATCCATATAATCTAGTACTTATTCTGTGAAGTAGGCAAAATAATGTCCGCGTGTCTTTTGGGTGATTTGAACTTGTTTTTCAAACGACTCCAATCCTATAAGGTTGGTTGAAATGATCAAAGTCTCTTCAAGAATCAATTATTAACTTACCACATTAACAAATTCATTCAAAAAGACAGGTAGACTTTATAAATTGTATATTGTGATCTCATTCTCAATATCTGATAAATTAAATATGCATTTCATATTTAAAAACAATATCGTAAGTTCCTTGGCCTTGTGGTTGTAGGTAACTCTCATTAAACCTGCCTAATCACTGATCACCACATCTCTCTCCTCCAACAACACTGTGTTCTCCTACAAATGAGTAATGGACAGTGGCTTTGGAGGCTGTGATTGCTGATTGTCTATCTGAATATGTGATTCATAGTATTGCAACAGGGAATCATCTGGAGTAAGAACTTGGCTTGCTACTTTGTAAGCCTAAATGCAGAATTGATTGGATTCATAAGCCCCCTTTTCTAGCTAGGCCATTCGTTCGTATAATTTGGCCATTAACAGATGCACCTTTTTATCTAACTTTGGTTCCAAAGACTTAATTATAAGTTGTTACAGTTTCAGAATTGCTTATAATGCTTGCTGTTTGCTCTGATTGTCTATAGTACAAAAGTGATAAAGAGAGAGGGCGGATTCATAAATCTGAGACACAGTTCCTCCAATGCTATAGTATTGTTATTCATCAATTAATGCCAGTAGACGAGCTCTTGCTTGCGTAATGCGATTGATCTTAATTTGGTAAGCGATTTCCAGATTCTGCAGAACCCATAGGTTGGAGAAGGTGCATACTTCCTGATTCCATAGCTATAGATATTAAATGATTAGTTGAGTGCTTGGCAATTAATTCTTGGACATAAACTCATATCCCATATCTGCTAGTTCTGTGACAATGATTTGGTATCCCTTGGAGAAATCAGTCACAGAGATCGATTGAAGATGGTTGGTGATATCTTGGAGCAGCTCTTCTGAGAAGTCATCAACTTCAAGTGAGTTGAGTATTTAAGCATACCACATATTTTAAATATTATCATAATTTAGAAGTATTTTTTGGTAATTTCTTGGGGTGAAGACTGTAGGCCTACAATTGATGATACTTTTTGGATAACTTTTAGGAATCCTCATCTCCACTAAATTCATTCATGTACTATTAAAATCCCCAAGTTGAATCAATAGTTTTATGTCTCTACAAAATGAATATTAAGTTACTCTAAGTTAATCCTTGGGCTCAATAATTTACACTCCACTATGAAAGATGACTGATTAACGTTTAGAAGACTTGGCACTCTTTCTACTTCGCTTACTTTTCTTACTTTTGGATCGTTTCTCATCTTGGTTACACAAGCTCGTGTTCTCTACCTAGGATGGAATATATTTGATCATCATAGACGACAAAGAGCCTTAGATCGATGTACTTGTGAGATGTTTAGACTCCATCCTTATAGGACTCCCACCTGTAGCTCTCATTGCCTCAGGAGGTTTGAGAAGATTATTGGAACCCATAATTTATTACGAACTGTTCATTTGTGGTTATTTTTATTTGTCCTCAGATAAGGCCCAAATCATTTGATCCTTTATTTTAGTTTGACGATCAGTCCATTCGAATAACTTATCTAGAATTATATGATTATTGGTGGCTGCCTTGAGTAAAAGAGATAACATGTATTTATAATCTGGTTCAGATTTAAATTCTAACTTTTTTAAATAACTAGTGGATAAACAAAAGATACTTAAATATTTCAGCAAATTCCGGTGGAACATCTTTGCATAATTCTGATACTTCTGTTTTCTATTTGACTTCGCCTACAACATCAGTTCGATCTCTATCTCCAATATTTTGTAAATTTTACCAAGGCAATTTACTAATATAAAGAAAGTTCTCTCTACCCTTTTAAGAGATATATCATAACATAAAACATTGATTCCACATCATCTTTTCTTCCTAATTCGTAACCTCGATGTGCTGCTATCGATGCATATCTTGTTGTCCCGATAAATGATTTCTTGTCTTTGAGTGGGCTTTGCCTTAGGTAAATTCAGTACATGTGCTTGCCATGATTATCTAAATAGACTTTTGACACTCCATAATCCACCAAATAAATAGTGCCATTCTCCTGTTGATAGCCTGTCAAAATATTTTCTGGTTTGAAATCTCTGTGGATTACTCCCCTCTCATGCACTTACTGCAATGTAGACAGTAATTGATATGAAATCTGCAATACGCTTTTCAAACTAAACTTCTTAAATTGCTTGATATATTGACTCAGGTCCTTGCCCAAAATTTGGATTACAATCACATTGTAGTCTTACTCGAATCCACTCCAATAGAGTTTGGGTGTTCCAGGCACTCCATTCAAGCGATTAAGGATGGATATTTCTCTGTCCAGAGAACTAACATCTTCATTTTCTTCCTTCTCTATTTTCACAGCCACTTCCTCTCTTGTGTGCTTGTCAAATGCCAAATACACGATACCAAATGAACCTGACGAGATCTATTATTTGATAATATATTTGTTGTTGAAAATCTTCGGATCCCTGTAACTAGGAGGAAGCTTCATCATATTTTATTTATTATAATTTTATATTTCTCTCACGTTCATTTTTTATATTATTTAGATCGCATTTATTACTTTAACATGCCTTCGTAATCTCCTCATTACAATCTACTCATCATTAAACAATATAATATAATTTATAACTAAATATTTCATCAAATGTTCACAATGTAGCCCATCTTCTTGAGTTCCTCCACTTTTTTCTTTGATTTGGTAGCATTGATTAAAGTTTATGACAGATAGATATTCCTTGGCAATTAAGACGACTTAATCAACGTTAAGATCTAATCCAGAGTTCTTTCCGTGATCATATTTGAGGATAAATGCAATGAAACCACATTATTATTTTAAGCCAATGCTTGCAATAACACAGCAGCACCATCATCACTAATCTTATTTCTAGCCAATTTCAACTACTTCACTTTTTTACAAATTTTCAATTGATCTGCAATTATTGAACATCCCTCATCTCCCAATTCTAAAATTATATATAAAGCAATACGTACCAGCATTTGAGAAATCTACAATCTCTAAATTGTCATTTTTGAAGGCCTAAAAAACTGGATCAAACTTCTCACTCATTTTAAAAGTCTTCTTTCTCTTTTCTTGTAATTTTGGTGTCGGAGATATACCTTAACGTAAAATGGACACAGGAGCCGGTGGTTAGAGAGTATTGTTTGAGTGTTCCTTAGTTGGACTTTTTTATTTAATGCTCTTGAGAGGAGTGATCGAATGATGAGAATGAGCAAGATTTTCAGTTCTCAAAGGACTTTTAGCCTACACAACTGATTAAGTTGAAACATGACTCTAATTTTAGGCTACTTGAGTAATCAGACTCTCCTCAATATCTGTCCAATCTGCTACTGAATTATCCCTCAAGAGGAGAGGTTCTTCTTAATCAAACTTTGTAAAGCTATTCTCAACATGATTATTTTCAGTATGATTTAATTATAATGTTAATGAGCACATTGTATCAAAACACTTTTCTATTTCTGTTTTCTTAAAGTCTACTCTAATTTTTTTGATTCTAATGTTATTAATTCGTTATTCTAGCATTTTAATGGTTCTGTCCATTTCTTCAATTATGGCATTTCCTTTGAATTCCTAATTATAGAGTAAATCCAAAGGCAACTCTCCATTATCAGTTTTAGTCGAGAAATAGAGCAAACGATCTTTGGCTCCGATCTTCCATAAATCAGCTTACTATAAACTTGATGAGATTTGATCTTTGATCTATTTCTTAGTCTATTATTCAAGAGTTTAAGTGAGGCCATTCAATTGTTCCAATAACTTATTCTCCTTTAACTCTAATTATTGATGCAATTCCTTAAACTTCTCCTTAACTTGCATCTAACTATCTAGGAGCATTGTTTAGAATTTATCATTCAGAAGTTCATAAAACTTGGACTCGCTCATTTCTTATTGCTTATCCAATATTTTTTAATAAGTCTACATGATAGTTTCAGCTCTGAGAGTGACTTCTCTAACTACATCATCAACAGATTTGACCTCATGATGCCTGTGATTTCCAAACAAAGCACATTTAGTACAAATTCGAATTTTATCTGTTAAGCATACAATTTCTAACTTTTCTAGATGTTCAGCACACAATTCAATCCGTTCCTAGGCTAAATTATTTAGATGCAACTAATATTCAGGTTACTCGATGGATGGCCTCTATTTTACGATCATTTTCAAAAGCTAGCAATTTTTTGGAAATTCTGAGATATGAGTCTTGCCCTTTGCCAAAATACTAGGGTTAGGGAGGAATTAATACTTGTCTTCTGGACAGGAGATCTACTAGCCATCAACGTTGGATAACATGTATTGGATGCATTTTTGACAGATGGTATGGCCACAATCTGGGAGCATGAGAGGAGTATTCTCGAATTCATTGAATATATTATGACATTATGGACATATAAGTTCTTCCATTTTAATTAAAATAACGATATATATCACTGTTAAAGGTATTGTACTAATTTGTTACATCCTTCCTTATCCGACAACTCTTGGATAAAGGACTTGCATTCTTCTAAAGCAAACAATTATTCCAACTTGCTCGATCCCTTCTTCAACAAGATTTATTTTGCATAGTACAGCAACTTACCAATCCAAACATACAATTTCATCCTATCTTTTGATTACAAAGCCAACTCGATAATCTTGATAAATGGTTCGCATTCATACACCTGTAGTCTGATTTCAAATAAAAAGGGGAACGAATCTGGAGCATACATTAACTATCTATTAGAATGGTAGCATTACTTCATCAAAGGGAGCTGTAGCCTTGCTCAAGAAGTACTTGACTGATTCCATATCCTTTTACAGGTTCAAGTAAGGCCAATTTTCAGAGTATTGTTGTTTCAACTTGATTTTGCCATCTTGCCCATCTTCAATTAGATCCTTAATGTATTGAGGCAATTCCTAAATGTGAATGAACAATTGCAAAGTCTCTTACAATTGGAGCTACGTCATCTAATCGTTTAATTTCAAAATTGATATTGCAGAGTATTAGTACAATTACGTTACTATCTCTTATTTCTACGGGAATTCTGATCCAGTTTACATTAGAACATTCATACAGTAATATGGATTTTCTAATAAATCTATTAGTAATATGATCTATTTTAATCATAATAATATACATCTCTAGTGAGGAAATCTTCATATCTTTCGAAATTAGTAAAATCATTCTTCATTCGAGCACTGATTTCACCTAACAAAGCTTCAGGTCTACCAAATAACAATGACAATTAGATGGAGAACATATAAGAGTCAAATGAAACTGTTTGAGCAGTCAAAATATGAGAGTAATACCCATTGTAACTCATAATTGATTCTTTTGATACTTTCTCACATTTATCTAACACAAACTTCAAGAAATGAAAGTTTATAGTAGGAAGGTCAAAAATGATGCGCAGAATATTAGAAAATATGTTTGATTGTTCACTCTTATCTTAGAATGGAATCAAACTGATAATCTTGGCGAAAGAGTCCTTGGATGGTAACTCTGTCACCTAAATGGCTGTCAAGTATCCAATCATTTGTTAGAGTATTGCATTAACATCAAACTACTTCTTTTAAGCCATTCTTTATTGAATTCTCTTATTGTGAGTGACACGTAAACATTATAGGTATTATTTCATCAATAATGGAATGTCACTGACTTTGCTTCTAAATATTCTCAAGATGAATTATTTTTGCAGATAAGACAACACTTCAACTGCAAGCATGAAGTCCATATTCTATGCTAACCAATCCAACATCTAAACATTCTGATTTTCTTTAACATCTATTGTGTCCTTAGTTTCCAATATCAATAACAATCCTAGAAAGTGGACTACCACTAATGTTTGTTGTTTTTCATTATTTATCATTTAAGACAAAAAGTCTTCGTCTCCAAAAAGAGGATAAATCATGACATGAGAAGCAATAAGACTACTCAAGATCTTGGCTATAAATTTAGGGTTATTTTGTGCAATCACTCTTTCAGTATAAAGAAAATATAAATCCAACAAGTCTGGTTTGATTAATTCTTATCTCACTTCCTTATAAGCAATCGCTTATATGAGTAAATGATTGAAAACACTTACATCTGTGGCATAATACATTTCTACTTTACTAATCTGACTATTCAAAAAGAATTAATTTTTTAAGAGAATCTATCCCAACTTGACCAAATGATCCTTTGTTGACAATATCTGGTAATCAACTAAGATGGTGATGAATTTCTTCTATAAGGTTGGAGTTATCAATGAGACGTAACGTATAAGTGCATCGAAGATTAGACATGTACAATTTTGATTCGAATTTGCATCTTCTAGCTTAGCATTAAAGAAATTATCATCACATTAGTGTCCAAAACCAATTTAGGGATCATTTAATTGCAATTGACCCAAGAGTGCTATGCCAAAGAGATTTGACAACAATGGATATTGTCTTAATATTTATTCTATTTAATCCAATAATCCTGCCAAATAGAAATTCATTTATATTAAAGCATGTTTATCTTCCAAATCTAACAGTGTTTCCTCGATTAATTTTACCAAATTGATAAGCACCAGGTAAAAGAAATTGATAAACTTCTAGGTGTTCTCTGATAATTGTGGCTACTCTTATTTCAGTAGTCGATGTTTGCTTACAATTATGTTGAGACCATTTTATACGGCATCAAGGGAGTTCCTAGAAGAATAAGGAGATATCACTTACTTCCTTAAATATAGTGATGTGTATTCTTAATTGAATAGATGGACCTATTGATTAATTCCAGCAAACTGTTTGAAATAGGGATGTCGACTAATTTCATCATTTACTCGGTCAATGTCAAAGAAGTTACTGGCCACTTCATTTAAGAGATTGATGAAATCCTTTCTGTCCTCCAACTTTTAGGATAACTATAATAATGGATTATGAATAATCTAACATTTTCTTTGGTGCATTCATAAAAATGATTCTCAATGTAGTTCTTAAGTTTGTTTATCTAATCAAACATCTTCTAGTTGAGTGATTTGTTGTTTTCCTTGAAAAATAAATATATGGCTGATGCTGCAAATGTGGCTGCAAGACCTCCAAAAAGCTTTACTTTCATATCCATAATTTAATTAAATGAAGACACCAATTAATTAAGACCTATTAGACCAATATATTGGGATGGGATTTTCCAAGGAATTGATCAACATGGCATGGGAGGAGAGCAACACAGAAGCAGATGTCATCAATACTCTACTCACTTTGTCAGACAAAAACAATGCACTAGCCAATACACCAACAGTAATCCATTTTTGAATTTATCCATTAGAAACAAGACGAAGAGATTTTACTAAATTAAGCATTAATAGACTCTTACAAAACTAATCCTTAAGTGTCTACATCCACCTTTGAAATCGTATCACCTGAATAACGAAAGAGAACTAATGGTGTTCCATGTGGTCTTAAAAATGTTGGCAATACTTGTTACTTTAATGGATTACTCTAAACATACTTCTTCAATAGTGATTTTGTTAAAATCATTATCAAGTTTCAACCACCTGCTCAAATTGAATAAGGTAAGTAGGGCAAATCCATTCAATTGCTGCAAAATCTTCAACATCTATTCCTCAGTATGATAGGAAGTGATAAAAAATACGTGGATCCCTCAGATGTAATCAAGAGCATCTGCGATGACTTTGGAAATGTTCTTCCAATAGGTGATCAGAAGGATGTTGGAGAATTCAATACCTACTTCCTGAGCAGGATTGGGGAAGGCCTAGCTTATAATGAGCATTAACCTAGCAAAATAGAAGAGCAACCTCATGAAGGTCCTCCTTCTATTTTGAGAATGAAGTCATCCACCATTCATGATGAGGATGTCGTCTCCAAGTTATTCTTTTGTAAAGTGCATCATTACTTGTAATTTGACCAAGCTGGCATCCCTCAAAATAGAGACAACACTGAACTTTATAACTTCATTCCTATTGATTTGAAAGATGGCAATCTCTATGATGGTTTCGATAATTTCGTTGTCAATTCTATTGAAGATTTCAAAAATGATTTAAGTGAAATTGTTTGTGCCACCAAGTACAATTGGGTTTAAGGTGCTCCATAGACATTGTCATTCTAAATTAAAAGAGTTGCCTACAATAAAGAGAAAAGTAATTCATTCAATTTATTTAGATGATCTTGTAAAACAAAATGATGAATTCTACTTTGAAGAGGAAATCTATTTGGACCGCTTCCTTTATGAAAACAGTAAACGATACCTGGACATTCGAAATTAAAATAGAGAATTGAAGGATAAACAAAAGGCAATTAAATAAGAATTATTATAACTCTCAAAATTTGATGATAAATATGATCTACAAGATGTTTTATAAACCGCAGTCAAATTCTTAACAATGCAATCAAAAGAAAATCCTCAAAACCCAGCCAATTTTGGACCTTCTGATCAAACAAACACTATTGAATAACTCTAAAAATATTAATTGTAAGTCTAAAAAAAGAAGGAAATCTTGCAAAACCAATATAATGATCTTGAAGATAAGATCTAGGCTTCTTACAATAATTTTAAGGGGAACAAATATTAATTATAATCTGTTCTAATTCATGAGGGAATGGCAAGTAAATAATATTATTAAACTACTTAGATTCTGGACACTATTATACTTACATCAAAGATTTCAGATTAAATAAGTGGTTCAAATTCAATGATATTCGTGTTACAGAAGAAACTAGAGAGAAAGTGTTCCAAGATGCCATTGGTGTCAAACCAGGTATCAATGCTTACTTGCTTATCTATGTGAAAGATGAATTTGTATAAGAAGAAGTAAAATTTCCAAAAAGATTATATTCTACAAGCACAGAAAAGGATTATTTACAAGATAGTTATGGAAGTTTCCTTAGTCAAAGTCAAAATGAAAGTATTAAAAGAGAAAATCAATTGTTCTAGAATGAAATTGAAGATTACAAGTAGGCCAGAATAATTGAAAGGATTGCTGAGGCTTATCAAACTCGGTTTGAATTTGTCAACGAACACTTTCGTACTCTGGTTAATAAGACTTAAAACATCAAATTTAAGCCTCTTTTCACTTAAAATTTCCCCATTTACGTTAAATGCAAGGCCTCATAGATATCAAATCAAAATACTTAGCATGACAATTTAATAAAATGGATTATCTTGGATTCTGCATTTCGTGAAGTTTAAGAAAACAAAAAAGGAATTTTCGGAGGATAGATAAGCGAAAATGTATTTATTCATTATTAGGTCTTAGTTTTAAAATAAGTTGATAAATAAATTTTCAGTACAATTCAATGAATTTAAAAGACCATCTGCAATATTGACATAATCTGAATAAAATGATTTGAATAAATTTGAATAGGAATATCTTAATTATGTAAACTTAGGATCATGGGCAACAATCATATTAGAACTATTGGAGAAAAAGGATTTTATTCAAGTGTTATAAGTTCTATAAAGTTTGACTAAGAAAGTGAAAACCTTAGAGTAATAGAGTTACTTTTTTAAATTTACTAAGAATCTAAAGATTTTAGTGCCTATTATAATAATAGGTAAGATGATTCCAAAAGAATCTTAAGTTAATCTAAAAGAATTATAGTTATTGTAGGCATATTTAGTGCATAATCACTTCTAGTATGATGATCCAAAGTTATGGAAAACTGAAATTTCAATTATGTTAAATGCTATAATAGAAAATCATAATCAATAGGCTGTTAAAGAAATTATAAATAATTTTGAAGCTGAAAATAAGATAAAAGAAAACATGGACTTGTTAGAATTTTTGTCTGAGGTATTATCATGTTTGATCATTTAAGGAAGTTTAAAACTATTAATTAGTGATAAGTTCTGCTTATGAGATCTATTTCTGGAGCACTTATTAAAAGTAAGATCAAATATTTGATAAATTGCTTGAAGGAATGAACAAGTTGAAATAATTATTTGATGTAAGATATCATTATAAATAATTTTAGCCGTTTATAAAAATTCAATAAGCATTAAAAGATCCTCAACCTCTTATGAAGGAAGACTTAGAGAAAATTATAAAATGATATATTATATAAATTAAGATCCTTAACTGATGTAAATGAGAACCCTCCATTTTAGTATTCATCAATAATATTTTTAATTTGAGATGAATTATGAAGGGAATGAAATTTATAAAACTCTTATCATTGCAATAATATTGTAAATGTTCTTAATTAAATTTTCTTACTAATCAATATTATTTGAATGGAACATGCTCTACATTCTTAAACGATTGAAAACACACTAATTATTTAAATAATTTTTGATATGATAATGTAAGTTTTATTTTTTAATTTTCTATTATTTAATAATATTCTAAAAATTGAATAATGAATTAAATAAAAAGATTATAGTGAAAATTAATGTTAAAATTTAGGAAGTTTAACTCAATATTAAGTCTTGCCATTTGTTAATCAGTTTGTAAAATATATTAAAAAAAAATCATAACTTCTTTAACCTTCGTTATTATTTCTTATATTGATTAAGCAGATCTCTTAGGTAATCTTTTTAAGGCTAATCCATTTTTTCATAAGCATATCTCAAGCCCTCACTACTAAAATATTGTAGATTTTTCTCTATAAATTAAATTACCTGTTTCAAATCAACCTATGATAGTTCTCTCAATAACCAGCCAGTTCCTAATTAATTAAATCTCTCTTAATGAATGATATTTTCTTAGCAAATATCAAATAGCATCTTTAAATCACATTTATTTTTATTGACTAAAAATATAAATCCTACACAACTAGATCTTCTCATCCATAAGTTATTGCATTTTGACCATTCAATCATTAACTTAGCATTTTCCTTGTCCTATACAAAAGGCTTTAAAACTCTACTACAATAGATATCTGAAGTTCCCCAATCCTAAATGAAACCTTCCAAGAACCAATGTTCAGTCTGTTTTATCCTTGGAAGATCAAACTCAATTTTCTCGGCTATCATCAAACCAAACCTTTTATCCTCTCCGAACTGCTCTCTCATTAAAGAATCAGCCAAATCATATTTTTAATTATCATTTAGTGTTGAAATTTCTTTTCTAAATTGCTTATAAACTGATTCAATTTAAGGCTAAAGTAATCCTCTAAATTGAAGCACATTTTGCATATAAGATGTAATCTCGTTACCAACTTATGGTTTTGAAATGTTATTCAATGCTGTTTAAATTGCGAGTTTCATTATATAATAAAATTGAGAGCAGATAAAATTTTATAAACATATTTTTAATTTAATTGTGGTATTTAAAGAGCATCTTGATGTAGAGAAATATTATTTGTTTTAATATCTCTAATTCATTTACAGAAAATTTAATTATATATTAAATTAATCCATCATAGGTATCCACTAGTTAAAAGAGAAATGTCCTATTTGGCAAAACTCATAAGTTATATTACTAAATCATTAGATCATAATAAGATTGGCAACCACAAACTTTAACTTTTTATTCTATTTTAAATTATATCATTATATTTAAGATTATATCTTTAGGTAAATATTTTGCAATAGTCAATTTTTTAAAGGTCTATTTAGTCAGGCAGATTTGGATATTACTTTCCGTCCTCGATTCTTTTGCTTAAAGGGCAATATTTGTAATAGAAAAATCTTTTTTGGCTTTTTATAGTATAGTATGAAGTAGAGCATTTTTTATGAAATACTAAAAAGAACTAGTTTTGTTTAAGCTTTGATTTCTTATAGGGTCATGTCATGTTTCTATCTTGTTGTTTAATGAATAATCCATAAACAATTATCTCAGCTCATATGAAAATATCCCCTCCTTTTCAAATTACTACATAATTTTAATTAAAAATAATGAGTGCTAGTACTACAAAAAAGAAGTTGAACATAAATTCTCAACCTTTTAATATTGAATAAACTGAAAAGCAACCTCATCCTTCTCTTGTACATACATCAAAGCCTTATCAACCCAAAAATGAAATTCAAGAATATTTCCCGTAAAAGAGTTATACTCCTTTTGATGAGCTGGCTCCTGATTTCAACTATCATAAGTCCACTTAGCATTAATAAGAACCTGCTTAAGTCGCCAACTTAACTCAAGGAGCCAAAGAAAAAAAAAAACTTAGAAAGACTCATTATGAATTTTAAGTCGACCCTAATTTAGCAGAGAAGGTACCTTTTTAGATTAACTTAAAAGATTGATTAAAAAAGCAAAGAGGAATTGGAATAGCAGAAACTAGAAGAATAAAGGAAATTGGAGGAGGAGAAATTAAAATTAGAATAAGAAGAGCTTCGAAGATAAGAAGAGTTACTCAAGTTGGAAGAGTTAAGAAAATAATAAGAAGAGAATCGCCAACCAAGACCATACACAAAAGAGTAGCTTGAATCCATGTTTGCAAACTTGAATGATTTTTAATATTTTGAAAGTGACAATAATTGGATCAAAATCAAGGATAGAAAACATTTTGATTATAAAGAATTCAAACGGTACGAACAAAGAAAAGACAGCAAAATCCCAACCCAAAAGAAGGATACCAAAACAGAAATCCAATTGGATAGACAACCAGTGCAATAGAATGAGCCCCTGTAAAAATTTCCGAAAAGAGCTCAAATCTCTATTTAAGAATAACTCTGGAAGGATAAATTGAAATAAGAAGCTTATGCTTGGTCTTAGATTCTTGACTCCACTCCTGAATAAAAGAAAGCCATCGAAAAGGATCTCAAGTATAGGCTGAATCAATTGGCTCCAGATAATGAAGGCCAAGTTTCCAAATACATTATTGAAATCATTGAATAAAAGTATACCTCCTTTAATATTTATTAGCTAAGATTTCATAGACTTTCTGACTGAAAAAATAATTGAAAAAGCCCAGATTGAACCGAAGTACAGGGGACTCTACATCAATTTATGTTCCAAATTGGCTACTCTACCCTCTTTGCAATTGAAGGTTCAAGATAAAAATGGCAAGACAAAACAACAATCCAAATTCAAAGCGTCTCTATTGAATAGAGTCTAGAAAATGTTCAACAGTAGAAAGACAATGGATTATGACACCTCTAAACTGAAACCAGAAGAAAAGATATAGTTCCACATGATGAGAAAGAAGAAGATTATGGGAAGTATGACAGATATATTATCCTATAGATGTTAGATTCATTGGTGGATTATATTTAACTTCATTATTACCTATACAAGCCTTATCCAGTGTATTGTCAGAATTAATAGGAGAGTACCTTATTGGTTATGTGCCCAATGGAGACACTGCTGATGAGTCTTTGGAAGGATTGATTGAACTTATAGATCAAAGTAATTTTCAGAATATATAAATTAGTTGGTCAAAGTTTTAATTAGAACGAAAGAATAACTGATGAAGCATTTATTACTAAAATTGGGTAGACTCTGAATGGATAGAAAAAGTCACTTGATTAGATTGAAGGCCTATTTAAGGATATAAAAAAACAGACAGTTTTAGATTTGATGTAGAAAGTCTTTGAGAAACTTTTGGAGAATTATCATTTTTCTTAAAGAATCAGATTGCTCATTGAGAATTTATTAGATAAAATTAAAAAAGGCTGGCAAGGATCATATGCTAAAAAGGAAGAATTGGCAGAAAGTGCCTAAAACAATAATGAACAAGAAGAAGATGATCCATTGGAACTGCAATTGAGAGAGGCTAGACAAAACTCAGCAAAGAAGGAGAATTCATCCAATGAGCTGGATTAGAAAATAAGAGCAAAAGATATAGCCATGTTTGTGAGTAGTTCATTTTAATTTGACCCAGTTAATTAGATGGATAAATTAAGAGGCTAGTTAAAGTATATCAAACTTGAAGCCCCTGAATTAATGAAAGTCTTCTTTGAAACCTTCTTTTAGAACATGTTAGCTTGTATTTCTTTATAACATATTCACTTTAGCAAAATAAGTCAAACAGAATATTGAGAGAGCCCAATTAGTATTCGATTTATTAGTTATGGAAGAAGCAGATGAAGATGTGGTCTCAAAGGCACTTCAAGATGTAATTCTTATATTCATATCTTAAGGTTTTGGATGAAGATTTAGTCTACAACATCAGTGAATCTAACACATCTTGGAAATTAATTACCAATATATTGTCTTACTTTATTCTTGAATAAAATTGGAATGCATTGAAGAAGCTTTGTCTAAAGCCTCTTCTTGATATCGAAGAGTTTAATGAATTTTTGATTAGAGTAGGAAATCAACTAATCATCTAAATCCCAGATTAATCAGGTAGAGAGTTGATTATCAAGTATTTTAATATGCTCAAACAAGATCTGGGCACTTAATTAAATTTTGATTGAAATATGTTTCCTATATATCATTTAAGATTGCAATTAATTTATTCGTATAAATTCATTCCTACTCTCAACTCCATCGATAGCAAATCGAATTATAAATATTATCCTTAGAATTCAAATTATTAATTTAATTTATGGCTTGTTTTCATGATCTCCTTGAATAACAAAAAATTAAGCTTATTTTAATCTCAATATTATTATAATTATTTTTATAAATGTTTGAGGAACCAATTATGGAATCAATGCTTGATCACAGTCAACCTCTCACTCTAGATTAGAAATTGCAAACTATGAACTTCCCTCTTAAAACACTTTCAGAAGTAAAAGAGAAATACAAATACTAAATTGATTATTCCACATTGCAAGAGAGAAAATTTAATCTCAGGAAAACTCGATAGCCTATCATTATATTTTCCTCTGCTGAGATAAACATACCTCTCCCAAGAAGTGAAGTAAGGGTTAAATCAGTTATATCTCCAGAAATCAATTAAAGTCTCTTATTTGTTTCTGTCTAACCCAATAATACTAAAAGCAGAAGCCTAGGTTTCAGAAAAAAGCGCTAATGAATTTTATAACTAAAAGGGGGATCTCAATATTTTATTTTGTGATTATACCTCTTATTATAATTAATTATTTAGAAATTATAAATAGTCTCCTTTCACTCAATTTGTATAATTTATTCCTAACAAAAGATCAAGTTGAATAGTTTAGCAATTTTTAGCACTCTATACTCCCATACACAAATTTTACCTTATTTAAAATCTTCGAATTAAATTATTAAGCTTAAAAACTATTATTGATATCATATAAATCTCTTAACAAATATCCCAAAGATACAAGAAGATTTAAGAAGGTAGACATGTTATCATTTCAAATTTACTAAATTATTGGATTAAATTATGGAGTATTTTTATAGGAATAATTATTGTATTCTTTTTTTGAAAAAATACAAATATCCATAACAACTAATTTCTAATTACAAAATCTAATCTATATTAGGAAAAAGAAATGTTTAGAACTAAGTTTTCGAAAATTGAAACATTTAATTTATATTTTTATTAAAAACGAAAAATATTAAAAAATTTCTATTTTAAATCATTAATAAATAATATACGTCACATGTTACAGATTTAACAAGAAAGAATTAATAGCTCTCTTTAATCTATATGGATTTAATCAGCTTATAATTTATTTACTCTTCTTTATTGTAGAATCCTGCAAAATAAATCTTGTAAGTCCTACAAACCTTATAAAACAATGCACTGATTAAAGGATGTTAAGACTTTGGTTATTTATTGATTTAATGTGCCTCATATTATTTTTTCTGAAAATAACAAACCAAAGTAAAGTTGAACGCTGTAAAATAATCTATGCGCTAATAAGACGTAATGAATATTCATTTTGATGATTGCTAATTTGTGTATGTCTAAATAGTTATTGATCACTTATTGATTTTACTTTTTATTCATACTTTTTTAAATTTGTAAAGAGCCAAATTTTATGATATTGAGATTATATTATAACTGATCATCTCCATAAGCCTAGTCATGATCTCTTTCAAAATTTTATACGGCAAAATGTTTTATTCATAAAATTCTTTTTTTAGATTGAAAATTAATCATTGATGACAGAGCGTAAGATTATATCATTGATGATATAATGAATTACTAGTATAATATTAAAGTAATAAAATTTAATTATTACGTATTAGAAAGAAAAAATTAATATGAAGATATTTCTGCTTTGAATTGACTCACTTAGAATGAATTTGAATTAAATGAAATCAGACATTGAAATTTAGGATTAATTGAAAAAATAATATATATAATTAACAAATGAACAAAGAGGAGGAACCCATATAAGAGCCATTAATGAACGATGGTAGTTAATACAACAAAGGAAAAAGTCAGAGAGGGATGTCTTAAATATCTGCATTGACTGAACAATCAAAGAATGAGACTCATATTTATGAAATTCCAGATCTGACTAATGTCACCCAAAATGTTCTTTGTCGGCTAATTGCAGTTTCAGTAGTTTGCATTGTATTTTTGATAGTAGAAGTATGTATTTTGATCTAAATTTTTAAGGTTATTGGAGGGTTATGGGCAGAATCATTAGCCATATTATCTGACGCAGCACATATGTTTTCTGACATGAGTGGGTTTTTCATATCAATATTTTCAATTTGGCTTGGTTAACGACCTGCTTCTTAGAAAATGTCGTTTGGATATCATAGAGCAGAAGTAATTGGAGCATTGGCAAGTATAGTATTGATTTGGGGACTGACGATTTTGCTGTTTTATGAGGCAACCGAGAGAATGGTAAATCAGGCTGTGGTAACTGATCCACTGATAATGTTAATTACAGCAGGATTTGGATTATTTTGTAATTTAGTAATGGCAAAAGTATTGCATTCTTCACCAACAGGAGGACATGATCATGGAAATATTATGCATTAATGTAATGGACATCATCATGGTCATGGACACGATCACGGACACGATCATAATCATGATCACGGTCATGATCACAATGATCATATTGAAGTAGATAAGAAGTAGAAAAAGAAGAAATATAATGTTAAATAAAAACGATCAATGGTCAGTGAGAATGGAGTAAGTTTGTTAGTTGTTGAATAAAGTATTGATTCTGAATCTAGTTCTAAAAATAGCAAGAGCAATTAGACAATTGAAGAGATCAGTAGTGAAAGTAAGTAATCGAGTAATGGTAAACAAAATAATTCTTAACAATAAATTATTTAATAATCAAATTAAAAAGAAATTTTAGATCATGATCACTCCGAAAGTTGTGATCATGATCACTCAAAATAAATAGAGGCTGATGAATTCATAAGCTAAAATAACGCATAAAAAAAGATGGAAAATAAAAATAAGTCTGACCAAAGTCATAGATGTTCTCATGATCATAATCATAATGATTCTCACGAACATGATCATGATCACGATCACGATCATCATGACCATGATCACGATCATGATCACCATGACCATGATGAAAGAGATGAATAGACGAAAAAGCGAAAGAATAAAGTGAAAAATCATAATCTTTCAGAAATCAATGAACATGATAATTATAATTTGAAAGCAGCTATGATTCATGTGATCGGAGATATCTTACAATCAATAGGAGTTTTAATAGCCGCTTTATTAATTTATATATTTGGACAAAAAAAGGATGAAAATAACGAAATTGTATTCACTTATTGGTAATATGCTGATCCTCTATGCACATATTTATTTAGTATTCTAGTTCTCTTTACAACATTTGGAGTTGCGAAAGAATGTGTACGAGTGTTAATGGAGGGTACCCCAACAAGTAATCAATTATCTTAGTTATTTTAGACTTGATCATTGAGGAATTTCGGGAATAACTAAATGCAATTCACAGAGTAAGGGAAGTTCATGATCTTCATATTTGGTCGTTGTCTGTAGGCAAGCCGTCTATGTCTGCCCACATAGTTTGCTTAGAGAACCCTGAATACGTATTAAAGAAGGCAACAAAATTATGCAGAAAATTTGGGATCTATCATTCGACCATATAGATTGAGCTCTTAGATAGACAAGGTGCAAATGATTACATTAAATGTAATCATAACTTGCATAAATGATTATTTTTATATTAACACTCCAAATAGAATTTAAAAAGTCATTGCACATTTTCCTCTGAGATAATTCCAATAGTCTCTTCGACAGGGATTGAGGTTTTATTCAAAATCACATAGTTTACTTTCTTTAACATCCTTATGGATATCAAAATTAAGAGTATGAGTATTACTATAAATAGATAAAAAAAGATTTATTCGTCTAATTGTATGGTGGTGTTTTTTTCAACTACCGAATAGATATTGCAATATTCAGGTGGATCGTTATGCAATTTCTAACATAGTTAGACAATCATTTCATTAAATGGTTAATTTGTAATGTCCTTGCTATCTAGAAATACAGTGAGGAAACTCTAATTATATTATTTATTCATTTCTTTAGACAATATGTAATTTTCCAGCAATGCTTTGTCACCCTGTCCTTTGAAGCTAGCATTAATGCATTCATCTAGTTCTGTACTATTGTAATTAATGATATTCTTCAAAATATTCTCGGAGCAAAATGTGTAATGTGGATTCTCTAAGCAATCTTATGAAAATAGATTGATGTAACTTAAATATAAGTATACACTTGCTGTAAATAAGCAATTCTACCTGATAATTTCTGTAAGCAACAATTGACCATTGGCATAAGGGGAGAATTCTAGATTTGAAGACATAATTGCTTACAACAATATCTACCTCCTCCAAAGCAATTTGGTTCAGGTTAAGTGTAATTATGTCTTTGTTAGCAAGTGTAACATGGCAAGATGTGATTTACGATGTTTAGGATTACTTAATTAATGGATACAAGTCTTACATCCTTTTTCTTCGAACTATTCATAATGTTATTCTAGTCTTCCCAAGTATGCTAAGGATTCCTTGTTGGTGATATCGATTCCAATTGTCAGATTGAGTGAAGCCACACAATTTCCTATAAATAATGATAAGAATAACATAAAATGAATACTAAAATTAATTTATATTCATTCAATTGTTAAATTGTTGTCCCAAAGCAAAAAACCACAGAAGTCCAGCAATTTCATAGTCCTTCTCTTTAGCTAATTATAATATTTCATCAGTCATGGTCTTGCCCATACTCATTTTGTAAACTATGATATTCTCGTCTGATTCCAAATGTTATTTAGGATTGATATTAACTTCTGAATCACCATCGACATCCACAATAACGCAAAGTCCATGCTCTGTAGATTTCCAAGGGTCGTTTCTAATACGCACTCCATTGTATTGATATTATCCGATTTATGCAGTGTATCCTGTTTCCTCTTTGATTTCTCTTAGACCATTCTCTTGGATGCTGCCTTCAGGGTCTACGATGCCTGCTGGGAATTCTAGACAGAACTTCCTTATGGGAGGTCTGAAATTGGCTATCACGATCACTTAAGATGGTTTATCTTTGTATTTGATAATGGGGATGATGTCAACTCCACCTCTATTTCCTGGAGGCCTTTCGACATATTCCCAAACTTTTTAGTGTCCATTTACTTGGAAATGAAGAAGTTTGAAATGCAGCCACTTACCTTCATAGATTAGTTATTCATCAACCTTAGTATTGAAATCCATAGTTATAAAAATATTACGTATTATGTATTGAAAATAAATGTAGTGATGCAGCAAATCCAGAAATAAATTAAATATCCAAATATGCAAAAGTATCTCCAAAAGGCCATTACCAACCAATTGACAAGAGCTTCATTGGCTCACTTTGGTCAATAATTAAAGCCACCTGTTAGAGTCGCCATCACAGGTGCTGCTGGTTAAATCGGATATTCTCTGATTTTCAGAGTTGCCAGTGGTGAAATGCTTGGACCAAATTAACCAGTCATCCTCCATTTGATCGATTTACCATTTGCTATGACTGCATTAAATGGTGTCGTGATGGAAATTCAAGATTGTGCTTTCCCATTGGTATAAGGAATCGTGGCTACAGACAATTAATAAGTAGGATTCAAGGATGTCAATTATGCTCTTTTGGTAGGTGCTAAACCAAGAGGACCAGGAATGGAAAGAGGAGATTTGTTGAAAGACAATGGCAAAATCTTCACAGAAACAGGAAAATACATTAATGTATGAATTTATGATCTATATCACATAGGACCATGCAAGCAGAGACATCAAAGTCGTCGTCGTTGGTAATCCATGCAATACCAATTGTTTGATCTTGGCCAATCAAATCAAAGATATTCCCAAAGAGAATTTCACTGCAATGACAAGATTAGATCACAACAGAGCACAACATCAATTGGCTGATAAATTAGGTGTTCACACATCTGACATCAGAAAAATTGCAATCTTCGGAAATCATTCTCCAACCATGGTTCCATACATTGATTAAATGACTGCAAAAAGTATAACAATATTCTAAGTCTATCAATAGATCACAAAGCCACAGTCGATTAACAATGGGTCACCTAAACATTCATCCCTACTGTTCAATAAAGAGGAGCTGAAATAATCAAAGCCAGAAAACTCTCTAGTGCCGCTTCAGCTGGTAATGCAGCCATGAATCACATCACTACCTGGGTCAATGGAACTGCTGAAGGTATTCAATTTCTTTAAAAACCAATAGGTGATTATACTTCCATGGCCATCCCATCTGATGGAAGTTATGGAGTACCAAAGGGATTGATCTTCTCTTTCCCAGTTACAGTTAAGAATGGCAAGTATTCTATTGTCCAAGGATTACCCATTTCCCCATTCTATCAAGGTTTATTAGATAAGACCATCAAGGAATTAGTCGATGAAAGAATTGCAGTTGACCATTTGCTTAAATGATATATTATTCAAATTATTAGTAAAATACACATCATTTAACTTTCAAGAATAATTTTTAAAAATTAGATATAGAATAAAGTATATCAAGATATATGATCATTAATTAGAATAACAAGAATTCCTTGTCATCTACTTTTTTCTCTCTGATTCTGCAAAGGGATCTTTAGAGTAGTTTGAAGCTTTTTATTTCTAAAAAAACGATTGAAACTTTTAAAATGTTAATCATCTTCAATTTTATATGGCTAAGAATAATCGTTATCATCTTCAAAGACTATCTATTTTTTTGGAAAATATTTCTTGAATAATTATTTACTCGATGATGCATGATTTATAGCAGCTTTAATAACTTCCTCATTCTCAATTGGCTATCTATATCCTGGGAATCCTCTTATGTATTATACACTTATACCCATATCGAGCTTTGTATAATTGTAGAAATTGTCCAACTGAGGGTTTTCTCTCTTCGATCACTAGTTTTTTCAATCTAAGATCTTGATTGTTATCCCAGATTTCAAACTCTTCATCCACACTTACTTAACTTTCAGTAACAGAAACAATTGACTGTCTGCAATTTATGCTACTCTGTTTTTGTAAGGCTTGTCTTGGTTAAATTTAGATGACACTTTTTTTAAATTAGCCCATCTATTTTACAACTCTATTTGTTAATGATTTGCAAGTCAAGCTCGTCTACAAAGATCTGTATTGATTTGAATTTTTTTAGTTTGTTTTTATCGATTTGATACGAAAGTTTTATGAACTATTCATTAATTTATATAATAAATATTAGCATCTATAAAAGTTCTCACAACTGCATCCTATATAATTGTATCCTCAGTCTCTCCATATACGCTGCATCCAACTTTTTCTCATATTGTTCCAGCAGCTTTATTTCCTTATCAAATGATTGTATTTCTTTTAATGGACCTCGCTCACATAATCGTTGTCTAATTGGCTCTCGAGATATTTGTCCCAAAAAGGAATTGCTTCTAGGATATCTGCAAACTCCTTCAGTCTTCAGCCTATACGAAGACCTATTCTCTTTATTCTTCTTTATACTGGGTAACATTTGCTGTTAATTAATTATCTTTATTATATATGGGCAAACTCAAACACACACCAAAAAACTTCTTTATCTATGATTTACATTCTATACATTCAAACAATGAACTATTACTCAAAATGCTTAGAATTTGTGACCTATCGTAAATATTCGAATATCCAAAAATCCATTATTTTTTTTAGCCCAATATTCTCTGTGTTAATTCAAGTTCCTATTAGCTAATTAATCGCATCATTATTCCCATTATATCCTCCTAACCATATTCATTTTAATCCTTTTTCTAACCAAAAAATTATATTCACATAAAATTAGAATTTCGCTATTCTTTCTAATCATTTAACTCAAAATTTTAATATTGACAACTATAGCAAATATTCTAAAATATTCAACCTTTAGATGTACTTTACACATAACTAACCTATTATTATGTACTTATCTTGATATTTGAATTTGTTGAATTTTAACAAAGTTAAAACACAATGAATCTATCGGAATTAAAGATGTAAAATATCTGAAATGAGAATTTATACAATAAATAAAGGGGAATCTTAGAAAAAGCAATAATATCTAAGAAAATCAAATTCAATATTTATCAGGATAGAATTTCTAGACTACGTCCCTAATTAATTTAGGCTCAAATTGAATTGGAATCTAAGCCTTAGGTGTTTGTGGTGTTTGATTATCTAGATTTGATTCAGAATCCAACCTTGATTGGGGTTTCTTATAATTAGTTAACCATCTTTCATAGTACTCATTTTTTTTGTTTCCTTTTTATTTTTGAATGATAGTATTTGTATCTACTGATGTATTTCTCTTTCGACTTTATATTGCCTTCTTATGAAACCTGTTATTCATTATACCCAAAGTGTCATTCATAACAATTGATTTATTATTTTTAATTAAACCAAGAATTTTACTAAGTACGAATCTTTCAAAATTTTTAGACAATAGACAATAGTGATTCTTGAAAACATGTATTAGCCATTATAAAATTTTGAAACTGAATAGTGCAATATTGATACTTTTTTAGAAATAAACATTTATTTTAAATTAGTTATTATATTTAAAATAACAGCAAAAATCCATGTGATTCATTTTTTCATAGTATAAAGACAAAGTCTCCATCAAAGAATATCTGTTCAGATTCTAAGATATTTTTCTTTTAATGATTCACTGTCTCTGTTTAAGGATCTATCAAATCAACCTTTTAAATTTATTCGGTTATTTGTTTTATATCTTTTTAATCTTAAATCTATGATGAATCTTTTATTTATTGATTCTCCAACTTCACAGATTATTCACTCTATAGAATTAGATTATGTCTTTAAACACTTTTTAAATCAAAATTTTTGTCAGACACAGAATTTTAACTTTCAAGATTGCTTCCCTGAAAGTTAATGGCAGTTTTCATTTGAGATACAAATTATAATAAATTTTAAGCTTCCTGGACTCTAGAAGACTATTTATTTTGGCATAATTGTTATTGAATGAGATTCATACCAAATTTGCCTTATTTAGAACACAAACTCTAGAAATTATTCTAAAATTTAGTGAATTATCATACTTTTGTTATAGAGAATTAACTACTATTATTTTAAACAGTGAACTCTTTTAATGTATTTGATAGAATACTAAAAACACATTCTTTTATATGAAATTAAGTTTCATCATCCTCCTTTTTTATCATTTTAACAAATTAAAATGGTTTAGGAGTCTTTGCATTGTTATTGTTTTCAAAATTTTAAATTAACGACATAATCTGTTATTGTGGTTTTTTTTACATTTCCTTCGAAGATGATTATTTAACAATCTATTTGAATTTGTTTTATGAATTTTCCTGAAATATTGAATTTTTAAGAAGTTGACTTGCAGACGGTCTTTCTTAAGGATTAAATGAAAATATCTATTGTAAGATAAGTAGTAAATTTTTTTAGATACTTTCCTTTTCATTTAAGAATAGTTCTAAAATAAATATGAGTTCAAAGATTACAATTTTAAGAATATTTCCTTTTAATTTCTTGAATTGAGAGGACTCTTTCATCTGTTTGCCACGGTTATCTTTTTGTTATGAGTTCGTAAACAATGCATCCTGCACTCCAAATATCTGATGCCTCAGAATAGTCAGCGTATGCAAAAGCTTCTGGAGCACTGTAGTTTGATAAAGTATATTAACTCTAGATCAAGATATCAGATATCAAGATTGTTCCTTCTTGATCCACTAAGACGTTTGAGGTCTTTAGATTTCTAATAAAATAAAAACTGATTAAGTACCTATGCAATTTGTTTTAACAATGCAAATAATCGAGGGCTTTTAATATTGATTGGAATATTGTCAAAACAAGTTCTTATGAAAATTTACAGTATTTAGAAATTATAGATTGTAAAGAGCCATTGGACTCAAAATTGGAATAGACATTTAGGTAATAATTTTTCTTATTATTGCTATTTTCAAAATTCCAACTGATAATGGGTTCTATGTTTTAATGTCTCAGATTGGCGAGCTATTGCAAATTGTATTTAATAATCTTGAAATTCTCTTTATTGTTTAGGGCTATCTTTTTAATTGCAAGTAATTAAATTCTATTTAGAAGATAACCCGAATACATCGATTTGTTTTCGACTAATTTATCACCTAAAACATATTCTTCTTTCTTTTTAGACTACTCTCTAAATAGGCTTTTACTTCAAACTATTATTCTTCATTCTCACTATCCTCATTAGAGTCTTGTTCCTCTTCCTCATCATCATCCTCATCATCATCGTCATCATCTTAAGAAATCATTCTTTTTTTCAGTGCTTGAGATCTCAGGGCAACACTTGAATTAATTAAAGTTTGCTATTCTGGTACATGTTCTTGATTGTTTTGAGAGCTTTGATGATTCTGATTGTTAAGTTAGTTTTGATTGCTTTGTCCACTTCCCATTAAGGTATTAATATTTTATAATTAAATTATCTATCTTCGCAAAGTAATATTCATAATTTTTATTCTTCAATTTTTATTCATTAAAACCAAAAGATTGTAAAATTACTTATCATCTTCAACTATCATGACGGTGCTCATTTGAAAAATTTTGTATTTTATTAAATGGGTCTAGTATACTGGCTCCAGTAGATTTTGATCCTGCATACTGGTATTGATAATGATTAAGAATGAGTAAAGAAGAGTTCATAATATTGATATATATTTTGATACTTAAATTGCTAATTCTTAAAGATACAAAAGGCAAATTTGATTGAAAACAATGTTAATTTTATTAAAATTGAGAAAGAATAGTTTTAGGGTTACTAGCTAAAGGAGGAGTGGATACTATTTAAGTATTCATAAAGAAACTGGATTTTGAGGAATTCTTAAATACTCTTAAGAGATTGAATTAAAGTTTTATTAAAGTGGATTCGTGTAGTAAAGAATAAATAAAATATAGTTACTCAAGATATTGTTTCTTGAAAGTGATGATAATTTATTTATTTAATTCATGATTAAGATGTAAATGATTTCAACCAAATCCGTAGCCTTCAAATCCAATAGTAAATGCAATGTCTAATTTCTATTTGAGTTCTGCAAAGCTTTTGTAAAGAGGCACTTCTATGGACTTGAAACAAGTGTGACTAAGAGGCAACTTTCGATCTGAGAGTCCTGAATCAAATCTGACACTAATCACATAAGAACTTTGATCAAATGGAATAGAAGATGAACCTAGACTATTAAAATATTAATTACCTGTGATGAATTTCAACATATTCTTCAATGTCTCAGGAGAAGCTTGACTAACATAGGTCTCAAAGTAGGACTTATGTTATGGTTTTCCTCCACTAAAAGTGAATTTCTGTAACAGAATTTCAGACTTGATTTCTAACAATCCTTAAGTCAAGAGAGACATCTCTGCAGGCATCAACCACTTTTAGTAAACCTATGTGATATTCACTATATGATACTGATATGTCTAAAACAGATGAAAATCCTTCAATAAAGGATTTATAGATTTTGTCAAACTGTTTATGGATGACATACTCCGCAGTCTTATTAAGATACAACTCTAAATTCTTCTTGGTAACATTTGTCTAAGATCCTTTGACAATCAAATCTGTTTCAATGTTGCCTGTGGAATATGTGAACACAAGACAAACAGACTCTAGATCTTCTTCACTCATTGTTTTCAATTTCTCATAATTATTATAGGTATCTTTATCCCAAATGAGACTGAGGTCCGTAAACACAATTCTTTCATCAAATACAACCTTCCAGAAGGGAGCTATGATATCAATTCCTATGAGATAAGAATTACATATTGCATTAGCAATTAACTTATTATTTAAGAGAAATAATTACTTTTCCAAATAGTAATGCATATCGTTCTTTATTCTTTTGTTTATTAAACTTTGGATGCAAAAAGTATTTGCTTTGATTAGAAGAGACAGGAGAGAAAAATTTATAATTTTCATCCTTGAGTGTATTGCCAATCATATCATAAAACTCTCTCTTTAAACCACCAGCATCTATACCTGGCTCATTATTAAATTTGATGCTAAATTGATAGTTGAGCTTCTTCTCAGCCAATTCTAAGAGATCTTCCAAGAAATTAACTCGACTGATATTCAAGTTATAACTTGTTGGTTTCCAAACTTAATTAACGGCTTGTTGGAAACGTTATCTTCTTTTATCCAATCCTAAACCAGAGAGTTTCCATATTTAACCTAAAACAATGAATAGATAAATTACTTTTCTTTAATTAATTGTTTATGAAATATTCAACTGCAGCTGTATCTTCTAAGACTAAAACTTCGATAGGATCAAATATAAGATAAGCATTCAAATTACCGACTTTTGTTAAATTAGTGAAAGTCAAATTTAACTTTGATTGATTGCCTGACACTTGCTTAACATTGCAATTAGATTCAGAGAATATTTGATTTTCTGTGTCGCCATAGCAATTTTCAAATTTATCTTTCAAATAAAATGAGATCAATATTTTCTCGCAGAATGGTATTACTTCCAAATTATCTTATATTTCTATTGCTGATTTTTCTAAATCAGGCACATTTGCCAGAACAACAAAACGACCCTCAATTTTCACATTGTCTATGAACAAATGGTAAATTCCTTTGAAAGTAGGAGTCCAAATCAAATTCAATCCTTCACCTACTCTTTCCTTCTCTGGCACATATTATATTTGATAGAATATCGAATGAACAAAGCTAACCTTCTCACAAATAAATTATTCAACTACATTGCAATTTGAATCTCTAAACTCAATATAATCCTTCCTCAATACTCCTGCTCTTGTAGCTGCAGCGATATCCTAATTACTAATCATGTTTATTGTATTTCCACTTTACAATTCTGAAGAATGAGTTGTAGACTCCACTGACTAATAAATTTCTTTCTTATTTCTCTTTGACTCTTTCGATAGAATCTTCATTAACTACTTATTGCCTTTGCCATAAGTTGTATGATCATCTTTTTCAAGTTTAACTTTTATGGTTTTTTAACCATGTGTTACTGAAACGTGTATAGTCTTTTCTAAATCTTAAACAGTATAAATCTAATACTCAAAATTTAATTGTCTTGAAAATTAATAATTTTATTAAGACAAAGTAATTGATGAAGTAGAATAAATATTAATTTTCAATCGAGAGTCACTTTTCATTGTTACAAGCATGAAATTATTACTCAAAAATAAAAATTTTGTAATTAAATGCTCCTAGTCTGAATTCTAAAATATCAGTTGACTAAGGCTGTATTTTTTTTTTTCCATTTATCCTAAACTAACAATTACCTTCAATTTTTATAATTATTGATCTAGGGAATGTTAAGAGTTAATTGGATGCAACAAAAAGTGAACCTCTTCACCTACTTAATATTGGCTTTATTTTTGATTATTATATTTGGCAAGTGTGGGATGTTGGAAACTTTTGAAGTAGAATAAGTTGATATAGCAACCATTTACTTTAGGTATTAATATCAATTCTTTAAATTCTAATGGGTCTGCTTTTTCTTAATTGTGAATTGTCACATTCATATCAATTATGGATAGCAAATCTACCTAATCGGTCTAATTCACACCAGAGAATATTGCTTTAGGAATTAAATCTAATTGTTTTTAAAGTATTTGTGGCCCAGAATAACTGAAATTCTATTGTACCTTATTTATTTCATTGATTTATTTTCTATTTAAATAATCCAATATGAAATTTGAAAACTTAAAATCAAAGTACTTGCAATAATTAATGATTATCACATCATCTACAAATTAATAGAACGAATATTTATTATTCGTTTTTATTTCATCAGTATGCTATATGTTTATTGCTTTGATTTAATTTTCTTTATCAATAATACATACAAGTTAATGAATATATTAAGCAATCAATACGATATCTACAAATACTTATATAAACTCCAAATCAGGTACTCTCTTAAAGTTGATTTGGATTTGATTATCATTAGTAATTTATGACTCAAAATGATGATCTTTAAAGTTTATGATCAGATTATAAAAGAAATTAGAAACTTCATCTATTTCTGGATAATGGATCTTGGTTTCACCCAAAAAAGAGTACACTTAGAGTGTTTGATCTTTAAGTTTAATTAAGGCTTCTCCTTCATGTTTGAATGGAGCAAAAATAATCTCAATTTTAGTAATCAAATTCTTAATGATGTTAATTTTAATTGATGAAATGGATTAAACTCCAAAGAACATTTACAATGAACTATTGATAGAATTTTGATTATTATTTGATATAAACTGTTCATAGCCCTGAATGAAACTGGTTATGCCTGAATTTTCAGCTATTATTCTGTCTGCCGCTCTATGTACTTAACTATCAAGCTCATCATCAAATATCAGAAATACTTCCCTAAATTCCTCATGTTATTATACAAAATTATTAAGTTCCCCTTATAATTTGTAACTCTTAGCATTTGATTCAAAATAGCATGCAGTATTTATGGGTAAGGTTGGTATGGGATCTACTACAAAATTATCCTCATTGATTCTGATAAAAACAGTGTTTGGTTGAATCGCAGATTGCTATCTTTTTAAAGAATTATTCGAGATAAAGTCAAAGTTGATTTAATCAACAAATGTAGGTGTCATTTATGTCAAAGTAATTTCAGTATAGAATGATGCTAAGCCAACTCCAAATAAATTATCTATTTTTTCCTATTGAACATTTTCATCTGCTTCATTATATATTTCAATCATAAACTTGATGAAGTTTTTCTCATTACATATGAATAAGTCTTTCTCAATATCAGTGATAAATAAATTAAGAATGCTACTATTAAATAAAGGATCGCTAGGCCATTACACTTTAAATACTACTATGGTTTGAATATCCTCTAAACTAATAGACAATTCCCTTTCGGCTGTCGACCTATACTCATTATATTCACTCAAATCCTGAAATACCAAACACCCTGGTTTTGTGTTGTTTAACAGTTCTCCAAAGATTAAATTTAATTTAGAATTATCAGAATGCAAAATTGCGCAAGTATCACCTAATTAGCAATTACTAATGTAAAAAGAAGTAGTTAATTAAAAACCAAATCTAAATCCTAGACCTGAGGTTATGTATTTATTTAAGTTGCAGACTTTCTCCAAGACAAATCCTTCGTTAGATTTAAAAATCTATCTAGTATTTGAATTCAATATTTCATTCAAATTCTTTTTATATTTGATAGAATCCAGAAGACAATGAAACCTTATGTAAAACATACTGTTGAATTTTTCATTCTTAAACGAATTTTGCAAATATTCATACAAATCCGTTGTGAAATAACAATAAAGTTGATTTAAAATATACCAAATGCTCTCAAATTCTTTTAATCTCGTTTCATTGTTTTTTATTGACATCACTCTCAAAATCTCACCTGAAAATATAGATTATAATTGTGAATGATCCACTGAAAATGTTACTACTTTATTTATAAGGTAACTTATTTAATTCGAATAACTAAGCAAGCATCCATCAACTTATAATTTATTAAAAATAAACTAAACCAGTTGATCAGCGCTGAAAATCTAATTAAAAAAGTCATAAATGTTAAGGGTATTATTATAATACAATTAAATTCTAGCGTCTGGAACAATGATATTATTTTTTATTTTAATTATTTATGAGGGGTTTGATTCTATTTTCACATTCAACCGTATAATTAATATCTAATTTTACAGCAAATAAGAGGTATTACCAAATAAAAATGTTGTATCAAGAGAACAATTTGTATCCATAAATTAGCAATTATGCTAAGTCAAATCAGAAATTTCATTAAACTCAACATATATACCCCTTATTACCTTTAACACTTATTAAGCTTATTCCAAATTGTGATATATTAATGTGTTTAAAATCATAGTTAAACTCTTCCATTCCAATAATGAATCTATCAAGGAATATATTTCAACTTGAGGGTATTTTTCACTCTTCTAATCAATTAATTTGCTTACAAAGACCTCCAAAAATGAAGTTGCATTAATTCTCCAAATCAATTTCTTATTGTCCTTCTTGTCAAATAAAGAATTTGCTCTTACTTTTTCAACAAAGTTAAAAAGCTTGTTAAAAATGCATTAAATGCTATAGGTTGTAAATAAACATTCTGAAAACTTGATTGAATTATTCACAATATAGAATGGAAAGTCAACAACCCATTCCTCTTATTGTTTTTAGCCTTCAATCAAATTACCTAAATATTCATTATATTTATAAAGATCCTAAACTACGATAGATATTGTTTTTCTACTGTCATATTATTCAATGAATTCCTTTTAACTTAATTTAATTAAATTCAACTTAACATTAGGTTATTGGAATTAATAGAATTCAGAAAATATTATTTCCTTTTGATTCTATTTTTAATGTCTCTGTCGCACTTAATAAGTGTTATCAGGCAAAAGTTCTAGCATGAATTGAAAATCATCTCTTAATTTCTACCTCTTATTAGTGGAAACTTGTTTAGTTAAACTTAAAGCTCCTAAAGATTAACCCATTTATGAAGATTGTTATCTCTATAATGCTGGTTATTATATAGAAATTTGTTATGACAATTCAATTTGTCTAATTTATTCATGCTGATGAGGAGCAAACAAGTCATCGATTTCATATTATCCACACTTCCCTTAAGGTAATGTAAATTCTAATATTAAATTTATGCAATTCTCATAATTGATACCATCAAAATCAATTGAATTCAAAGCACTTAAATCAAATTTACTTAAATTGACCTACTTATTATTAACAGTTTTAAACTATAATATTTTTTCCAACAATACAGGTTACTCATCTAAATTTTTTTTGTGCTCTTATTATTTTAAAAAAGTAAAAAATCGATCAATTTTATCTTAACTCAAAATGAATTGATTTTTTTCAAATGTCAAATAGATTTCATAACATTCAGAGGAAAACCTTATCTCTCCATCACCAAAGTAAATCTAAAATCTATTTTTAATTTATTTGGCATGCTTTTTTTCCTTTTAATAATAGCCTTACCATGAACATTGGACTTTGAAATTTTCAATAATTGCTTCAATTTACTTTATTTAAATAATGCTTTTGAGAACTACCATTTCCAAAGTATTATCTTCAGAATTCAGACTTTCAAAAAAGCGATCCTTCTCAATATTTAAAGTGACTTCTGAGAAATCTTTCAAAAATTACAAGGTATTGTTTGTAAATTATATCTATGTTAGACTTTATTAATTGAATTGTTATTTAAGTAAATCGTAGGTTTTCTAAAACAATGGAATTGAAATATATTGCTTTTTCAATAGGTTAGGATCGTAATTGTCTTATTTTATACTATGTAATAACATTAATATGTAGGCTACAGAAGGTTACATGTATTCTCTTGGTATGGGATATTCCTCTCCTTATTCGATCACATCATCTTCTATAGGCACCATCATTAAAGGAATTCTTAGGTACTCCTTGTACATTTTGGAATGATATCTCAAGAAATTGTCAAGTTCAGGAGTATCCTTCAATTTAGCATATAAAATCACAGCTATATCTAAGGTTACGTGTATTGCTTTTAAGACTTTTAAAAGTAATTGAGGGTTAATTTGGCAAAGTTCAATAACCAAGTTACTATTAAGTATTTAATATTGAAGACAATTTTTAAAGATGTTTTGAAGTAAACTTTGGTCTAAATTTTGGATTAAATTCTTGCTTTTATATTCAGCAATTAATTATATAAACAAATGCTTGGGATATTTATATTTTTCCAAACATTCCCATTTATTTTCACTTAAAGCCATAGTTAACATTTTATTCTTTAGTTCAATTTCAGCTTTCAATTTAAATACTGAATTTATGCAAGCCTATTCAAATAAAATTAATTCATTTATTTATTTATCTTTAATGTAAAAACTATTTGATTTTTTAGAGATAATTGATTTCTTTGTTGAAGTAACATTCTTTTTACCCTTTTTATTCTTCTTCTTCTTTTTTTTTGGTTTTTTCTTTTTTTCTCCCTCTCCCTCTTCTTCTTCTTATTCTTTTTTATTTTCCTATTATTCGCCTTTCTTCTTTTTTCTTTCAAATTCAGGCCAATGTAGTTCTTATTATGCCAATGATAACAATTCAAAATACTTTTTATAAAATTATTCTTCTTTTGAGTTTTCCTCTAATTTATCAGGATGAATCTGACATTTCAGAATATATGGTGAGCTTATCAGCTACAAATCATCCTGTGTTATGATTCCATCCAAATAGTTCAGAACATAATAGCATTTATTCATTAAAGCAATTTAATAGACTTTGTATTCAGTTAAATTGGAGGTTAGTTGCAATTAGCTTTTAATTATATCATATGTTTTTTGTTTACCTATCAAATTTGTTAAAAATGCAAGAAAACATTCCTTAAAAACTTTCTCCATTTTTTTGTAAAATACATAATAGAGTATAGGAATATTATTGAGTGATAATAGTTTTTCGTATGCTTATACTCTTCCCTTAACAAATGAGTTGAAATATTTAATGATGTTATTCTCGCATTATTAGATTATTAAAATTTAAAATACATTATTTGTTAATCCACATTTTACAGGTTCTGCATGTAGATTCAATGCATAAGTTATTGAGGCATAATTATTGCTCATAATTGCAGCTACTAAATGATTTTGTGTAAACTAAGATTATTTTGTGATGTGGTCATGTCTTCCTTTTCTAAGAAATACTTGATTCTTAGTTAATTCATTTGATGTGTATTACAAATTATAAAATGTCGTCTTTATTTTTTCAGATTCATTATAATGATTAAAAATATCCAAAGGATATGAATTACTTTTTAATATCTCTACTTACTTAGTTACATAATACAATGTAGTGCTATTGAATCTAATGTTCTCTAATTCACTTAAATTCTTTTACAGAAACTTTACGCACTTCATATTTTCATGCTATTAACTTAAAATCAGATTAGCAGTATCATTTTGTGAGTCACTTTTCAGACTCAATAAAATTTCCAAGAAAAATTACTTCTAAAATGACGTAAATCGTTAAGGAAATTCAAATTCTATTTCTGCTTATTTCAAATTGGCATTAGCATTGTATAAATCAATATAACCCTGTGCTCTAGATGATAAAAAACTGTTAGGAAATTTGTTCTGTTTAAATACTTGCAATAATGTTGTTATAATGGCTTGATATTTCTCTATTTTTTTATTCTTTGGGTATATTAAATTGGAGTAATACTCATAATTTGCTATTATTTCTTTAGATTTAACTTTTTTTGGATTAAATTGTTTTTATACTATTTCAATGCATTTAAGAAAATCTACTTTCTACCCTCCTGAGTTCATAAATAAAGGTGATCGATCTTGCGTTTAATTTCCGAAACTTTAATTTTGTTAATAATTTAATTTTTATTGTATATTATTTACTTTTTTAATAAACTTAATTTTGAGAAGAGACTTATTATTGGTTTTGCAAAATTCTTCAACAATCTTTTAAGCCTCCTATTTTAACTCCAGTTTAGTCTTTTTATTTTTTAATTATTTGAATTTTAATTCGTTAGGTTTAAGATCAAAAAATAGATATTTATTAGTATTTTTTTAAACGGATTAATTACCGTTTTCATCCATCTCTTCTGCTTCATCTCCATTTGTATCCTAATTATCAAATTTGATAGATAATTACTCCTCCAAAAAGGATTTCATCATTTAAAAGTATGCCGTGCTATAGGTTTCAAAACTGAAATCACCTTAACTAAGTATAAATTATAATTTTTCATATAGCCCATTTTCAAGGAATTATTATATATGTTTAGTTTTTTATTCAATAGTCAAAGGCATCTATTTATAAAATTCTTAATATTGAGATAAAGTAAAAACTATTTAATAGGGTTTAGACAAGGCTCTATAATAATTCTCTAAATTTTCTGGACATTTTAAAGGTGTCTTGTATATTTAATTATCAAGAACAATGGAATTATTTTCACAATAGTGCAATAGTTAATTTAATGCTTTGCTTGATTAATTCTTTCTCAAAACCATTCCATAAAGAATATAAATTTCCGTTTTTTCTAGCTTCATTTAATTTAAATATTTAAGGGCTAATTGTTCTTAGTGTTAAAATATGGAGATAAAAAACTTTTACTTGTATTTATTCTCTATATTTTCTTATCTCAAAGAAAATTCTAGGACTAAATTGATTAAATCAAGACTATTTGGCAGGTCCTTACTACTCATTATTCTATAGGTTATCTCTTGCAAAGCTAGCTAGTCATTTAAGCCATTTAATAAGACATAAACATGTTATTCTAAACTATAATTCCATTTTCCTATTTTAGAAAACAATTATATTTTTGTATATTAATCCAATTATAAGTAGTTTTGAGGAGAAATCAAAAGTAAAATTTTAATGTGATAATATCTTTCATCATCTCTATAAAATCCATCTTCCATTTAAGGAAATTACAATTCTAATAATTTTGATAGCAAGTAGTTATATTTTTACACAAACTAATCATCTTATGAGTAGGTTTACTTTTGTCCATTCTTTTCAAATTTTAAATATTAAATGGTTAATAATGATATGAGTTAGTATTCGGAAAATTTTAAACAAATGACTAAAGATCGGATATTATCAAAAGCTTCTTCTTCAGCCATTGTCAATAGATTTGATAATAAATTAAGAAGATTCTTATGGGAAAGTATTAAAAGATAGCCTTGAAATTCCTAATTAAGTTTATTTGATTGAGCTAAAGCATCAGCAAAATTGATTTTTTTAACAATTTAATTTCTAATAACTCTTTGTTTATGAGTTAATGTATCTTCTTTTATAGGAATGGTTGAATTTACAATTTTTGCAACTATTCCAATAATTTACCAATCGAATAATTATTCGTACTGATCTACTGTTAAATTATGAACGGTGATAGTCTGATAATAATATTCATTAGATAATAATTATGGTTTAAAGTTGATTTTATCTTTCAAAGTCCAAAACATATTGAGATTTGGCTTACGCTAAGATTTTATAATTTCTATAAAGGTTTTGTAGGATTCTGATTACTAATGAAATATCAAAATATTTTGGGGTGATATACTGGCTTTAAAAATATGTTCTTGATCATCTTTCTTATCACCACTTTCCTTAATCTGCTCTATTATTATTCTTTTTGATTATTAACTTGAGATATCAAGTTGAAGCAATGTTTAAAAATTAATTGTATGGATCTCCTCATCTTCTTATGGTTATGATTTATCATTTAATTTAATCTATAAAAAAACAGGTTATTTATTTAAATTAATTCTAGCTTTCAATTAAATCGAATCTTGTATTTTCTTAAGCAAATGGTCTTTAGAATTTAATGATTTTAATTCAAAGGCTGTTATCAGCAATTCGTATTTTATATTTTAATTTATATCAAATAATAGTTATGCAGTTAAACATCCTTCTAATAATTTTTAATCCTTTAATTAAATTAAGTAGGAATATATTGATTAATATTCAATTTTTCTAAAATCAGTATTTCCAAATATTGAAGCTATTAGCAACTTAGGTTATTGATTTATTTATTCAATCACTACTGAATCAATCATGTCAAAAACTGTCTGATATGGATACTGCTTTTATTCTCTTTTTAAACTAATTAATTCTGCTAAAAGTTATGCTTACAGAGAAAATCCATTTGGGGTCTCAACATCCAGATTTATCCCAGAATCCATTAACTAAATCACTTAAGTAATACCCTATTTCACTTATTCTGAATGTCCATTTCTTAATAACAAACTCATCAATGTCTACTATGTAGTTCCTATATCATAAGGAAAGTAACTTGAGTAAATATTATAATTAGTAATCCAATCAAATTTTACTTTAAAATCCTTTTTAATTACTTATTTCACTAATTGAATGTAATGTAAGTAAACATTATCATATAAAGTAAATGGTTTTTTTTATTGATATTATTTTGCTAAAGTTTTACCATATTTTTAAAAACGATAAAATCTCTCGTACAAGCTTGGATACACATTGTTTTCATTTTGTTTAAGATCTTTTCTTTTCTAATTCTTTATTTGATGTGAATGAATATTGGCTTGAATATGCAATTTGTTTAAATCAAATTCCTTTGTAATATATTGACTCAAAAATTGACAAACTGAATTTAATACCACCTTATGTGAATCCAAATAAGAAATCAATGGAATAAAATCATTGTATGGCTGAAGTAGTATTTATTTTAACATCTATTCTTCTGATCCTAAAGAAGATAATTGGGACAAGATGTTCATAATGATAGATTCATTCTCTTCTGAGATGTCCTTATTCGTAGAAAGGCAATGTGCAATATTCTTACCTTAACTTGTTGAATACTTAATAGCCTATTTGAGTTGTGAAGGATACTCTGTTATATATTCGTATATTATGTTAATTGGTGCCCTTTCAAAAAAGATCATAAAAGGAGTCATTCCAGCTATATCTGGCTATTGGTAGTAGTTATTTGAGTATTATTGAAAAAGTGCCCATTCTTTATTTAAGGCGATCTAGTGAAATATATTCATTTTTAGATATTTCAATTCTATTTTACAAGACTTCACTTCTTTACTTTCTCCTTTTGGAATAGATTTTGGAATGGAGGAATTAGTGAAATTGCGATCGATCTTTGCATCACAATATATTTATTCAAGACTTGAATCTATTTAGAAACTTTTAAGTATTTTAACTATTGTTCCTAATAATTTGAGATGATAACGGTTTTTAAAGTTAAATTCAGAGTCAAAATTTTAAAACCCATTAAAAATCATAACTGATTCAATTTTGTGAACTAATTCACGAACTTGATTGGATTCTCTGATTGCTTTAAGAAAATTAATCTATTATTAAACTTAGTTGTCACTTTTTCTTAAGGGTTTAAGTTTATTTATAACTCGAATGGCAATATAATAGAGATCGTCATTTATAGGAAATTTTTGCTCTAATAATAAATGGGTTATTATATCAAAATTATCTATATTAATTAGGATAAGTTCAAGCAAAGAGATGCCTGTACAACATTTTAAAAATAAGATTTAATTCAATGTTTTATCATACCTTTATGCTATATTCTAAAAATTAATAATATGTTACATTCAACTCTTCCAAGGTGAGTGACTTTTAAAAGGTTTACGATTCAATTTCACTTATGATTTATGTGTCAGTTTCAGAATTATAATGAAGTGATCCTACATACTCCCTTCCATGTTGAATTAATTTGTGCAATTTTTCATTCCTATGTTATTTTGGTTTTTAAGGCTCTACAGGTTATTATTGGATTTCAAATTGGATATCTTCACGATAATCTTTTTTCATAGGTTTAGGGTATTTGGAAGGAGGAGGAACGTCTTTTTTCCTTTACACATATCTTTTCCTTTCATCTTCATTTGTATCCTCTTCATTAACTTGATTATTTTGGATATCCTGTTATTATGTCTAAGGATGACTAATTTTTATAGGTTTGTTATTCAATTTTTCAGGTTCTTTAATTTGATTAGCTGCACTCACGCAACAACCCATTTTTATTTAATAATAATTTTTTTTATATTATTTAAATGCTTATGACGAGCAATTCTGATTAATTGATCATTCCATTTTTAATAAATTAATAGACGTAAATCAATCATTAAACATACAGAATTTGAGTCTTCAGCGTTAAAATGCATTTAAAGTTGAAGTCAAAATAGCCGTTCAAAAAATTGAAGCGATGGCACTTCGATAGGTGATATAGACGATTGAATGTCAAAGTCTAAGAATTGTAATTCACCATTGATTTTAATAAATTACTTATCCGAATTAAGTATAATAAACGAATTGGTTACTTCTAGTATTAAAAAATAATTATATATGATTTCCCATGATGATACTATTAAACAATAATCTCAACCAATAGAAACCTTTCGTAGATTAATGCTGCCTCATAAGAGTGAGGTAGCTTTGGGCTATTAGAGTTGGACAAAACATCCCAATACTACCAAAAATTTCTAAAGAAAACTCTATACAACCAATAAACCTGGGGTAGATAGGAATCAAGAGAATGCAAATGCTTCGTCCAGTTTTGAAAAAAACATAGCTGATGAACTTCTCAAGCACGAAGTATGCGATTGGTAATTCTTCATGCAGAAGGATTAAGAGATAATCCAACAAATGAATACTTCGGATGAATTCCCCCAAGAACCAACGCACAAAGCAAAAACCTAAGAATCAACAAATAGAAGTTCCTAATTGCAAAAAGGAAATGAAAGATACCTCTATTTTCAAAGAATGAAACAAGGAAAGTAAATTGTCATATACAATAGTAGCAAACTTCTACCAAATTTGAGCACCCAAGACTTCCTAAGTTCTGTACGACACTCAACTAAACTCAATGAGTTTGCTAAAGTTTACAAACAATAACCTCAGAATCTCTATTTGAGTTTAAATCTATCATAGCCTCAGAGAGTCCCCAAGACCTTCGGTTTGATCCAAAATACGCAACAATTAGTTTCTGTGAACACCAATCGATGTCTAAGATCTCGTGAGGATTGTAGAGCATTTTCTCACGCAATGCAAACTCAACAAAGTAAGAGTATAACCAGTTTACAAATGAATCATAATATATTTGATCCCATGCAACTCAGAGATATGCTTTTAAGTTTCCCAACAACGTTGAAAGATTTAGAATTGATTGACTGTAAATTACACTATTAACATATGGATGTATTAATGAGTTATATTAATAAAAATTAAATTAGCAAAATCAATTTGGAAAAGAATAACATAAGGGATTAAGGATGTAAAATAATAGTGAAATATTTGATGAATAACAATACTCTCCAACATCTCAATTTGAATAATAATCAAATCACAGAATCATCCTGTTTGGGTCTTTCCAATTTATTGAAACAAACCTAAAGACTCCTAGAATTATATCTTGGATACAATCACCTAAATTCGAGTGCTGGTAACACTATTTGGAAAGCCATGTATAAGAATACGAGCATCAAAATATTAGATTTATCTCATAACAATATTGCCTCACTTGATTGTGCAGCCTCGATAGCAAAAGCAATAGCCAGACCCTATAATGAATTGCTTCATGTGGATCTTTCATACAATAAGTTTACCTATTTGTAGGCCCAACTTATAGCTGACGCACTAATTAAAAATGAAACTATTTATGGGTTCCACTTTGAAGGCAACCAGACAGAATTAGTAGTCAATTAGAACGGGTTCTTGATGAACAATATCTAATAAAAAAAAATGTAAAATGACAAATTGACCTTGCTTTATAAGCAACCACAATTTTTCAAATTACTGGATCAACCTAAAAAGGATGTCTTCAATGCTGTCAAACAATATGAAGAGTTTGTTATGCCCTATAGTAGATAAAGAAAAATAAGATCAACAAAACTAAATGTTTAAAAAGTTAATTAAATGGGCAAGTTGGACACTTGTTGGATTTGCGAAGGTTGGTAAGAAATTAAATTTGAATGGACTGCCTACAAATCTGGAAGTCTGTATAATGAACCTATATTTATTCATTTGGATTTTGAAGATTACAAACCTCTTTTGATGACTCATTTGAATCATGAATTCTTTTTGGTTAAAATGTGTCCACCCAATTAAAATATTCATTATTTTTTCACTAACCCAATTTTAGGAGTATAATAGCCAGCACTTGATCAACCTATTATTTAGTTAGAAACTCCCTTGTCTTCCATTCCATTTCTATATAATGACGAAATTTTAGTGGATGGAAATACAATTGACTGTCTGAATGTGCTGAAAACCTTTAATAAATAGCAGTTATTTGATAAGTACATGCCATTGGTATAATGCAAACCAAGAGAACCCTTGGCTAAATTTGATTTCTCCCCTTATCTAAATATCAAGAAACATTGTTGGTCGGTGGAGAATTCAATATTTCGAAATTTCTAACCAGACACTCCTCAATTAATTGATTAATGTTATGAGTTTGACTTTTAGAATTCGAAAGTTACGAGACTTGTTAAGGAGAATGAGGTAGCAGAAGTGAAGGAATGTCTAAGAGAGTTGTATAGAAATTTGTTTCATGTTTATAAATATCACGCATCTGGATCATTGAATACTCCAATACCTTGCATTATGATATAGGATTTCATTGACTTTTTGGTCTAGACTTCATTGATGGACGGCATGAAAACCAACGACATTGACATTAGTTTTACTTCTACTAGTGCAGCAAAGGATGTGGCCTTTCCTTAAGCATTTGAAAAAGGTATTGTCAGATGTTAATTGTTGGAAATCATGATCAGATTATGTAATGATAAATATATCAGATCTGGAGTTTATACTTCGATGGTGGATTCCATTAATGCCATCAAACAACAATGTCAGGAATATTTTGCTAGATTCGATTAATCATAGCAATGGAGAAAAACAAGACTTTGGAATCAAAAGTGTGACATCTTATTAAATGATAGACTTGCAATGCTCAAATCCTTATACAAATATTGTTGTAAATTAAGTAAGAAACAACAACAAACTAAATTTGATTATGTATCCTTTTCAGATTTTAAAGACTTCATATCTGAATGCAAATTGATTTGTGATGATTTGAGTGAAAGGGAATCCTATATGGTATATCTCCAATCCATGGTTACATAGAAGGATGAACTATTTTCCTCAAAGCACTATTAGATGAATTTTCAAGAATTTATTGAAGCTTGCAGTCGACTGGCAGAAAAGCTATCCATTATAAGAGGAGATAAACCAATGGATTTAGATGATAGAAGAGCTAAGGATTTACACACAAAATTGGATGGGTTCTTGCTGTATGTCTATTTAAATATTGGAAATCAAATGAAAACTGTACTTTCTCCAAATGATCCGGATATCAAAGGATTGGACAAATGCATGATCAATGATTTCAAGTCACTGAAGTAGAAATTGGAGGATTCCTTCACTGATGGAGATGAACCACCTTATGATCCAAAGGTCGAATTGCCTCACCTTTCAAGTTAGATTACAAATTTATTGGGTAATACAATTGGAGGCAAAAAATAAACTCTTAGACAATAGATAAAACAATTGAAAAAAGAGGAGCAAAAGTTCGCACTTATTAACTTTGTGTAATACTTTAAGAGCATACAACAAATAAATAAAGACTAAGATGACTGATCTTACTTAAGCATATTTATGAAAGTTATGTATAAAATAAAAATTAATCTTATAAATACTCAATATTATTTCCAATTGAATTGCTCAACCCTTCTACTCGAATTTATCATATGCATATTTGAACTTGATCTCCTTATTTTTCACTTTGATAGCTTCGTCTTCAGCCTTGTTTAAGGTGTGCAAATTTTCAAATGGAAGAGAATAGATTCCTGATGATATGTATATTGATTGCATTTCATTGAGAAAATCTTTTCCTTTTGTCAACTTTTTCTAATAAACTAAAATATAAATGAATAATCAATACCTGAATTATAAATTTTAGTAGCAACTGGAAAATAGTGTTAAAGTGCATAAACATTTTTAGCCATACTTGTTAATGCATAATACTTATCATGTATATCAAGTTCTTTGAATTCGATGGTAGAAAATATCTGATTGTTCGACCACAAGGATAATACCTTGGATTGTCCATCCAAATAATTTGCCCATTCTTATTCTAATTTTTCGAGTAATTCCTTATCAAATTACTCGATGTATTAAATGAAATATTTTCTGCATTTTTCAGCATTCTAATTTTTGAGTTTAAGTCTTTTTATTCCTTCTAAGATGGACATGCTGTTTTATATTATAGTTCTTTCCCTTTGATTTAGGTAGCAACAAAATATTGACCATGCTCTTGCCAATGTATCCTCATCAGTTTTATATGCCTAAGTCAAGTATCTCAGGATAACTGATAATTTTCTGAGTAAGAGCAGATGTTTACTGTGATTTTCCAAGTAGTTCGAGATAATAAAAAAGGAATGATCTACACATTCGCATCCTGTCCATCTGATTCTGAAGGGAAACTTCTTGATTCCAATTCCAATATCATCTCCAAAAGTCCATGCGGGTTTCTTTAATCTTCTTTTTTCTTTTTATTTATTCTACATTTCCTATTCTATTTCTGTTCTCATTTAACCTTAAAAGCATTGTTCTATGAGAATGTTGAGTTTTGTTTTTAAACAGTATTTTTCTTCATTCAACAATTTTCGCACTCCGTATTTTTTATACAGTTTTATTCCTTACTCATCTGCATTTTCTGCTACTTATTTATATTTATTCCTGAGCATCTCTAGTTCCTCATTGTACTTTATGATTTTAATGTTGATTATTTTTATGAAACTTATATTGAATTTTAATAAACTTATATTATGTCTAGAAGCTTGATTCTTCTCCTTAACATTTGCTGTCATGGCAACAACCTTTTCCAGAACTACTTTTAACTATTCAAGAATGCTTGGGATTATTTTGGCAATCCCTTCGAGTTCTTTGAGATAATCATTCAAAACCTCCCCAAACCATTGCAATTTTAAATCGCCATTCAAACCCAAACTATAGTTCAAATATTTCCCTTTGCAAATAGTGATATGCGATACCTTCATTTTCAAATTTGTAAAACACCCCATTCTAGCCACCCTATCCGAGGTTACATATTGAAACATATCGAGTCCAAAAGCCAAACGCATCTATCAAGGTCTGATTAGCAGTTAAGGATACCTACAATAGTGGGGTAGTAACTTACTTTTGTGATGCGTAATAAAATGAGTCTGTTCCCTTCAACTTTCTTATATAGTTGTTAGACTTCACTTAATAAATTGTTTGCAACCAGGAACAATTGAGTCAACTCTATCGATTAAGTTCCTAGCTTAAGTAATTGAAAATCATTAAATGCCAATGCAACAGTGTCACCTGAAGTAGTACATCCCATATTTTAAATTTATTAATGCTCTCTAAATTATTTAATATACTAATAATCACCATTTAATCACTTATACACTCCAATATTGATGTCAGATCAAATTAGGGTGACCTGACGAATAAACTGTAGATTAATTGATCAAAATGATTAAATCAATTTTATATCAATTAAAATTTGTACTCCCAATAGAAAAACCATACTCAAGAATTATTTCTACTACTAATTTCAAGTAAAATTATTTAGAAATCAATACAAAAATTGCATTTTGCAACCTAACCTTTCGAGCAGCATAAATTTATACCTTTTAACTCCATTAAATTTTTATTCTAAGAAAATGAAACCGTCGTAACATATAAATATATAAAAAGTATTTTAAAATTATTTTGATTACTTACTCAATTTAATCCAAAAAACCTCGAAATCTTTCCAAATTCGCCTTAAGTGAACCACCTTAAACTTAGCCAATTCAATTATCCTGTTTTCCGTATTCATAATTTAAAATATTCTCATCCACTCATACAGACATTTATATTGATACAGTAAGCGTTAAGCATGTTGCAACTGTGAATTCTAATTTAAATTGAATCGGAAAGCAATTTATAATTTGAATAATGTCCTTTTTTAGAATTCTATGAATTTTCACTTTAAATGAATTATAAACAAAACAATACCGAGTTTAACATAACATAATCAAATTTAAAATCTGTATAATTTACAATAACATCAAATTATGGGGACCGTTTAAATATTATATTTGAGATATTAAATTGATTGATGTTCAAAATTATTTGTATTCAAAATTATTGATAATTATAAACTAAATATTTAATATACTTTAAAAACTATAAAACATGAAGAAATCATATTTATTACTTATTTCTTTAAGCAGATATTTACTTTTAAGTCTCAGCAAAATTTTTAATTTTGTTGACTTTCTACACTGCCTTTTCCTTTTTAATTTTCTTTTTTTAAATCTCCTAATATTCTTTATTATATTTGTTCTATTGCTCAACTTGCTTTGTTGAGTATCTAAATCCTGCTTTAGGTTTCTTGATATCAAAGTCTACTTACACTTGTCTTCCATGAACCTTTTTTCCATTCATCTAAAGGGCCTTGATGACTGATTAATGATCCTCAAAATCTATGTATGCAAAGCCTTTAAAATTATTGGTGACCGTGTTGTAAACCATTCTAACATTTGCCACTTTACCACATGGTCTGAAGGAGTCTCCAATCTGATCAGCATTTAAATCGTAAGACAGATTTTTCACAAATATAGTATGGCATTCAGGAGGAGGAACACTTGGTTTTTGAGTTTGGGTTCCTTTGGCCTCCTTGACATCAATGTACCTGCCTCCCAATTAGGAACCATTGAGTGCTAATGCCTTTTGAATAGCATCCGAGTCATTAAAGGTGATATGACCGTAACCCAGAAGTCTGTTTGAATCTTAATATCTTGGCAATTTAATGGAACTAGATTAGATGATATGACATACAGGATTTCCCCACAATCTTCAAAAAGACTTTAAACATCGTTTTCTGAAGCAGTGTATGGCAAGCCACTAATAAAGACTTAATACATTAATATTAATATAAAATTTATGTTATTTAATATAGTTGCAAGTGATTCAGAAAAATTGTATGAAAAAGAGAACCCAACCTATGATGAGATCATTCGTTTTATAAAGGATCAAATGAATATCGTTAGCCCTTTATTAACATATATAGATGACGATGGGAAATCTTATTATGTGAATTGTACAAATGACATAAATGAGATAAGAAAGAAACTGTCTATAATAAAGAAAGTGAATTTGTACATAGCATTGCAATCATGGACTTGTGCATTTTGTACATATGAAGAAAACACAGAAGAGAAATGTGAAGTGTGTGGATAAAAGAAAAAATGAAATATCTCAATAATATACTTCAATCAAACTCATAATAAATTCATCTTGGTCAAGGAAGCCATAAATTTCGTTATGAGTTATTTTTAAATTCTTTTGTAATTCTTCCAAAAAAAATATAGATTAGCCATATTTCAAAATCATTCTTACATCATTTTAACTCACTACTATTATTTACAATTTACTTTCCAACTGGTATTATAATATTATGATCAATTATTTTGAACCAATAAAATAATTAAAATCATAATTTCCATTAATCCTTATTAGTAAAAAACATAAGGTTTGTGTATTTGTAATATATAACAAACTTTAATCTTTATAATTTAGTACAACAATATCTAGTAAAATAGAAGTTAAGAAGTATTTAAAAAATAATATCAGCTTGTTAAATCAAACTAAAATATTGATTTTCTTAAACTATTTCAAATTTATTTTAATATTACATTACGCAGATTTTAGAAAAAGATTGTTCCTAATTCTTTAATGTATCATTATTTAATATATAATGAATCAAGAGTTTGAAAATATGAACAGAAAGTGAATAAACTTATTCTGGAGAATGATACTAATTAATTAAATATAATATAAAAATATGAGTATTATGAATTGGGGCAATCCATATGATTGGACAGCTGTAGAATGGTAAAGTGCCACATGGGGAGAAAGATTCATGTATATCGACCCTTACTTTTGGAGGTAGATGCAAATGATTAAATATCTAGTTATTTTGGAGTGGCTTTGGCATTAGCCACATCAATTATAGGGGCATCATGGGGTATATTTGTGACAGGTGTATCTTTGTTGGGTTCGACTGTGAAAGCACCACGAATCAGATCAAAGAATTTGATTTCAGTCATTTTTTGTGAGGCTGTGGCTATCTATGGTGTGATTATGGCAATTATCATGATTGGTAAAGTGCAAACCATTGAGTCATACCCTGAGAATTAGATGTCATAATGCTACACAACAGCTTTGTTCGGTGGTTATTCCCTCTTTTGGACTGGTGTATCAGTTGGATTGTCGAATCTGATCTGTGGGTAAATCGAATATGTTATCAATTTTAGTATTGCAGTGGGTGTGACAGGTTCTGGGTGTGCCATTGCTGATGCTTAGACTCCAGAAACCTTTGTGAAAATTTTGGTGGTTGAAATCTTCGGTTCAGCACTTGGTTTGTTTGGTGTGATTGTAGGTATTATCCAATGTTCAGGAGCCTCCTTCCTCAAGGATTGTCTTTGAACTTACACATTAAAACATATATATGATATTTATAATTGCTTAAATTTCTGACAGCATCGACATTAACCTGAGCATCATTAAGGCCAATTAGTATTCATAATAGATAATACTAATTAAATTGTGTTGTAAAATTAATTCGCATACATAATATAATGATCTATTATCATTCTCTTAAAAAACTTTCACAAACCAATTCTACAATTGTAATATACAAAATTTATGATGGCCAGCATCGATATTAAAACTGTTAACATCGAATAACAGGGTTTCTGTCTAAGTTGCAAAAAACTGACTGCAAATGGAACTGTTCTTTAAATTTAGAATTTTGACGATTCACTCTACACTCAACTTCAAGACAACAGTTGGCGTAAGTCAGGCCAATTATTTTATCATTCCAATCCCAAAAGTTGTTGCCAACAAATCGTCTGCAAAATACCTGCTCTCCAATACAATTCACCAAAAAGATGTTTAAAAGCTATGAGGTATATATATTTTAAATACTCATAGAAAGTTAACTTAGGAATATTTCGACGTTGAACCAATTAAACAATCTATATATAATAATTTATTACAATACGTTGATTTGTCTCGTCCTTGTTAAGAAACCTTGTAAACAAGATAGGCATTCTAAGACTTTTTACTAGTATTATCATAACGCTTAGATTTTACTTCATTGAATAAATTCGGATTTAAAGAACATCCACATGATCAACTCAAGAAACATGTTTGTTCATTGAATAATGAGTTACATATGGATGTGAAAGTGGATTAAAAAAATTAGTTACATTTCAAATGGCCCAGTGACTTTGTAGCTTTGTTAAGAAAGTAAAAAAAAAGTAGTTTAATTGTGATTGCTAAACCAGCAAATTACGATTAAGAAGCTCATCAATTGTTCAATGATACATATTTTCAAGTTTCAAAGCAAAGTTATGAAAAGATGTTTTGTGATTCCCAATCTCAGATGATCAAATACTATGCTGATTCTTAGTTGGCAGGTGTCAGTTTTGTTGAATTAAGATCAAATTCATTCCATAGATTGAGTTTTCATTACACTCAACAGATCAAAGAAATAAATAGAATTGCTATGGATTATGAAATAAAGTGGGCATAATAACTAAGCCTATAGAATTATTATTATGTCAAAAAAAGTAGTAGGAGTGTAGAACACCAAGTTATCAGTGAAACCATTGATAACAATTTTCCAATTGTCAGGGGATAAAAAATGATACAGATCAAGTAGCTAAGGTCTGTGTATTAGAAGTATCTTATTGAACTACTTACTAAAATGAACTCGGTTATGGGTCCATAATTATTTAAACTTTTTATATATAAATATGATTGATTATATATATAGATAAACATATCAAGATAATTTAGACTTGAACTTTTCCATTTTCGGGATTTTTAATTTTGATTTTATCTCACTTTTTTCTTGAGCTGTGAATCTTTTGCTTGGACTAGATATAACTTACTTAATCAAATTGAATACTTCCTTACTGTGATTAGGAAATTTCACTTGAGAACGATTGGTCATCTCTGTAAAATTGGTAGTTCGAGTTATCTTTGAGATTTGTAGATTGCTCTTCGGTTCTGTTCTCATACGCATATTGATCAAAGTCTTAGCAAAATCGTCATGCTCATTTTGTTTATCATCAGATCTTAGGTAATCTAAAATCTCCTTCTTTTGACTTTGTAATTATTATGTTTAAAAGTATCTGTTCCTCTGCTTTGCTGAATCCTCAATTTGTTTTTCCTATTGTTGGATATCCAATTATTGTTTCTGATACTTGATTTTTTCATTATAAAATCTAAGAGAATGAGTGCTTTTGTTGATTAGATCAGGGAGAGAGCTTGTGATGTTGTTTTGATTACTGGTTAGAGTATGACTCTAGGCTTTAGATGGATAGTATTTATTCTTCATGTAAATCAAGGAGCATTCTCTTAAAATGTTGTCAATATTATAGGACATCTATTTTTCTTTGGTGAGTTTGTGTTGAATAGACTTTAGTAATTCGAGAGCAAAAAGGATATGGGCTTTTAATTTGTAAGTTTGAGCATTGAGATTCCAAAAATGAGAAGTGGGATTGTTAATTTCAAATAAACATAGCACTTCAAATTATTTATTTATTATTTTGATAATGTCATTACTGCTAGCTGAAATTATAAGTTATGTTTTGGTAGAAAAGAGTACTTCAAAAGGATCAATTTGCATGTATGACAATTGGATTACACTTTCTGAGTGAATTGAAACACTCAAAGTAGGTGATTAATTTGGATTTTCAAAATGCTGATCATAGAATTAGCCTGCCATATTTTTGACTGCACTCAATCTAGTCATTCCTGTTCTGAACTTTTACTTAATTTTCTAATTGGGTGATCGTTGAAGTTATATTAAGTGTTAGCTCATATTAATATCTTTAACTAAATAAGAGTTGAGAATTCTGTAGTTATCAATAAAGTGTTCTTAGATACTATTATGATAAATAACTCGGTATGGATTGTAGTTTGGTTTGGTGTTGATGGGATCCTGATGTTGCAGTTTCAATTCAGAAATGTCATATTTCAACATATACCCATTGTTCAATCCAACAATCAAGTCAATGTCATCTATCAACATTTAAGTGGCATAGTTTCTTTCGTTGATACTGGTCAACATCAGGAGACCACTTTCTACATTTAAAATAGACTCAATCGCACATACATAATGATCATTTTTGGATGTTATCGATATAAAGTACAATGAAGCTTGATTGGTGCCAACAATGAAGTATTATCTATTATTGGATATCACAATACTAGTGGCAATGGCCTATTCTTCCAATTGAATTTGAATAACCACTGAGTAATATTCAAGATTCCATATAGTGATAAAGTCATCGTTACTTGTAATCAACAACCCATGAGATAGATTGAATGTGCATATATTCACTTAAGAATGATGCATCAATTACCTGAGAGCTCTCTTATCTTTGGCAATCACATTGTCTTTACGTACATTTAGATGTTGCAATGGTAGACATTTGAGAGAGGAGTCAATATTAAATATATGCAGCAAATTGGATGTTTCATCATATGCTATTTTAATGATCTCCTCATTGAATAATTAATCCCATTATTGGACGATCTCTCCGTTTTTAATTAACACTTTCATCACATGCCCTTCAGATGTGCCTAATATCATATAATTGTTATGTTCTATGAGACAAACTGCGGTTATCTCGTCCTTAAAGTCTTATAAGATGTATTCAATTTTCCCGTTTATGCAATTTTGAATTCTCACATCTGTCCTTGTTACTATGATATTCCTTTGATTCCATTGATCATAAATCAATTCAATTAATTTGGTGTTTTTGGGTGTGTCATCATGTTGTTCAAACCTCAAAGCCTGCAACCTGGTGGTAATGAGACACAAACACTTATTGTAATAGAATAACTATTTGGACATTAATTTAGTTTACAATTTAATGTGTTAATGAATCTATTATGATCTGATATCCCACAGTATGATAGTGTTTTTACAATCGATACTTACCAAAAGCGATGTGTTTTCAAGCAGTTCAATACAACTTATAGTCTATAAATGACCTTTTAATTAGCATTTCAAATTTTGGTCATTGTATTTGGTGTGCAATTGATAACAACATATTTAACTATCCAGACCAATAGTAAATATCAATTGAAATGTTCTCGAATACTTGACATTGGTTATGATGTTGTGGAGAGTGGAGAATCTAAAGAGGAATTTCTGTTCGAACATATCAAAGCAGTTGATTATATTGGGATTGGAGATCACCAATAACATTTGAAGATGATCTATTTCGCAGATCTCTGTAATTGAATTTATCTATTGAGTTATACATGTATAGTTGGCAGTTTCTAAATTCCATATCATTATTTAATTCTGTTTATTTACACTTATCCATTAATCTTAGAGATGAAGATATCTCAATTTGGAGATCTCCACATTGTTCTCTACTTTGTAATCAAATTAGTAGCCATCACTCTGATCCCAAAACACAATTGTTAAATCACGCATCACGCATCCCAATCTTTCATTGCCATAACTAATAAACTGTATATAATTGCCTTCATCATTCTTTTTTAGATTAATAAACTTTTGAAACTCAAAACCCACAAATAAACTTATCCTCTCTTGAAATTGCATCAATAGAAACAGTTCATTCTAATGTGCGATCGCCTAGATTATTTATGTCTTACTGTTGGTGTCAATTGTCTTTAGATCATTCACTATCCTCCTAAGCATATCCTGATTCAACCCCAGTATTTCTGGTGGTGATATTTCTGAAGCTATTAGTTAACGCTTTTTTGTTCTGATCTGATGCTTAGGAAGAAACTTCTTATTGAAATGAATATCCAATTATTCGGCACTTGAAATCAAATAGTCTGTGATATGCTTTAATTATACAGAGCATTGGATTTGTGATCGCACATCCTGATAAAATTATAATAATCTTGTTATAGTAATTAATCCATCCAAACCACTCTCCTCCATTCGTTACACATAAAATGTTACAAAACTTTGCAAATCAATTACTTAGTTTTAATTGTCATCCACCATCTGAGCCAAATCGAACAAATAATGCTATACAACACTACCGATATCGAACTCATCCATCCTCTCAGCCACAACATTTAATAATTAGTCTATGTTCATTTTATATATATATATAAATAATAACATCTCTAAATTACCAATCTACTTCACTGATATCTCATCGAACCAACATCCCAAACCACTGGATAACTTATTTGTATTCCAACATTTCTGAGCAACTCCAAATTCTAAACCTAAATAATTATATCTCTACATGTGAATTAATTAGAAATTAGGAGAATCTTCATAGCATATATGCAAAGAGACTTCAATATTTAAACTCAGATCTTTTCACTATATTTTCTTTAATATTAAACTACATTTTGTGAATATTAGTTATAAATAATTTCATTTTACTCTCATATCTCAACTCAGATTCCATAGCACTTAATTAATTGCAGAAAATGGAATTGATGGAATTGAAAAACTAGTTATTGTACCCATATTCTGTTATTTTTCTGAATATTTTGGAAATTGAGGTAAAAGAATTTGATAATTTATGAGTTAATGAGTTCTTATTTAGTTTAATTTTAAATATGAGTGAAACTAAGTTGTGTGAAGGCTGGTAAGTATTTGACTTATAATTGAGTTTGGAAGAAGTTTTGGCCAGTAATTATTTGCTTCATTCTCTCTATTGCGAACGAAACATTACAAAATGCAGTATCTGTGATCAAAGGATGGATGTCAATGAATAGGATGCCCATATGGACTCGCATTAGAAAGTATAGATGAGTATGTATTCTTAGACTGAATGCCTATATTGCTCTTAAAAGTTCGAAAAAAGACTCTTAGGAATGCATTAGAATAATTGTCCCAATAAACCAGAGAAGTGCGGATTCTGTGATCTGATGATCAATTTGGCAGAAATGCCCAGACACCAAGCAAATTGTGGTTCGAGAACCGAATAATGTTAAATTTGCAAAAAGCATATACAAAAAAGAGGTAAATTATTAGGCCATGCTGTAGAGTTCAATTTGCACATTAGTGTTTGTGGAATCGAATAACAACAACCCTCTAAACTAAATCGATTAAAACGTATTACTAGTGAACCCACCTCTGAATAATCTTCAGATGATTCATCAGTCAAAGAAATAAAGCAAGTCACCAGAAGAAAACCATAGAAATAGACTAAACCAAAATCCAAACAAAAAGAAGAAATATCCAAACAATTTAATGATGACGACGATGAAGATTTCTAAAAGGCCTTGTAAATGAGTCTGAATTAAAAATGAATTAATATCACTCAAATTGTTTGTACTCCCAGAGCTATAAGCCAACACCAGTCTTTGTTTCATCTCATTCATCCCAAGATGAAAATCATATCAAGCCCAAAGTGATATTCCTTTCTTTACTTCTCTCCAAGAATAATCCAAATTAACTGTGAAATAAATTAACATTATAAATCAATATGGTAATCTGTTCTGATTGGAATTCAGAACCATTAGCTACCACTTATTATATATAATCTCACTTAAAAATGATAAACATCCAAATTGTATTAAGAATGTGCTAAAATTAGAAAAATTATTCATAAATTATTTAGCTTAGCCAATGATATCCTAAGTTGTTTTTCCTCTATTTAACTCCCTTCATTATTTTTAGTAAAGCCTCTTTCATTATAAAATTAGAAATTCATATCAAATACTTTAATCTGCTTGTTCTGAATTCCTATACCTTGTAGAGGTCATTCTTTTGAGAATTCTGTCTTAGAGAAGTCGATTAATAAAAATCTAATTGCTCCACAAAGTTTATCAGAACTTTACATTTCCATATACTCAAAATTTAAAACCACCTTACACTATAATGTATATAAAAAGGGTTCTAAATTAGAAAAATTCCTAAAATATTCTTCCTAATCATAACCATTAATTTAAGAAATAATGACCAAATATTTTATAAATATATTTATGAATTTTAGAAATCGAGTTTTTAGAATCAAGATCTCATCAATTATTACTCCATAATTGTAACTATTTTGAATATATTCAAGAGTTGAGAAAGTTGCTGACTCCTTGGACAAATGGACAATTTACAAACCTGAATTTGTTGCTTTGATAATTAATTCCTTAGGAGGATCTCTTATTTAAACTTAGAATCTAGCAAATATAATAAAAAAGTATAGTCAAACTAATAAGTAATCTCTCTTTTAGATTAGTGTTCCGATTTACTGTTTTGGAGAGGATATTGTAATTAAGAGTGCTTTGGGATTATTAACTATTGGTGATAAGGCTTATGTGAGTTAATAAAATTAAAATTATAGATCCCTATGCCATTGTTGGAAATATGGGATATGCACAACCTTTTTTTGATTTAAGAAATTTCGCCTCAAATTGGTTGATCAAATAGAAACATGTTGCTACAAATGATAACATGAAAATTCTAAATCCTTTGAGTGAGTTAGCTGAAAAGGATAAAGAATGGGTAGAATAATAAATGAAAAATTAAGAGGAAGAATTAATAAACATGATTGAAACTAATAGGAAATTAGATAATTCTAAATACGAGGATAGATAGAATGAAATATATCGAAATGGGATAATAGCCCCAAATTTATTATTAAAACATGGCATAATTGATGGTTATACAAGTCTTGATAATATGCTATAAGGCAAGAAAATCCGTAAATTAGTTTGATAAATTTATATGAGTTATAATCTAAAAGAAATGTTCTTTTATATAGATATACATGAAATCAATAAAGTGTCCTTAAAATTTGAATAATATCTAGTTTTTAAGACTACTTTGTTTGATACATCTTTTTAAGTATTTTTAGAATTAAATATAAATCTGGGTGAAATTTAAAATTTACCTCTCACATTCATGAATTAGTGTGATTCAATACTAAATGAAAATAAGATTGGGTTTATTCAAGTAGCAATATAGGTTTATTTAATTAAAAAATAAATTATTAAAAATGCCTAAAGTGTTCTATTATTCGTATTATTAAATAAATCTTAATAAAAAGAGGATAGTTAGTAGGAAGTATTTTTGAAAATATAGTATTTTTTAATTTTATCCTGTTGGGTAATCTTTAAAGTTCTATAGAAATTCCTAATATTAATATTCAATAATTGGAATAGAAAAAATATTAAAAAAATAATTATTATAATCCTGCGAGTAATATGTAGGAGAATAAATCAAATTTGAGAATTTTTCAGAAACACACTCAAGATAATAACTTAGATGATATAAGATGAAAGAATAATATATCATTATATTAATTATTCTTTAAATTAGACTCTTCTTTATGGTTTTTCTTTGGCGTTGTTTGGACTACAAGGAGAATCAGATTAGCATTCATGTGATCGTGTGCTTAAAATTCCTTTCATAACATCCGATTAAAAGTGAATTGCTTCATCGATCACTACTTTTGGCTCAAGATAAACAATAACATGTTATTATTTTGGAGATAATGGTGGAGGAGATAGCAAACCATCTCCATCTTAATATTGATACAATTAGCAATGCTATTAGATTAGATCTCCAAATTGCCCAATTTAAATTGAGTCCCCTAAAGATTTGATTCCACTATCCTAACGAATAGGATTTAGAATTTCTTTTGAAGATTGAGTTGCAGTTGAAGTTTGAGAACAGCATTAATTGCCCATTAAAATAAAAATTATTCATTTTTGCTAACAATTTTTTTTTTACAAATATGTAAAAATAGTAGGGAGATTTAAATTAATTATGATGGATGTCTTATCAAAAATTGAAATAAACACCATGAAATATAATAGTTTATACATAATTTATTTCTGGAATTCTTTCAATGTAATTTAGAACTTATTAATACAAGAGGTATATTTACTACTACTATTTATTTTAATAAATTAATTTAACTATTGTAATTTCTTATCCATTAGTTTGAAGATGAATGATGAAAATTGTTAGTTTAGGAAACTAAATTATGTGTATAAATTAATTATATAAGTAAATCACTTCTTCGACTTAAGTACTTTCTCATAAGTCGTTTGTGTCTCCTTTTTGAGAAAAGGCATAGATTTTTTTCGAGATGCTTTAATCGTTGGACTTGAAAATTAAGAAATTGGTCTAATTACACTTTTGAATTAATAGATATCTTTACATACCTTATATCTGCATTAAATATCTATTGTCCTAGATCAAGGGCTTAACTCTTGGATGCTTTGACTCTATTTGCATTTCTATTGGATGAAAGGCAGTTTTCCTTGTTCTCATTGTCGATACTAAAATCAAAGTTGATTGGTGTTGGTTGAATGGAAATGTTGAAATTATGATATCCGAGTTTTTTTTGGGTTGTTTTCTTGCGACATTCTTCACAAACTAGTTTGAGCTTTTCATCAATTAGTTTATTAACGAGTTTCTTGAGAGCCAATTGATCCATTAACGTAATTATTAATTAAAAAAATTAATTATAACAATCGCATGAGTCATAGCTCTATGGAATAAAGGGTACATAGGATTTAAGTAATTTTAGAATGGACAGTTGTTGGTGATGACAATCCAAATAGATGATAAACGAAGTGGTAGAATAGATGTATTCGAAGGAGATGATCCTGAAATACTGGCACGAGATTTTTGCATTAAATATAATTTAAATTAGAGGGTGGCACCATTACTTATAGATAATATTCAAAAACAAATTTCAATAGCCCAAAAGGAACGCATGAATATGGTTCAATATGTAAGATGTTGGAAACCTATTTAGCTGTCTCAAAAGAAGCAAAATCAAAGACCAACTGAGTAATCTAGTGAAATGCACACTCAGTAATAGGGCTCTTCTCCAATCATAGCATAATCTCAACAATCCCCTATGAAACAAGAGAGCATAAACTAAACTGTATATGACAGACTATATCAAGATGCTCACAATAAAAAGCTGAAAAAACAATTGCAATTATCAGAAAACAAGTCTAGCAGTTAGATTATGAAATCTCAAGAATCAGAAGTGAATTATGGTTTGATACTATATTAAAAGGGAATTCAAAAAAAAGAAGAGAAATTACAAAAGGCTGAAAGTGCAAGAAAAGACCTACAAAAATCTTAACTTGTTGAATGTACTCACAAACCTCAAATCAATTCTCTTTCATCTAAAATTGCATAACGCTCCCCTAAACCAGTCGGTGAACATTTAAATGAATTAGCAAAGTTAATATAGGAGAAAAGAGAGAATGCTCAAAATTATAAGTTGGAAATGGAATAGCAAAGTTGTTCATTTCATCCTTAAATTAATAGAGTGTAATCTATTCCAGTTATATTTTAAGTTCCTCTTCAATTGTAGACGAGAAAAAGAAATAATCCTAAATTGCAATACCTCATTACGAATCCTTGTATTAAGATATGGATGTGAAACAACAAAAACTGAATGAATTAGATAGAAATTATTTTACTTAGAAACATACATTTCATCCCAAAATTGATTAAATATCTGAACAATTAGTTTAAGGTCTGAGTTTTGAAGAAAGAAGATAAAAGTTTAGACATAAATCCAAAGAAAGAAATTCCAGTGCAGATGAAAGCAATATGTTCAGACCAAGGACAGGTAGACCACCTGAGTAAAGGCCAGAAAATTTGTTTGATAATCTATATAAAGATGCTTAATTATTAGCTTAAAAAAGAGCAGCAGTTTTATCTTGTAGCAAGGAAAAAATTATGAATTAATCAAAAGTAAGAGCCAGTTAGAAATCTGAATTCTTAACACAATAAGCTATTATAAATTCTCTTGCAAATATATTTGATTTGATTGATACTGATGAGGATGGGGAAATAGATGCCATTAGAATTAATCTAGGAAATCTTAATTAAACTGTTATTCAAATACTCTAACCACTATTTTCTGAGATGGAAGAAGGTAGACATATACTTACTAAAAGTGAATTCATTGAATCTGCGATGAGATTAGTATACACTCTTTCAAACAAAGAAAAACACGACTTATTGAAGAAGCCCAACTCAAGAAAATCTGATGTGCCAACCTATACTTTTCAAGTGTAACATTTTCATTAATTTTTAGCCATCAATCAATTAAAGACCTTTAAAACATTCTGGATCAAAAAATAGATGAAAGTTTACAGTAATTTATTTTTTTGAGATTATTGAATTACATATATTATTATTCTCCAACAGTTTTTTCAATTGTGTTGTTGCAATTAATTTATCAACAAAATTTAACTAAATATTGAAATAAAACAAAATAAAGTTTTATTAATTATTATTTCTTAATACTTATTATCATCCGTCATATAATTATTTTATTCTTTCTGACACATTGCTTTCTTGATTTTGTTATTCTCAAAATCGAAATCTCAACATTTCTTTGAGTTAGATAACCAATTAGATCAGTTCTTCGTTAAATTCTTAATTTTACTATAAAACTATTGAAAAGTATCTATTATTTAAATAAATCAATAAATATTTTAATTAACATTTTGAAAGCGATATGAATTGCTTAAATATCGAGAACAATAAATTTATGAAGAGAGCGATGGAACGCAAATCTAAAAGAGAGATTCCTCTGACTCCAACAATTGTTCTGTCAGACAAAGAAATTGAAATCGATGACTTAGATTCTCCGACTACCTTAAATTTATAAATACCAATCTTTAGTCCAACTAAAATGATTTTTTCTCTACCTAAATCTACCGGGACAATCAAATGATGTTATCTCCTACATATCTTATATTAACTTAATTCAAATTTTAACCAAGTCATTTTCTTTAGTTTGTAAATATTCCCCTGAATACTGATCCTTTGTGAGAATGATTAGAATTCTTAATCTTTTCCTAAATCAAGTATAGAATTGGATAAAAAAGATTTAAATAAAATAGAGCAATATACATAATTCATTAATTCAGAATTTATAAACAAAGAATTTCTAAAAATTAACTTTAAATTGAAAAAAAAATAAAATAAACTTTCATAGTGATTAAAACAAAGTACATTAATAGGGTCAATTTTTTAAAGGAGTCAGTTCATAATTTTTGATAATTTGATTAGTTAAATATATACCAAGGTTTCTTTTTCTAGAGGAATTTTTAGACTATTCTCCAATTCATTTTCGATACCTGAAGTTAAAAATCTGACTATCTGTTACTCATGAAATGATAACTTATTGATATTTTCAATTTATACTTAATGATTCATTATCTATTATCTTTATTATTGTTCTTTTGAAATGGCCACCAATTCTGCTAAAAGGCTGGCAATTTATTCAAAAGCTTATCTATTTTATTTTGCTTACAACTCCAATCTTTTTATGTGAGTCTAATATTTTTGAAAGGAAGGTATGTTATAAGCTTTTGGGTTTGGTTTCACATTCTTTAGATTGTCTTTTATCTGCTATTCATAATAGGCATTAATTTTTTAGATTCGATTTTAATGTTTGAATAAGATTGGCATTGTTGAAATGTAATCTTTCAATAATAATTATATGCCATATTTAAAAACTATAAACAGTCCTTCCAAATCATTTTGAATTTGTAATCTTTCAGCCAAATCAATCCAATATGACAAAGCCTCCTACCTTTTGTACTTACAAGGACTTTTCACAACTGAGTAAATTATGTATTATGAGAGTGTGTTGATTCTTTAGAAATACTAGTTTAAATTATAATTGTACGTATTTAAGTCCTCCTTTGACAACTACGTTCCTAATTAGCAAATCAGCGTAAAAGGCTTAATTAATAGTGCTTAATACTTTTGCTACTTCCTCAGGATTCCAAGGGAATACTTCATTTTCTTTAAGTAGGGGGAGTGGTTTAGAATTCTAGCTCATTCCTAGTCCCAAATAGGATTTCGATTGCTAGTCGTCTTCAAATTTTAATTTGGAAATGGTTTGAATGGTTTATTCTACGAATGCAATAAAGATTTTATCATTCTTTAATTCATTAAAGCGAAATTAAAAAATGAGGTTGAAGAATACTGGAATAGAGTTCTAACATGAAACATAATTGGCCATATCCATTGAATTCTCATTTTGAATCCATTTCCATAAGAGATACAATGAAAAGGTGAATAGATTTGTAAAGTAATCAACAGTTAATACTATGCCTTTTTTTATATTGCAATCTTCATTTTAAATTTCTTTTTCTATCAAGGAATTGAAAGCACAGTCTTTGAAAAAGGTATCCAAATCAATGCATTTTGATATGAAATGTTCCAACCAATCTTCTTAAGATTTGAAGACAAAAGTAAATGATTGTTTAGCAGCTTCAGATAAGATGTCCAAATCTAAATTTTATATGTCTTTTTGTACCTAAACATTTTGAATAATTATGTTGCATACATTCATCTGGCAAAGTTCGAGAGGATTGCAAACTAGATGAAGAGCAAGCAGAATTGCATTAATGTTGCCGTCTTAGATCCAAAAAAGGGTCAGTGCCATCTGAAAATTGGGAGTAGAAGCTAGCAGCTATTCTCTATGTTTAAGCATCATAGGTTTTAGCTTTTACGATTTCACTCTCTTCATTTTCAGGACAAAAGAATAGTGAACTTTATTCTTGCATATTCTTTCTCTTAATATTTTTATGAGTGTTTTATTAATAAAAATTAAATGGATTTCCACTTCAATTTAAACCAATATAGCATAATATTGAGATGAATTTTGATGATTATTAAATAGAATCATTTTTTGCCTTATACGTAAATTATTTAAAAGGTGAGAATAATAAATTTACATATCTATGAATAAAACGATCAAAATTTAACTTTCTTTCTGCATGTGTCGATCTACTTGGAACGGGTTTCAGTTTTATCGCTAACACTGTCATCATTTCGAATTTGATTTTATATGATTTCATCTTTGTGTCTGATGATCTCTTGTAATTTCGCAATCTCCTAATAGCATTTCTGTGTCTCGCTTTGCATGCTCTAGTTGTAATGCTTTGGCTTATTAGGCTTTTTAATGTTACTCTTTAAAAGTTCATTCTCCTCTCGTAAGAGCTTCAATTGGGTTTCTGCAATCTCCAACTAATTTCTGATGCTTTCAACTTACTTTTCTAAAGCAAGCATTTCATTTATGGTTTCTCTGCAATGTTCACAATGTTCCATTAATTAAAAATTTATATAAATATTATTAAATTTATCAATAAAAGAATTTGGTAATAATAAATTTTGGAATAAATTTAGTTCTCTATAATTTTAAATGCATTTGATAAATCATATTTAATCATTACTTTTTATTGTGTTTCAAGTCTCACTTACAAATTGATCATACATTAATAAAATTAAAATTTAAATAATCCCTCCCAAAATATGCAATTAAGAAGTGGTGTACTCAAGAAACCCCCAACTAGAAATTACATCTCAGGCTATCAAATATTCTATGCAACCAAATTGCCTGAGTTGAAAAAGGAGGGCAAATTTTAAGTTGGAGATGCAGGTCATAAGATCTCAGAAATGTGGAGAGGTTTGGACGATGACGAGAGGCAGAAATTTGAGGATTAGTTCCACGAATTGGAATCCAAATATAAAGAAGACCTGATACTGTATTATGGAGGGAACACACAAGACATCAAAAAATACAAGGCATTAATGGAAATTCCAGAGAAACCCAGAAAACCTGCTTCTGCATGTCTAGTATACATCGCAGAGCATAGAAAGGATTTCAGTAGTGAAAATCCTGATATGAATATGGCCAAAGTCACTAAGGTTTTGGCAGACAAATATAGTGCTCTTTCAAGTAGGGATAAAAAAAGGTATGAGGATGACTTTCAAAGGAAATTGGAATAATACCATAAAGAAATAGAGGTTTGGCAAAAGTAAGAATTCATATTTGAAACCATAGAAAATTTGCTGAAAAATAAGAATAGTTTGATAAATTGATTGAAGAAAAATTTAAACGATCCGCTTCAAAATAAGACTTGGAATATTAAGAATTGCCACCATATAAAAGGGGACCTAAAAAAATGAAAGAAGAAGATGAGACAGCTGCAATAAAGATTGAGTAGAAAGAAAAGGAAATTAAGAAGGAGGAAAAGAAAGATGATAAAAAGGACGACAAAAAGGACGATAAAGATAAGTATATTGTAAAAATAAACTTATAGTAAAAAAAATACAAAAAATACCAAAGATGAAGGTAAAGTTGTATAGAATAAAGGAGAATCAAAGAAATAGTTGGAAAAAGATTAAAAAGATGGATAAATGAGAAGAAAATCTGGTTAAAGAAGATGCTGAGAATTTCACTGAAATATTTTTTAATAAATTTTCTGTTAAACCATATAAAATTTATAGAAAAGTTGCCGAATGTGCAAATTAGGAGGATAACAAATAAATATAGATATTCATTTTATACAAAGTCTAAGTCGGCAATCAGTGGTAAGAAGTTCAATGATTTCTTTCTCCTATTCTTCTTGTAAGGAAGGCAGGATATCAAATTGAAAGGCTATTAGATTATGTATCATCAAATGATTGTTTTTAATAATGCTTGTAGCAATCAAAGTTCTAAATTAGTATTTGATCACTTGAGTGGCAGCTTTTGCAATTAATTTGCAAAACATATAATAATATTTATAATATGATATTCATTCTATTTATAACAGCATATCCTCTACTTATTGTTTTTTTTGATAAAACTCCAACCCATTTCCTTTGATTAATTCAAAATCAAGCCCAACAGTGGATTCTATGGGTCCATGTACTAACTATATAGCCATTTCAAACTCTTCATTGTTTTATAAAAACCAGTAATGTAGCTAATATAACAATTGTATTGATACTCTATATTTTTTGTCATCGACATAATTAATCTTGTTGGCGAATTTGTCCATATTTTCAATTAGTTTAACAAAGATGAGATTAGGTTCAAAGGGAAGAATTACATCTGTCTATTTAAATCGTTTTAATTCCCTTTTTAGCGTTAAATCAATGGTGATGTCCTCCTCTCCTCTTTTGAAATTTCCAATTCCAACAGTCACTAAATTAGAAGCGGATGCTTACATTGTTAATTTTAATTAGCTGCTTATCTTTTTTACTTGTCAAGCAATTTCTACAAATTTTCTTTATCTTATTATGCTTGAATTTTTAATTTACGTGCATTAAGCAATTTAACAACTATTTCATTGGTAATGGTGGCTCCTTGATACCAAGAAGTACTAATGATTTCAGAAAGAGTGGGTCTTTATAGTGGATCAAAGGCTAACATAGAATTAATGAGAGTCTTGAGTTCATTAGAGAATCTTGGGATTCCAGATTTCTCTTTGTAAGCCCAAAACTAGTCAAACCGATTTGTGCAAATGAGATTATATAATTAATCCTTTGCATTTGCTTGTTTGAATGGCAATTGAGCAGTCATCATTAGATATAAAATAATACCAGCTGCAAATATATCGACACTTTGTCCAACGTATTTTTATCTAACTAATATTTCTGGAGCCATGTAACTAATAGTGCCCTTGAAAGATGCCAGCACTCCATCTCCTTAATTGCCCCCAACAAATGTAGCAAATCCCAGATCAGATACTTTGAGCAATCCATCTTTAAATAATATGTTTTCTGGTTTTAAATCTCTGTGAGCAAGACCTTAGCCATGTAAATACGACAGCACTTCGATAAGTTAATGGAATAATGTTCGAGCTGTTTCTTCTTTGAATGGCCCAGTTTGTGATAGGTATTCATATAATTCTCCATCCTTCATATAATCATAAACTAAACAAGATTTGAGTTCCTTCTTGCCACTTCTTTTTGTGTATTCTTCGTTCACATGAAAATTCAATAGTTTAATCAAATTTTTGTGATTTAATCCTCTGTGAATTTACATCTCTTTTTCGATTTCTTTTGAAAATTAAACAAATTTTAATGCTACTTCCTTATCTCCATCCAAAGCCAATTTAACTCTAAGAAATATAATGTCTATTTACTTTCCTTGAGCACCTTTGCCCAGGGTCTACTTGACTGTGTAATTAGCATATTTGGCAAATGACTTTTCAATCTCCATTTTACTTTTATAAAAGAAATTTCTTAAATTATTAATAAAAATAATATGAAAATATTTGCTATTATTACTATCAGATTCTCTAATGATATTAATTTAGTTCATAATATGGATTTTCTTCTGCCTCTATTTCGAATCCTGCTACTTCAATATAAGACTTGTGATTGAGCAAAAGGTAGGAACTTAGCAAATAATATTATGCAGTACACTGAAATTAAACAAATGCAAATGCCAACAATGCTGAGCATATCAAATTGATGTCCTATTTGTAAGGCAGCACCACTCATATTGATGAGCATGAAAATAGCCAAATTCATTGAGGGATACCCAATTTGAAAAGCATGAAGAAACAAGGTGCAACATAGGGGAAACAAGACTCCATTAATAATGGAATAGGTTACGAGTTCAATATTGAAAGTTCCAAACTTATGGATTGGATAATACAATCCAAGCACTGTTATGGTGTATATCATAACATATTGGGTAATTGTATGAGTTCTTACTTTCTTGACTTTTTTTAAATTATGACCTATTAGTACCATCGATGCTGCTCCAATCCATCCGAACAATAACCCCAAGAATTAAAAGGCCCATTCAAATGTGCAGAGTATTGCTCCAACAGAAATACCCTAGGAATTACTATTGAAAGTGTACAATGAAGCATATCAACTCCTTCTTTTAATATATCTCGCCCAGAAGATGAGTTTCATTAATGGCTTGGGCAATCCATCCTTTGATTAGAATGATTGAATAAAATGGCATAACATTATATTTATAACTAAGCAATGCACTTAAGACCAAGACAGCAAATCCTAAGCCAATTAAATGAATCTCTTGACTTACATAGACCTAATGTTGAGAACAGAGTTTTATTAGGCAATAATTGATCACAATGCTACAACATAAAGTGATTGTGACATATTGAAATGGTTCAGCCTTCCTGAATTGAAACATAATTCATACCCCAACAACAACTCTCCAAAAATGATATTGTTTCCCAAGTAAATCACAAAAATTATCGAGTAAAATATCGGAGCCAAAGTCTTTAGTTTGTTGTCAATATGAAAAATAGTAATCATATACAAATCAACTTCTTAATTCATATTTATTATTATATTATTATTATCATATTAATTCAGGCCCTTTCATAACTATTCGTACATTAGATCGCCTCTACTTTCCTATTAATTCATATGTCCTGTTTATTCAATTATACCAACTCCGTCCATTCCATATTAATCATTCCCAGTATATAGTCTTAAGTGAAGCACCTTTAATGGTATCATAGTGTATTAGAATAATCATTTATAAACTAATTACCTACACTCTCATGCTTTATTTAATAGTCAATCCTTATAATCCTCTTATCATATTCTCATAAATATTTAAGCAAGAATTATAATGCAAATTGAATTAAGAGGCATCAATATTAAATTATTATTCTATTGGAAAAAGAACCCTTATAGTATCAAATTGGAAAATAATTTAAAAATCAGTTTAATCACAGGTATCATCATTTGTTTTTCTTTCAATTGTTTGTTGTAGATGTTCTTATCTTAAGGAGCAATGAACTAAACTAATATTCCATAATCTTACCTTTATCAATACCAAATTACATAGCCAAGGTGGTACTAATTTATATAATTCTGCTTGGATCTTATGATTCAAATGGCCATTCATATTCTAACCTATCCTTTTTATTAGTCCATCAGCACAATCTGAAGAGATGAGTGTTTATGTTAAGAATTCACTCTAAGATTTACTTTCATTATATAAATTGAAAAAGGGAGTTGGAATTCACCTTGCCAGAGAAGTCACATTTTAATATTGCAGATATATATGATCTCCCTCTTAACAGTTGGGGGATAAACCTTTTAATTAAAATTGTCACTGATAAGCAATTCACTTTAATGGTTTTGTAGATAACTTCATCTGAAATCACATGGAAACTACTGAAAGCATCTACACCTATATTGTTTATTACTGTACTCACAACCCTCTCACCTACCTCCTGAATTAGCCTTTCAAGTGATATATTGTCCATAAATTAAGTGATTTCGTTTGCCATTGCTACTCTACTGCCTCTAATTTTGAACGCGCTCAGAGCAACTAAGATTATTTTAAATCCCTCCTTTGAAAATTTAATTGCTAATTATATTCCTATTCCGCCTGATGCTTCTGTAATGAATACCTATGATCCATTTCCATATTTCTTAAATCTGCACTAGGTCTCAACAATTTTCATACAAAATATAGCAGAATTGTGCATTTTAGTAAACCAAGTAATCCTAAAATGTATAGTAAGTTCATAATTTAGTATAAGCTTTAATAAACTCTGAAAACATAAATAAATTAATGAAATTTCTAGAAGGTCGTATTCTCCCACCCACTGAAAAAAGCGATAATAATTCCAAATACTTTAAAGCATATAATCCTAATGAGAAACCAAGCAATAGTGGTGTGAATAAAAAAACCATTCCTTACGAGTCCTTTAGTTCGAAGAGAGAATTTCTTTATAAGATAATGATAGAAATAGGGAATTTAACTGGACCTTAAGGCTTAATTTAAAATGAAGCAGATGGTAAATTTGATGGCTTATTCTTATTCGAAAATGTAGAGAGTTTTTTCAATAAGATAACATCCTCAACATTCAAAAAAAACATAGTAAAAGCTCTTATTGTATTATCGGAGATGCTGAAGGAAGCAAAGAAAATCACAATTGAGGATCAGAAGGAGTTTTTAAATTAAATAAAATGCGATATACAAAGCAAGGATGATAGTTTGCAAAATAAAAAAAAAATGAAGGCCAAAAATAAATTAGTTGGGTTGCTACAATAATAGGACTAGATCTAAGATCAAAATAATGAAGAAATCAACAATCAAATAAACAAAAGTTTTAAAATAATAAAAAAAAATCTGAAAGAGATATTTTTAAAATGATCTAAATTGTATGTTTCTAATTGATTATTTTAACAGAATCTAAATTTTATACTTAAATTACTGTAGTTTTAACTCTGACGCCACAAATGAGATCATTGACTAGCAAATATCATTTAATTAATCGAACAAAATTAATTTTTTTATTATTATATGCTATCAGAAACAAATAAGGAAGTATAAAAAGAGTAAAATGTTGTACCACAATTAAATCAAACTCCAAGTAGTACTTATTTTGTTTACAATTGTTACATACCAGTAGTGTAGGATTATATGAGTCAGCCTCCTCCTCTACAGGTTAGGAACTCAAGTAAGAATCCAAATTTAGTAATTAAGGTGAGTCCTTCCCTCAATTGATCAAAAATAATGACAGCATTCAATTGTCGCATTTGGCTCCCGGAGTTTCAATACCAAGTTTTCAATTTGGGGCATCTGCTCCTTTTGTTACTCCTGATGATGTTATGAGAAATGTGTAGCCTGCCCAGAATCATTTTGCTTCATTTATCTTAAATGAGTAATTGAAGACACAGAACCAACCAACCAAGAACAGAATAATAGAAGGAACCCAAACCCTCTGTGACATAGAAATCGTATTAATATCGCGATATTTTGACATGAAGGCTCATGTAATGTAATTAATATTACAGGAAGGTATTTTGTCCTCCAAATAACAAGTATACTCTTAAGGAAGACACCAACATTTCCAATGCTGAATGGTTGAAGGATCGTATGCTGTTTCGATACAAAAAACCTGTAAAAATATTGCATTTATCAATTAGATTAAGGAATCATTCTCAGATATGATTGATTAATTGGAGAAGGAAGGAGAGATCAATTTTAAGAACATGATTCATCCAGTCAAATTTGCTTAAGGAGGATTCGATAACATAGAGAGGCAAGTGCCTAAATCTGTGAAGAGTGAGAAGCCATTTTCAGTTTTTATATTTGAGATACAGTAATTAATTTCCTAGTTCCTATTCACTAAGTATTGAATCTATTAAATATACTAAATTTTATATGTGTCATTAAATTTAAGTTCTGCAGGTGGGACAGGTTGTATGTAACAATACCCAATTGATGAGACATTCCTTATGGAAAATGTGAGTAGGATGGCATTACAATCCCACAAGTTGTTGATCCAAGAGCAATCTTTCTCTGCAAATAACACAGTCTCCATTCTCTTCCAAATTGATCGATTTATCAGGGGATAATTACAATTTCCGAATTATTTCTCGATGGTTCCTCTCTTCCAATTGCTGTAGTTCTGTTTGCAAGTACCTACTCAATGCATTGTAATAGGGGTTTTGGACAATTTCATTTAGGTCGTAAAACCTCATATCGAACACTGATTCATATGATTCTAGATGATTCAATTGAACTCTATTTGAATACTTTTTGATGGCATAATAAACGTAAATCACCAGTGACATAACAAAGCAGATTGTATCATTAACCAAGTAAATTTCAATTTTGAAAATTGATTCCTCTATGTATTTGAAGTAGTTTTTGAGATTGAACATTAAACACACTATTACACAGGCGAATGAAGATAAGTAAACCACACCCTTCAAGGTGGTATTCGCACAGGATTCGTAGAAGAACAATTTGTAGTATAACATGTAGGCATTTTAAAAGCAACTTAAGTGACGATAATTGACTTTTCTTATCATTCTGAGTAGAATCAAGTGATAGAACTGTTTGATGATCATGGTTACACAGTATATTATGTACAGGTAGATCACTATTGTTGTTTCGCTATCAACTGAGTCAATAAAACTGGCAATCACTGCTAATTTTATTTTATAATACATCAGTAATATGATTGTCATTTTCAACGTATTCCTTTTAGTTTCAATCAACCCTAAGACTACTTTTAAGGAATTTACTTGGTAGGTTAATGTACTGATATCCAACTTTAGTCTTAAGGATTGAGCATTCGCAATTCCCTGGACTTTGTCGGAAGCAAGAATATACCCAAGCCATCAAGTATAGAACCATGTGCAACACATAGGATATCATTAGCAATGGGAATATCTTGCTGTTGGAGTGTAGGATAAATACGAATTGGCTGAACCAAAAACTCCAAATGAAGGAACTGTACATCAAAACGTTAATCAAATCGAATTTCTCCTGAAATTTGAACTCCTCTAGGAACTCATAAACACTCTTTTCATATGTAATACACAACAGTTTCAAATTTTCTTTTGGGACATTCAGAATTTCTGAGTTAGCATTTTTTAAATCCAAATAAATTGCCATATACAATATCAAAGTGAGCAAATGCGAAAACCATTTACTTAATTCAATGCCTAACATTTCTGGATCAATCAAACAGCTCAAACTAGTTATAGTGGTTAGAAGCAGCAAAATCGAACTTGCTATGAGGAAGTACCTAATTTTTAACTAAGCAGCTTTTATTAATTATATATAGTGTTCCTTAATGCCATCAATCGATCCATAACGACTAGTGCTAACACATTATTGATATTAACTCAGCATTCGTTGTTCCTCATAAGAACATTGTTACTCTATATTCATTTAATATAAATAAAATTTTCATAATGATCACAATCCTTCGATGAGGGATCCCCTTCAAATTATCCTCGTAATCACTTCTCAATCATGTCATCATTTAAGTGCATCAAGGTTGCTTATCTACAAAGAATTTTGATTCCCCTAAATTTCACTTTGTTTTAAAGGAGATTATGAATCCAATTGTTCTTGTAAGTTGTTAAATGAGATTATTCTTATTTTACTAACTCCATCAGAGATTTATAAATACTCAATATCCACTCTTATATCCCTTTCAAAATGGGCAAATGATCACTACACCTCTGTATTAATCTCAGTATTCTGCTTAGAATGGTATTTCAATAATGGAAGGGTAGTATTAAGAATTTTACGTGTTTATGTTTGACAAAGGAGTTGAATGTTTTACTATTTAATCCCTCTTCCTGTCATTCAGAATAGGAATGCAATATAATAGGAGTATTTTTAATAGTTCTAGGTGTTGCATATTTAATTCTCTTTTAGGATTTGGATTACGCCAATAATAGTTCAAAATTGCAGTAATGGTATAATTTCAAATTGGAAATATTAAATATTATTTTATATTCAATTGATGAAGTAATTCAAGTTTAATATAAAAATGATATGTAATTTTATAGAGTAGATATAAAAATAATACTTGTTATTTTTGATTAATCACTTATAATCATTTAGGGAAATCTTTTTAATAGATTCCTCTTGATTATTCGATTTCTTTGATATTGTTGACATTGAAGTAGATATTCATAATGTTATGATATTATCCAAAGTCTAAACCGAATCTAGTCTATGCCGAATCGACTTGACAATAGATCATAATGTCTGCCAGTGTTAATTAGTCGCCGACACTGAATCTGCCTCTTGTTCTTGAGATGCTCTTCTCTAGATTGCTGATACCCAACATATTCCAGTGAATCCATTGATCTTTCCATTCCAATATCTTTTCCGTGTGCGAATTGATATATTGTTAGATGCCCAAATGTTGGAATGGCTGAATTGATGAGTTGATGTATTCAGCGATGGCTCTACAAAGTGAGTACCAAAAATAAATACCTGACTTGAGCCCTTTGAATCCTATTTTTAGGCAAGATTGGTTTTTCTGGATGCACATCCTCTAAGTATTCTGCGATGGCCACACTCTCAATGAGAGTCTGTCCTTCTGGAGTAATAAGAGCTGGAATTATTTGACGGGGATGTATTTTTTTATACTCCTCTGACAATTGCTCTTTCTTGAGGAAGTTCACTGAAACTTAGGTGTAGGGGATCTTCTTGTAGTTGAGAATGCTCCTAATACGCTGGGTACAGGAGGACATTGCAAATCCGTATAGTGTATAAGACATAAATTAATTAATGAGTTTAAATGATCTGTTAGTAGATTATAGTGGGAGTGGTCACTCCTAATTCGGTAAGTCATTTGCATATTCTCTTAGAGGATCAAACTAAGAAGTAGTTCACGGGACCTGCCAAATTTGCTACAAAAATAGATCCGCTATAAGATGGCGATTATACTATAAAACCACCATCAATGTCTAGTTTACACAAAGTAACCGATCACATTCCTCCTTCATAATCGCCAAATTCAGGAATGATATAGTTTTCTCCAAAAACTTCTATTCTTGAGGAGAAAATCTTGATGAATCCGCAAAACAAGGAACAAATCAAGGAAATTGGATAAACAACTGCAATTGCATAGAAGGAAGGCATCAACAATTTCATTAAACTTGTCTTGGCTAAAAGCTACTTCAACCGTTTTGTTGAGAATATGCTCCAAAAATCCTATGTAAAGAAATTGTCTCATTTCAACATTTATTAAAATACCATGTTGGACGATCTAAGATATATCGATTCAAAGCACAAAGTCCACAAGAATCTGATTGGCAAGATCTGCAAGAAGCTTAGGTTTGTGCCGATCTTTGATTAAAGCAGCTATTTGGTCATTGGATGGCAATTGCTTCACATCTTGACAATCATCATTATATTTTTTTGGACTCCCTTCAACATCTCCTTTGGAATCACCTTCGAATAAGTCGTATTCGGGACATTGACAGTGAGAGAGGTAGAATACTATTTCTTATTTTCCATTCTCGTTGATGCCTTCATTGTCATCAACACATCCTATATTGAAAAAGGGATCATCATCAAACAGAGAGGCAAAATCTTTATTAATTATGTCAACACATAAGGAATATACGATTTAGTAAAATGATATGTTATAATCAAGTGTTCATTCGCATCAATGTTGGTTGCCCAATAATTTAATGTGGACAGTTCAAATGAGAAAATCGGATGGCAATTGATACCCTACACAATATACTACTGCAGTAGACAATTTAAATTGCAAGCCAGAGTACATAAACTTGAGGAGTATTAATTCAAATAATCATCTAGATTTTTCAACTTCTCAGGATGGGTGCAAGATCTAATTGAATTGGTTAAACTCCTATTTATGGTAGTGTACGTTGGTCATCTCTTCGCATGTTTATGGCATGGAGTAGCTTTCTATTAAATAGGGTTCAGAAAGACTTGGCTTGAAGCCTATGATGTTGCCACTTAAGACATTTTTACTAAATACAATTACGCATTCTATTGGTCTGTCTAAACTATGATCACAGTTGGATATGGAGATCTAACACCTCAGAATAATTATGAGAGATTGTGCGCCAATCTGAGCATGTTCTTAGCATGTGGTGTGTTTGCCTTTTCATTTAATAGTATTGGTCTTATGCTCAGCAATCTAAATTCCAGATAGGTGCTTTATAAACGCAGTACCAACCTTTTGAATTCCTATTTGACTAAAAATTAAATTAAGATCGAATTACAATCCAGAATAAGAAATTATTATGATTACATCTTTCAAGAAGAACAGGAAATCAATGACGAGGAAGTCTCTCAAATCACAACCAAGTTGTCCAGTTCACTTTAAGAAGAATTGAATTTTGAAATTCGATTAAATGTTATGAAGACAAACAAAGTGTTAACCAAGTTCTCTTAAAAAACACTAAGATAACTGTCATTGGTAATTGAAGAAGTAAGATATTCCCCTGAAGATCAAATTTTACTCCAAGGTACTCAAGATGATTGCTCTCTATATATCATCACCAAAGGAACTGTGTCTGTGTTATTTCAGGATGAACCTCAAGGCAGGAACACTAGAGTCCTTTCCTATTTAGAAAAGGGGGAATCTTTTGGTGAATACTCCTTTTTTACAGGACTCAACAGATGTGCCTCAGCCAAAAGTATAGGCTTTTCAAGAGCGTACAAAATCCCCAGACAATCTTTATTAATTGTTTTATCAACTAATTAAATTGACTTGGTATATGATTATTTTAGTAATTTAGGAACGCTTTTGTGAAGTAAGAGATTCCATGTTGTTAGGTGAAAACTTCCAGCCAGCCAAATTAAGTTGCTATTCCTGCAAAAAGTTCAATCATCTAATTAAAGATTGTCCAGTTCTCCATTATGTACCTGACAAAGAAAGAGTCATCAAGAAGGAGTACTTTCCGTTCCAATAAGAAAGAACTATCACTTACAAGAGGAAAAGGACTGATCGCAATTATTATGCTACTTTGTTAGAGATGAAAAAGACTATTGCTTATATAAGAGATTTTCAGACCAGAGAAACTCAAGCTGACAATATCACTGTCATTGAAGATGATTTGGATGTTTCCTATGAAGAAAATGATGGATCACCTAATGAACAAGATTATTGTAAGTCTTTGATCCTTCTATCCTTTTAGCCTCCTTCTCCAAGAGCTTCTCCAAAATATCGAGACAACAGTCGTAAAATAGGTCTTATTCCTAATACGACAATAATAACAACACAAAAAATCTATAACCTATATAGGAAAGTGAAGACTCAGCAGATAGTCCAAGTCCGAATAAGAAACGAAACATGCAAGTCAAATAAACACTCTAAACTGCTGGATTCGGAGGCTAAGATTCCTTCTAAAACAGAATACGGACTGACGATTAGGATCTAAATGCTACAAGTTTTGGGAATGTCTCTCCTTCCATGAAAGATGAAAATAGATACAACATCAAAAATGATTCGCTCATTCTACCAAATCAAGTTGATACTCAAGCAAGACTGAATAAAAAGAGAATTACTTTAGTTAGAAAACAGAAACGAGAGGAATCCTACAAACCCTTTTCGTCCTAAACCAAAGTGGATATCAACCAAGAGAGGGAAAAATCATAGACAAAAAAGTAAAAAATGAAAGACCCTCTCAGTGATATCCCAGTCACTCCTTCCATCCAATCGGTTGATCATAAGAGAGATTCCATAGATAGGAAGGATGATAGAAGGGATTAAAAAAGGAGAACCACCAAAACCAAAACCAACAGAAGTAGAACTGCCAAAACTCATAAGACCACCAAATTAGTTCAAGAGACTCCGACTTAGGAGATTTCAATTCCAGTTTTCGAGAGATAGGCTGTATCTATGGAATTGGAGGATTTTGAAGTATTAAAGAACTTTTCTCACTATTTCAGTTGGAATAATGCCAAAGTGGTTGTTGCAAGAACCATGAAGGTTATATTGAAGAATCTTGAAAAAAGAAGATATTATTTTCATTAATTTTCATTTTATACATTCAACTCACTAGCCATTGCAAAGATATCGAGGATAAAAAGAAAACTCAAATTAATGTAATCCTTATATATAATGCCATTATTTTAGAGATGATCCACCCATGGATAAAAAATCTGTTCATCCACTAAACAAGGCCATTAAGCTAAGGAGGGGCAGTAAGAGAAGCACCTAGGCTGATGATATTATTGGATTGTTCTAGAAGAAACCTCAATTTGGAACTCAAATTTAAGTTCTCCAAGGCATTTCTCTTTCCAGGTTTAGTCGAAATGATTTGGACTTCAGATGAATCAACAATTATGATCTCTAATTATAATTAAAGCATAATATTATTTGAATCTCTAATTTAGAGATCTTTATCTTGGTGTGCCAATTGAACTGATAGCGACATCATTATAATTTTCACCTAGAACTATTCAAACAATACGGATTTTTCTTTATGATTTATAATATATTATAGTGTAGATGTTTTGAAAAATAAAATAATAATTTATATTAAACAATTTCGGGTTAATACTAATGGAAGAAGTATGAAAATTATTCACCTGTAGGATTTGCATTTTAAGATTCAAATGTAGGAGATGCCATCAGCTCCTCCCAAACCCTTAATATAAACATCGACAGATGAACCAGCCAAATTGTCTGTAGCCTCGACTTCAGATTCTGTTCCTCTTTAAACGTCAAATTATGACTTGAATCGAGCATCTCATCCTAAAGCGTGCATTTTCACATGTCTATTCAAAGCACTCGCATTGATGTTCTACCTCATTTTCGGGGAAAGCATTTGGTCATTCATATTGGTGATTATTTTTTCCGCATTCGACTTTTGGACTGTTAAGAATATCACTGGAAGGTATTCGTATTCTTGCTAGACGTAGATTGTTAGTTGGTTTAAAGTGGGAGAATATCATTATGGAAGATGGGTCTTCAAAATGGGAATTCTACTCCCTCCCGAATAAATAGGTGAATGCAGTCGATAAAACCTTTTTTTGGACTGCTCAGTTAGGCTTTACTTTGGCTTGGGGAGTGTTTACTTTTTCAAATATGGTCTCATTTACATTAATGAAAGTATTTAGGATGACTAAATTAGTTTGTTATCGACATAATAGGGTTGTCGTTGTGTTGGACCAATCTGGTCGGATACTACAAATGCAATGGAGATCACAAATAGAAAGTGAAAGATTTGTAAGGGGATATTACAAACAAGGTAGTTACTAATTTTGTTGGTTAAATGATGTCTAAATGAAAATAAATTATATGTATAATTATAAATATTAATTTGGAGATGGATAGCTATACAGCAATCTTAGTGGCCTTGATATTGGGATTTAGTTATTTCATTTATAATGTCATAGCTTGTCACATGAAAAAATAGGATTATTCTGAAATAGATGATGAGGAAGTAAACCATTTATGAAGTATACATAAAATCATTCGTTTTTTACTTTTTTTTCAATGAAATCGCTGAGATCACTATCATCTTCCTCTTCGCTATCAGATTCCTCTTCCTCGTTGCTATCATCAGAACAAAGTGCAGACTCCTCATCCTCTTGACTCACCTCTTCTTATTCCATATTATTTTGAGTTTCGATTTCAAGTGGTTTTTTCTCTTCCTTTGGCTTTACATAAATCTGTCCGTATTAATCCTTTTCATCCAACTCTTTCAAGTTCTGCAATATCTGAAAAGCGTACTTTCGAACTTCGGAATCCTTGGAAACATGAATAAATGAAATACTGGTTTATTTATGCCGTTCATAATGTTGAGAACCTCTAATTTCTTCAACGTTTTCAATGAATCTAAGTCTGTAAGATCCCTTAGGAAATTCCCTCCTGCGATCAGAATTTCAAGATTGGGAAAAGCCTTGGCGATTTGTTGCAAGGTCTTAGAAGTTGTAAAGTTGTCTAGATACTCAAGTCGAGTGACTGAACTCATTTATTATAAATTTTCAAGTGATCGGATGCCGCATTAATTTAAACTCAGGATCTCCAAATTGGTGCATTTATGAATTTCTGAAACGAAGTCATCTGGTAATTTATTAAGTTGGAGATTATTAAATCTGAGTTGCTTGATTTCAGAGTAAGCTTGTGACCCTATTTGCTTTTTCAATTTTTACTACCAACTCATTTAGAATAAATTAATGTGGGGAAAATTTATTTTTGCAATATTTATGTATATTGAAAATTTCAAAATTTGCCTTAGTTTGAAATCAAACTAAGAATTTCATCTCCACATGTTTCATCATATCTTTGTTCTTATTTTATGGCTGCTAATGCCTAAATAAGTTGAGTTATTTGATGCTCAGTAATATTGAGTTATTGAATTTGTTCATCACTCATCTACATAAGCATCTTCTCAGATATTTTGAAACCCTGGAGAATTTTATAGATGTACTCTCCCTAGAATTGATGTTAAATAAATACTTCATGTAATTTCAAAATTTCTTCATAGAGTTTTTTCGAATAAGTAAGATAAGAATTAGTTTGCACATTATTTTATACCTTCATGGTGTAATTGTTACTCATAAACTGTTTTTGATCTGGAGTAACAGGAGCAGTACGAGGTTTTTTTTGAGATTAGTATTGTTATTGAATAGTGTGTTTTTTCTTTTGTGTTTTTGAACCATCTGAAAAATCAGAACCTCTTCTAGATTGAGTATCAGAAGTTTTAGTGTTAGAAATTGATTATTAACAAAAGGGCTGTCCAATTTCCATCTTCTCTCTGCTCAAGTAATCTTGAGGAATGTAATTGGGTATTATAGGTCCTAAATAGTTTGATGTACTCTTGTATGGTTGTCTTTTAGCTTCGATATGAATGTTGGGTTCTTCAATAACCCAAGAGTTTTCTGCAACTTACTTGCGCACCCTAAATGGCATACTTTAATTACCTTTTCTCCTATTCAGAATGAAAGAAAGCACATTCTCCTTATTTCTTGGTGCAATTCTACTGTGTACAAGGTTTAGTCTTATAGATCAAAGGATGGTATTCGTATTCCTTCCACCCATGACAATATTTGCATGATTCTTAATCTGGACAGCCTCCCTTATCGTAATTTAAAATTTGATTGGTTTTATTCCAATGTGGACACTCCTTGGGTTACAATATTTTCGGATCTCTTCTGAAATCCTGTGCATTATGAGCATAAACACACGATGCCCTGTCATGACTAAAACATCAACATTTAAATTTACTTGACAGTATGAGGACACCACACTGTTTTATATTGAAATATCCAAAAATTTTTATCTTAAACCATGCCATCCAATTTTACTGGGATAATTAACTCTTACTCCGAATGAGCAAATGAACAATAAACTCCATATTCACAATCCCTTAAATGGGTGCAATATTTTGTCTTGTATCTATTTGGATGATAGACTTGCTCAACCTTATTATGAGACCATTAGCACTAATCTCCTCTTGGGCATTTATTCGCTTATGGACACAATTGGCATCTATAAATTAAAAAAATAATTGTTATTCCATTTTTACTCGTATGAATGCTATTTAACATCGCGTCTTCGGTCTGATTCATCATGAAAAAAAGGGCAAAACTTTTTTTGATCGATTTAATGCTAACTCTCACACTTAAGAGTTTTAAATTAGTGATGGTTGATATGCACTTTAACTTGACAATTAGGATTGTAAGCATCCAAATTTGTTAGTGAAGATTCATGAGATCGGACTCTTCTACTGCCAAGCATTCGTTAATAATCTATTTATTATAATAACTTTTTATGGACCCCTCTTCATCATAAACATATATAAAGTAACATGCATAAGACAATTCAAAATCTAATGAGAATAAAGAGGGCTCTCAGACTCAAATCAAATCTTAAACCAATTTTAGGAATGGATAAGAAAAAAACGACATCGGATAATTTAAGGACAGCGAATTACAAACCATAGAGTTCATTGCAGACAATATCAAGTATCAATTAGATCCGAGGTATATGTTATGGTCGACTGAACTCTTAAAACAAGATAAACCTCAAGATCAAAATACTTACAATTATCAACATGAAAATCAATCAATCAAGAAGAAATCTCATAAATTTATGGACCTGAAGAAACTCTACGAACACAACAAATCCACTATTGAAGGGTTAAATAAAGAACTTAACGATCTCGAATTGGCACGTCAAAAGACTGTGCAAAGACTGTATGAAGTGCGTTAAGAGAAAGAAAGAATGCGCAAGATCTTTAAAGTTGAAAGAACCAAAACTGAAAATTTGAAAGGCTGCAAAGAGAGACTGGATAAACTAAAAAAAGAATTGGGTTTTTGATTATTTATGCTATTTCTTTTAATATCAATTGCTCTGGCTTAATAACTTGAGTATTTTAACGATGCCAACTTTTAGAAACGAACTCTCATATCCAAACACTATGTAGTCTATGATTGGGTCATTGCATTTTGTGATCAGGAATGTGAACAAGAAACTATTACTATCGTAAATTCCTTTCCAGATTCGTACTAAAAAGGACTCGTGAATCTCTAAACCAATCCATGGATCAAAGACAACATAGCTCAAAAAGGCATTTGGATTTATCATTTGAACAACACGATGTGCGAGTTTAAGAATGGAAATTGCCATCACCATCATCAAGTCCCTTAAATATATAACATCCCAAAAGTCAACTTCTTTGAGCCCAGAATGGTAATTCTATTCACAGCATATTTTAGATCGTCGTCTAAATAGGATGTGTTATTTTGGTCATATTTTACATATTGGCATTCTTTGATTTAAAAAAGAGATTTTGGGATACAAAACACAAAGTAAAATCATAATGAAAGTATTTAATACATATTTTAAATGTTCATGATCAATCATTTATTCTCATCGTTTTTTCAATCATATTCTTCACCTCTACATCTCAAATAAAAAAGAGTAAATTGGATTATTGAATAATATTATCAATTCTAAAATATAGAATAAATAATGATCATTAATTTTTTGCTCTTTGCAATAGATTGCTCAATTTGTTTAATCTTTCATCAATACTATGCAAATCCTCACAACTGGCTTCCATTTTATTAGATGGAGTTGTTACTATAGTATTTTCCTTATTTTTTTCTCTCAAATCCCTCAATCTTTTTAAAAGTCTCTATTCCTCAGGATCTTCAAATTTTCTCGATTCATTCGTTGTAGTTTACTTTTGTTTTTTGAATAAATTTGAATTTGATTGTTTCAATTTTTAAGATGTTTTGCGAGAAGAGTTTGACCTTGCAGATGGACTCTAATCTGTCCTTTTTGAATTTGATTTACGTCTGAAAGAGGACTCAGTATCACTATCAAAACTCTCTTTTCTAATCTAAATATTTTAACATAAATTATACTCTGATGGGAGTTGTTTTCTCTGCACTCTTCTTTTTCGATAAGACTTTATTAATGCTGCTTGAAACCTTGAATTGATTAGAAGATTTAGAAGTTGAAGGAGATCTTGAAATGTTAGGTTACAATTTTGTTTTAGATCTTGTTAGAGTTTATTATAGTTCCTATTCCAAAGATGATATTCTCTATTTGTTTTTTTTATCTTGGTTTTTTAATAGGTGATTTTCATCTATAATTTACTGGAGACAATCCTCTAATTCAATCACTTTCTTAGTGATTTCTGCATTTGTACTTTCACTTTGCAAATATTTTGATCTCAATTCAATATACTCCTACTTGTTCACAGTTGTTGAAGATTATTGATGCAGTATGTTCTTGAGTTCCAAAATGTCTCTATCCTTTTATTCCAATAGATTTTTTAAAAACTCAATTTCTTTATTCTGTTCATTTATGACCTCCAAAGGATTAACTTCATTTTTCTTTGACTCTAAAAGTGTTGTCAATTGTTTTGCTTATTGCTCATTCTCCCTTCTCAGCCTTATAATGGTATTCTTCATTTGCTAAATATTGGGCTGCTCATTGAAATTGAGGGGTAATGGGTAATGAACTTTATCAAACTCAACAATGTAACTAAGGATCAAATAACGTTTATTATTTGGGACCAGACTTTGTTATTGATTTTATTTGGGTCTTTTGTTTTTGATTTGCTCTAGATCTTAGAATGTGAGAATGTCAATGTAGACAGTATCTGTCTGATTTTTGATTGCAGATTGCAACATCTTGATAAATGTTGGGTATTTCTTATAATTCCCAGTCTTGGATGTGATTTCCTCGATATAGGATGCTTAAAAGTTTGCGATCCAAGAATCCCCTGATTACTTTGATTCTACATCTATTGTCAGCATTTCAGTATTGGCATTGATATTTATGATGTAAGTGATGTCATGAAAGTTTCTTTCCACATTTATATCAAGGAGATCCTCCATTTGAAATTATAATTCAGTTAAATAAATTAATCAGATTTTAAATTCATAAACATACTATGCTCACAAATGATTGATTACTCCATATTATTGAGAGAGCCATTAAGTCAAGCGAAATGACTTTACGATCGAGGTTTATAGATATATCTGATATATTCTACAATAAATTAAAGATATTTATGTAGTTATATATATAAAAAAGATTAATTTACAATAATTTTTATATTAAAGAGAGATGTTCGACTAAGATTTCATACACCAGTACAGGACCTTAAATACCTTGATTAAGGAAGGGTATGCTTTTGCAATTTCAACACAATGGTACTTATTTGAAATCATCCTCAGGTTTAGATAATTTAATAATTACTTATAAAATCCAAATGGAGTTAATATTAGTAAAATTGGAGAGATTAACAACCAAAATATATGTGATCTCAATCATGCCTTTTAACCAAACGTAGATGGATATTCAATACCATAATAACATAGTATGACATTCTCACGAATTTATTAATTGAAATCTAATGTTAAGTATGGTTAGGATTACGAAATTATTTCAATAGAGATTTGGAGCTTTCTCAAATTGTATTATAGCGCAGGTATACAATATGACGAAAAATGAATCTAGATTATGAGGTGATTGTGTTTGTTACTCAAATTCTCCCAAACTTAACAAATTATTTTACTTGTGAAAATTTAGATTAAGGTGTTTGCATTTGCACTGAAGTGTTTTACCTTGTATTGGTGGTTGTACAGCCACATGATAAGGGTCTAATGATGGCCATAAAAGTGCCAGCTTGTCCTTGGATCAAATTTGATAAATTTAGAAAGTACATCTACGATATGTTAGAACACAAAATCAATCTCAAAACATTCAATAACAAAGCGCATATGTATTACAATGGCAAAAAGGTGCCTTTCAAAGGCAACAAGACCTTACAAGAAATGGAAATAACGAAGGAAATGCAAATAATGATTTCATGTTAAAGTCTGATCAATGGAGACGTAGAGGAGGAAATAGAAACCGACGAAGATGAAGATGATTAAGAAATTGAAAAAAGTAAAATAGCAATCACTAATAGATTTACATACCAAACAAGAGTTCTTATAAATTTTAGAATAAGCTTTGAACTAGCAATCAACTGAATTGCTAACCCTTAAATCTATCGAAGAAATATAGCAATGTCTAGAGTAAAATGATTTCTTTTAAATTTGAATTTAATTAATAAATAAATATCCATAGCAGCATTATGAATCAATTTTTTCATTCTTGATATACCACAATTAGTAGAGCATATTATCCCTATTTTTAATCAAACATAATAGAAGAGTGGTTCTAAAATAGAATAAATTTTAATTACTTTTACAAGCTCATCCATTAGAATATTTACATATAATCTTAACGAATTTTAAGTCATATGAAGTGTTTAAATATAAATTCTATAATAACAATAATAGTTAAATTATAAAGTTCATCTATCACTCTTCGAATTGCAGTGTCATATGATTTTTTACCCTATTCTAAATAGCCTGTTTAAAGTTACCATAAATTATGCTTGCCTTATATATACTGAGCATTTTGATATTGAAGAAACCAAATGATTATGCATAATTAATATATTATTTAAATAATTAAAAAAAATAAAAAAAAGAACCGCCCTCCAAGGGGGTCGAACCCTTGACATTTGGCTTAAAAGGCCAACGCTCTGACCAACTGAGCTAGGAGGGCTAGCTTGATAGTTATTGTGTGTGAATTTAATAAATAGACAGGTGTGGATCATTAAAACTTTAATTCATTATCAAATGATAATTCTCTGTAGCTGTAATTCAAAGATCGACTGCTGAGACGACTGCTATTGATTTTTTTGATCATTGAATTTTGAGTTTATAAGAGGGCTAGATGTGAAGTTGGTAATAATTACTATTTAAAAATTATTCCTGCATTGAAGACAATATTTTCATATTTTCCTTAATGTGTTCTAACATGTTCGAATGTTGTTTATTTTGGTAGGTTTATGCCAATTCTTGGAGAGATAGATGAACTTAACGAAGAGTATGGGTCCATTGTTCTTCTGATTGTTTTTCTTCAAATGATTTCCAAATAATGAAGAGAGTCACAACAGTAAAATAAGAGATTATAAAATAAATTTCCATAAATTATTTATTATTATATAATGTCATTTGTTTGTTGAATTGATTTAAAAAATTTTAATGTTGAGTGCTTCTGATATCTATCTTGCGATATTGTAGAGGAAATGTAGATGAATTAAAAAACTTGCTGTGGCAGCAAATTAAATTAAACATCCTTCATCGATAATTGTTTGTCCAAGTATTTATCCGGAAATTGTATTTAGTAAAATGACCACAAAGATGTAAATTGAATTCTGATATTCTGGCAAGTTTTAATTGCTGACATGGTTTAGAGCAACAACCCCCACTGCTTTTGACATAGTGAATCCGACAGTGTACATATAGGCTCTCACATGATCTTGAATCACGTTGGTCTGTGAAAACAAAATGCTATACAGAATGACAGTATTAAAAAGGAAGAAATATCTTAGTTACTTTAATAAGGAAGTGATGGTGGTGAACCTCTTGATCTTCAGGAAACTAATAGGTTAGGGCATGTATATTTTACACTGCAGGCATAGTTATGATAACTGAAATAATGAACATAAGCATAACAAATTGGTTGATCTGGTAATCGAAGAACCATGGCAATTTTTACACCCACATGTCGCATCCTAATTAAGAGTTGATCAATACCATAGTAGGCAGTTGCTGCAAAGACTACTGCCACACTTATTGTGCCTTCTGCTGCAGCATTGATTATAGGCAGGTTCATTTCGTGCGTATAATATTCTTCGTGAGCAATTATATAGAATGGCACAGAGGGAATTATGTAGAGGATGACAGAGAAAATTGTATTGCCAAATTGCATTGCAGTAGTCATGCTCGTGCCTATTTGAAGAACATAAAAGCAAGATGAATACCCTATAGCAAGATGATCATGGAATCAAAATTGTGATCCAAAATCATTCCCAGAGGTGAGGAATTTTCTTATAAACATTTATTTTATTTTTACTTGTTCTCCTTGCTTGCTTCCCATCCAAGTTGTCGAAATTCTTCTTAAGATACATATATTACCATGTATAGCATATGCAACAGGGCTGTCAGCCACAGCAACCAATTCGGAATGAATCCCGCAAAGTTGTCGCCCATCACAAAAAAGTAAAGTATATGTGGTAAGATAATACATGCCAGTCCCATCAATGTTAATACATTTGGTCTAATAATAAAGGTTGATTCAAATTCAAATACGCAACATTCATAGGTACAAATCTTAGACATAATTCAGCCAAAGGTGAGAGTATGTAATTGTATAGGAGGGACTGATCTGTGCCCTTATAGCGATAGCTCTTCAAGTAATGTAAATGAGTGGGTGCAATAAAGTCGTAGTTGAGGTATTTCATAAATTAAAATTATTTATTTTAACTTGTAAACACTTCCGCCCAATCTTTTTAATTTTCTTCATTCTCCAAACTTCGCTTTTGCTCTCCATTTAAATAATAATACTAAATAGATTAAAAGAGAGAGAGAGAGAAAAATCAAAATTTATTTTACCAAAAAATCAAAATTTGATTGTTTATTAATTTTTTAATATATGATTGTATAAATTAATTCATTTTTATTAATTTATGTCGAGCACTTACTTGGAATAGGTGAGAGCAGCCTTCTCCTAAATCGAAGTCATCGAAAAGACCATAGTATTTTGTATGCAGAGCAAACAAGTGATTCCCAATTAGGCAGTCCTCTTGGATCACAGAATCCACAACTTAATTCAAATGGCGCAAAAGACAGCAGCCGATGCCTTGATATTGATAGATGGTGCTGATGGTTGGAAGAAAGAAGAGATGAATTATCTCCAAGGAGTCGGAGGTTCAGGAGATGTCTGGGAAAACTTCTATGAAAGATTCAAAGAAATCAAAGATTATCATAAAAGAGTAACCAATGTTCAGACTATGCAAAATAAAGTACATTATATTAACTTAAATGTGTTCAGGTTGAATTTTACTATGAGTAAGCTTTTGCACCACCATTCAAAGAACCTTATTTCTCCGGAGAAGAACATCATGGTAGATTTCTTGATATGCATGCTAGCTATAAGGAATTCTTGAATCTCAAAAAGTTAAAGGAAAGCAACAAAATCAAAATTGGGGATTATTTGTGGTATTTGCAAAACTTTTAAAATTTTCATGACATCCCACTATATATCAAAGAAAAAGAGGGAAGCAAATACAAGAGATATCTAATCAATATGTTGGAATATTTGCGTAGTTTTTATTTAAGAGTAGATCATTAATTTATTTTAGGTAAATCCATTATAAGATGTTAGCAAAATTGAATAAAAAATAGATATTGATTTTTAAACCTAATGGGAAAATGGTTAAGTTAAGGGTTGGGAGCATAGAAAGGAAGAAACTGAAGAAATGAGAGGACATCCTCATTATTGTGAAGCTTGTTAAAAGAAATTCTAAAATGAAAATACCTTTGTTAATCATTTTGATGGCAAGAAACACAAAGCATTAGCTAAACTAAAAGAAAAACAGATTGAGCAAGTCATTTAAGCTAGCAATCAATAAGAATTGCCCAAGGAAGACAATGAAGGTCAAAGGAAAAGGAAGATGGCTTACTTAGAAGTGGCCATCTTATAATATAAGGATACACTACAATAACAATTGAATGACACAATGAATTTAGTGAGAAAGAAATAAAGTAGAAGATATGAAGAAAATGAAGATGAAGAAGCTGTTCCAGTTTAAGATTAATAATTAGGTAGCATTGAGTAATTATATTATGTAGATCAACCTGAAGAAGCAAGTAGTGAAGATGAAAGTCCAATCTATAATCCAAAGAATTTACCATTGGGATGGGATGGAAGACCTATTCCTTATTGGTTATACAAACTACATGGTTTGGGTGTTGAATATAAATGCGAAATATGTGGTAATACATCCTATTGGGGAAGGAAGGCTTTTGAAGATCACTTTCAAGGTTGGAGACATTCTTATGGCATGAGGTATTCGATTCTATTATTTTTTAGATGTCTGAGAATACCAAATACTTTGCATTTTAAGGAAATCACTAAAATTTAGGATGCCATCAGTTTGTACAAAAAAATTCAATAAGATCAAGAAAGAAGCAAATTCAGACCAGAATATGAGGAGGAATATGAAGATACTGATGGAAATCTTCTTAATAAAAAAACTTATTATGATTTAAAAAAATAAGGATTGTTGTGAAAATATAAGCAGTGATATAAGTTAACATATAAAAAAATATTTCTGGTTTTAATGAATCAGTGGAAATTCGTTCGTAATGCGGTTGGATTGTTTGGTTCCGCAGTTCATGAGGGATAAACAAAAACAGGAACAGAATTGGCACCAAGATCACTCAGAGAAGGTGGTCTCATATCAGCCTTGTATAATTTGGGTTGGGAAATTAATGATATGGGAGATATCTAAGGTAAGAATTACAGACTCCACAATGTCAAAAGCCAATAGTTTCGTAATAGTCAATAATTAGGTGTTATCAATGGAGAAATTAACAAAAGGTCCTTTGATATTGCCAAACAGAACAAGTTTATGCTTAATATTGGAGGAGATCATAGTGTAGCCAGTGGGTCAATCCATGGGTTGTTATAACATTATGGAGATGAATTAAGAGTTGTTTGGGTTGATGCTCATGCAGATTGCAATTATGAACTTGGACCAAATAGAAACTATCATGGAATGCCATTGGCTCATCTATATGGTTCCATTCTAGAACCAATTAAAGGGTTTGAGTGGTTAAAACACAGATTGGATCCAAAGAATCTTATTTACGTTGGCATCAGAGACATAGATCCAATGGAACGAGAATTTATAAGAGATTAGAAAATAGTATATTATGGAATGGATGAAATCATTGAATTGGGAATAGGATAGGTGATGAATCGAATTCTTAAGCAATTTGAAGGCAAACCAATACATGTCAGTTTCGATGTTGATTCAATAGATCCTGAATTTGCACATGGAACTGGTACTCTTGTTGATGGAGGAATTTCGTATAGAGAAGCTCATTATTTATTAAGAAAATTGGCATCATCAAAATAATTAGTAGGAATGGATTTGGTAGAAGTAAATCCTCAACTAGAAAAGACACCAGAATTTAGAGAGGAGTTTTTCGGAGATTTCTAATAAGTAATAATTACTAACTATAATTAGATTGGTAGAATATAAGGAACATAAACTGTGGCTTTAGGTATTGAATTAATAGCCTCTGCATTAGGTAGAACACTTGTCTTATGAATATTGTTTATATCTATATTAATATAAGTTTAAATAAATTTTATTTATGAAATTTATCAATATAAAACTATTTCTTATTAATTATAATTAATGTAATTACCTTAAATAATATATACTTTCTTGCTAAAGTAAAATCCTAATAACTTAAATAGTGTGATTTTCTCTCTTAATAATCTAAGAATAAATCTATTTCGCACAATTATTTCAAATTAGAGTATAATGTATTCATACTTAAATATATATTAATCCTTTTTATTTGTTAAATTATCAATATTATCCATTTCCAAGTATTTTATTAAAGGAAATGTGTAAGTATGTATTTATTTAATAGCTTAATTTTTTCTATCATTTGAGTATTGAATTCATTCAATTTATTTTTCAAAATTATTTTTCTTTTATACCAATAATTTTATAGTATTCTAAGAAATTTAATTTTCTAAAATGAAATGACAAATCTCAAAAATCTAATTTCTCTAAATTTGATTAATTTGAACTTTATTCAACCAATCTTAAATATTATAAGCATTTATATTACAAATTGATAACATTCTAATTCAAGTACTTATGCTATTAAGAAATCTGAAAATATCATATTATGTTTTCGTAGTAATTTTATTTCTATCTATTGCATTAGTTTATAAATAAATGAATTTGTGGATGTTAATCAAAGTATTTATGAATCTATAAAAGATATCTTTAAAAATTTAATTATTCAAAATTATCAAAAAATTTGTATTAAAACCCAAAATATCTGATAGATGAAAGAATATCTTAGGATTAGTAATTTCAAAATTACAGGCTTTTTAATACAGTTGAATATAGATTACAATTAACAGGAAAAATAAGAACTTTCATGATATTCTAAGCCGACCAATCATAAGACAGAATTACTTATTTTTATAATGTTAATTAGCCTCGTAATAAATTCAAAAATAAATTAAGAAATAAAAAATGGCTAGAACTAAGTAAACTGCAAGAAAGAGTACTGCTGGTAACAAAAAGCCCACAAAACATTTGGCAACCAAGGCTGCAAGAAAGACTGCACCAGCTGTTGGAGCAACAGGAGGATTGAAAAAGCCACATAAATTCAGACCAGGAACTGTTGCCCTAAGAGAAATCAGAAAATACTAAAAATCAACCGAACTCTTAATCAGAAAACTTCCATTCCAAAGATTAGTGAGAGAGATTGCACATGAATTCTAGAAGGAACTCAGATTCTAAAGCTCAGCTGTTTTAGCACTTTAAGAGGCTGCTGAAGCTTATCTTGTCGGATTATTTGAGGATACCAACTTATGTGCAATTCATGCAAGAAGAGTCACCATTATGTCAAGAGATATCCAATTAGCCAGAAGAATCAGAGGAGAAAGATTCTGATCAATTAATATTAAATTCAATTAAATTTGATATGCTCTTAATTTTTGTTATACTAATTAGTACAAATCAAAATAAGATGGTTCTTACCTGTGATTTCTTAAGCATGATTATAAACAGAATTTTGTCTTTTCTATTTAAGTGTTGTGCTTGTTTTAAAAAGACAAATTGAAATTCAAATTTTTATTATAATTAATGAATATTAAAGCTCATTTAATTTTTGAATATATCTACTTTTTCTTCACGACCTTTTAAGTTTGGCTTTGAGGTTTAGTAGCTTTTTTAGAGACAGAGGATTATGCCCTTGCGGATTTTCTATTCGATTGAGGTGTATCAAGTATTTTTGAGTGATTCATAGGTTAAAGATTCTCTTTTGATGAAGTATTTAATTTAGAAGGTTTCAATATCGACTTTTAAGCAGGGGGAAGCTACTCAAAGCTTTAACTTATTGATGTAGGCATAGGAGGTTTACAATCAGATTTATGTATTGAGGATCGATTTAACTTTTCAATTGACTTTCTATCTGTATCACAGTTTTTAGTTTCCTTTCTCTCAGATCTTTCTGATCTTAGTGTGTTTTGCATTGATTGCTATTTACCACTCAATAAATTCATATATTTATCTTCGATTTTGCTTTTCTCTACTTACAATTTTGCATTCCTTTCCTCTAATTAATAGATTTATTCACTCAAGACTCGAGTTCTCTCTTCAACAAGATGATGTATGTCTTATTATGAACTTTATTGTCTGTTTTCTAATAATTGAATGTTTTTGTCAATCAATTCTTATTTTTCCTATTGCATTAATATAATTTTATACTTATTCTAGTTGTAATACAAGGTTGTACAATTTCATGTTCTTTTCCTTATATACCTTTTTTAGTTCTTCCAATTCTTCGTTGAATGAATTTATTTTGTTTTTTAACTAATTGTTTTCAACTTCGTAATATTCTTTTTATGATTTTAATTATTTTGCATGTGCTTATTTGATCAATTCCAACTCCTCAGAATTTGTTTGTTGTGTCTACTCATTTTTCTCGTATTTCTCTAATTTCTCTTTCAATTCCTAATTCTCTATTCTCAACTTAATAATTCTATCAGCTTCGCTTGGCTATACAAGAATTGGAGGTTTGCCATCTACAGTGAATTACACTTCTTTTGGGCCACTATCATCATGCACAGAGGATTTTCTAATTTTTTCTAATGAAGTATAGGAATCCCTCTTAGTTTTGAAGTGCTTCTCCTCGCTCTAGCACTCTTAAGTAATTTTTTTTCTAAACTATTCGAATTATTCCCAATGATTTGAACTATTATCGAGTGATTAGTCTAAACTCATAGCAGTTAATAAATTTTCAAATATATATTATTTAAAATTATCATCTGTTTAAAATAAATATAAAATACATATATATTTGCATATTAATAACTTTTTCTTTTTCATGATAAATAATTATTAGAATTTTACAATCTAAAACATTCCAGAACATATCAATCAATTACAAAACTTTAAGAAATGGACTCGTGTAGGATCAAACTTAAAAGGAGCAATAATGATTGGTATAATTGAGCATTGTATCAATAATAATGAAATTGGTATATTGAAAGATATGATCTAACTTACATCATGCTAAGGCAACGATAAAGCATTAAAATTTAAGAATACTTTGTACAATGCCCTAAAGAACTTATAAGGCGATTCAATAATTATTTACATCTTAGAATACTTAATGCAAAAGGATTAATATAATAATTCCACATAACAATTTCTAGATGAATTTTTTAAGGGGAAATATAGTTATTCTCTTTCAGATGAAGAATTAATTCAAGAATTTTAGAAAGTCTTCAAAATTAAATTGATTATTTCAAAATATCCTCCTACAAAATAGTCAAATTAACAACCGATTGATTCTAAAGACAGAAATAGTATTATTATATTCAATTTGGATAATAAGTACTATGTGATTAAAAAAGAGCAGAACAACTTGGTTGAAAAATGTCGCTGTTGTTAAAATAAAAATTCAAAAGAATTGCTGAAATTTGAATGCAACCATTTAATTTGTCTGACTTGTTTAAAGAAGTAATTCTCTCAAAATTAAATTAAAATAAATTGCAATCAATAACACTGTCCCTCTTAAATAACTTATTAATAGTTCTAATAAAAAATGAAAAATTATGGAGACACTTCAATAATACCAATATCCCAAGAGTGCTGCATTCTTTGTAAAACCAAATCAAATCTTGAATTTTTAATAAGGCCACAAGAATGTTCTCATATGTTTTGCATGCAATGTTTGTAAGATAAATTCAAAACCAATTAACAAAATGATTTAAGGTGTCTTATTGTTGGCTGCAATGGTAAATTTAATTAAAAAGAAATACCATCAAGCATTTCTAGTAAAATAACACAATCTCAAATCGTTCAAAAATAAACTGAAATAATAATGAAACCTGATAATTAATAAAAACAAATCTCATAATCTATGATTTCTAGCAATGGGAAATCTATTGATAAGAATCTAAATCCCCAATGTAATTATTGTCTTAAGTAATTCACAGAAGATTTTATATACAAGACTAGATGCAATCATTTAATATGTAAATCTTGTTTCTTAAAGATATAAAATATAAATGCTGAGTAATTCAAATGTAATATATCGAAATGTAATGAAATTATAAAATCAAAAGAATTAAGTTAATATTTTAAGTTATCTTAGAGTTAAAACTCACAATAAATATGTGGCAATTGCGAGAAGATCTGCGAAAAGACAGAATCATTTTGTAAAACAAATTGTCATCACTTAATATGTGTAAAATGTGTTACTGCTATCTATAAATCATAACGAACTCCAAAGTGTCTAAAATGCAACATAGTGATAAATGAAGACTTGCTGGATGAATACTTTTTATAAATTTAGGTTCAATTTACGAAAGACGTATCTGAAATTAAGAGCATTGATCCAGAGTTTTAGGAGGATTGCACATTTTGTCACTCCCCCTTTACAGAGTACAATACTTATTAAAATTTGGATTGCAAAAACCATGCAATAGGTTCATGCTGCATAATCTTCCCATTAAATTGCCCATAATGTTAGATGAACTCATTGATTGTTGAAAAATGTATTGTAATTGTTATAAATTAGAAAAATTGCATTTTTTTTTATTTTATAATGATTCGGACTTTATTAAACATCAAACATAAGGTAAATTCAAATGATACAAATTATTTATTATTGTTAAATTATATTTTAATATCATAACAATTTTATTAATAAATCTACAAATAATGATATGAATATATGCATTAAAGAACAGTATAGAGTTTAAAATATGATCATATTTCAAATTAATATGAAATATAAAATCAAGCCTACTGCTAGGATTGAATTGTAAACAATTTCAAAAGGTGCCCTATCTGTTAGCTTTTTAGTTGCGCATGTAAGTGTTTGAACTGCATCTGAGAGATCGGGGTATTCAGGGAGATCTGATGCAGATATGATATAGATGGAATATGTTGAATTTGGTTCTAAATTTGATAAATTAAAGGAGCTAGCAATTGTGAGGTTAGTGACATGAACATTAGCAGATGGAATTTACACATTGATATTGTTTAGGCCTTTGAATATTTGGAATGGAGTTGAAATTTCGCTTTGGGATGCAACAGCAAAGATGTAACCATAGGTACTTAATTGTACTTTGATTTCGCAATCATAAAGATATGAATTACTTAAAGTAGATGATTGAATAGTGGGTACTTCAGCTATTGCTTAGTTAATTGCAGAGATGGAAACAAATGACAAGTACATTCCCATCAATCTTTTAAATTATGCATCTGATGTGATTCTGCTGATCAAGTCTTTAGGCACTGGATAAGTGTCAGTATCATTGAATGGTATAATGTACATTTGCAAAGTGGTTGTAGCCAAAAGTCTAGTGGATGTCTAGTACTCCACTTTTTATTGAATCTTCCAACTAGGTAAACTGAGTATGAAGGCTATGTAATTCATTACCGTAACAAGTTAGGCTTGATTCGCTTAAAAAGGGAGGAAACAATTGAATTATGCTATTTTACTTCTATTTTTTGTAGTGAAATTTAGACTAAATAAATCTGATGTAATTCCCTCTTGATTCTTCAACACAATGTAGAAGGCATAGTCAGTTTAAGCAAATAAGTCTAAGGATATGCTTGATTTGGCCAAAATATTCAAATATCCATATTTTGATAAGGAAGACATGTAGAGTGGAGGACCTAGACTTAATAACTCTGAGATTTCAGGTTAGGTTGTTCTATTTAAACAATACATATAATAGGCTTCAGAAATTTGATTAATTTCAATAGAAATGGTAGCTGAGTACTGTTTGATGTCTTCAACAGAAAATTTAGACAATTTTGGTTTAAGATTGGTGGCATCGATGTATTTGACTATTTATTATGATGGTATGGTGTATAAAGGATTATCACAGGTATAAAAGATGAGACGATCATCCTCTGTCAAGATATCTAATTGAGTTTATCTAATTAACTCAGTATAATTTTGATGAACTCTGAAGGTTTGTGAATTAACTCCTAATTGGAATGTTAATTTAATAGAAGACCCTGATTATTGACCAGACACAAAGTAGAAAGTATTATCATTATTTTTGATTGTTATGGTAGTTGTCTCGTAGGGAGCATTGACAGTAGAAACAGTCATGGTAAGGGAATTACCTCCGTTTGGAATGGGATACAAGGCAGTAACTAAAAAATTGAGTGTTTGAGAAACAACAATAACTTTAGATTTTTTGATGGGAGTGTAAACGGGTTAGTCCTTTTCTCCATATGTCTTCCAATAAATATAATATGTGCCAGTCTACAGTGATGAGGGAATCTAAACTCTGAATGTGGTGGACATTTTGGTATAGGAGAAAACAATGTCTTTGGGAGTGACTGAGAAATCTCCAGTTTAAGTGTGTTTAAAAGTAAGGTTTAGGGCCATTGGATATTCGACCAGAAATAATAAATCTGGAGATTCAGATCCTTGAGGTACTATGATATCTTAATCATTATTGATAAAGATCAAAGGTCCAGAATATTAGAATTCATATTCAAATGGATCCAGATTTGGATATGATTGTTCTACAACTTATCTTTCATCTTTGGATTGCATAATGAACTGTTTAATGGTCACCTCTGATAATGGATTTTCAACATAAACATTCAATTACAACTGCCCATTTATTTGATCTGCATATGCTTTTAGAACATTACTGGTGTATGTGCATTTGGAGAAACTGCATGGAGCTAATTGATCAGAGATTTCATAATCTTCTGGGAAATCCATTTCTAAATAACCATTGATTGGTATTTTGTTGTATAATATCATATCGAAAGTATATTTGGATTGCCATCTTGAATATTGATTGGCCAAATGAATACTCACAAGATAGAGCCAGCCAGGTGGAGTCAACATCTCCAACACTCCAACACTTCCATTATAATGAGTATATCGTCCACTTTGTCTAATACCAACTCTGAATTCCCCAGTATTAGAATTCTCCTCTGTGTTTGGATTAATAACATTTTAGATCTCAACTAAGATTGAATTGTATGACGTGGCATATTAGGATTCAGGGAGAGAGATAATTCTGTTATTTACACTCAAATCAGTTTTAATTGAATTCACATAAGCTTTCAAATTATCTCCTAATCTCTTGTCGTAGGTGTTAGGGAAAGTGATAACTATCGAACCATTGACAGAATCACTAGTTTCAGTTGATATGTTAAATTAATATTTGGCCCTAATACCTTGATTTTGTGGTTGGAAGGACATTTAGTTAATTACCAAAGAATTAGGCTTACTGTAATAAGTGATAGTACGATTAAGCAATGTACTCTAATCAGTACTATCTATCAACACTCCATCATAGTATGATTGAATAATAAATCCATCGCTGATTAGATCTGGTGGGTTCTATATGTTATTGATCATAAATTTAATGGATCCACTCTCGTACATTTTATTTAAGACTATGATGAAAGATGATCCATCCAATAGACAACTCTAAAATGAATCAACACCTCCTTCTACATCACAATCTGCTAGATTTGGAGGATATGGCAAATTGTCAAAATTAGAACTAGGAAATGTGACATGTATTTCTGCTCCGATCAACAAACTATTTTCAGGTTGGAATTCAATTGTGTAAGTTGCAATTTCATTGACATTTAATGGGATTGCAAATAATTACAAAATGTTGATAGTTCCTTATGAAAATACATTTGTATAAAAATAAGAAACTAAATTATAAGTATACAATTATACAGAAATTCTATCTTTGGTTAAGCATTCTTCCATCAATATAGATATATGCTGACCATCCATCGCTTTCATTATCAGGTGGACTTGTTGGAGTTTTAACACCCATACAGATTATTTAAAATATTGTTTTGGCAGGAATTGCTGTCAATTCAATTTCATCAGGATCATACCCATTACAAGTTGGAGTTGGATTACTGGCTCTTAAGGCAAACTCATTTGGAAATTAGACTCTCATTGTTGCTCCTGCTGGGATGTCATTATTAACACTAAATTCAAACTTAAAAATTTATCCAGGATATCCTCTCCCAGTTTAATATTATGTGATTGTGGCAGAATTAAAGTCATTTGGATTTGGAGCTGGAAAATAAGTGGCTCCACTTCCTTGAACAACAGCCTTTGATGCTTCCATATTCGATGTAAACACAACCCAATGTACATATCCAAAAGCTTTGGATGTGGTTGGCCATTTCAAATTTGACAACGTAATTATGCTTGTTGTAGAGGCAGCTGAAGTCAGAGGGATTTCTACCCAATCTATTTTCCTAAATTTATTGCATGTCATATCAGTAGTGTCAACAGTGCATTTAGTTGTGTCTTAGAGAAATCCATTTTCATATCCTGGCAATTGAATTCTAATTACTGATCCTACTGGAACTGCTCCTGCAAATCCTGGTTAGAAAACCAGATTAAATAGTTGATTTACTGCTTGTGCTGAGGTGGAGAAACTTGATGTCAATGTTAATTAAGTTAAAGGAACTATAGTAGACATAGTAATAGTTGTTGTGGCATAATCATATATTATCCTATTGCTATATTGTCGAATTCCACTATATATTGTTAAAATAATAGGACTTAATTGTGGATTTTAAATTGCTGTAACCTTGATGTTAATGGCAGTATTTTCAGTTATTTCTTTAAAATTCTTTAATCTAATTTCAGGTAAAGTAGTTGAACTGCCTTAAAAGATTTCACAATCTATTGAATATTGATCCAAAGGGACAAGATCAGTAATACAAAACAGAGTATCAATTCCTAAATCGGAATCCCAAGTTAATAAAGGACCAAACTCAATCCAGATTTCACCATGTGGAGATGGTGGCTCCAATGTCGGATAAGTAGGAGTTGAAGGAGTATCTGTACCTCCATCTGTTGTACCTCCATCCGTTGTAGTATCTCCATCAGTTGTAGTATCTCCATCAGTAGTAGTACCTCCATCAGTAGTAGTAGTGCCCTCATCTACAGCTCCTTCATCTGTTCCGTCATCTACTATAATAATGTATGGTGGAATTTTCACACTGGGAGTAAACTTAACTTATAAGGTTGCATACAAATTGACTGTACTTGTAGATAACTTAAATATTTAAAATATATAATTACTCCTTAACCATACCAAGTAAATTATGCTCCACTATCTAATTTTGGATTTATAGTTATTTTGACACTTCCCGATTCAATCTCTACATTTGAAGTATCAAAAGTATCATAAATTAAAAATTAATTTATTGCATAAGAAGGTGCCTTCAATATTCCATTTATGTCAACCGTTTTAGTTCCTGAAACTGTGGTAGCGAATGTCATTGTTAAAGTTGTATTAACTAGTTCACAAAGTGAAGATGATGTTCCTCCTAATTAGCATTAGGTATTCGTAGGAGTTGTAACCTAAAATTACCATTATAGTCCAAAATTAATCACAATCTTACTAGCTAAGTTCTTGATGCTATTGATAGTAAACTACAAATTTGTAAGAGAATTAGCATATGGAGAAGTAAGAGTAGCTATTACTGGGCTATATGTAGTTACTTCTATAATATTGACTGTTAAATTAGTATTGCATTGTTCAATGATGTGAGTTCCATCATAGGTAGTTTGAACAATAAACGATTGACTCTAGCCAGCAATTTAAGGGTTGACTACTCTGAATACTATTTCAATATCACTATATTAAGGTATCTGATATAAAAATGATTTATACTTCTTCAAAATCTGTAATGATGAATTAATATAAGGTGGATGAAATGACCAATGCATCACTCACAATGCCAGATGATACAAATATGTAATCATATCCATTGGCCAATTAAAAATTCAATGGCAATTAAACTACAATGCTTCCACTCTTGGGTACAGCATTTTTTATTTTTAAATTGAGTTTGTAATCTGAAATTATAGTGGTCTTTTTTGATCCTGGTGTTAGTGTGATATTAATGAATTGACTAGGCTAAATGTATAGGCCATCAACAGCTGATCTCCAAGCATAGGCCATCTTTGTATTCTTCCTATAAGCTACGATTCTAAAACTAGGAGTAGTCTAAGAATAGGATGGGTTTTTAAAATTGATTTGAATACCAAATGTAAGCAAAGCAGCCACACTAGGGAAGCCAGTTACAATAATTCCATCCTCACATTTGATTTCACCACTTAGGGTTACGAAATTAAATGGAATTAATTTACATGTAGTCAGATCACTAATCAATGGACTAGTAATTTATAAGTAAAATCCAGAAGGCAAATCAATAGGAGGTTTTATATAGAAATTGTATAAGGCCATTTCATTAACCACATTAGTACTATTCTCATCTATTTTGATTATCATGGAGTTCAAATCAAGCGCATAATCAGCTATACCAACAGTTCCAAAAATCAAGTTTTCATCGAAAACATTCTGCCCAAGTTTAGACCTTACTATGAAATTTCCTGTTCCACCTTTTCTCTCAGGGTTCTTTACATTATTGATTTTGACAGTAATAGTCTCATTGATTTGAATGTCATTTTCCATATAAAAGCGTACCAAGTATCCACTAATTGAGCAAACATGTGAGCAGGTATCATCTAAGACAAGATCTATGCCCAAGCCAGAGAGATATTATGATGGGAAGATGATTTATAATTCACCTCCAATAGGAATAGCTGATTCTGGAATCATCTTGAAGGTGTAATCCGCAAATTCATATCGATTAGAAATTGATAATGTTATGGCATCGGAGGCTGGCCATAATGTACCACAGAGGATGTTTTATATTTGTAGTAAAATAAAAAGCATATTAAAATAATTTATGAATAGCTTTTACTTTTGATATTTGAATATCTCAAACCAAAGTTTATTAGAAACAAAACAATTCCAAGATAAGTATAAAATAGACAGGTCTGAGGAAACAAATGAAGTCTTAGATGAGATTAATTTTGTTGAAATTATTCTTTATTTTTTCCTCTATTAAATTACTTAAAGCAACATAGAATACTGATTAAATGATTTCCTTTACCGAACCTTAAAGAATAATCCATTTTTAATCCAATATAAAACGAAACATAAATCATACATTATCCCATAGCTATGTTTTCTATTCCACTATACATAGTTAAGATGATTGGGGTTTGTAGTTAGTAGTTAACTTACCTTGTTGATAACTTAAATATGTAATATATATTTACTCTTTTCATATCAAGTAAATTTTGCTCCACTATTTAATTTTGGATTTATGGTTATTTTGACATTTCCAGGTTGAATCGCTACATTTAAAGTAATAATGGTATCATAAATTAATTGCATAAGGAGGTGCTTTCAGTATTCTATTTTATCAACTATTTTAGTCTGAATATCGGTTTAAAATTAATTAATTAAATAAGTAAAATGTTTATTTAGTAGAATATTGAAGTGACATTGTTAGTCATACCTAATTATTATAATGATTAAGAGGAGTTTTCTGGGAATCAATATAATTAAATTAATATATGATTAAGTTGAGTTAATTACATATGTATTTTTTTTTTAAATAAAATCAGTGCCAACAATGCCTATCGCGACTTTATTTTGATCTCATTAAAACTAGATCTTCTCTACTTAATTCCCCATCAACAGCCATTTTATCAGTCTTATAACTCCACATTCCACTCTTTTACCGCATTTCAAGTGTTTATTTTTATTTCTTAATTTTCTTAGCCACTCCTGCGAATTTCTCTTCTAATCTATCCTCTAAGCTTTTCATTTCCTCGACAGTTGGTTTTTTACGGAATTAATACGGTTTGAACACTGGAATATCTTAACCAAATGCCTCTCTTATCAATAGAGACTTTTAATTCAACATTGTTAATATTTCTCTTGATTCCATTTCTAATGTTTATTCATTAAGAATAACTAAGAAATCTCCAGCTTCTAGTTGTTTTAAGAATTAAGTATCTTAACCATGAACAGATGTCCCAGAAGTAAATATCATCCCTAAACCATCTTATAATGGTTTATCAATTACTACTCTTTTTGCTGGTCCTTTTTCTTGAATTTTCTCTAAGAATTATTATTCATCTTAAGCAAGTTCCTCCCTTTCTACTTTATTTCTGATTTTTTATTCATTTTTCTCTTGTTTTTCTCCAAAAGAGCCTTTGAATTTTAATTTTCCTACACTCATGATTTAAATTTTAATATTAATATTAATCACATAAACAATAAATTTTCAAAATATCTATAAAGGTACTTTTGGTGCGTATTTTGGAGCATATGTATCGTATAATTCCTTCAATCCTTGAATATAGGATTGGTGATATTTATCGATATCCTCCTTAGATGGATTTTCAATCTTAGGTAATTCTATCCCTTTTCCACAAACCGTTATCATTTCAATATGAGGTTCCTTTTGATAATAAACATAATAATACAGGCACTGTTAAAAATCTACTCCAATAGATGGTACCTATTAATTTAAATTTGTTAAGCCAAAGTCTCAATGATTAAAATCCATTATAAGTATAAAACATATTGTTTTCACCAAACGTAAAGACAGGATAGATTGTGGTTCCATACCTCAATGCATATTTTATGAATCCTTTTCTTTCCTTAATATACACTCTATTTTCTCCATATTTGGTTAAAGTTGCTTCTTCAAATCCCCCTACCATAATTCCTACATTTGACCCCTTTTTCAACAGCTTAGTTAGATTTTCGGGATGCACTCCTTATAATCCAAACAATGTTAGTAATAATCCAGAAAATGGAATTGATAGTGCAAATCGCGAACTCAATACCACCAAATTTTCGAAGAATGTATTTTTTGTGTACAAATTATGCACCATTCCCATACTGTATATGCCGTGAGGATGAAAACAAAACTAAATTATCATTGTCTTGTACCATTGAATTGCTTTTCTTAGGTTTTTCCACTTCCACAATTTCTCTCTTGTCGAACCATTCCATCATTTAGAACCATAATTAGAATTTTATGAATAATTCTGATTTCACATATTTGAATTGTAGGATCATTGTCACAATAAAAAGAATTATATTCCAAGTCTCTCTGTAAACAATCAATCTGTAGATCATGTAGCCAGCCAGTCCCATAAATAAAATCCAGAATTAAAAGAAAAATGTTCCCACGAGTACTTTGAAAGATTTTGCCATAATTAAAATAATATAATCTCTTTAAAAGAAAGAGACTTGCTATTTTAAAGCGAATTATTACGATTTCGATTAAATTAAGACGTATTTTATAATTATTCTAAAATTATAATAATTAATGTGACGAAATTCTTTTGACGATTAATATTTAATTTATATACTTTATTTTTCATCATTTCTATTCTTAGTTTAAAGTCTATTTGTTATTTAATTTTTCTAAATTTTTTGCAATGTAGTCCTCTATCTTCTGCTTTAACTCTTTCTACTCAATCACCATATCCAAAGTTAAGGGACTCCTATCAAAAGGATCGATTGAATTATTCAGAAGATGCTTTTTAATGGTGAGCCTATCCACAATAACCTAACCATCAATTACAGTCATACATTTGAATGAGGAAGTTTAACTGGATCACTCATGAACGAAAAACATAATGGATCTAAGAATTCTTCTGGAATATCTTCCTGATTTTAAAAAAGAACTTTTTATTTCTAATTTAGTTCTTCAATTTAGACTATGAATTCTTCAAATTATTAGCTATATTTTTCACAATTGTTAGATTATTATGTTTTCTTAAATAATTCAACAGAAAATGATCTATTTTAATAAACATATATGTTACCTTTCATCCTTAACCACTTCAAGAATAAATTACTTGTTTTTTCTTAAATTCATGTAGATATTTATTAAAATTTCCACAATAAACATTTTATCGAAAGTTTATAAATCAATATTTTAAGGTTTATCTTCAGATGATTTACCATTAATTTATTCTAAAATATAATTTAAATGAATTGCTAATTTTTCTCTTATTTCATCAATCAAAAATATTTCAGGATAAATAGAAGTTATGACCTCCAGTGATCGTAAATACTCATAAAAAAAATATGATTTAACTGTTAGTTCTTTTTACAACCTATGAAATTGATGATTTTAGAAAAATGACGGTTAGTCATCTTATAATTTCTTTAAATTTCTTAAGGTTAATAAACATTCCTCTATAACATATATGAAGTCGTTCAAGAAGAAATTAGAAAAGTGCAATTACTGTTCTTAATCATTCTTAAATCCGTGAAATAAACTTTCTTGATATGAAGCCTTATGTACTTAAAGGAGATATCTTATTATTAAACAAATTTTAACTCTAATGTTTAACTTCGAGAAATATTAGTTTCCTTCTGCCACTTTCTCTGTATCGATAAAAGATTATATCAATCCATCAACCAGAAATGTTCTAAGATATTTAGAGTCAAACAAAATATTAAGGTCTTAAGATTGCCTCCAATTTTACCGAGCTTCCTTTGACAAAAGAGAACCCTTTTTGTCATCAATTATTTGAAATATATTTATTGATCTTATTCTTAAGTGAGGATTTGGAAGCAGTTTTTTGTTCATTGATATTGCTGCAAATTCGCAACATTTTTGTAATTCCATGACATAGTTTATAATTTCATCATTAAAACAATAAATAGATACAAATGCTTAAGTATCAATTAAAAAAGTGGTTGACAATAACCCATAAGGATAAATAGGTTTTAAATCTGTATCTATTAGACTTAAAGCTAATTAATTAGCAAAACTTAAGAATTGCATTGTGTATTTAATACTCTTTGGGTGTAAAATTTATAAGTCAAAAGAGATTTTCTATTTTAAAAGCTTATTAATCGCTTAAGCCTAAAAGACCTCTTGCGGTAGATCTTTCATCTCTCTCATAATTGTTGAGATGTAAAATTGTTATAAACTATTAGCTACAATATGACTCAATCTTTAAGTAAATAAATATAATGCTGTCATTGGATCGATAACAGTTTTAAATTCTTCAGGTTCAACAAATGGAGTTAATTCTGAAGCCAACAAGTCAACATTCTAATACAATGATTAAAAGAGAGGATGTTTCTTACAATAACTTAATAAATTTAAATCTATTTTCTTTATGAACAAGTTGATTGTGGTTTATGAATCTGCAAATTTGTTGAATAGATAGGTAAGAATATAGAAAAAATGATACACTAATCCTGGACTTGATGATAACTTCTACAACTAAATGTTCAATTATTTTTCTAAATTTAAATTCAATTTAATGATATTTGACAGAAATTCAAATAATTTATATCTAAGTATTTCGTTTGAGTTCAAAATCTTTTCGAATAGGATGCATAATTCATCTATAATTATAAATATTTTTGCTCTCAAACTACTCATTTGCTCCATCATTTATTTCCTATCATCTGAGAAATGACTTTTCCATAGATGTCCATCTGTTGGAAAGGAGCTTAAGGATAACAAAATTCCAACTATGCTTCTTTATTAAAAATGAATTCCAGTATTAATCAAATCGAATTTGCAATAGGCCCAACTGTTTAATAATAGTTTCTCCATGAGCTTTTTGTATTATGCCAAAATATGTAATAGAGCAAGTGAATGCTTTTATAATTGAATATTGTCAAAAGCTAAGCGCTAATATAATTTGAGCTCTCTCTTCAACATAAGTTCTAAAAATTTAAATGAATCATCTTCACTCGCTTATGTTTCTAAATAATCCAATAAGTTTTTAATAGTATTTTCCGACATGCCACAATTATTTGAGCAAAATATTTCATTAAAGATAATATCGGCTCTAAAATTTTTAGCATCTTCAAAGACATTAGGGTCTTCTTCAATGTTTTACCACTCAAAAGCATCAGGATACAATGTACAAGTAAGTAGTTAACCTTAAATATGATTTAAGAGGTCAAAGTATCTTTCTTTTTTGATTCTGCCTTCAGCCAATATAACTGCTTCATTTTTAACTTCGGAATTAGATAGAGAGGATAATGATTTAATAAGGAATTTTAGTTTTTCTTACTCAGTAAACTAGGAGGATGTTAAAAACTAATAATAAACTTGTTCTATTAAAAAATCAACTGTCAATATTTAATCTTTGGGTATAAAATCGACTTCCTTACCATAAATCTATTAGGTGTTTGTAAATATTCCAAAAGTTCTAGATAACAAAATATTTTCAATATCATAAGCGCTCTGTATTTCCTCATCAATATTCTCTGAATCTGATTGCTCATTTTAATGGCTAATTAGATTTTGGGTCATCTATTATTAATTTGGTTGGTTAGAATGTTATTCTTAACCTTCAAAGTTTTTTTCATTTCTTTAGGCAGGTTATTGAGTTAATTTTTCGTTTGATTATTCCTCTTGTTGAGAATTCATTTTAGCAGGCTAAGCTTAACCCATAATATTGTAAATGAATAAATAATTAATATATAATAATTTGTATAATTACCAAACTATTTCTCACATTAATTTAGACACAAAGGAATATGCATAAGAGTACCCTTAGCTTGGATCGATAGATTGCAATTTAATCAATTTAGATTGACCAGGCGGAATTTCTATGACTACATCTTTAGAAATATCTAATTCAACTCCTTTCAAATTAGAGACTTCAAATGAAATGGTTTCTTAATATGTCCTTTGATCTTTATTTTCATAATAGAAAGCAACTCCAGCCGGAAACTTAACAAGATAAAAGAAGACTTATATATTCTTGAAATATATTAATTAATACTTCTCCTTAAGGACTTCTTTACTATTTTTAATCTGCTTATTAGATGGCTTATTGAATGATATCTTATTCAGATTTGGCTTCTATAACCTATGTTTAACATTTTAATGTGTATCCGTAAGAACCTCCGCCTTGCTTGGTTACTCTATATTTAATCATGACTGTTGATAAAGGTTTGATTTAAATTTCCACCTTGCTTGGATTTGAATAAGGAGGACATATTTCCAGATTTTATATGCTATTTAAATGAAGAACTTCATGAAGTGTTTTTTTAGTTGTTTGATTTTGATACCAATAATAAATATAGCCACCAACAATTCCAGAAATCCTTCTGATTCCAGGTTCAATATCTTTAACCTTTTCTTCATCAGTATCCCTCTCATGTGCCCTCAAAAATCCATTAAAAATGTTATCGATAGAGTGTTTTTCTTACCCAGCTGGAAATTCTAACTCAGTAAATTAAACTGATTTTGATCCATAACTTGATATTGCTAAATATCGATCATAATTTTAGGCCCAATCTACTTCAACGTATAAGGCATAATATCCTGGTTCAAATATTTTCTCCACTACAATGTCCCTTTCATTATCAAATGCAGAACCTGAATAATGTAAAACTTCTTTCTTATGGGCATCTAATTCCCCGATAATTAATCTGGCTAATGAATTTTAATGGCCTTTCTAAAAAAAGCGTTTATCTGATTATGTTAAGGATATAAATGCATGCGATTTTTCGTAGACTTTCATTAAAATCACTTTTGTGGTTACAGCATCTGATTTCTCAACTTTAAGTGGTGTTGCTGTATACAAATAATCTGGTTTAAATTTGCATACACAAACCTAACTAAATTCGGTTATAAAATCATTAACACTCATCCAAAATATTCCATCATCTTTTCGGTGGACCTATAATCTTTCTCTTAGTTCAGGAGTCCATTTTGAAGAGTTATCACTCCAGTCCTTTATCCATTCTTTTCGCCCCCAAGGCTATAAAATTTACTTTAAATGCTATACATTTCTAATCCTAATTATTCGATCAGGTTTTCCATCACTACCTATAACCCTTTATAAATCCAATATCGCATAGCAATGTTAAGATACGATACCATTTCCATTATCTTATTCCGTTCCTTGCTCATTTGTTTCTGATGATGCAGTTAGAATATATTTTTCTTTATCATTTTTTTCCATGAATTCCCAACATAAATCAGCATCTTTTAAGGTTTCAGCTTTTCTTATAAAATATTCACTTGGAGCTCCAGTTAAATCTTTTAATGCTTAGCCGGCTAAACCTTATTCAATTTTTTGGTAGGATCCATATATTTTCGCGTAAGCTTTTTCCAAAAGAAGTACCCATAATTCATTTCCATTTGCTTTGGAAAATATTGGGCCTCCTTATTTTTGACATGGTATAAAATCATCTATCACACACTCCTAAAGTATTCCATTGTTACACATAAAAATTCCATAAAGTCCTTATTATTTAGAAAAACACTCTTACCATTTTATTAATATTCTTGATGTCTGAACAATTTTTATACTTATTGTGGAATTTCTGCCAAAGCAGATAATGAACTTAAAAAATAACAATCTCCAAGCTCACCTTGCTTAATGTCCATTGGATCGATTGTCTATCAAGTTAAATAGATATTACGTCAAACAATTTAATTTAACCTGGTTCTAAAAACTGGTCTGGTCTTTTCCAAACTAAGTTTTTACCTTTTTTAAAATTAGTATCCTTTGAAAGACTACTTTAATGAGGAGGAAATAATGAATCTTCAAATTTTGTTTGTTACTTTATTTGCCTAAAAATGAACATAATATATTACATTTCTTCTAGAGCACGATTATAAATTGTTGTGGCTTGGTTAGAATTATTATGTTGGGGAATAATTCGATCAGCAACAGTATTAGTTTACTTTGTATTCACTTCTGGATGCTACTCAGGAACAATTGAAGTATCAAAAACAAAAGGTTTATAATCTACGTCGCGATCTTGAGAATGAACTTTATTGGCTTTATTGCTGGAACAAATTCCCATTTGATAAAAATTTATTTAATATTATTATAGAAAAGATTTTATAACTGTCAAAATACTTATTCTTATGTTTATAAATATATTTATATAAACAGAATTCTACCACTTTATAGAAAATTATCATGATCATATAACCAATTCATTGAACATTAAACAGATATTAAAATTGTTTTATTCTTTTATGTAGCATTAAGTATGGCCTAACTAGTTGAAGCAAGGCTGCTATATTCCACTATAGTATGGAATATGAATAGCTGATATTTCTAAAACTAATTCAAAAGTCTTTTGCAAATTCAACAATGGTATTAAAATTATACTATTTATTTAGATATTGCAATAGAATCACTTAGGCCATATATCTTTGTGTTAACTGTACTTCTAAATATTGAATATAAGAAAAGGGTGAAAGGAGTTATTGCAAGTGATTTTGGAATTTGTGCTTCCTACAATTTTTTTATTAGCTACTACTTATTTTCTAAATATAAAATAGATGTCTGCCTACTCAGTTAATAACCGAACAATCAACTAAGATATAAGTCATGTAAAAACAATTTTATCCAATTTACTGCTTACCGCAAAACTCAAAAAACTATGTATTAATCCTAATCTTGTTTCAAACTACTTTTCACTACCTAATAAATTTATTTCTATTTAGAGCTTATTTTCAAATAATACATCTATTTTTAGATTGTGTTAATTATTAAATAAATTTCATATTTTATTCTAAACTTATAAAAATAATTCACATAAGATTAAATTATGAATTTAGAAATAACCATCTTATTTGATATTATTTTTTTGAATTCTTTCCAAAAGTTTATTGTTTCTAATTCTTAAAATAATGTTCTTCATTTTCAATTCTGAACATTAATCAACCTGAATACTTGGGGTTTATTACAACTTAAATTAGTAGCATTAATATTCATGAATAAAATTGATCATATCTCCTTTAATTTTAATAAGAAAATAAACCTTAACATCCCCTTTAGTAAGTTAACGCATTTTATTGATGGTCGTAGTAACTTCTCCTTCTATTAAGAATCTTCTCTCACATTTAACAATTGATCATCATATTTTTGTTTGATGATCTTTATTTGTAAATAATCAGACATTCAAAAAAACTAAAACAACATCTTGTTAGCTATGTATTCAAAACTGAATGATTTCCATATAGCATTGAATTTATCAAAGTATCTTTAGTTGGATTGAATATTTTTGACATTTAAATATCTTTACATGGATTTAATGTAGGTGTTTTTTAAAAAAAGTTGAGGAAAACGTGCATTTTTAATTTCAAATTATATATAAGAGCATTCTAAATCCCTAGCTTTTTGAAATTTATTATAATTAATGACAATATATTTATAACCTAAATCATAATTTTCTCTTGAATCATTATTTTGCTATGGAATTAATTTAAAGACTAAGGAAAATAATCAATCACGTTTGGCAAATTAATTTCTTAGTTAATTTGTTAAATATTCCTTATTTATTTTATATCAAATTCCATACATACTATTATATTCAACGTATTTTTTAGATTAATAGCAAATCTTAATTACCATTTTATTTTGATAAATTATTAGCTGATTATGTCATCTCAAAAGAATGATTCAAAAGTTAGATCTAAATTATCAACCATAATGATGAATATGAATATAGCTATCGGATCTCTGAATATTGGATATGTTTTAAGCTATTTGACGTTGTCGATTGATACGCTTTTTGCAAACTTGTATTTTAATTAAAATAAGTTAGATAAATAACAGAGGAAGAGAGAACTTCAAAACTAAGCTTGCTAAATGGTATTCTCCCATTAGGATGTGTCGCTGGTGTCCTTATTGGGTATATTATTAAATAAAAATTGACAAATAAATAATGTCTTCAAGTTGCAGATGTTATTGGAGTTTTTAGTCTTTTGGCTACAATCTCTAATTATCAAGTCATTGTTGCTGTTAGGTTTTTCTTAGGAATATCTAATGGGATATCAAGCTTAATTATGCCTGTTTATATAAAATCTTTATGCCCTTCTTAATATTTTAGTCAAATGAGTATGCTGGTAGGTTATGGCATCAACACTGGTTTAGCCATTGGATAATTGATGGGAATAGGTTACATTAAGTATTCATTTATCATCATTCTAAAAATAGCTACCATGGTCCTACTTCTAACTGGTGGAGAGTTGTCTTTTTATTTCCTTCGATAATTTGCATAGCCAGACAATTAATAATCCATTTCATTTATAATTATGAGAGCCCAGAGCAATTAATAAAAAGAGGAAATTATGAATAAGCCAAATATGTAATAATTATTAAAAATAATAATAGGTGATTTGCCAGATTTATAAATTAGAGTATGTCGAAGAAGAATATGAAAGGTACACTTAATTAGCTTAACAGTAATTGTTATAAAAGTAATAATCATTTTTTAAAGTTTTTGAAAAACAAAAATTGATTACCCTTCAAGTAGGAATTATTTCTGTAAAATTCATTCATAACTTAGATGCTTGTATAAATATGGTGTGGGTCTTTTGCAGTATTTTATTATAGTGCACAAATATTTAGTGATTTATCAGATAATGACATTACTCAAAAGACAATATACACAATATGTCTTGGGTTATCAGGCTTTCTTGCTTAATTCTCAACTATTTATATGGTTAATAAAATTGGGAGTAAATACATTTTAAGTATTAAAATACACAACTTTAATAGTGATTGGATCTTTAATAATTGGCTCTTTGAATTTAGCTGTCTCCATAATATCTCAACATGCCAGTAAAGGAACAGAATTTGTAATTTTCATTTTATTACTTTTGCTAATAATGACATTTGCTGCTACTTTAGGGCCTGTGGCGTGGGTAATTAATCTTTTTATCCTTAATAGAGCATAGTGCCTTAAATAAATGATAGTGATGGCACATTTATATCTACTGAACTTAGATGGAGCTTCTAAGCCATCCTAATATTTTGTTTTCCGTTTTTGGAAAAGGGAATCAAGATTTTTGGTGGATTTCTGCTATTTGCCCTAATAAATTATCTATATTTTATATATTGCCATTTTTGTTTAATTGATGGAAGGGGCAAAACCAATGAACAATTAGTTGCGATGTATCATAACAAATATGGATATTCTGTTGTTCCTCTAGAGAAAAAAAATACATAAGCAAATTTATAAACTGAAGCACCTAATACTTAAGTAAAACAATTAGTAATTGATCTTCCAGAAAACTAGGAAGGGGAAGAAGATCTTCCAGAAAATTAAGATGATGCAGTAGAAATAGAATAGGAAATATGATTTGAATAATAAAATTCTATTTATTGAAACTTTAATTCAAATTAATAAATAATCTAGTTTTCTTTAAATGACTAAAGAATAAAAATCATTTCGAATAAAATATTTATAAATAAGTTAACAATGATGTATAAATCATTAATTACTATATAATCAAAATTTTCTTCATTAGTGTATTAAATTTATTTAAATATTTAATTTCCACCTTACCAAAGTGAAATTTTGACTACATGATTCTTTTTTTACAATATTGCTTGAGCCTTGAAAGTGCCATTTTGAAAATAACCTATATATCTCTTTCCATAAAAAAACTTATGAATTCCAAACCCATTATTTTTGTTTCTTTTATATTCCCCTATATATTCCTCTTTATTTAATTTCCATATAAAATGACCAATACCATTCATTTTTCCATTTTTTCATTCTCCCACATATTTGTTACCATTTACAAAGTCATTTAGCCAAATCCATTAAAACTACCACCAAAGAATTCACCAAAATATATGTAGACCCAACTTTCCAAATATATTTTCTAATGCCACTTTTTTATCCTTTATCATCAATTAGTCCTGTAAATGTTGCCCCATTTAGATAATTTTGGAAAGTTTGTATTTTCAAATCATAAGATCGCGATAAGAAGGGAAATGCCTCCTCTGCTAGCTCTCCTAAAAAAATATACCTTGCTAGATTAGAAAATATGAAAATTACTTGTACAATCTTACTAATTTAAGCACCTTAACCATGAAATTGATCCATAGAAATTCATCTTAGTAATACCTTAAGTTATTTTTATCAAACTATTTACCAAAGCTACATTTCATATTAAATTTCACATCTCCAAAATATTACACATTTTCCTTTTCAGACTGAAGTGAACTTGATCTATTAACTTTAGTTTTTCTTTTAAATTCATTATTTCTGTAATTGGAGGCTATTCTTAAATAATTTCTTACATATTCATCATAAATCAATTTGATATTATGATATGATTTATCTTATGACTTTATTATCAGTGATTCATTCTATTAAGTTTAAGTTGGAGAATCTTGTCCAGAGTTTGTTACAAGAATACTTTGCGACTTGATGGCAATTTGTGTTTTTAGGGCATAAACTTGACCAAATATTATTCATGTAAGTATTCAATTTAGATCATATATATATATTGGTTTTTTTAGATTAGTTTGGAGACTCTCTTTTTTAATCAGGTTTTTGATCTTGATTAGGTTCACAAATAATTTCCTGAATTTTCTATTCGAAAATACCTAGATTGAAAGGAATTGGTGATATTCCATAGCGAATATAGGAAGTTATAGTTTTATAATAATTTAATTGAATTGTTAATATTTCAGATAATGTAGCATTATATATTTCTCTTAAAATTCAATAACTTTGCATAAATTTAGAGATTAAAACAGCTATCAATTATCTTAGATGTATGATAAAAATAATAGTAAAAGCGTTGCTTTAAATAAAACTAAAGCTACTGAAATAATTATTTTGAAATTAGATTTTGATAAAAATTTCTCAAATATACATAAAGATTTCTACAAAAGTGATTATCTGATTGCAATCTTTACTATCAAATAATTCATTTGCTAAAGTTGTAATTCAGAAAAAGAGAATAAATGAAGTACAAGAATTTTTAATTAATATTTGAATATGCTTACAAAATTTCATTGATCTGGTCTGGATGGCAAAGTCACACAATAACTCATAATAACTACAAAAGTATTACAAGCCTAATTCTCAATTTGATTCTCATTTTTATTAAAGTTACTTTTATGAGTTTATCCCAAATATCCTGTTGAAATATTATTTGGAATTTTTCATTAAAGAATAGAATTTTAGAAATTAATAATCTTTTAAATAATCAAAAAATGTAATATATAGAGAGTGATTAGAATTCTTCAGTCACCTAATTCCTACAAATTTACATATTTTTTTATAGCTTTTATATCTTCAGTCATCAATTACTTAGAGAGCAGTCAAAATAATAAATTATTGAAACTCAGGATTCCAAATAATGTTGGTTAATTATGAGATGACTTTTGAATATAATTTTGTTAAATTTAGCATGACTTCAGATTCCATTCTCTTTCTATTAATCAATAATTACTAAAATAGATTCCTTTTCTGACACATTTTGAATATTAATTTCCTATCACAATTAATGTTATTAGATAAAGAGTTGATGTTATTTGATTAGTTGATTCGTTTTGATAGTTAAAAAAAAATGATAATAATTTAGTAGAAAATATATTTATAATTTTCATAATGCTAAGGCTAAAATTTCCAACTAAATTGTTTTGAACGAGATTAAGTAATTGTTAAGATTAATAGGTAGAGTTTTTAAAATTAAATTGAGGGCTTCATCTATCTTCATCACAGAACTAAGAAATATAAAAGTAAATAGATATCAAAAAAGATTCAAGTTAAATTTCAACCAATTTATTCAAAAGATATTCATCATAACTTTTATATCTGATTTGGAGAAGTTAAAAATATATAGAAGGCTGCTTCATGTATTTGTTGGCCTTTTATGGAACAATAGTAAATGAAATTACTAAATCTACCTTGAAATAATTGATAGAAATGTGCAAAACTGATAAAATTCTTGACAATTCCGAGAAATATATTTGCTTATATAATAAAAGTCATTCTATTCAAAGATTAATTTATAAGTTAATAAATGGAAGTAAAAAAAATGATGAAGAACCTATTTTAGGTAGAAAATCCTCAAGAGAAATTAGGAATTATTTATAATCTATTAGATTAAAACTTAAAGAGTAAAGTCAAGATGCAGAATATCATAAATTCTTAGAACTAGCTTCACTTTAAGCTTTTTCATCTACCAATAAAAAGTGAAAAAAAGAAGCCTAAGCAATTATTGAATAAAAAGAAGTTAACACTTTTAGCTCATTGGGAGTTCAATAGCAAAACATAATTCAAACTAGGATTATCAAGAAATATTGAATTTTACTAAGGATGAATAATATATTTTTTAAATCTGAATGGCAAATAGCTTTCCAAGTTTTGAAAGAGAAGCACATTTATTATAAAACGAAATTTAAAACTTAGATTGAATCTAATTAAATTCTATTTATGGAAGATAAAAAACTAAATTTTTATAGCTCTTTTGATTCAAACATCGGAATAGTCTAATCTAAAAATAAGAAAAAAAAAGATGTGAAAAATTATTCAATTTTAAATTGAAACTGTAGAGATGCGTACTTGTAGTTTCGTACTTTTTCATTTTTGTTAAGTTAAGTCGAATCCCTTTTAAGAATTGTGAGAAGTAAAACGAAACTTTTAGCAACTCTTGTAATTTGTATTTGTAATAAGATGCTAAACCCTCAATTTTTTACACTCACTGTTTGGCTTGCTGATGCCAAAAAGGATATAATAATAATACCACTTCTGTTTCTGCTTAAGGTTTGTGTTATGAAAAGGCTTTTACAGATAGTATAGCAATGATTCAAACTATTACTCCTATCACAAATGTTTAATGTACAAATAAAAGTGCTACGTTCTTTTGCTTGATGTAGTAAAGCTAGATTTCAGACACAACTAATGCTAAATATCTGATGCATTTTTGGCTGTTCAGCATGTGTTTTATTCAACTTGGAGTATGAATAGTATGTTCCACTTTGTCGAGCGAATTTTTTTATCTTATTATTGTGGCTGCTATAAAATTTAAAGAGGCTGCAATTGTATCTCCACTGATTTTAGCCCCTCTAATTTTAATTTTAGGCTAATTGTATCAACTTCTATATAGTTTTGTTGGAGATGGCAATTTTAAAGAGGCAACCTTGCACATAGCAGTAAAGTCTTATTACTAGAGTTTACCCTTTAATTTTAATTTTGTAATAATTTTCTCATGTTTGCAGTTTCCAATTAATGTATGCCTGTCCATATCCCCTTATTTTAAGTGTTTCATTCATGTACTTATAAAAATATTGCTGCAGATTTCTTCAACACTGTCATAATGTTTTATGTGAGCCGTTTAATTGAATATGTAATACTGTAATTATATCATTCATGATTGACTTCATCTTCTGAATGTGACATAGGCCTCAACAAAATTTGGATGCTTTCTATAAGGATAAGAATATATAAAAAATTTAACTAAGTATTTAGGATTGGTTTTAAGGAACGAACAAGCCACCCAGAGGAAGAAAGAAATTTTTGAATGCAAATGAAAAACTTGAAATATAGCTCTTAGGTAAGAGGCATTTTCTAGACATTAGATATAGATGAATAGAAGTAGATGATAGTTTAACTTATATAGGAGGAGAGAATATCGGATTAAGAATCAGCTAAGAGTCAAGAGTTAGTGAGAAAACTTAAGAAAGATCCTTAACTATCAACTACCATTTGGCATATCAGAGCTGTTGTAGCTTAGGAACTTCAAGGTGAGAAAAATCGAGGATCTTCTGAATGCGACTCAATTAATTGTTGGAAGAAGGGACAATTATATCTTGCCGAAAATATGGATTGGGATACTATCTAAAGCTTTTTTATGAAATTATTTTGGGAATATATGAAGTTAACTTTAGCTTAGAAAAAATTTAACTCGAATCAAAGACAGATTAAATGAGACCTTGAATTGATTGAATTAAAAGATGATAACTTTGAGAATATAAAAGGACTAGTAAATGAATGGCAAAAATTATTGAAGTTTTATTTGAAAAATCAAATATGTATATTATTTTTAAACCCAAATTATAATAAGATTAAGATGTTAGTTTTTAGAACAATGACGAATACTGTAGAATCAATTTTATAAAGTATTAAATGACCCCGATGAATAATTCAAGAAGATTATAGAATCCTACAATCAGATCATATAATATATAGGTATGGTAAGCTTATCCTTTGACGAAAGTATAATTTGCACTTTATGTATTAGATTCTTCAACCGCACTGAGAAATTCAAAAATTCCTGCCATAAAAGTATGAACCTTGCAAATGTATGAATCGAATCTATGGTAATTGGATATTAAAACCACCCAAATTTAAAGCAAGATTAACAATCTTAAGCTTTTTATAAAAGTGACCAAGTCATCTATCAATATATCAACAAAACAACCATATAAGAGTAATCACAAAAGTAATCAAAAAAGTAATCACAAAAGTAACCAATCAATTCTCTAATATAATTTATAAGATAGTAAAATGAATTGCAGTTGAAACAAATTATTCACATATATTACTTCATTTAATCTGGCAAAATTGATGATTAAGGCTAATTAATTATCCATCAACTGTTAGAACAAAGCTAAATAGCATTCCTATTTCGATTGATTTCTGGATATATGGGTTTAGAAATTAAGTATTTCGAAAATATAAACCAATTATCAAGAACAATATCCTCCAATAAGTTTAAAGAAATTATTCAAGAAAGAATTAACTGTAAATGGAAGAAAAAATTCTATTTAGATAATATCTCTAATATAGAGAATCATTTCTTTAATGAGCTCAGTCATAGACAATCAACTTACAATCACTCATTTCAAATGTTGTCTCTAATAATTGAAAAATATTTGTTTCAAATTTATTCCTAATAATCCCTGTTTGTTAGACTGTTTTGATTTGCTCATTAATTAAATCACCCTGTTTAGCTATGTCTGGTTTTAGACCATCATATTGATTAGTTTAGTTCTGTTAAAATTCTGTCAAACTAATATAAAGCGGCTCTAATTATTAATGTAATGATTTAACAAATTAGTATATATGTAGGTAAGTTCGATTAAGATAATTTTGAGTTATTTAGTCCAAGACATTTTTGCTATTTAGTAAAGGGTTCCTATTGCATCGAGAATAGTAGAAGAAATATCTAAAAATTTTATGCCATAAATTAAAATTTTATTAATCATCAGTTTCAAATTTATTAATTTAGGTTTATTAATAATTGTATACCGATGTTGATTTATTATTTTAAATTTGATAAAATGTTATCTCAAATGTCATAAATGGAAACCATTTTGCGCGGAGGTGGCTGTGGAACTTCAAAAATAAACCCACTATAATCAGGAATCTAAAATATGGATAATTAAGAACTTCATGATTTCTTTAATAAATTCAATTTTTATGTTGAGAAAATTTGCACTAAGGCTGTTGTTGCTGCTGATTCGTTTGAATCTTTATATTTAGCTTCCATATATTAAAAAAGGAGAGATTTATGAAATACGAATTTTAACAGGAATTTTTAGATATCTCTGATGAACTAAGATAACAAATAGAAATAGAAAAGAATGATTTGATTCAAAATTAAATTGAAGTCTATCTTTTCTTAACAAAAGCTTCTTTCGAGATCTCACCAAATAATAGTAATGAAAGGACATAAATCTTATCAGGATGTTTATAGGGTATTATTGGTTCGATAATTGAAATGAAGCCAAACGAATAATTGCTTGAATCATTATTTCGAGGAGCCTGTCTTATTTACAAATCGTACGAGGTAAGCAACAATAGAAAATAATTTGAAGTTTATTATTAAATAGATATGTTGTAATGGGAAATAATAAATTATTTTAAGAACGAAACATCGAAAAATCTAGACGAAATACTTTTAGAAGTTGAGCAAGTACATGAAAACATAGTAAAAAATTCAAATTTATGGAAGTATCATTATCTTTGGGTGTAAATGATTGGAAAAATCTTATAATATAATCCTCTCTTAACTAAAAAGAAATTATCTCAGCTGATAAATTCTTTCAACTTTGAATTAAAGCCAGATTAAATTTGGAATGAATATAAGAGAAAAGGATTATTAATTTAAATGAATTATAGAAATGACTAAGCAGTCATCTAACTTAATTAACTTTAAAATAATGAATTAAGTTTAATCGATACAAAAATATTAGAAGCCTTTTTCAAAGAATGGGAAATGTTCCTATTACTTAAAGATTTTCTCATAAATGAACAAGATTAAAATCACTCATTTACATTTGGATCATATCTAAAAAGCACATTAGCTATTGAAGGAAAATAACTCTAAAAAGATGAAATTATATTTGCAATTAATAATATCAAGAAGTTTTAAGACTTTCTAGTTTCCAAAAAGTTGCTTACTTTAACTAAATAAAATGATGAAAAATTGAATGGAGTTATAAAAATTTTGAGTAATTTTATGAAAAATAAGCAATATAATGAAAGAACTACATTAAAGATTTCCTTATAATAACTCAAAAAAATCTTATAAACATTAGAAGAGTATTTCTTAAACATACAGGATATCATAAAAATTATGAGTCTTAATTAACTCAAATTGAAAAAGAAGAGTGAAAATAAGAATTTTGAGGAAATTAATAAATTGTCGATTAAAAAAGAGCTATTAGTATTGTATATTTTTGAAGATCAAAATGTTAGAGGTGAAAATGATGCTATATAAGAGCTGAGAAATTTAATTTTTGAGGAGTTAAAAAATTTTGATTCCAAACCCTTAGAATTTTATTTTCTTGAGTCACCTTATAAAAATAAAAGTAAAATTTTTGGAGAAGTTTAATAGTTGATCTAGATATATCAGAAAGAAATTTACAAGTTAGAAATAAATGAGCTTCAAAATGATTTATTGCAATATTTTTGGAATTTAGTAAATAACCTAAGTTAATTTTATGAAAGCAAGTGTAAAGAAATTTAAAACACCTTTTCAGAGTTCAATTTACACCTTAAGGAAATTATGATCATGATGTATTAATTTGAAGCAGTTCCAACAATTGCTGAGCTTAACAGAATTAAATAAGCCTTTGCTGATAAGCACTTCCCTGAATTTGTCAAAAGCTTAAGGTTCAAAATTCTAATGCTAAAATTAAAATTGGTTGCTTCAAAGAAGTCTTTTTAATTGATACTAGAAAAAGGGGAACCAGAGAAGTTAAAACAATTGTCAAAACACATAAAGATTGATGAATTTTTGCTTAATGTAATTGAAGATTTTCCACAAAGAATTATCAGAGAAAATGTAAACTTAAACCTATTGCCTTCTGAATTACGCAATATTGAAATCACAGAAGAAATTTTTGAATTTAATTTATCGAAGTAAAAAGGAATAATAAAATACCTCATATTTAAATAGAGTATAAATTAAAACCTGATTGAAAAAGTAGGGAAAGATTTAGAGTTGATTGAAAAGGAATTTGGAGAATTATGTATCAATGAATCTCCTTCCTAATAGTATATGTTGAAAATTAAGAAATTTTTTTAAAATTTAGAACATTAAGTTGATGAATCCTTAAAAAAGGTGAAGGATGACAAATTAAATTTTACAGAAATGAAATTGGAAAAAGGGCAATATGAGATTTTTTTACCTCAATTAAAACAAATTGAAGATTTTAAAGAATGTAAATAGATCTAAAATTGGGATCAATTAATCAGAAAAACAGAAACAGTGATTCAAACATTGGAAAAGTTTGGATGTCCAGACAAGGAGATTATAAAAATGTTAATTAATGAAGAGCTAACCCAATTAAAAACTATAATATCAAAAATAAATTATGAAGTATAGGAATCATCAAAAGACTAGGACGATTAATAAGTAGGAAAAAGTGAAAATGGAGTTTTCCCTAATTAAATTGGGAAGAAATTTAATTTTTCTAGCAATGAAAGCTAAAGAACTTACCTAATAAAGTTAAAAAAATTAATACTGAGAGAAGAGTTTGTGCTATTACACAAATTACTTGAAGAAGTTGATTTTTTTCTGATAAAATAAAATAAATTGAAGAGTATAAAAAAGAAATTTAACTCATATTTTTAGAAAGATTGAAATTTCGTACTAAAGAATTTATTTAAAAATTTGAGTAGTTACCATTTTCATAATTTAAATTATATTAGAAAGAAGATGAAAATTTTCATTTATATTTATTAGAAACCAAATTATTCAAAAGGGTAAATGATTAAGAGATTGCTCAAATAAATATCTTTGATTTTCTTAATTGCTTAGAATTTTATTTATATAAAAAATTAGATTAAAAAAAAAGTTTCTCAAACATCCAAGTTGATTAAGATTTTCTAATCCAACAAATAAAATTAATATACTTAGATGACAGTGAAGAAGTAGATGTTGGGGAAGAATCTACTGAATAATTAGGTTTAATAGATAATCTGGTTCAAAGGTTCAAAGACCTTAAAAATAATGAATAATGGAAAATTAAATAGGGTCTAGTTTTTACTATAATTTAAATTTCATCCAATTGTTTTTCAGATTCTCTTACATCTTTTTGTTAAAAAGTTCTTATACAATTGTGGGTTCAAGAAAAAGATTTAAGAATTAGAAAAAAATTGATAAATATCTAAATGTAAATTTTGTCGAAAGATTGGTAGACTTAACATGATAGAATTGCAGGGAAAATGTAGGAAATGTTGAGCAGAATTGATGACTTGTAAGAACAAATTTCTCATGAGGCTAATCTCAACAAGCGAGATTTATACCTTAATGAAACAACAGAGCAATTAGATTAATAAATTGAAAATATCAGTGAAATGGGGTAATAATTGAGACTGCTAACCGATTTTGTAAATCATATCAGAAAAGGCTTGATCAGAGTGGAGGGGAAAATTAATGAAATGAAGGAATAACTCAAAAGCATGGGTAACGATATTAAATTTTTGAGAGGAAAATCTGTGGAATAATTATTTGAAATTCGAAAATGGAAGGTATTGAGAGATGCTGCACTTAAGAGTGCTAAATCCATTTACATACCGTTAGAAACCAAAGAGATAGATCATAAAGGTGAAAAGAAAGAGGATGAATTAAGTATTTTAATAAATTTAGAACAAATTAATGATACTCAAGGAGAAGTGAATGAGTTTTTATTAGAAGAGAAAGATACAGTGTTATTAATTCATGGGGTAGCTGGATCTGGTAAAAGTACAACAGCTAAGAAAATAGAAGAATTTATTTGGAAATTACATAACAATAATAAAAAAATTAGAAATCAAATTCTCATACCTGTTTATATCTCCTTACCCTCCTTAAAAAATCCTGTGTTTTAAGCAGTGGAGGAAACGCTTCATTAAGATGAATACGGTTTTGACGAACTTTAACTAAAGAGTGCAAAGAGATNAGAAATTTCGTACTAAAGAATTTATTTAAAAATTTGAGTAGTTACCATTTTCATAAATTAAATTATATTAGAAAGAAGATGAAAATTTTCATTTATATTTATTAGAAACCAAGTTATTCAAAAGGGTAAATGATTAAGAGATTGCTCAAATAAATATCTTTGATTTTCTTAATTGCTTAGAATTTTATTTATATAAAAAATTAGATTAAAAAAAAAGTTTCTCAAACATCCAAGTTGATTAAGATTTTCTAATCCAACAAATAAAATTAATATACTTAGATGACAGTGAAGAAGTAGATGTTGGGGAAGAATCTACTGAATAATTAGGTTTAATAGATAATCTGGTTCAAAGGTTCAAAGACCTTAAAAATAATGAATAATGGAAAATTAAATAGGGTCTAGTTTTTACTATAATTTAAATTTCATCCAATTGTTTTTCAGATTCTCTTACATCTTTTTGTTAAAAAGTTCTTATACAATTGTGGGTTCAAGAAAAAGATTTAAGAATTAGAAAAAAATTGATAAATATCTAAATGTAAATTTTGTCGAAAGATTGGTAGACTTAACATGATAGAATTGCAGGGAAAATGTAGGAAATGTTGAGCAGAATTGATGACTTGTAAGAACAAATTTCTCATGAGGCTAATCTCAACAAGCGAGATTTATACCTTAATGAAACAACAGAGCAATTAGATTAATAAATTGAAAATATCAGTGAAATGGGGTAATAATTGAGACTGCTAACCGATTTTGTAAATCATATCAGAAAAGGCTTGATCAGAGTGGAGGGGAAAATTAATGAAATGAAGGAATAACTCAAAAGCATGGGTAACGATATTAAATTTTTGAGAGGAAAATCTGTGGAATAATTATTTGAAATTCGAAAATGGAAGGTATTGAGAGATGCTGCACTTAAGAGTGCTAAATCCATTTACATACCGTTAGAAACCAAAGAGATAGATCATAAAGGTGAAAAGAAAGAGGATGAATTAAGTATTTTAATAAATTTAGAACAAATTAATGATACTCAAGGAGAAGTGAATGAGTTTTTATTAGAAGAGAAAGATACAGTGTTATTAATTCATGGGGTAGCTGGATCTGGTAAAAGTACAACAGCTAAGAAAATAGAAGAATTTATTTGGAAATTACATAACAATAATAAAAAAATTAGAAATCAAATTCTCATACCTGTTTATATCTCCTTACCCTCCTTAAAAAATCCTGTGTTTTAAGCAGTGGAGGAAACGCTTCATTAAGATGAATACGGTTTTGACGAACTTTAACTAAAGAGTGCAAAGAGATGTTAGAGAAGAAAGAATTCAGATTGTTATTGATAATGGATAGTTATGATGAAATGAAACTACAAAATATTTAGAAAAATTTATATATGAATAATAAAGTCAAATAGAATTGGTCAGACCCACTTGTTATTTTCACAACAAGAAGTGAAATTTTTACAAGCAGTAATTATTCCTTATGGTTTGCACCAGAAAAGAAGGAAAATTTAAAGGAAATTCAGCTTTAAAAATTTAATCTAAAATAAATAGAGGAATACATAAAAAAATTCACAATTTAGAGCATTAAAATGTTGATTTTCGAAATTTAGAATGGTAAACATAAATGTCAAATTAAGGAGGATTGGATATCAATAATTTTGAAAAGTGTTGGGAACAATTGTAGGAAAAATGTTTGAATTTGACAAAGTTTAATGCTGAAGCCCTTTTGAATAAAAAATAAAAGATGATATTTTATCATTTTTAAAGAATAATGAATACTTTACTTTTAAAAGTAATGAGGCTTTAAGAAATCTAATTAAAATTATAAAAACTGTGGAGTGTTGAAATGTATGAAAAGATGATGAAGCAAATAAATTTATATAGATTGATAGAAACCCCATATATGATGGAAATAATAGTTTAAGTGCTGCCTAAAATGATGGTGAAAGCCTCTGATATTAATAATTTGAGATTAAATTTTCTATAAAATTTTCCAAACATGCTTCATGAGTTTTACAAAAGTAACTATCTGATTCAAATGTATAATTGGCAATCGAAAATGTATATATAATAGGGTAATCATGAAAAAAAATAATGGGATAAAGAAATATAGGATAATGATGAAAAAGAATTATAGGATAATAAGAAAAAAGAAATATATGATAATAATGAAAATGAATAACAGGATAAAAACAAAATAGTATAATAGGATAATGATGAAAAACAATAACAAGATAATAAAGATAAAGAATTACAGGAAAAAAATGATAACGAATAACAGGATAAGAATAATGAGAATGAATAACAGCATAGTAATGAAAAAGAATAATCAAATAATAATGAATAACAATAACAGGTTACTTAAACTGATGTGGAAAACTTGGATAAAATTAATTACATTTCCATTGCTAATGAGATTTGGAATAAAATGGAAGAACATTCAATCGCTAGCCAATTTTTCAACTCTCAAGAATTAGATGATCATAACAAAAATCTTCTATTTGGACACTACCTTAAACACTTCAAAAATGAGTTTACAAAATTTAGCATTGAAAAAGACAGAATGATTGAAGTTGTTTGCAATGCATTATCTGAACTAAATCTTACAAGTTATGACTTTTATGATGAATTTATTAATTAGTATGATTATCAACAAATAGAAAGTAGAGAAATCTGGGAAAATCAATACTTATTGATCGGTTTTTACATGACTTAAATAAGTATTCAATCAATCTTGCAAAAGTAATGAGCACAAAATAAATGACATAAGTTTAATATTAATAATAAGGATTTCTGTATTAGGAAGAAAAAGAAGAGGAGAAATGGTAAAATGAATTTTTTAATGATGATGATTGTTAATTTGGTTCCTATAAAAAGGATTTAAGGAGTTGTTCCTTAGTTTAATAAAAAGGCATAAACTTTTAATTTGTTCATAAGTCTCTCTAAGAGTTCTTTATAGCGGCTCATTTATATGGCATATTAGAGTTATTTAAAAATTTTCAGGGGCTGATATTCAATTAGATATTAAAATAGCTATCTAAAGGAAACAATTATGATCAAAATTTTGTAGAATATCTATAAAACCAAATGGATTAATAAAATCTGATTATAGGTGAAGTTTCAATTAGTAATGAAAAAAAAAAAATATTGAATAAACTTTTAAAATTTCTTATATTTTAACAGTGATTGATAAAAGTTTTATTTAAGGGGGGTGAACTCACTGAATTTATTAGTTAGATGTAAAAAGTCATGATTTTAAAAAATAAGAATCAGAGATACTTCCTTAATAGGAGGAAATTTTGCAAAATGTGATTTAAGCTTATCTGAATTTAATAATGCGAATATAAATGGAATTAATATTAATGGAGCAATAATGATTGGCTGCATCTGGAGAGATCTGAAGATTAATGAGTTGCATACATTAGATGGTCATTCAGATAATGTAAGTACAATTTGTTACTCTCCTGACGGTACTACGTTAGCATCTGGTAGTGAAGATAACTCTATCCGTTTATGGGATGTTAAAACAGGAGAAGAAAAAGCCAAATTAGATGGTCATGAATTTGGTATTAATTGATGGTACTATATTAGCATCTGGTAGATGACTAAAATTTAGGTTAAAAAAGAGAGATATCATTTAAATAAGCTTTAACTAGAAGTGATTTCTAATAATTTTAAATGGCTCCTTATCTCGTTCTGTTTGTGCCATACAGCAATTTAAAAAACCTTTT